TGAGCTGTGACCACATCACAGAGGCTCCAACCTGGGCGAGGACGGCTTTTTCAAGTCAGCGCGCGACACTTGGTGCTCGTGGGCCCAAACGCTTGACCGTGGATACAGCAAATTAGTCGGGTCAAGACGCATAGATACCCCACTGAAAGCAGAGACAAATTGAAGGCCTTCTCACTTAGCCGAATATCATCAGGATGAGCAGAGACTCTGCGGGCCAGGAGTGTGCGAGGGTGGTTGATGACCGGGTGGTGGTGCCGCGAGCGAGCGCAACCGCAGTCTTTACCTGGTCCCTCTCCCTGCGCCGTGCCCGCTATGGACGACTTTCCCTCACCGTCAACATCGAGGCATCATGTGTAGCTCACTTCCATGAGACGTCCATAGGGATACAAGAACGACACTCTCTTCGCCTCGTGCAGCTCGGGTAAAACAAACACTCCCAGCCACGATTTCACACCATGGCACCGCGCAAGTTGTTTCTCAGTTCGTACAATGGCACAATCTACACCCTTGAGTTCTCTCAAGGCCCAGACCCTCGCCAGGCATTGACGGTAATTGCCACGACCGAGGCCTGCCGTCCCAGCCCTTCGTGGATCACCTATGACCCAGACCGGCAGATTCTATTCGGGACATCCAACGACAAAGAAAGTGAACAGGGAGCCGTCAAGGCCTTTGCAGTCCAAGCTGACGGGAGCCTCGTCGAGTCTGGCTGCGTGGAATCGCCTTTCGGCGCGGCATACCACACCATCTACCATGGAGGAGACATACTAGCCGTTGCTTTCTAGTGAGTTGCTGCCATGATGTCCTTCAACACTGGTGTGAGAAAGACTAACAGCGTCACCAGCCACTCGAGCCGCGTGGTGACCTACGACATCACCGATGTTGCTCACATCCAGCCCATTCACGAGTTGGAATTCTCGCCCATCGAACCCGGTCCAGGCAAGGTCCAAGATCGGCCTCGTCCCCATCAAGTCGTTCTCGAGCCCACGGGGCGCCATGTCCTCGTGCCCGACCTGGGAGCCGACCGAGTCCGGGTTCTAGCCGTCTCTCCCCCTAATAGTCCGGGGATGCTGCGAGAGATCGACGCCCTCCAACTGCCCAAGGGGTCGTATCCCAGACATGTGGCATTCATCACACGCCAGGGCACCGACAGCAACCAGACACAGCTCTATTTGTTAAACCAAGACGCCAACACCCTGCTCAGCTTCCAGGTCGAATATTCTTCCCACGAAGGGCTGAGATTTGTGAATCAGGGTTGCGACATTGACCTCCTTCAGAGATGTGATCGGGTTATCTCACCGCTCGCGGGAGTTCGTACCATGGCATCCCACCTGGCCATCTCGGTGAGCCGTCGTATCCTCTCGCTCTCCTCTCCAACTCTCCTTCTCAGGTGAACCGCTGCTAACGACAATTCACTGGTTCTCCTCACAGCCCGACGAGAGGTTCGTGATAGTCTCGGTTCGCGACGACAGAGCGTTCACCATAGAGTCGCCGTTCGAGCCTAGCACCAGCATGTCTGCGGACACGATCCTGACTTACCGGATCGACCCAGAATCTGTCGCGCTGACGCTGGCCCACGAGTTTGCAGCTGGTGGTGGCTTCCCTCGGCAGTTCTCGCTCAACGAAGTGGGCGACAGAATCGCGGTCGTGCAGCAGAAGCAAGGGTGGCTGTCCATCTTCGAGCGAGATGTCGAGACGGGCCAGATCGGGAGGCTTCTGGCGATCAAAGACGGTTTTGGAGAGATGGGGCCGAACTGTGTACTATGGGGTCCTTGAGCCCGTGTACCTACTAGGTAGTCGATGGCAAAGCCAGTTGGGCAAAAGCCAAATGCACTTCTCATGCCGGTTTCGCAATGCTTCTGGGAACAAACATTCCACTCCTGTTTCGCTCATGCGCGGAGGTCCACATTACTACGTCTACAGGCCCAATCATCACACAATCTCTTCAAAGTTCGGGACCATGGCATCTTCCTCGTCTACCTCGACAGAGCGACTACCCCATCTTCTCTCCCGGTTCAGTCTCCACGGGGAACCCACGGAGCCAGGCTAGCTTCACCACGAGCTGGAGTTGGGCTTCTCAAGAAAATAGCCATGTTCTGAGTTAACAACGGTCGATTCTGCGTCGTCCTGCTATAAAGAGACCGCTGAACCCCCGTCCATGGGAGTTGGTGAGCGAGGAAGCAAGAGAAAGGATATTATGCTTCGTTAACGCAGCATTCATCACCATTCTTGCCAACAACCACATCAACACTTCCCCTTCATCGCACTTTCAGAGAAAGAGGAGCTGAACCTTGGAAAGGCGTCTCATAGCCCAGCACAGAATTTGACTATTCGACCGACGGACAATCAGTTCTCGATCTAGTTTGTCTTCCTCCTCAGTTACTACCGCCGACACCATCATGGGACTCACAAACCATGGCCTATTGCGCAACTTCAACGGCCAACTCGCCTTCGCTGTGGGCATCCTGTCGCTCTCGCAGGTCAACTACGGGATGGACCTCGCAGCCTTCAGCACCACGCAGGCCATGGGCGCCTTCGAGCGCAAGTTCGGCGTCTACAACCCCAAAACCCAGGCCTGGCAAATCGAACCGTACTTCCTGTCCCTGCTCAACAGCCTGACCTACATCGGCCAAGTGACGGGCGTGCTACTCAGCGGGTTCATCACCCGGCGCTGGGGACGCCGCATGTCGCTGTGGGTGATGTGCTTTTGGGCCTTCCTGTCGGCCATCCTCCTCGTCACAGCCCAGCGCAAGGAGCAGATGCTGGTCGCCCGCATCCTGAACTATATCTACCTGGGCCAGGAGATCGCCACGATCCCCGTCATGCAGTCTGAGCTCTGCCCCTCCCACATCCGCGGGTTTGTGGTCAGCACCTATCAGCTGGGAATCATGGTACGTGTGTCCTAGCGACGTAGGACTCAGCTATTCTCGCCTCTTCCTTTTTGGGCGAATTCGATCTGGCTGGCGTCGAGAGACTCCACCCCACCTTGCTTCAAGTGACTGACTATCTTCCCCTTCTTCGGGGACCGAACCAGAACAGACGGGATCGTTGATCATGTCCATCATCGCCTATGGGACCAGTCACCTAGAAGGCGAAGCGTCGTTCCGGATCCCGCTGGGCCTCTTCTTCGTTGTCCCCGCTATTGTTGGTGTGAGCGTCTTCTTCTTCCCTGAGGTAGGCAGACATACACATATAGGCTTTTATGGCCAAGGTAACTAATGTCCGGTCTAGTCCCCGCGCTGGCTTCTCGTGCATGGCCGGCGAGACGAAGCACTGGCCTCCCTGAGACGCTATCGCCAGGGTCGTTTCAGCGACGAGGAGATTCTGGCCGAGTTCGAGAGCCAGATCGCGCAGATCCGCCAGGCCCATGTGTTGGCCGAGGAGAAAGGCACGTTCCGGGACCTGTGGCGGGGCGTGAACCTCAAGCGCACGCTGATTGCCATGGGTGCCAGCGTCTGCCTGCAGAGCAGCGGACAGGCTTTCATCAGCAAGTACGGGCCCGTGTTTCTCAAGGACGTCAAGGCCGTCAACCCCTTCGCCATGACCTGTATTAACTCAGCCCTGTATATCGGCGCCGTCGCCGTGTCCATGTACCTGTGCGACCGGCAGATGTTGGGTCGAAGGTGAGTTCGTCATGCGAGTATTCGTCAGGTGGCAGCTAGTTGGCTCTTTCGATCATTACTGCTACACATACCACCATTACTTGCCGTGTTCTTTGATTCCCCCTCCCCCTCCAACCTTTCTTGTCATCAGACTAACCATCCTCTCCGCTGTCCATTAGGGTCATGTTGATCGGCGGTGCTCTTCTGCAAGGATCCTCGCTGATGGTGATGGCCGGCATCGGATCTCCAGCGACGCTCTCGCATTCCACACGCGTGGGCATCTCGGCGCTCTTCACCATCTCGTATGTCGGTTGGTGTCTCGGCTGGGGACCCATCAGCCACATCATCACGGCGGAGATCCCGACTACCAGTAAGTCCTGCCTGCCACCCAAGAGTCTTTGTTTCTTGTTCGTTCTTCTTGTCTTTCTCAATCTCCTTTTGGGAGTGTGTCTGGCTATTTCCCCCTTCACTTTTGGCCGGCAGATTTCCAGAAAGAGCGAGAGAGAGAGAGAGAGAGAGGAACCTGTCCCAATCCCTGAAGTTACTCAGAGTGGTGCTGACAAAAGCAAAGGCCTTCGAGACCTCACCTACACCGTGGCCAGCGTGGTCAACGTGGCCGTGCAGTTCGCCGTCTCCTTCAGCATCCCGTACCTCCTGTACGCGCCCTACGCGAACCTCGGCCCCAAGGTGGGCTTCATCTTCGGCTCCATCGCGCTGGCCACCATCGCGTACACATTCTTCTGCGTCCCCGAGTGTCGCCGTCTGTCCCTCGAGGAGATCGACCATCTGTTCCTCGAGCGCACGCCGATCCGCAAATTCGCCGCCATGACGCCCGGGCGGATCCTGCCGCCGGCGACGGCGATGGCGAAGGATCCGGCGGCTCTGGTGGAGGAAGAAGTCGGGGAGAAGAACAGCGCGACCGTGCAAGAGAAGGAGGCTGTGTAGGCAAGTAAGGTAAACTAAATCTGATCTACACCCGAGGACGAATGGCCGGAGGGGGAACAAGGAGCCCGTTTGTTGGTGTGTCCATCCGTCCATGATTCACTCACATTAGTGGACAGAGAGCGGAGAGCGCCTTTCTGTTAGTGGCTGAAGAAGGAAGAGGGGGAGGTACAGCCGAACAGGGTCCAGTTGAGAAGAAAGAAAAACAGACGTGTATATTGCACAGTACATGACATGAGAAAGATGATCTCGTGAGCGTGGATATTAATCGTGTCTGGTTCATTTTATCCTGCTTTTTGCCTGCTACACATGTTACACCTGTCCTGCTCCCATTGCCCAAACTCCCCTAAGCCCCAAATGTAGGGAGACTGGGTCATTTATTTTAGTCACCACCATCCGTCACAACGGGGTCGTGGTGGTGGTGAAGATGAAACGAAAACACCAGCGCTCTCTCCCCCGCTAGACAGCAGCGGCCGTGGGTGCCGGAGATAGCTCAAACTGGCCACCGCCCCGCAGATCCTGGTCCGGGCGCATCTGGGCCCAGTTCTCCCAAAAGATGCGGCGCGAGTCGTACGACACCCAGGCGGCCATGCGGGTCAAAAGCGGCGGCGAGCGCTTAAGGTCGCTCATGTAGGGCAAACCCTGGAACATGAGGCAGACCTTGTTGACCACGTCGTCCTGCGACGGCGCCGAGGCGCCGAGGGCCTGGATGGCGCGCTTCAGCTTCTCCTCCAGGACCTCGCGCCGGCCGCTGTAGGGAGTTTGCAGGATACGCGCCAGCACGAAGCCCGCGTACGTCATGGCCACGCGGGCGTGGCCGGGGCCGATGGCTAGGTTGATGCTGTTGCAGAGGTCGACAAGGTCGCAGACGTCTTCCTCGAGGAGTCTGATCATCTCGAGCATTTCTTCCGTCCCCAAGGTCGCGGTGACGTCGTCTTGGAGTACGTACGCCTGCACCTGCACGCGGCAGTAGAGATAAACGATTTTGAGCGCATCGGTGCAGGTTCCCTCCACCAGCCGATTCAGGGCGGTGAGCCGCTCAGTGTAAAGCCTCATGAGATTCAGGCGAGTGGTGGGCTCCTGGAGTCCCGAGGGAGCCGGTCCGTGGTAGGACATCTCTAGGCTGCCTTGAGTGAAGGTGTGCAGGATGCGGCAGAGGCTGGTGAGGCTGCGGTCGAGATCCGGGTCGTCAAAAGCACCCACCAGCTGCGGGTCCGCGAGAAGCGAGGGCGGCACCCCGCGCATGGTCGCTTGTATGCGGTCAACGACGAAGCAGGCCATCCAAGTCGTCAGCCTCACCTCTTGGTCAGGCATCGGCTGCACATCCCAGCTGTGGCGGTAAGTGTGCGTCCCCATCGACCGGTGGAGCCCGAGTTGCAGGCCGATCTGGGTCGCCATGGTGCTGTAGAAATAGGAGAAATCGTCACTGAGGAATGAGACCCGAAACGGCCAGATGCACAGCAGGAGGAGGGCCTGGACCGTCTGGACCGAGTGCTTGGGGGTGTGGACCACTTCCTCCACGAGACTCTTCACTATCGGGGCCAGCGTGGGTTGGAGCGAGGGAGAAGTGATGGTGCAGACGACCCAGAACAAGAGCGGGCTAGAGGCGTAGATTGCGTCGGCTGATAAGTCAGTCATCTTAAATGGGAGATGTTGGTGGTAACGGGCAAAGTAGCGCTTGAATATCTCAGCCACTTGACTCGCCGTGAGAGACACGGTGCCTATCGAGCGGTTGGTTGCGACAGACACGACTGAAGCCTGCCCAGGACTAGTCGTTTGAGGGGATTGAGGAGGGATCCCCAGCAGCTCTGTAGAATTGCGACACGGCGAGGGGATCTGGGGCACCGTCCACGTGGAGGGGGGGTGGCGAGGTGATCTTTGGTTGGGTGCATCGTCTTCAGGTGCTGACGTTGTTGCTGGTGTTGTGGGTGCTGGTGCTGGCCCGGTTACTGTTAAATCGGCTGTTGGTGGTGGTGATAGTGACTCTTCATCTGTAGCTATTTGTGCCGTGTCCGCAGCAGCGACGGGTCTGCTGCTGCTACGCAAGGCTTGCCGAAGCTCACGGATCTCCGAGGCCATCTTCTGCATGAGCTTTGCCTTCGAGGTGCGTTTGAACGACGGGTCATAGACACAGGCGATTCCAAGCGACTGGCAGCGCGAGCAGCCTGCCGGTGCCTGGTCGGCCGCATTGCACCGCGCTTTCACCTGCCGGCACTTGGTGCACGCAGTGGCTCTCATCCTGTCGCGGAGCTGCGTTTGATGAGATGAAGACGCCCATGGGGCTCGGGCGCTGAGGGACTTGGTTGATCCGACACTGAGTGGTACCGATTCCCCTGGGCAAGGACGGCCTGAGACGAAGACGAGCAGGATGTCAAGTACTGAGAGTGCGAGACAGGATTGTGCATCCGACAGCGGCGCAGGAGACGCATTGCGAAAGCGGAGTGCGGCAACGAAGTCTCCCCGCAAAAAGGTTCCCTCCACAACGCGACCGCGTATAGTTGCAGTGTTTGGAAACGATCCGAGGTGGAGTCACTATCTGGCCATCAAAGAGGGCGGATGGGCATGTTGAGCAGCGCGCATGTCTCTTTGCATGGAAGAGCGCTTGGTTTGGATGTCGTGTTGTCAGAACTGCAGCACTCCTCGCCCCTTTCTAGACCCCAGCCTTGTTCAGCCTTCCCAAAGCAGTGGGCACGTGTTTGGTGTCACGTGGCATCCTCGGCTGCAGCTCAAAATGCATGGTGCAAATACGTCATTCGATTCGCTGGGCGTCACGGTGTCACGGTGTCACTCGTTGGCCCCCCAGACTGCGCGGGAGGCGTTTGTGGTATTAGTTCGTGAGGAGGCTGCACTTCATTACATGCACCAGATTCCAGACGCCTTGTACCGCGACTTCATTCGTTCCAGCTGCGCTTTCTGAGTGCTCAGTGCCATAGCTTGGTCACCCAGCAGCTTGTTCCTATTGCTGCTTTTTCCCACATGGCTCCCACTTGATTGTGCGCCCCCAAGCAGCGTGTCTTTCGATGCGCTGGCTAGCAAATGGGTCCATTCAAATGGTTCCTCTTCGTCTACGTGCTCGGTGGCCTCACCTTCGTACCGCTTCTGATCGTCTCCGTCCTCCTCTATGCCTACTACACGCTCCCCCCACCGGAAGTGAAAACAGAGAAACCGAAGTCCAATGACGATCCTGCCCAGCTGCTCCGTCCCGAAGATGACAAGATTGCATTCAAGACTGGTACCGATGACCTGGCCGAGCAGTTCCATCGAAAGCACGACTCTGATGTCGCCGCTGGCTACTTCGCCGTATGCAGAGAATATGTGCCTGGTGGTGTCCCTGGCAAACCGCCGGACAAGCTGACACCTGCGGGGGACGTCGCGGCCCAGGAGTCTCCTAGTGTCTACCAGAGCATGTACCGCAGCATATTCGATCGGTCGCAGAAACCCACGATAGAACCCAATAAAGAGGGCGCGGGGAAGAACGTCAGGAAAACAAACAATGTCTTCTACGTGGTCTTGAGGTGGGTTACGAAATAGGAAGTGTCTGTTCGGAGGTGAAGCCTGACTGATCGAGATAGGCACGGACATCTCATGCTTTACGATGATATACAACAATTGGAAGTTCGCTACGTCATCTCTCTCGACTACCACGATGTCGATGTCTATGCTGGCGGAGAAGAAATACCAGAGGGAGAGCTGTGGATCAAGCGAAATGCGATCCGATTGAGGCGGAAAAAAACTCAAGTGGGAGACAAAGCAACTTCGTTGCCATTCTTTCTCTTCGGGCAGAGCCAGTCGGATAAAGAGGACTTCTACGATGCTATCCTCAAGAACCAAGAGAAAAGCAGCACCGAAGAACCACCAGGGCCGCAACTGTTCGATGTCGAGCATATTGTGTTGCTGGTACAGAAATTACACTCGTCAGAAGAGCATTTGCAGACACGATGGCTCAATGCCATGATTGGCCGCGTGTTTCTAGCTATGTACAAGACCCCAGAACTGGAAGGTTTTATCCGAGAAAAGCTCACGAAGAAGATTTCGAGGGTGAGGAAGCCCACTTTCATCACCAAGCTGGGCTTGCGGAAAATCGACTTGGGCACTGGGGCGCCCTTCTTCACAAATCCAAGATTGAAGGATTTGACAGTAAATGGTGATTGTACAGTCGAAGCCGATGTCAATTATTCTGGAGGGGTAAGGATCGAGATTGCCGCCACCGCGCGGATTGATCTGGGTACACGCTTCAAGGCCCGAGAAGTCGACATGGTGTTGGCAGTCACATGCAAAGCGCTCCAGGGGCATCTCTTGGTGAGATGCAAACCGCCTCCCAGCAACCGGTTTTGGTTCACTTTCGAGAAAATGCCCGTTCTGGAGCTCGACATCGAACCCATTGTCAGTACTCGGCAAATCACGTACACTTTCATTCTCAGAGCGATCGAAAGCAGGATCCGAGAGGTGGTGGCCGAAAGCATTGTACATCCTTTCTGGGACGACGTACCGTTCTTCGACACGAGACATCAGAAATATCGCGGTGGCATCTGGAAGACGGAGCCTGCATCGACGACCACCACAGAGATCCCGGACGAGGAACCTGAAGATGCCATCGAAGCAGGCGGTTCCGGAACAGACACCCCGGCAGAGCTTTCGAGAGACGACAGAGTCATGAGTATGCCAGTCTTGGCTGAGACTAATGGTATGGGCAAAAACAATTCTGCGAAGAAATCCATGGCTTCCTTGAATGACCTTTTTGGCAAGAAAAAGCCAGAAACAGCGGAAAAGGCCGACTCTTCGACACCCAGATTGATGCGGTCAACCTCGTTTGCCAGTGCCGCAGATCCCACCATCACCACGAACCACGCTGATGCCAATACGCCTACTCGTGGAGCAGATCAGACCACGCATAGAGAGAGCGTTGCCACAATATTAAAAGATCTATCTGCCAGGTCAGTCTCCGGAAATGGGTCGGAACTGGGTTCTCCAGCAGCATCCCCTTCTGTAGAGTCGGCCATGGCTGCAGCCTTGAAGGGGCGTACATCAAGCAACGCCTCAGGCGTATCGGAAGACGAAGACCAAGACAGTCGGGGAGCTTCTTCCCTGCCACGCACCCTAACAAATGCAAGCCGCGCTTCAACTCAAACCACCGACTCTGGTGGTCAAAAGGATGGTAGGCCAGCCTCGGCGCAGGAGAAAAGCAAGCCCTCAAAAGGCTTCACGCTGGGTGCGAGGTCGTTGACTGCTGCGGATAGAAAACAAGCCCTGGCGTCCGTCAATGCTGCCGCTGCAGCTGCCCAAAAATGGGGTTGGGGCGTGCTCGCAAGAAATCGACAGCGGGATGCCCAAGCGGCGGCAACACAGGGAAATTTGGATGGGGCATCAGGGAGCCCTCCTACACCCCGAGAGCCTATGGGGCGTGGAAGGCCACTTCCACCTCCAGGTGTTCCGCTGCCTCCCCCCGAGAGAGTGCGGCCAAATTCATTCCTGGCACCGAAGCGGAAAGCGGTGCCACCTCCAATGCTACCAAAGCGCCCGGAGACAGATGGATCCCACGAGTCAATATCGGCCAAATCATCACCGAAGCCACCACTTCCGGAAAGGCGCAAGAGGACGAGCTCCGCACAGCCCGAGGATGGTGCCGAAGATGAAGTGTTCGTTGTCGAGGCCCCAATGGAATTGGCTCCAACAAGCCCGGCTAATGATGAACATCATGACGACTTTTTTGGTCATGGTGAGCCCCCAGCGACGACAAAGGAGCAACTCAAAGCCTCACCACTCCTGGATAACGGCAGCGAGGTTGATGAGCCAGCTGCAGTGTTAGCCAGGGAGCACCCCAATCCACCGCAATCGGATCAAGAAAGCGAAACCGAGGAGCCAGCAGCTGTGCAGGAACAGATACGTCCGCCATTACCTGCTCGTGGCAGTACGACTCCGGAACAGCTTCTCCAGGACGAAAACGAGATGCACAGGCAAGAGATGGGCATGTATACATAATGAGGCATTTGCCCCAGCCAGACGGACGTCTAGATATAATCGAAGCTCAGCATTATTCCTTTGGGCATAGAATATGATACCCGATTATAAGCAGTGCGATGACTTCGTCTTACTAGGCATTTTTCTTTCAAGCTCATTAAGCTTACAATAAACGAATCTCGATTCTTTCCTAATGATTATCAAGGGAGCTGCTGGTTGTCGGGACACAGCAAGGATTCCCCCATTCATAGGGGAGTTGGCCAATGCGACAAGTTGGCCACATTAGGCAGCTCTGCCGACCATCGACTATGCAAGGCTGCACCTCTTGACGCGGCTTCGTCAATGACCACAGTTGAACCTCTTCTTTACTCTATCCTGATCCTGTCCTCGCATTCTTCCTTCACTTCTTCGAATTCCCCTATCAGTTGTCCGCCGTGATGAATCACTATCCTCAGGCCTGGGGTCGTGTAAGTCCTGAAACTTTGCAGTGAACCGCGACGTAGCTAACTTGCAGTAGCCCCGAGATGATGTCTACGGCCCGTACGATCCTTCATACCTCCAGACCTCGATGCCTCAGACGCACACGCAGTCGCCTGCAGTAACAGGAACATCGGTACTGGGAGTCAAATTCAAAGACGGTGTCGTAGTGGCAGCAGACAACCTAGGTATGTTTACCACAGGTGCAGCGTTTCCGGGGACTAGGCTAACACATTCTTGTCAGCTTCCTATGGCTCCCTGGCGCGGTTCACAGATGTCAAGCGTCTGCGAACCTTCCCTCCCAATACCGTGGTTGGCTTTGGTGGCGACGTCTCGGACATGCAATATCTCGACCGGCTATTGCAGTCGCTGGACATTCGAGAAAACTACCTCTCCGCCACGGGGCACACGCTGAACGCACGAAATCTCCACATTTATCTCTCGAAGGTCATGTACAAGAGGAGGAGCGACTTTAACCCGTTATGGAACATGATGCTTATCGCGGGCCTGGATGAAGACGAGAAGCCGTTCTTGGCCAGTGCGGATTTGCTGGGGACAACCTTCTCCGCTCCAACACTGGCGACTGGATTTGGCGCACATCTCGCGCAGCCTTTGCTGCGAAAACTAATGCCTCATGACGAAGAGAGTGTCAAGGATGTGACGAAGGAAATGGCCATCGACGCCGTCAAGCAGTGCATGAAAGTTCTGTTCTACAGAGATGCCAGGAGCTTGGACAAGTACAGCATTGCCGTGGTGACTAAGGAGGGCGTCGAGCTCAAGGAAGACGAGAAGCTGGAGAATCAAAGTTGGGCCTTCGCCGATCAGATCCGAGGATATGGTACGCAAGTTAATTAGGGGGTCTGCATACGAGCTTGGTCGGTGCACGGCGTTCAGTTGCGGGACGGAGCACTACAAATGCAGGCGGTTACCAACGGCATGCCTTGAGGATTCCACAGAACAATAAAATCCCTCTTACGGACACGGACACGAGAGTCACAATGTAACTCTTTGCCCTGAATAGACCGTGGGAGTGTCATATTAGTCGCTGGAGGGAGCCACAGACGGAGGCAACGACAACGCCTAGACCGTGCAAGAGTTGAATGTGATTGGTCAGCCTTGTGGTTTCTGGCCGTGGTGAGTCAAAGGCGGAGTTTCTGTGCCGCTGACGTGCCGGTGCCAGAAATTTGGAGAAGGTCGAACTTGGGCCAGAAAAGTCGAAGAGCCGCCGCTCACAGCCAATATCATTAATTGTTCTTGTTCTCCATACCTGTGGTTTCTCTTCGCATTGAGCGTTTGTTCTCCCTTCTTATTCTCTTTGGTGGCAATTAGAGAGGCTTCCATCACCCTCGTGTCGCTTTAATATCCAGTCTGGAGTCTCCCTTGCGGCGTCTCCAACACCCTCAATCTATTTCCACCACCATGGAAGGCTCAGCCGTGCAGCAGGCACCTACGCCGCCGAATGACAACAGCAATACCAACAGAGGCCAACGACGCAGACGGAGAGGCGGAGGTGGTCCCAGCAGACCGTCGCCCGCTCAACCAGAAACTACAGCTCCCATAAGACAGACCGCAGGCAGACCCTTTGGGGGACGTCTCACACGACTACACGCAGACGCACCGCCTTTCGTCCCGTCCTCTCTACCACCGCCTCCTCAATCGAGCACGCAGTCCAAAGACTCGAAACCTCGCCCTCCCCGCCCCAGTAACAAGACCACACCCGCACGAACGCCGCAGCGGCCACAAGGACGGAGAGGCTCGGTCGCCCGATCGACGGCTCCGGACATCGCCACCCGAATTCATGAGGACATCTCACACAATCTGTACGAGTGTGCAATTTGCACAAACGAGATTGGTCGGTCTTCAAAAGTCTGGTCATGTCGGACATGTTGGACAGTATTCCACATTGGCTGCATCAAGAGATGGTCAAAAAACGAGGGCTCAGCCGTCCCTCGCTCTGCAGGCCAAAGTGATGAAGAGACGCAGACGGGGAAGCAGTGGAGATGTCCCGGTTGCAATCTACCCAAGGACACCTTTCCATCGACATACACTTGCTGGTGCGAGAAGGAAATAGATCCAAAGAACATCACTGGTCTACCTCCGCATTCCTGCGGGCAATCTTGTGGGCGCGAGAGGACGTTCCCAAAGGCATGTCCGCATCCTTGTGATCTCCTCTGCCATGCCGGGCCGTGTCCGCCGTGCTCAGCAATGGGCCCCAAGCAGAGTTGCTACTGTGGCAAGCAGGAAACAACGAGGCGATGTGTCGAAACAAACTATGAGACGGGCTGGAGCTGCGGTGCCGTGTGTGGCGATATCATGCCATGCGGCGAGCACACTTGTCAAAGACCCTGTCACGAGGGTCTCTGCGGCGCTTGTACCACTGAGATCGATGCACGGTGCTACTGTGGAAAGCTGGAACGGAAGATCTTATGCAAAGATCGAGGTGAAGAGAAGCCAAGTAGTGACTGGGTTGGGCTCTTCGATTGCGGTCAACAATGTGACAGACTCATGGACTGTGGGGTTCACCGCTGCGAAAAGCCATGTCATCCCCAGGATGCGGCAATACCCCATTGTCCGAGGTCAGTCGACGTCGTTACTCACTGCCCCTGTGGGAAAACTCCTCTGGCTAAACTCGACAATGGCCTTCGAACACTCTGTACCGATCCGATCCCGAGCTGCGAAAAGGAGTGTGGAAGATCATTACCATGCGGACACAAATGCAAGCAGACATGTCATACCGGAGCATGCAGTCCTTGCACGCTCAAAATCTCCAAACCATGTCGATGTGGCCGCAATTCGTTTGACGTCATCTGCCACGAAGCGACCGAGGAACCACCTCAGTGCACACGTTTGTGCAAGGCTACCCTGAACTGTGGCCGTCATGAGTGTGGTGAGCGATGTTGCACAGGGGAGCGCAAAGCATCTGAGCGTCAAGCCACCAAGCGGAAACTCAAACCTCTGGGAAGCGTCACCCGGGCCTTGGACGAGAATATCGAAGCAGAGCACATTTGCACTCGACCATGCGGCCGCAAGCTGAAGTGTGGAAACCACGTCTGTCAAGATCTCTGCCACCGCGGGCCATGCGGCAGCTGCAGGGAAGCCATTTTTGATGATATCTCGTGCAGCTGTGGTAGGACCGTTCTCCAGGCGCCGTTACCATGCGGCACCCGTCCACCGCCGTGCAATTTTCCGTGCAACAGGACGAAGGACTGTGGCCACCCTCCCGTTGTACACAATTGCCACCTGGACGAGGAAGAATGCCCCAAATGTCCATTTCTCACCGAGAAGCAATGTCTGTGCGGCAAGAAGACTCTGAAAAACCAACCATGCTGGAGGGCCGATGTGTTGTGCGGATTGGTCTGCGGAAAGCCCCTCCAATGTGGCTCCCATACCTGTCGAAAGACGTGTCATAGGCCGGGTGAATGTGAAGATGCCCACCAACAGTGCCAGCAAGAGTGTGGCAAGACGAAGAAAACCTGTGGGCATCCATGTGAGCAGCCCTGCCACGCTCCTTCGACATGCAAGGAAGATAAGCCATGTCCGTTCAAGGTGATGATTACGTGCGACTGTCAACGCAAAAAGGAAGAGGTCAGGTGCAATGCGCGGGCGCACATGCCTGAACCCCCTGGTCGACAGACGTCGCTCAAGTGTGACGACGAGTGCGCCAGGTTGGAGAGAAATCGCAAACTGGCTCTAGCTCTTCACATTCCTGACGATCACACCGATGAGCATGTCCCTTACTCGACCAACACTCTCAACATGTACCTGGAAGATGTGGCATGGGCACACAAGCAGGAAGAAATCTTGCGGCTCTTTGCGGCGGATGAAAATGAGAAGAGATACCGCTTCCCACCCATGAGAAAGCGCCAGCGAGGATTTATCCACAGTCTGGCGGAAGACTTTGGTTTTGACGGAGAAAGTCTGGATCCCGAGCCCCATCGACATGTTGTGTTGTTCAAGACACCAAAGTTCGTCGCCGCTCCCATGAAGACTCTAGCTCAAGCAGCAAGAATCAAGCGGGCACAGCTGAACGTTTCCGCCCCGGTCCAGTCAACGCCAGATCGCAAAGCAGACGAGGTCAAGCACGACTACAACGGGTTGTTGTTGACCAAACCCAGATTTGCACTGACTGAAGACGAATTGCGACCGCTGGTCAAGAAGTCTGCCCCAACCATCGAGTTCGACATTATCTTTTTGTCCAACGACGAGGGCGTCGCTCTTTTGCCCACCCTATCTTCAGACACTCCAGAGCAGTTGGTCACTCTCCTCGCCAGTCTGCAGCCTACAATTGCTGGGGAGGTGATCAAACACAACCTTGGCGCATCGGTGGTCCTCTGCCAATTCGACACTTCGGACCTTGAGCCAAAGATCCTTCAGCAACAAGGCAGACCAAGTCCATCACTCTCAAGTGGATGGTCTCAAGTTGCGGCGAAGAAGGCAGCACCAGCAGTAGCACCTCAGGTCAAGCCTGTCGGTCAGCGACCAGTGTATACTGTCCTGGGGAGTCGGTTGGCGGAAGCCAAGAGGAAGAAACAGGACGAGGAGAAGCTGCGGAAGAAATCCCAGCAGCAGGAGGTAGTGGAGGATTGGGAAAAGGAGATGGAGCAAGAAGAAAGCGACGAGGCCGCAAGGAGGAATAGTCAGGACAATGTCGAGCCCAGTGGGGGGGTTAGTGCAAGCTTGGAAGCATGATGTGCTGCCGAACAGAGATGTGGCTTGCAGCCTTTCAGCTTGCTGTGACCCGGACTAAGTAGAATGCAGGTCTAGGAGGAGATGATGGACGTGGCTGTGCAGGGTATGGAGTATCCGATATGCGTCAAGTCGGTCTCTGCCGAGCTGAACCTATTCCGCATCAGTTAATCCGATCCGGCTTGGCAAACGTCATCGGCTTCACCTCCTTGCAGCCCTCTCCCTCTCTCCCTAGCTGCTGTTTGCTCTGCCCACTGCACACTGCGTACTGTTCGTCGTAGCTTCTCCTGTGGCTTCCCGCCAATCGTCCAACCTTGAACTACAAGATCCCTGCCTCTTACGTGCTCGTATCAAGGTTCCAGTCCTTGCCTCCAGCTCACTTGTCTGCAGACCAAGCCGCTTGGCTGCATTTGAAGCACTTTGACTTCTATCACTTCAGCCCACTGGTGATGCGCTGTGACCCACCAAGAAGCCAAAACATCTTCCTGCTGATGGTGATTTATATCTTCCTTTCCTCTCTTTGACTTTCGTTTCTTTCTCTTCCATCTCATCGTCCAACTCGACCAAGCTTCTCCAGATCAACTACTCATCCCTAGATCGATCCCGCCTCGCTCTCCTTTCTTGCAATCATGGATCAACTCAAAGGTGCCCTCAATAACTTCACCGGCGGCAACAATGGACAACAGCAGAAAGAGAGTGGCGGTCAGCAGGGTGCTTCTGGGAGTGGCAGCGGGAGCTTCCTGGGCGGACTGGGTGACAAGCTCAATTCTGCGGCTGGTGGCGGACGGGAAAGTGAGAAGAATGAGGACTACCTCGACAAGGGTGAGGCTTGCATGACCAGAGCCGAATTGATTGACCCTCGCGATTACGACACTGCATGCTAACCGGGACATTCAACGGCAGGAGTCGACTTCGTCCAAGAGAAGTTCCTCGGCCAAGGCCCTCAAGACAACGAGTCCGCGGTCGAACAAGCCAAAGACGAGCAGATCAGTGACTTCATTCGGGACAAGTGTTCGTGCCCCCTGACCCAGCCGCGGTCTAGAGTGCCCGTGAGCTAACATGACCCTCTCACCGCAGACAAGTCGGCCACTGGCAAGGACTTTCCGGTCAAGGACAAAGAGACCAAGTTCTAGAGGACCTCACGATCATGGTCGAGCGACGACAGACGTGGGGTAGTGAGGCTTCAAACAAGTGCAAAACGGCAGACCTAGATACCAGACCTGAGGACATGGTGCTCAATGGCATAGGGTGAAGCGGACCGCGTGTCGGGATATGGCTTTGCCCTTGGGGACACATGGTTAGCAATGGGGTGTATTACTTACGAGCATATGCCAATCAATCACACATGGACTGTTCCCATCCGCACGACGCCCGTGCTTCTGTGTTTTGTAACATTTATGGGGAAGGACTTAAACACCAGACAACGCCCATGCAAGACCAACACACCAGCCTCCCATCAGATCATGTCCGAGTGATCTCCTTGATCATGAGTAGAGTCGTAAAGTAGATCCATGCAGCCTCGCAAGCTCACCTTATGTATCGCAAGCTTCAGCGCGAGTTACCAAGTCCTTGCTTGGGTCGATAACTCGATCCCCTCGATGGCCCCCATTCCAGGAATCTAGGGAATCTCTCGGTGGGCCAAGACTAGGGAAAGGGCACGAGATGCTCGGCCTGGGGCATTTATAATTGAAGCGGATGCGTGAGAAAACATGGCGTTGTCGTCGATTCCACATTATATCTTAGATATCCAGTACGCGCTCTAGCTCGCCGTGTCACCAACTCGTGCGCCTGGAGTTTGGTACATATGTCTCTCTCTGTGTGTGTGTGTGTGTCTATGCGTGTATGTGTATGTGTATATATACATCTCCTCCATCCATCCCATTTCTTGATTCATCAGACATAAGCGACCGTGGGCTTCAGGTTCGCCACGGGCGTGCCGCCCCGCGCGGAGGCGTGAACCTGTGCCAACCCGACCCGCCCCTCGGGCTCGTCGGGCGCGGACACGTCGCCGATCTTGACCGTGACGTGGCGCAGCAGGCGCGCGCGCTGCAGGCCGGTCAGCGTGGTGCCGTTGGCGGGCAGGGCGACGTGCGGGTTGTCGCGGGTCAGGCTGGAGACGTAGCCGAAGATGTCGGGCGCGAGGGTGTGCACGCGCAGCCAGCACGCCGCCCCGGCCGCGAGCAGCAGCACGGCGCAGGCGGCGAAGTCGACGGCGATCCAGCCCCAGAGGATCGCGTAGTGCGGGTCGTACAGCGCGCCGTGGATGGCGAGGGCCTGGAACTGTGTATCTTCGTCGCTCCCGAAGCTGGGCGTCAGCCCCGTCATCACCTGCGAGAGCATGTAGTACGTGTTGAAGTACTGCGTCAGCGGCAGCGCGAGGCCCCGCGGCTGCTCCGCGGAGAGGAAGGCGTCGTAGTTGTCCGCCTGGCCCTGGCTACCGGCCGGCGGGCCCAGGAAGTTCTGCAGCCCCAGCGTCAGGGACTCGCCGATGTCGGTGGGCATGGACACGTTGCGCTGCCCGCCGCGCGAGAGGAGCAGCGCGCTGAAGAACCGCGCGGCGAAGGCGTCGTCGTCAAACGGCGTGCTGAACGAGGTGACGTTCCGGCGCGGCGCGTTGTGTCGGTACCGCATCTTGTTCGGGAAGCAGCCCGTCACGCCGCAGTGGATCTTCAGCTCCACGGCCACGGCGGTGATGTTGCACGTCTGCCGCGAGCTGCCGCGCGAGGTGATGTACTGGTCGTTGTACGGGATCCAGCGCGTGGACAGGTGGAACTCGCGCAGAGGATGGCCCGCGATGTCGAGGGGGGCGTCGGGGCGAGGCTGCGTCATGTTGAAGCTCACGGACTGGTTCATGAAGGTGCCCTGGGGAAACGACTCGTAGGGGAGGATGGTCGGCCGGCCGCACTGCACCGCCAGGTAGCTGGTGGGCAGCGTGTACTCGCCCAGGAACCCGTTGATCTGGATGGCGACGGGCCCCGCGGCGTCGCTGATCAGCTCGAAATACGTCGCCCGGCCGACAAACGCCGCGTAGTCGTCGGAGAGTTGGAGCTGCGATTGATGCGCCACGTCGACCCAGCCGTGGCGGCCCGGGTGAGGGGGCACGTAGCCAGCGCCGACCGACCAGCCCTGATCCAGGATGGCGTTGAGGTCGGGCAGGACGGCGGACCCGATCGAGTCGGTGCCCTTGGGGACCGCGGTGTCCGAGTTGTAGTCGGATTTCGTGAAGCTGACCGCGGCGATCAGGGCGGCGTTCAGGTCATCGACGTTGAAGCTGAGGTAGGTGTTGTCGTAGGAGGAGCTGAAGCCAGACAGGAGGCCCGCGCCGGCCGCATAGCCGTCCAGCTGGTGGTACGCGCGCGAGTCCACCCGCTGGAATTCCTGCTTGCTGGCCTGACTGCCCAGGTAGTAGAAGGACCAGATGGCGACCAGGGCGGCGCTCATGGTGGTGAACGCGCGCAGCGACCAGATCAGCTTGAGCGTGCTCGGGAGGCTGATGCTGCCCTGGAGCTGTTCGAGGTCCGAGACGCGCGCCCCCGTCTGCGCCTTCCACAGGGCGTACCGCCTCACCAGCGTCGAGATGATGGTGACGAAGACAATGGTGAACGCCGTAGTCATCTGGCCGTTGAACTCGATCAAGAAGGTGGTCAGCGCGCTGACCAGGTCGATCTCGTTGCCGCGATGTTGGCGATCGAGTTTCCACGCCCCGATCACCAGGCCGATTTTGGCGATGAGCACCAGCGGGACCGCCAGGAGGATGCCGTCGTACAGCCACATGAACATCTGATCTTTCGTGTCGGGCACCAGGGGCACGGGTTCTTTGGGCCATGACGATGCCACCGGGATCTCGGCCTGCTTTTCGGGATGAATGGGCTGCTGCGAATGTGACGAGGATGGGAGTTCAAAAGACTCGACGACGACATTGTCGTCCTGCTTAGGGCCCTGCATGGCGTCAACTCCTCTGCTCTGCTCGAGACAGAGAACGGCGAGAGTCGACCAACGACGCCAGAAATCAAGACTTACCTCTCCCTTTTGAAGGAGGCTTTGGGGCTTCCATGAGTCCACTCACCCACCCAGTGGAGTCTCCTGCTAGACACGTTCATCGAACGCAGTGGGTACATTCGCGTGGCCTTTTGGCACTCGGCAACGAGGACGGGGGACACTGTGTTGGGTTTGTATCGAGCAACAAGCGAGAGACTTGTTTCACTCGAGCGTCGAAAGGGGGAATCGACATCTGTTCTGGCCGTTTCTCAGCCCGCCACGGCACGCGCCAGGCCCTTTTGAGGCTTCACTGGACGCAAAGTCAATCCCCTTTAGCTTCAGCCGATCGGGTTGTTGTTTGTGGACTTGGGGCTCGAGACTCGTCCGGGCCTTTGGTGGCGCTGCTCGGCGGGATCCAAATTGTTCTCGGCGAGGCTAAAAGAGATTTTCTGGACAGCTCCATCGTCTCAATGCAGACTCTCGGTCGATGCGTGCGCACCTTGTGTATAAGTACCTCGCAGAGATCCGTGGCCATGACCACCAAAGGGAAAATGGTCTGTGGGAGAGATAGATCAAGGCGTGGCGCAGAGTCTGGTGGCTGGTGGCTGGTGGCTGGTGGCTGGGGGCTTATACCGAGTATTCGGCCCAACACACACGGACCTCGGCTCCTCTTCCTCTTCCTCGTCCTCGACCATGTCGCTTCGCTTCGTATACGATCCGCAGAGCTTGGGTTAGTCAGTCGCGGGGGGAAGAACGCGATCGGTCGGGCCGTGCACAGATTGGGAGTGTCGGAGAAAAGGACGAGAGATAGCACTTCGCTCGATATACAATTCTAAAGCTTTTCACGTCCTCACCCTCTCCTCTCCCCAACTGCCACAACCAGTACACGAAAAATCATCCAAAAGAGCCTCGGGAGAGCGCAGCCCCCAAGATGGTTGGAGCGGCAAAGGGGAAAATCACCCTCTACGTCGACATTGTCAGTCCCTTTGCCTACCTGGGATACTATTTTCTGCGCGTGAGTGATTGCCTTGTGTATCCCTGCTTTACAGGTTGCCATTCTATCTCTATACGCCCATCTCGTCCATCTACAGATCAACACCACCAAAGGCGAGGAGGATTTTCTGTCTTCTCCCCTTTGAAAGAAACCTGTCGTCAACGTCCCATATCTCTTGCCCTCAGATATCAAAACCCAACGAGCTGACTCCTTCATGATCACCGGTGGTAAAACCAGCACTCCCCCATCTTCGAGAATGTGCAAATCACCTACATCCCCATCCTGCTGGGCGGGCTGATGAAGCTGTGCAACAACAAGACACCCATCGAGATCCGCAACAAGGACCGCTGGATCGACGCCGAGCGGCTGCGCTGGGCCCGCCAATTCCACATCCCCATGTCCGCGCGGTTTCCCGCCGGCTTCCCCAAGCCCACCATCCAGCTGCAGCGCTTCCTGACCAGTGTCTGGATGGAGGACCAAGGACAGCGACAGCCCACCCTCACCCGCGCCCTGGATACGCTGTACGCGGCGCTGTGGACGGACCCCACCGAAGGCGACATCCCGGACCCGGCGTGTTTCGCGCGCGTCCTGGCCCCCGTGCTCGGCCGGGACGTCGTCGACAGGCACTTGGCGCGACTGGGCGCGGCCGCGGTCAAGAACCAGCTGATCGCGAACACGGACCGCGCCATGGGCGACGGCGCGTTCGGCCTGCCGTGGTTCCAGTGTGAGAACGCAAAGGGCCAGGTCGAGGGGTTCTGGGGGTTCGATCATCTCGGCCAGGTCGTCCGCTTCATGGAGCTGGATGGGAGGGGCGAGGTCAGGGCTTTGCTGTGATCAATCACAGCTGGGGAGAATGGACAAGTGGAGGAAAAATAATGGGGGAGAATGAGACAAAGTGTCGAGTGGCTTGGCCCGAGAAAGGTTGTGTATGAGTGGGTGGAGTGTGTGCATGCAGTCGGCCTTTGGGTAGAAAAAGGGAGAAAGTAAGAGGTTTCTCAGTGCGGCGAGCGTGTGTTTATTGATGGCTGCACTCTTGTCCAAGTAATGTTACCGTGCCGAGATGTTCATCAGGGTCGGCTTCACCTAGTAACCCCGTTATCAAGTGCACTCAATTAGGCCGTTTATGGGCTCCCTCGGAGCGAATCTGAAGATTTGGTGCTTGCAAGACCTCTTCTGATATTATCCATGCGTGTCTCCAGGATACCAGCTCTCCACGATTGAGCCAAGGGCATTTGATGATGACTTGGTTGCCGGAAGGACTTGATTGAAAATAGACGTGCGATGCATTATCCAGCAACAAGCTGGTCGTGTTGGTACCGAAGACTTCCCGCTAGGTTGACTTTGCCGGAGATCGAGATGCGTCGTGCAATTCTCAATCCGGCTACAAGGAAAGTAGGGTCTGTGGGCCAAGATCTGGAAAGATATGATGTTTTCTCCGTTTGCTCAGAAGGTTTGCTGGTGTCGTTATCTGGCCGTGTACCCCCAGCAGCCGTGTTTCGCCGTCGCCGTCTTCGACGTGGGAGTGCTTTTGCGAATCCTCTCAAGTCTCTCGTTCGTATCATCCAATCTTGTCAATCTTCAAGGTGCCCTTTTCCTCCTGTTCTCCGTCTCCCTCGAGAGCAATAAAGTCTCCCTTCTCCAGTCGTCTGGTCCACTTGCTCGCTTCTCCCCGAGCAAGAATGAAGGTCAGCCGCGCACTGGCTTTCTCCATGGCCGTAAAAGCCGTGCCGGGGAGCGGCGTGTATGTCCATCGTCCAAATGCCCAATTCAAGACATACAGACTCTGTCCCTCGGAGTCGACCGCAATGCTGGGTTTTCGATCGCCGGTGGAATCTGGCGGTGGCCGGGAGGAAAGCACGAGCCCCTTGATACGATAGACCTCGTCCTTGGGCGCAGAAAGGAGCAGATCCTCAAAGGATTCAAGCACGACACCCTGGGGCGGTTTGGTCATGTCTTGGTTGGTCACCACCACACTCAGCACTTCGACTTCTTCTTGGTGATGGTGGTGATCTCCGTGCGCATGTTCTTCGTTGAATTCGATGGCTCCCCGCAACCCTTCATCCCGAACCATGGCCCCGTCGATGCCCATGATGACCTCGACATCAACCCAACCCTTTTGACTCTTGACCCAGGCGACTTGGACGTCCAGATCGCCGACGCGGTCCAAGGCATCTTCAAACATTCGCTCATCGACGAGCTCCCACTTGTTGAAAACGATCAGATCGGTGTACTTGGCTTGCATCTTGGCCGTGTAGCTGGTGTCGTCGTAACCCTTCCAGTTTTCTACGTCGATGACGCTGATCACACCGTCGAGAGTAAACGAACCTGGGTTTTCTCGCGACACACGATTGACTTCCATGGCAAGCGTCGCAGGGAAGGCGGAGCCGGACGTTTCGATGATGATTCTGCTGGGTGCCACCGAGTCCTTGAGCTGGAAAAGAGCATCACTCAACTGCCCGACGAGGTTACAGCATATGCATCCGTTCAAGAGCTCGCGGACGCCCGAGATGGAGGCCGAGCCGGCGAGCTGGGAGTCGACCGCAACATCGCCAAACTCGTTCTTCAGCAGGGCAAGCTGTGCTCTTGTCAGAACTCGGGACCAAAGGCAGGGCTGGTCAAGGTTTGGTCGACACCTGTCTGCAGTGGCGGTAGTTTGACGCTTACTTTGTAGGTTCTTGGGAGTTGCGGAATGAGATTGAGAATCAAGGTCGTCTTTCCAGCACCCAGGAACCCTGTAATGATGGTGACTGGAGTCGGTGCCATGGTTGGAGGTGCGTCAAGAAGTGTTGGGAAGAGGCCCGGGAGTAGGAGTGAAAACTTGCGGGTGGATTGATAGGGTTTGGAAGGCAGAGGAAGATGCTACAGAACGGAAGACTGGCTGGAGAAGTGAGCTTGAACGGAGCCGATGGCAATGATGCTTGATGGCGGTGATATACAGAGTGTGAGGTAGAGCCGACAACTTTTTTTGATTGTCATTGACTGCGCTGCGATGTTCCGTCCGGCTCGACTTCCTTATTGATAACAAGACGAAAGGTGACGTCACCCACCTCTAACTACTAGTGTGCTAGTAAGATGACTAACCCGTTTTAGTATATTTGGATATAGCATATGAAAGTCCAGCCTTGTGTCTTCTTGTAAAGGTGAAGCCCTCGTCGTGACCCTCGCCAAGGTTGCTTCCCACGACCCCCACGACCAAAAAGCACAAAAACTCCATCGACAAAAAGTGCAAAAACTTTCCACAGAGCGCTGAACGCTCGGTCTGTGGTAGCGAAACTCGCCCCCTTGCGAGGGTTGGTTTTTCCGTTCCTACTGTGATATGTGTGGTTTACCGTTCAGACTGTTTACAGTCTTGATGCCTGCTAACACGGCGTTAGTTTGAACCTGTCAAGACCTGGATTGCGGGGGATACTTCGGTTAGGGATTGCAATCGAGGTCTGACGCCTGCTACCGCTGTAGTTTGCTCCGATCAGGACCTGGAATGATCCCGAATCGGTCGCTACATTTCGCCCATTCGAACTGATGCCTCTTCCAATGTCCAACCCCGGCCCGGGTGGCAAGGTCTACACAGTCGGTGTGGGGGTCTTTGCGTATTTGAGATAAATGTTGTCTAGTTTAATATTTATTAATGAATTAAAAAATTGTACCTGACCTCAAGGTGAAGTGCCCACAGCCTTGATATGGGCAAGTTGCCCGGCGCGCCTTTCACCAGCACCAGCAAGCCTCGAAGCCCGGACTCTCCGTTTCTGACATACTCTCCATGGCCTACAAGTTTCGGTCTCTCGCCGTCTCATCGGGGTGTGCTACGGAGTGAGGAACCTTCTCAATGAGCTGGATCCCATGGGATTTGATTCCTGCGAACGCTGACCGCTGTGAAGGGACCACCCGGCGACCCCATATCACGGCGATATCGACGACTTTTCTTCAGACATAGCCGGCATGTTTCATCACTAGGGTTACGGTAAGATGTCTTGCTGATTGGATCCAGGTTTGAATCACAAACATTGTTTCTGTCGTCGAGGAGAGGAGGAATGATCGCTCTCATACCGCTGTATATGGCTTTTTATCAGCACTTTCCTACACACATGGGCGCAGGGAGCCATCACCCTAAGCACAAAGCAGGGTGAGCGGCCTGCAATTTTCCTTTAGTACGGCATCTTGTCCACCCAGAATCAATTGAGCCATCCCCCTTTCTCCATTTCTGCTCTGGTCCACTCCTCCAACCTCGCAGCAAGCTCCATATCTTTGGCCATGGCACTCTGCCAGCCGTGTGGATCCGCAATCCTCTGGAAATAAGCACCGCTGTGCTCCCGCTTCATCTCCGGGCTGGCAGCGCAGAAGACGCTCGTCCACGCGCCCTTGTCGCCATCCATCATTCCCCCTACCGCCCTGTATGGTGCAATGATCATCCTCACCAGAAGGGGAAGCTCGGCGTGTTCCCCTAAATTGCTCTGCACCAGACCCGGATGAACGGCCGATGTCCAGATCTCCCCATCCCCAGCTCCGGCGTTTGACGAACCGGGGCCATACAACTTGTTCAGTGTCTTGATGTGGAGGATATTAGCGAGCTTTGACTGGCCATATCGAGCCATGCCGCTGCCAGTTCTCAGAGATGTATCGGCGAAATTGATTCCACCTTTGGGTGCTGAATGATGACCGAAGGACGACAAGTTCACCACTCGCACACTGCCTGGTGGAAGTGTCTTGGAAGTACTGAGCAGCAATGGTAAAAGGTGGGCGGTGAAGACCCAGTGTGCAAGGTAATTTGTCTGCCACTGTGCTTCGTGTCCGTCGTGTGTCATCTCAAAGGGCGTGGCCATTATCCCGGCATTGTTGACCAATCCGTGCAGCGCAGTTTCTTTAGAAAGAAAGAGCTTCGCCGCTGACACCACCGAGGCGAGGGATAGATGGTCCATCTCGAGGACTGTGATGTTAGCCTGCGGATACAAGGACTTGATGCTGGTAATGGCAGTTGCTGCTTTGGTGGGAGACCGGGCGCACATGTAGACGTGGGCGCCATGCTGTGCGAGGCGGGCAACAGTGTGATATCCTCTATGCCAGAGTTAGATCTGCGTGGCAGGACAGAAAGCAGAGGAGAGACTTACATGCCGGAATTTCCACCGGTCACAATGTACACCTTGCCGGTCAGGTCTGGGAGAGAATCAGGGTGGAAAGTCATGGTGTCTCACCACAATGTAGAGCAAAGAATGCGTCGACAGGGGCAACTGAATGCTTCCCCGACCCCAGCATCCTTTATATCGACTCTCGCGAACTCTCTGCACCGTGCTTCTACAACCCCAATCGGCCATGACTGTCCTTGTCACCAGCCAAGTAAAGCCTTGCAAGAGACATCCAGGCACCAGTTTAATTGCGGTCGTTAGCGTGGCCGCAAGCCAGCTGCATAAAGCCAAATCATGACGCCCAGCCTATCGCTTCGAATGCTTCCGGGCCAAGCTTGCACCTCTCTCAGGACATCTCGGCCGTATCTTAAGCGCTTGTGCACATTGTGTATCTACCCTCTGACAAGTCTAGGTAAAGACCAAGTTAGCGGTAAGCAGTCTGCATATATCTTGTGTGAAAAACCAACCAGGTATTAAAGATCGACTTACTCAAACGACTACCAGCCAGCCAGTCAGAGACACGACCCAGAACCTTCGCCAGCGCTAGCATTCGACACAGCCAACAACATCTCCATCGTCACCGTAGCGATCCAGCACTGCCACAGAATGGCAGGCCTCAAGATTTCGGTCCATCGAATGCCACAGCTCGCTGAGGCAATGGAGCGGGACGACGACTGGACCGGCGTCACGGATGCTGCGATTCGGCGGAGGAGGCAGAATCGACTCAACTCGCGAGCTTTCCGTATGCCCTCCTCTCATGCTCTCTGCCCTCTCAATGGTTCTCTGCTGGGCCGTTTAGAGATCTTAGCTGACGGCGAGAGTGTGTTTATTACGTAGGACGGCGCAAAGCATTGGAGTCAGCACGGCCACAAGCCCCGTCGTTATCACTACCACAGTCCCGAATCTGTCATCCTCCCAGCCCACAAGCCCAGAGGGCTTTGAGAGAAGAATGCGAGGTGAAGGGCGAAACCCTCGTTCCATGCTGGATCGAGGCTCGCCAGGCCGTCACATACTTGACAGCATCTAATCTCCCGAATCGGCTGCACGGCCAGAGAAGGCCACTGCTTCCATATACCTCGACACCGGTGAACCTCGACCGAGTCATTTTCCCTCTCTGCCCGGACCATCTGATCATCTTGCTCGAGTACAACGTCCTCCGCGGCTGTCTGGAGAACAGACGGCTCCTCACGGAAGCGTTCCGGGACAAGGCCGACTACAAAGGTATTACTGTTCATCTTGGTTCCAGTCATACTGTCAATGGCAAGGATAAAGGTGAGAGGAGTGGTCATGAAAGTGATGAAGGCGATGGAAGAGAATGGTCCTCCACAGCCCCGACCGTCCTCCCTGCCATCGACGACACCACACATCTCGCGCGCCTTCTTCCGCCATCACTGCGTCCGACACGTCTGCAGAGCACTGTCCCGCACGCCGCGTGGATCGATATCCTCCCGCACCCGGTCTTGAGGGACAATTTGATCCTCGCCACAACTTCGACTACAGAAGGCACGACACAGCCATCCCAGGAATTCGACCCGGATGCCCTCTGGACAGACACGGTCGGCGACCTCTTCTTCGAGACTGGTCCCTCGTCGAACAACAGGTCAACGTCGCTGCCATCGTCATCGGAGCAAGTGGAGGAGGTAGCTGACGCAGTGTTCGCGGGCGGAATAGTCTGGTCGCCGCCCTGGGATGTGAGCGGGTGGGAACTGTCCGAGGGTTTCTGGCGGAAATGGGGGTGGATGATGGAAGGTTGTGCAGGGGAGATTCTGGAGGCGACGAATCGGTGGAGGAGGCGGAGGGGCGAGGAGGAGCTCCAGATCCAGATCGGCAGCTTGTCATGTGTTTAAAGTGTTGTCATTCACGTCGGCGATCTGCCCACGAAGAGCGAGAGTGCAAAAAGGAAAACAAGGGAAAAAAAAAACAACGCGCGTCTGCCCGAGGCTGAGTCTGGTGAGGGAAATGGTGACATCTTGCCCTATTGCAGGGAGACATCGTCTATCAGATCTATTGTCCCTATGGTAAAGGAGAGTGCGATAACAGTAACGAAATTTCCAGCCTCGTCGAGGAGCCTTGTCTCGGCTCCGACGGCTTCACACCAACCACCTTTCCCTGGCTTCTAGAGCTTGCCCCGATCCCCGATCTCTTTGTCACGGATCCACCGCCGCCGGGAGATTTAGTCTAGTCAGTACCCCAGCAAGGCTGAGGCGCCAGGCTCGCTGGAAATGTAAATGACCTCGTGGTCATCACTGAATCCGTTGAACTTGGTCGCCGAGCAGCGGGTGTACGCCCCCATGTTCTCGAAGAACAACCAATCGCCGATCTCGACCACGCCGGGCAAGAAATAGCGCTCGGTGATCACGTCGATGCCGTCGCAGGTGGGGCCCCAGATGGAGTACTCGATCATCTCTGGGACACCGTCTGGCGAGCCGGTGGCGGCAGCAGCGGAAAGAACCTGTGGGACAGGGTGCTGGTGGTCGAAGATGATGTTGGAGAAGTTGCCGTAGACCCCGTCGTTGAGGTAGAGCATGTAGCCCTTCCCTCCCTCGTGATTGGCCGCGACTTCGCGTCTCGCAATGACGTTCGTGGCGAGCGTGAAGGCGTTGGAAGCATAGTAGCGGCCCGGCTCGCCGATGACCCGGATATTGGCGGGGAATTGCTCCTCGAGGGCTTCGATGAGATTTCCTGCAAAGGTTTCGAATGTTTCGTCAACGAAGCCTCCTCCAACATCCAACAGCTTCAGATCGAATCCCAGGAGAGCCGCGTGATCGAACACATCTCGCGCGTCTTTGACCGCCTTTCCGAAAGAGTTCGGGTCGCTCGCCCCGGAGCCTATGTGGAAGCTGACGCCAACCAGATTCAGGTCCAACGCCTTTGCCAGGCCGAGCAATTCCTCCGCGTACTCCAGACTGGCCCCGTACTTTGTGCTAAGCCGGCACGCGCTTGCTGAGTCATCGGTCAAAATTCGGAGCACCAACTCAGCCTCCGGATAGCACTCTTTGATCTTGCGGAGCTCGTCGGTGTTGTCGAAGGTCATCAAGCTGACGCCGGTTTTGCGAGCGTGCCGCAAGTACGACTTGGTCTTGCACGGCTGGGCATAGATGATGCGACTGGGAGAAACGCCAAGCCCCAGCACCAGGTCGATCTCGGCCCTGGACGCACAATCGAATCCAGTGCCCAATTTGGCCAGGAGGCGGAGCACTTCCTTGTCCGGGTTGCATTTGACCGCTGTGACAGTGGTGAGCACATGCATGAGATGGAACAAAGCGGGTCAAACTCACCATAGAACGGCTTGACGCGGCCCAGGTTCATTTTCCAGCGGAGATGCTGGCGGTACACCTCTCCGAGATCCGCCACGTAGAAGGCATCTTCCTCGCCAGGCTCACAAGTGTCAACGTTGATACGAGCAATCTGCTCCTTGAGGACTTTCTGGATCAGTGCCTTGGAGGCTAGACCCGTCACATCGGATTCCACGCCATGATTGGTGTCAACAAAATCGACCTTATCGATTTGGTTGTCAGTCACAACTGTAGTATTGGCTTCTTCAATGGCGATAGCAGAAGGTGCCATAACCATGCAAAATGGCTATGCTGAGAATTTGAGTGAGAGAGAAAAACTCCCCAATAAGTGTTAGGGAGGTTTGCGGGACTCGGATCCTCTGGGAATTTGGCTATGCCTCAGCGACTCTCCCTCACGAGGAGGAAGAACCTCGAGTGGCGACCTATGCGGCAGCTGAAATTGGGGAGAAAGCAGGGCCGGGATGTCAAGGTGAAAGCACAAAGCAGGTCTTGGAGCTTGTGGTTTCAGCAGGAGGCGGGCGAGGCTGATTAACGATGTGACGATGCCGGCAAGCAGATGCACCTTGATAGCGAAGAGCAAACGAAGTCGAAGCCGTGAATGAGGTGCCTTTGGTGGGCCCAAAGGCAGATCCAAGAATTGGTCAACCGAAAGGTGTTGTGGTAAGCTGTGGGAGATTGTGGTGAAAGGGTGAGAGAATGGTGAAGAAGAGCAAGACGGTGAAAGGGTCGATGATTTTGGTGTGTGTCTGCTTAATTTTTTTGTTGCAATGGACGACAACGACACGGTGGTGGGGGGCAAGGCGGTGGATACAGCCAGGGAGTCGCTGTGGGAAGCCCAGCAGGAGAAAAGTCAGATCCCAGCTCGCCAGGCAGTTGAATGACCTCAATCTTTCCCCAGCACTGACGCCAGTGAGACCGATCGGTGATTCAGCTAGCTGCGTTGTCTGCCTGTCGCGTATTGGTCATTTGCTGGTGCTTGGGCGTTGGACGGTTCCTCCGTTGCCGTTCCCGTTCCCGCCAGCAATTTTGATCTCGTTTGAATTTTTTCGTGTTCGTCGTGCGGGATTTTCAGGGACGCGAGCACGTGACTAGCTGGGATGGCCAGTCACCAGTGTGGTTTCCCATGTGCTCGCCTAGCCGAGGAGGTGCCCTATTTCACCGCCATGGAGGAAATCCCAGTCCCGTGTAAGGCAGCATGTGCTCTAGTTCTGGTCGATAGACGCTGGCGGAAGGTCTCAGTTGTGGTTTTGCGATGCGCAACGTATCTTATAGGTGAAGAACTCGGCGGCTGGTTTGTCCACATCTTGATCGGTGTCAATATAGGGGAGCGGAATTGTGAGGGTCTCGACCGTATCGAAGTTGGCCTTGCGCATCCGTGCAAAGAACAAATCATCCTCGGTGTGCCGTCGCTTGAATCCAACCAAAATGAGTGTTTCGGGTGTACGAGCGGCCAGTTGCCTCAGGGTCTCTACCAGGTGCAGACTGCTGTCTGGGTTGTAGATGCAATCGGAAACCAAAATGAGATCGTAATTGGCATTGGAGCTATCATCAAGGCTCGAAGCCCAATCCAACACTTCCGACCGAACCGTAGATCCTGCCATGGGCGCAGCACACCGGATGTTGCTCGCCAAAATCTCCTGCGCGTCCTCCAGGTCGGTAAGGAGAAGGTCGCATTTGACAAGCTGTGCCAAAGCGATTCCAACTATGCCACAGCCCGCACCGAGTTCCAGCACCCTGAGTCGTCTTACCTTGCTGGACTTGAACAGGGCCGCCAACATTGACATTCCATCGACGGGGGACGTAGACAGAGCCTGGGCAAAGTAGGCGAGGAATCCTAGACTCGCATCCCTGGGGTCACCTGTTAAGCAGAATCGGACTGGAGGAAAAGGTAGCCTTACCAGATATGCCGTGCAATGCTGTCGCCAGTCTCCTCCCACATCCTCACGACGCTCCTGTTCGACAAGACAATTCGTCGCTCCACGATTGGGTCCGTCCGCTGTTTGTTAGACAAGAGGAAGACACAACTCCAAACATCCAGGATCTTTGGAATCTCTAACGATTGAGAGGCAGTCTCGGTTTCCTTGGTAGTCACATGGAGCCGCACAGGTCTAGAGATATACTTGCCAGGACAGTGGACGGCGAACTTGAGCGCTCGCGATGAAGCCTGCCACTGGATGGCCTGGGAGCACAGAATGCCATTGGGGTGGTTGGCCTCGACGACATTTGCCAGCAGTTCGACATCCTCACCAAAGAACGCATCACCCAGGTCTGTAGTGACGGCAACGACCGCTGAGATATCGACGGTCTTCTTGCCCACGTCGCTCCGTGGAGTTCGCAAAAAGCGAATGTACTGGACCATAGCTCCCTCCAGGCGGATGGAAATCGAGAAAGAAAGAAAAGTCAGGTTGAGACTGGAGGGAGGAAGAAGTTGATCAGCTGGACGTTGTGGAGCGGCAAAAGTGAGGCGGGCTAGTGCGTGCACGGATAAATAGTATCTCCGAATTCCGGGTCTTGGGCACGTGGGTCGCCCTATAGACGGCCATCCACCTTCTCCGGAACATCACATCCCGCCCACCGCTGTCTTCCCGCCACCCCCAGCACGGAGCCCCCCAGACAATAAACTGACAACCGTCTCTTCAACTACATTGGGCGTCTAGTCATGCGACAGTCGTTGAGTTAAGCATGGCAATTGTGAAGTCATTGCGCATCGATACAGCGCGCGTTCCCATGCCCAATCATTGCGTAACTGCAACTGCGACTGCGCCTGCGCTGCCTCCTTGCCTGCGCCGTGAATGTCCAAGATGAACAACCCCGAGTTCCGCCAGACCCTCCACAACATCTCCCACAACTTCGAATCTGCCAATCAAGCGGCTCAAGAGAACATCTACACCTTCGCCCAACGTTATGTTGACCCTTGCCTTGAAAGCGTCAAATCCTGCATCTACGCGTGCACTGCACCTTGTTTCCCCAACAGAGAGGATAATGTCCGACGAAGAAGGGGCCGGTCGCGTGGTAGAGCTGAATACAACTTTGATTTCTACAATGCTTGGGATGATGACGAGGCGCTTGCCGACAGCTCCTTAGGCTGGGGCGACGATGAGCTGGACAGTCTCCTCGCCGGGCATGGTTCGCGATCTATCCAACCACGAAAACAAAGAGCGATGAGCTATGGTTCTAGAGGCCGAAGGAAACCCTCAGGGCTACAGCCAGACACTGCGCAAGATCCCACGATCATACCAAGCTCGTCATACCTAGGGTTTCTAGAACGTCTCCCATGGAAGATTGGCTCCAGGAAATTACGGTACAAGCCTTCAGCCGCAGACTTGCAGGAAAATCCAGGCGGTACGCGAGTGCGAGACGCTGAGAACCAGCCGTTGATCGAGGAGGCAGACGAAGAAAGTGGTGCCTGGCGAAAGAGTCACGGACGCCAACGAAGCGATACTGCCGCTTCGAGGTCAACCACCAACTCCCTAAGTTCGCGCGGCGACCTGATCATGAGCGATGAGGACGAAGATGCGCAGCCGCTTGACGATGAGTTCGCAGTCATGCTCAGCCGACGCAACACCAACCAAGGTTTCGCCGAAGATCAAAGCAGTGGGAAAACCAAGACATCGGGAGGCAAGCGGCCCGGGGTTTCTCGCAGTTCCACCCGCACAGTCTCGTCAAAGTCGTTAAGAAGTCCCAGTGCCAAAAGCACACAGAGGTCTGCCTCCCAGAAGAATCTGGCGCCGCTGCCTTCTGATGTGGTCGAGGAGCACCCTGAGCCTCCGAGTTTGATGGACCTTCGGCGGGAAGAAGAGCAAGTGGCACAAGAGGAGGAGCTGGAAATCAAACAGAAACGCGAGGCTGCACAGCGCTTAGCTCTACGCAGAGGGCTGAGCTCGCGTGATGTTCAGAACATGACCAATGCGGAAGTTAAACCAGACGACTTGGACGAGACTGGAAGCCAGACGCCGGCAAAGCTGGACGTGTTGGAACCGGATCCTACATCGCCCATCGAATCATCGTCTACAGATGCACAGGCTCGAGAAGAAGACGAGCCGTCGTCGGCAAGCGTAGGACAACCCGATGACGCACAAGATCCTACTTGATCCACGACACGACACCCTAGGTCATTAACACGAAGGCTACTTCATGGCCATTGCCGTTAGATGGCAATGTTCCAAACACGCGAAGATTTCGATCACGAAGCCACGACCAGTCACCTCCCCGACATTGGCTTAACTCACAGAAGACAAAGTTAATGCCTATGACCCGATGAAATATCTCCCCCTGGCTGCATTGCTAGCCACTTACGACTTAATGACGGGGGAGGATGGCTATGAGTGTGTGATGCTTAATATTGTATAGCGCACAGTTGCCACCACACATAGTCTACATAGCCGCTGTACTTGTATTGCTGATGAGCAGGTCTGAAACACCCTTTCTAATTCCCATCCTCTATGTAGACGTTGTTTCTTATCTTCAGAACTGTTGTGGGCGGGGGGCGGGCTTCAGCAAGGCCTTATCTTGTGGCTTTGTTCCTAATCCCAGACGATTGGCTGAGGTGACATCCAAGTCCCAGCATCGCCACTCATTTCGCAGCAGCATGCGCTCCTCCTCTTCATTGCTACTGCGCAGACCACTTGGTTCCTGTCTTCAAACGGAGCTCGCTTCGAACACAAGACTCTCCATGCGACTGCCGATGATGAGACTTACTCCCCGCATATTCATTTCCATCACGATGATCTAAGCTTGAGTTGGACCCAAGCACGAGCGTCCGATCCACTCCCACTGTCAATCGACCTAGGCCCGCCCGCTCCCTCGCGCTGACGGATGGCATGAGCAGTCACAAAATGGAGGACAAGAAAACATGGAGTCCTGAGTCGTCGTCAAACCCTTCCGCCTACGAGGGCGACATGGGGAATGTGCGACGTCCGTTCACACGCCGTCTCACCGAGTCCTTCAGGCGAGATCCCCACGCAAGTGTCACCCGGTCGGCTTCATTCAGTGCTGCCGATGGGAAGGGATATGACGCTGAAGCGGCAGCTCAGGCGACAGCAATGTCACCGTTGCTGAGGCGGCTGAAGGGACGCCATCTACAAATGATTGCAATAGGCGGGAGTATTGGCACTGGTCTTTTCGTGGGCAGTGGGAAAGCGCTGGCTTACGGCGGGCCAGCCTCTTTGTTGTTATCATTTGCTTTGACGGGGTGCATGTTATATTGCACTGTACAGGCGCTGGGAGAACTGTAAATCCCCCAATGGCTCTCCTGAAATTCCTGATGCTAACGACTTGCCCCAGCGCTGTGCTCTTCCCCGTGGCTGGTTCGTTCGCTTCGTACTCGACGAGGTTTCTGGTACGTACCCTTCCCATCCTACGTGCCGCTGCCCGGAGAACTGACGCTTCCTCTTCCAGGACCCTGCTTGGGGGTTCGCCATGGGCTGGAACTATGCCCTGAACTGGCTGACGGTGTTACCCTTGGAGATTGTGAGCGCTTCAATCACGGTGGATTACTGGGTATGGGTCATGCCGGGCGGCGATCGATATTTGGTTGACGGAGACGAGCAGGTTCAAAATATTTCTCTTAACGCTGCCTGGGTTACAATGTTTCTGGTGCTGATTGTTCTGATCAACTTCTTTGGTGTCAAAGGATACGGGGAAGCAGAATTTGTCTTTGCGATCGTCAAGGTTACAGCTGTGATCGGATACATGTGAGTCCTGTCCTCTCTGTGTCGCGGAAAGGGGTCAGTCACACAGAGCTGACGTCTGCCCACAGTCTGCTAGGAGTGCTCATCAATGTCATGGGCGGCGTCGACAGCCATGGAAACCCCGATGCGAGTTACATGGGCTTCCGCCTGTGGCACCATCCAGGGGCATTCCATAACGGCTTCAAGGGGCTATGTAGCACTTTTGTGACAGCGGCATTTGCTTTCGCGGGAACCGAGCTGGTTGGTCTAGCTGCAGCAGAAACGGAAAACCCCAGGAAAGCGCTACCTACTGCTATCAAACAGGTGAGTCTCTTGGTGAGGGTACCTGTGGGTATCTGACTTGGACAACAGGTATTCTGGCGTATCACGCTCTTCTATGTTGTCAGCTTGCTTCTCGTAGGCACGCTCGTACCCTACACCGATCCCCGACTGCTAAATGGCAGAAACAGCGCTGATGCAAAGTCAGTCCTCCTTCCACCATCCTGTGGCCCCTCAGCCTTGCACCCGCCATCTTTTTGCTGACTCGAATTGTAGAGCCTCCCCATTCGTCATTTCAATCCAAAATGCCGGCATCGAAGTCCTCCCATCCGTTATGAATGTCGTCATCATGATATCTGTCCTCTCCGTCGGAAATTCTTCGATCTACGGCTCCTCGCGCACCCTTGCCGCTCTGGCAGAACAATGTCAAGCACCCGCCTTTCTCGCCTACATTGACCGCAAGGGCCGTCCCCTGTATGCAATCATCGTCGCCTCGGTGTTGGGCCTCCTGGCGTACCTGGCGGCGACTCAGAAGCAGCAGGACGCATTCAACTGGATGCTCGCGCTCTCGGGCCTCAGCTCGATCTTTACATGGAGTTCGATCTGCCTGGCGCACATCCGCTTCCGTCACGCCTGGACGCTGCAGGGCCACTCGCTGGACGAACTGGCGTTCCGCTCGCCCGTGGGCATCATCGGGTCCTGGGTCGGGCTCGTCTTCAACATGCTCGTCCTGATCGCGCAGTTCTGGACCGGCTTCGCCCCCGTGGGCTGGCAGCAGATGTCCGTCTCCGACCGCGTGGTCAACTTCTTCCAGGCATACCTGGCCGCGCCCGTGGTCGTGCTGATGTACATCGGCTACAAGCTCTACATGAAGACCGAGATCCTGCGGGCCAGGGACATGGACCTGTTCACGGGCAAGCGCGAGTTCAACGTCCGCGTGCTGGTGCAGGAGGAGCGGGCGGACCGGAAGAGATGGCCCCGCTGGAAGAAACTGTACAAGTTTCTCTGCTGAGACTTTTACTCTCTGCCTCTTGGTTTTGGGAAGGCTGTTTGGGTGCTTGCTTGGTTATGATGTGCCTGACTGAGTATTCGGATCTAAAATGAAGGAGTTTATTATGAGGTTATGCCGAGGGATATTCCAGGTGCTTTTCACGATGATGCGTTGGTGTACAAGTATGTCTCGTCTTAGCAGGCGCGTTCTTCCATTTCTCCTATCTCGGCACTCTCCTTGTGGGCATATATACCAACATTCTTACAGAAGGATGTGGAGAAGAACACAGAAGATGTCAAAGTGAAAAGCATGTACCATTGTTGAAGATTTGGTAAAGTACTGTGCAGCCAACTCGTCAGCTATTGGAAGAGAACCCTGCTTGATCGGTATTTGTACTCCCGCTGCTTGTCCCATCTTGCCTTTGTCAGATTATGTCGTTCGACGTCGTACAGCAGTGACATGATGTATATGTTTTGATTCGTGGACCGGTCTCATTCCTTCGGAAATTTCGTGCGCTTATGTACCTGGGTATGAACGTATATAAGATCTGATCTCCTCGGTCGAACCGCCATGCTCTTGTACAACGCTCATTTAGACAGCCGAGAGCCTTTGATGGCGGCAATGGCGCCCCTGCGGTGCGGGCTCTCGGCAAAGAGCGCCTTGATCAGATCGACCACCTCGTCGGCACTGAACTCCAGGCTCAGCTCGCCCTCGGTCCACAGGTACTTGATGTCGACGAGCGAGCTCTCCAGGATGTTGATCAGGTACTGGAAGCGCAACCAGTTGGAGACGTACACGGCTACCATGGGGACCGGGTCGTGAGGTTGCTCGGCGGTGGTGCCGGTGGTTGCAGCGGCCGCGGCCGCCGGAGGGGTCGAGAGGAAGAGGTCTTCTAGACTGGCGATCTGCTGGCAAAAGGCCGTGAGTCTGCGGGACTCGGGCTCGGAGATGTCGTCCATCTCCTCGACCGAGGAGATCACTTTGGTGATGACCATGGTGACCAGCGAGCCGATGCTTTGCATCAACGCCGACGTCGAGAGGATGGGTTTCCAGTCTTTGTGCAGCGTGCGGATCCGATCCACGACTGAAGACACGGCGTTCTCGATCTCCTGTGAGTATGGAAACTGGGTGCACAGCGTGAATCCTTGCGCCCCTTCCAGCAAATCCCATACGATGATCCGCTGGGTTTCCATCTCTTTCGAGTATGCCATCTTGGCGAACTTCTCCATGGCTTTGATGTCGGTTTGGATATGCGGCATGCCCGCTGGGATGGTCATGTCGCGAAGCCGCTCGGCAATGTAGAGGGAGTCATTGTAGCGGTGGATGTCGGTCAGAGATGAGGATGCACCGTAATAACTGGGCGCCGTGGCGCGGAACATGGCTAGAGCCAGTGTTGGCAGGGCAAGGAGTCCCTTTGATGTTGTTGAAGGGTCGAGGCCCTTGTGTTGGGCTTCCTCGATGGTTTGAGCATCTGAGAGATCCTTGCCTATTATTTCGATGAGGTGGTCTGGGATCTCGCTGATGCTGTAGACTTCAGTCAAGGTAACCTCGTGTTCCAACTCCTGGGGCGGTCGTGCACCATTCGTCTCAGCAGGAACGTCCTGAACCGCCGGCTCCGATCTCGTCTCCGTAGGACTCTCATCATCCCAGCCCCATGCGTCCCCCGCGTCATCCTCGTCATGAGACGCCGCATGGCCATTCTGTTTATCTTCCTTCCCTTCGCTATTCTCTTCCTCATCAAAACCCCAGCCGCTCGTGTCGTCGTCCTCTCCACCCTCGCCTGCCTTTGGTGCTTCTCCTGTCGACGATTTATCCCTGGTATCGTCGTCCCAGCTAGTGTCCCAGTCATTGGGTTCATCATCGCCCGCTTTGGGTTCTTGTGAGGCTGTTGATATGACCTGCCTTTCCACTCGCTCGACCTGTCTGAGGCGACCCTTTGCAGAAGCAAACGCTTTTCGCACAGCGTCCAGCGTAGCTGCTTTGCGTTTGTTCAGCCAAGTACGTTGGATGTCATCCATCCAGTCTTGGAGTTGAGTTTGTCCAGTCCATTGTAATGATTTCAATTTATCCAAAATTACACCCACCCTCTGTTGCAATGTATCGAGTCCATCCAACATAGCAAGGTCTGTTGGTAGCTCCAGAATCAGCCAGTCCGATACCAGGATGCCCATCAGGTCCGTAAGGATTGGGTTCACTGCCGCAGTCTGTATCGTCTTCGGCAGAGAAGTGTGCAGAAAATTTATAAGATCAAGGACAAAATCAAGGATCAAGTCTATAGACGGAAGAGCTGCGCTCAACTCGATCCTCAAGGAATGGTGCTCCAAATGGTAAGCCGAAAGTTTCGATCGGATCGTGCGTTGAAGAGGCTGAACGAGGAGTGCGCGAAGCCTATCCGTTAGAGGGTCAACAGAGTCTTGTGCATCACCCAAGTCGTCAAGAGCTCGGAGAATTGCGTCGGAATTGGTTGTACTGGACTCAAACTCGTTGGGGAGAATGTCAAGGCTCGCTTTCCGCGGCTCTCTCCGAACGACAATCTGAGCATTCAGCTTTGTTTCCAGCTGTATGCGAGTCTTTAGGCGTAACTCATCTCTCAGATCTCGAATAATAGTTGTTGTTCTGGACTTGAATTTGCTTGTAAGCCCGTTGTCCAGCTCTTGCAACTTTGAGGCAGCTCCGCAAGGGTCATCTTTAGCCAAACGCTCCTCGACTTCTCTTATTGACTTCATTGTTAGCGATACATTTTGCAGCTCTTGCCCCAGGGTCTCCGTAAAACCGATCTCCGTGTCGAGGAGTTCAACTTTATGTTGATAGTCTGTTGCCTCGTCTCTCAGAGCTTGGAGTTGCCGGTGTTCCTCCACAATGCGTTTGGACTCGAGTTTGCAGCGGGCGATGTCTTCCTGGACCTTCTTTGCTTGGGAGATCCATTGATCCACCGACCCAGCCTCATCCCTGCTCTTTTCTATAATCTCTTCACTGATCTCATGCCGTGTCTGGGATATTTGGGCAAGAAGTGCAGAGATGATCGCAGAGGACAGATCAGAGGTCAGGAGCTGTTCGGACTGCGGGACACTGCCATGGACTATGGCGTCGCATAGGGAGACGGCCGCGTCTGGTTCATTAGACATGTCTCTGCACGTAGTCTCGGTGGCAGGAGCAGTCGCAGGGGCTTGATCTTTGATTTGTCGTTTCGTCAAAGCCAACATTGCCAACAATTACCTGCGGACAGACCGTGAGGAGATCCACGTTGCAGATTTGGGTCTCTATGCCCCGCCGGAAATTTTTTCACTCCGCAAAATATTGCGGAGTAAAATTGTTTCCTCTGTTCCCATACTTCACGAAACGTCTCTTTCAGTGCCAGATTATCAGCAGCCAGACAGGTGTCGCCCTTCCCCGAAGAGGAAGCGATACTACTCAATGATGGCTGCGCTGTCAGACCCGAGCGGTGCTGGCGCCGCGGGAAGTCATGCGCAAGTACGGGTCAGACTCACCACGCGAGACACAGAACTCGCCGTCGAGGACCTTGCTCCCATTCTCGTTCCAACGTCTTTCCGCCGTCTAACACTCTCTACCCTTGTCAACAGCCTCCTTGAAACCGAGAAGACGATCCCTCTAGAATTCATCGTCAATGGCACCTATCTTCGTACTACCTTGGACGAGTATCTTACGAGCAACGGCATTTCCGCAGAGACGACCCTCACAGTCGAATACGTACGAGCACGCATTCCTCCCCAATACGTGGCATCCTTTGAGCACGACGATTGGGTCAGCGACGTCGACGTCTTGTCCACCAAATCTCCAAGAATTATCACTGCTAGCTATGATGGCTTGTTGAGAGTGTGGAATCCCTCCTCCCAGATTCTCGCGACATCCCCCGGTATGACCCAAGGTGGACACAGATCTTCCATCAAGTCTGCAAAATTCATATCTCCAACTCAAGCAGTGTCGGGCGGGTTTGACCACACTTTAAGATTGTGGAAATACTTAGAGGATCAGGATGGGTTTTCGGCCAACCTCTCGCCACAAGTCGAGCTCTATGGGCACAAATCCTCGGTAGACTCAGTGTGCCCCCATGCTGCCTCTTTTCGCATACTCTCAGCCTCCTCCGACCACTCTGTTGGGATTTGGTCTACCCGGAAATCGGACGCACCCGCAGCACCTGAAGCCTTACTTCCAAAGACAAGAACCAAGGACGGCAAGAGGAGGAAATTGAATAGCGAGGTATCGGTGTCGCAGCGTGGGCCCCTCGCGCTGATGCAGCAGCACACAGGACCAGTCTCCGGAGCCATGTTCGATCTACGTGATCCCACAGTGGCCTATTCCACATCCTGGGACCAAACGGTGCGTACTTGGGATCTAGTCACCGCTTCGCTGGTTGACACTCGAACCACGTCAAGCGCATTGCTCTGCATTGATCATATGCCATCACTTCATCTCATCGCGGCCGGGTCAGTAAGCCGCGTGGTCAAGCTGGTGGACCCACGGACTTCCGCCGCAACAGTCACGGCCATAACCTTAAAGGGCCATAAGAATTCAGTCGTCAGCCTGGCCCGAGATCCTACCAACGACTACACCATCGCCAGTGGCAGCCATGATGGGACATGTAGAGTTTGGGATGTCCGAAGCACCAAACAGGAGAAAGAGGGCGCTGTCGGGCAGAGTCTGTACACATTGCCAAGAGCGAGTCTCAATGGTGCTGCCAGCCCTGCGGTGGGCGATGGTGTCAAAGTTTTTGGAGTGTGTTGGCACAGCGAGGTTGGCATCCTCAGCGCAGGAGAGGACAAAGCCGTGCAGATCAACCGTAGTGACAGCCAGACTTGAAGGTATGTCCCACGGACAATCTCCCCACCACGAGTCACAGGGGAGAGATCACCAGCAACCACACGCTTTGGTTTGACGTTAGCAGAGTTTGCAGTTGGGTCACTGAGAGGTTGACCCGTCAACATGTCAAGCCTTCTGCGGAGGTGGTCAAGCTACAGCAAGCCACAGACGGACAGCCCAGAATGATGGCTCGAAATTAACTCGCCTGGGCTCGGGCTACACTCCGCCCTGCTCGGCAAGATGATGACCCCTTTCCTCTTTGTGCATTTATTATCCGAAAACAAGGTTTCCCCCCATTTGTGGGCAGTGGACACAGTGCGGTGAAAGAGCAAAGCGCAGAAGAGTCTGGCGCTAAAAGACACCGAAAGACGCAAGGATTTCAGGTACCTGGCGGACTTCGAGCAGCGGAGAAGGTTAGCACAGCAAGCCACAACCGGGGACTTACGTATACTGTGCGAAATGACCGGGCGGTCAACATGGACTCGAGCGTCAGGTATTGGCTGCCGCTGGGCGAAAAAGCAACACGTGCATGTCGAAGATCTCGGAGAGGCGGAGATGAAAAGGCCGAAAAGCGTACAAAAGTGGCAGGTCGAGGTGGTGTTGCATGCAGCAACAGAAGCTAGAGGTCTAGCCACATCACAAGAGATCCGGAGGTCTGAGGATGGACAGAGTTTAGCGGGAGATGCCGCGGATCACAGATTGTGAAGGAGTGGATGGAGATGGACGAGGGAGAAGAGGAGGGAAGAGATGAACAACAAGACATGTGGCTATGATGAAAAGGAGCAAGGAGGAAGGGCGTCCTAAGTACCTCGTAAGGGAGAGAGAAAGCAGTCAACACTATCACATCATTCGATGAACCAGTCTAATACCAGATCATTTCAATAATACTCGTACCAACTAGACGAGTGGGCTATGCACTACCGATGAGCAGTGAGCACCAGTATGTCAACTGGACCCCCTTTATTTAAGCTGCGGTGGTTGCATTGGATTATTATTGGGGTGGTTTTGGGCAAGAGTGGCACCGGTGGAGAGAGATGGGCGCCATGGGCACCTAAAATTTTCGTGGGCCGCCCGGTGAACAGGCTGCCCAGCTGTCCGATGGCCCCAAAGAAGCGATCCAAATAAACGGTGGCTGGCCCATCGCAGGGTCTCGTCGAGTCCTGGCCCTCGCGTTCCCCGCCGTGTCTTACTGGCCTCACCTTTTTTTTCAGGCTTGGGTCAAGCGCCCAGGGTACCTGAGCCTCCCTTGCTGCTCGGAGGTGCCCAGTAAACTAGGAGCAGTAGCCCGAACCTCTGTTGGCTCGCACCCCAAATGGTCCAGCTGGCCAGGTGCCCTCCAGCCCGCTAAATGCCATTCATCCATCCACGCACACTACCGACTCGCGACCTGCTGCTGTATGTACCACCTGCGTCTGAACCTGCATCTGCAGTAACCAACCTGCAGCCTGCGCCTGCGCAAATCCAAAACTGGTCGCTCGCTTGTTGTCTGTCCATGATTCAATCCTTTTCACATTTCTTCACTCGTTCACGTCAGTACACACCATCTGCATCCCTCGCACCTGTTCCTCTCCTCCAGCTTTTGGATATCTCAATCGTTGCCTTTGTTGCTCCTCTCCTTCCCGAGTTCGCTTGACAACGGCCCTCTCAGTTTCCCTGGGTCCCCCTACCACCTCGACCACCACCACCCCTGCGGACATTGTCTCGCTTATACAAGTACAAAAATAAATCCATCAATTCAACCATCTGACATAAACACTTGGTCCAGCCACATCCATCATTATCCCCGGTGACGGAACATCAGTTCAGACCTTTGGCACCGGTTCTCTTGGTCGCCCTCTGCTGACGAGAGAAGTTTGGGGGAAAGTCCTAAAACAAACATTGTTGTAGGGCATCCATTATACTGTCCTTCCATGCCATCGGGCATTGGTTGCTGACTACATGCTGTATGCAGGTTACCGTTCACTATCCAACTGCTTTCCATGGTTTCGTCCCTAGCCTTGCACAGCTAAACCTCTTTGCCTCCTGGTTACGGACCGAACAACTCGAACCATCCCGTCAGATACCCTGTCCTTGAATAGTTCCCATTCGGGTGCCGTCGCGTCCCGCCGAAGCCACCTTCATGCCAATCAAGCTGCCCAAGGGATTTCAACGACGGAAATCTTCAGGCCATGCCTTGGACGAGGTGCGCAACCCTCCCGGCGAGGCTTCCTCTTTCCGAGTTCTGGAGAGACCAGCAAGCAAGGGAAAATCGTTCGATGGCGGCAGACACCTAAAGATGGCATCTGTGGGAGGAGCTCCATTGCCGCCGCCAAAAGATCAGTATGACCACGAGGAGGTGGATTTATTTGCAGTGGGCCGCCCAGATGCAAGCAACCGGTACGCGGAGAACACAATCAAGCTCCATGGTGTGAATGGCACAGGACTGACGAGACTGTCTAGGGGTAGTGGTGGCACTGAACGTTCCCATTCGACGGCCCCTAATGACAGTGCCGCATCCTCTGCCCGCCTCAGTACTTCGTCGACAAATCCCTCTTCCATCGACACAAGGTCAGACAAAAATGTTCAAGGAGGCGCTGGAGCGAGACCCTTCAACGACATTCCCGCACCACCTCCTGCCACGACTAGACCTGGCTTTCTTCGCAGCCCTGTCCGAACGTTTTCCTTTGGGGTTGTCAAAGGCAGTCGAGCATCGCCCACTTCGCCAAGCGGTGCTTTACCACCACTGATGGACACCACTAGAAACAGGGCCGTCACATCCAGCACTGCAAGTACGGCCACGCCTCCCAGACTCTTTGATACCGACCTATCACTGGAGAGTTCCGAATTGGACGAGTTCGGAAACATGTTTGACCATATCGGGTCTAGTCCTGACGCGGTCCCGAGCCGGCTTATACACCAAGAGGTACAGAAAGCTCCGACGATTCTCACAATCTTTCATGCTGATGTTTCAAAGGCTTCGATCGCTTCTCCTCCTGCACAGTATCCTCCGACCTCTTACCCAGGCGCCAGCCCCCTTCGTATCAGCCGAGCGCCTCCTCCAAAGCCCATCTCTATCGATCACTCGCAAGTCGTCGAATCCTCTCCCTATTCATGGGCCTCCCACGATTCTAATGATCACTTGATGCGGTCCCCCAGCCCATCCAAGACAATCACACAAGGAAGCCCCATGAAGGCCGGAGAAGCTGGCTCTCACCCGGGAAGATACGGCTCCATGTCAGAATCTACAGTTTCTGCGAAAGGACCAGGAGGCTCAACATCCCTTTCACAAGAGGAGGAACTCCAGCCCTCTCCGTTTTTGCACACCAGGTCTCCGGACAGCAATATGGCCTCGACAAGCCCTGCTAGGGACGGCACTGGGGGATTGTCTCCGAGCTCGACGCATAGTGCCACGTTTGATCCGATCATTGCTGCGGATGCACAGCTTGCCAGCATGTATCAGGAGACCAGACCGGTGCCAGTCAAATCGGTTTCCATGAACAAAGTGATGACGCCTGCTCAGTGGGAACGCTATAAGGAACAAAAGGAGATGGACCGGCGGCTTGGTGCGTTATCTGATGACAGTGCTTCCGAGGCGAGCGAGAACTCGGACGATGACGACGAGATTGAGCGTAGCCGGCAGGCAACAAAGCAACGTCGAAAGCAGGAAGCCCACCTGGCTGTGTACCGACAAAAGATGATGAAGGTAACAGGCGAAGCACCACCCAATCGGTCAATGAGCAGTCTGGGCATGCTGCGACCGGGCGACAATAACTCATCACCGGATCTCAATCGCTTATCACGGATGACCTTGGAATCTAAACAGTCTGGGAAGAGTAGCGGAGAGGAAGAAGAAGAAGACGAGGATGTGCCACTCGGAATTCTCGCGGCACATGGGTTTCCGAACAAAAACAGGCCACCCACACGGCTTGCGAATTCCCCTTCGAACTCCAACTTGCGAAGTGTCAGCCAGAACCAAGGGGCTCCGTCGGTGATCAGCCAAGCTCCTAAAGGAGGGAACTTGCCTGTCTTCGCTCGACAATTGCCCCCCGACCCCTACTATGGAGCCAGCCTCGTCAACCCTTCGAATCGTGAAGCTCTGGGCCTTCACCCTGCCGGCCCCCCTCCTCAAGGAGTTGGCCCTGCCACAGCCCATCCCATCCACCCTGCAGGACTTGTCGGAGTTATTGCCGGGGAAGAACGCGCTAGAGCCGCCCGACGGGGCAGTCCGAACCCTGCTGGCAACTACGACTTACCTCCCATGATGGGACCCCCTCCTGGCATGGTGCGATCGCAGACCACTGGGACTCTGTCTTCAATGGCTTATCCGCCCATGGGAGCAGTGCCACCGATGCCAGGAATGGCGGGCATGCCCGGAATGCCCCCAATGCTGAGTGCTGGGGATCAAGCCCAGATCCAAATGTCGCAACAGATGACGCAAATGATGCAGATGCAGATGCAATGGATGCAGCAAATGTCAAACATGATGGTTGGGCCGATGAATGCACCACCAAACCTACCTCCTCCAGGTCCACAGAACCCTGCATTTGCCCGGCCTCAGTCATTGGCGATGCAGAATCCCCCGCCCCTCCAGGCGAATCAACGGACCATGAGTACTCTCAACCCAAGTATGGCCCCCTGGAATAGCAAGCCACCCCTATTGCCGTCCATTAATGTCAATGGAAATTATGCCCCATCCATCGCACCGTCGGAGCGTAGCAACATTGGCCTGGCTTCCCGATACCGGCCCGTATCGATTGCTCCAGAGCCAGATGTGATGTCTACCCATCGTCGAGCATCGACGTTTACATCAACAACTGCGCGACCTTGGTCTACAATGGATCAAGCACGACGACCGTCCGCGCACGCCACCAAGCCTTCGGTGAACACGCTCGGCCGGAGATCGCCGTTGGCAAACCCGGATGATGAGGATGATGAGCAAGGTTGGGCCGAGATGAAGATGAAGAAAGACAAGAAGCAAAAGACTTGGGCACTCCGAAAAGGGCAGAATGCACTCTCGGAGTTATACGCCAACGCCTCGTAACGAAACCGCATATCGACACCTCGCAGTGTCCAGCAGGGGCGTTCTTATGAAACCATGAGGGCGACTTCAGTGTTTTGGGATTCTGACACGGCAGAGCATATATCAGCACAGCATTCTGGCGGGATCTGGGAAAAAAAGTTATTTTGGGTAATGGTATAAAGAGCGAGAGGAGCCGAAGCTCCACTTTGGATGTATAGAGAGGGCGAGGTGGAACTTCCAGAGACATATTATACGCACAAACTGCATAGTTGTAAAATAATCACAAACCCATCTGTCCTGAGCATCGTCTGTGCGTGGCTTCAAATGCTGTCCGCGGTGGATGAAGACGGGTCGAGAGGGCAAGACGAGCCACGGGAGTGAAGTGCCGAGTGGCTTTGGGCCAACAACGCTCGCCGTATACGAGGTATTCCGCCTTGCAGCCTACAGTAGACGAATATGTCAAATGCGGCTGAAGAAGCTCTGTTTCTCCTCCTCCCACCTTCATCTTCAAGCCGTGGGTATAGCAGAACGGATCTGAGTTGAATATCTCTTTTGGCGAATGCGACCTAGCTATTTTCCACTGAAAAGGCATAGGATTGCCGTCTTGCGCTCGAGGTACGGATCGTTCCGACATCCAACGTTGCGTTGCTATCCAAACGCGCCATGCCCCGCATGTTCTTGCTGGGAATCCTGCTTTCCATCCTGATCTACCCTTTCCCTCGATCTCATGTCAGTGGTCTTCCCTTGCCGAACGTCGACCACCGCTGGCAAGTACAGCAGCAACACTTGACTTCCTCCACTTCCTGTGTTTTAGAGGGCAACTCAGAACTCTACGGCCTGGGCATCCGACTGGGTGTCTATTTCCAGCTCATTTCAACGCTGCTCGCCAACCACTTTCTGCCCGACGCTCTCCGCGAAGCATGGGACGCCAATACCATCTTCCTCACCTCCATCCTAATTGCCATTGTCAAGTCGTCGGTTCGCGTGGGGGATCTAACGGCTCCAGAGGCTTTTGTCATGCTGCAGATGCTGTTCGCATTTCTCCTCGCGGTATATCATGTGGGATCGAGCACAAAATGGGTTTTCTTCGAACTAATGAGACATAGCCTGGAATTTCCAGGCACAAAAATTGGCGACAATCTAATGCACTCCCTTTCGGAGCTGGGAAGGGCCAAGAAAGATGTGTCTCCCCTCGGGACAATGTTACGTCGATTCCTCACCATTGCAATAGCGGCGTACAATGTATGGTTCTGGTTTACCGGCAGCTTTTTTCTCGATAGAGATCGCGCTTGCCAGTCGGCCATGTTCCTGTTTGCAAGATTGAATCTACACGGAAGTCCCCAAGTCCTATTCCGGCTACTTAGCACTCTTTATCTTCTGTACCAGGCCTTTCTACTTCCTGGGACCATGGGCTGGTATTGGTACGCTCTCATTCGGCTACTCCACCACTATCGGCCTGAAAGTTTGAAGAAGCCGCCGCCGAGCTTTTGGGAGATGTGTTTAATCCGCAATTTGGATCCTAGGAGGGAATCTGAGAAACAGACGGAGAATTTGGCTACAAAAGGAGACGAACCCGAATGGTAAGAATTCCGACACAGTGTGGCAGTCCCCGCTCTCCTGCTAACTAACGTCTTATAGGAGGAAAGTCCGCCAAACGCTAGACAAACGACTCTATATTCATACAGCTTTCACAGCCTTATGGCACGGGGTCACTTTTACTACCAGCTTATCTTTCATCATTTGGTCTATACTTACCATTGAGTTCACGTTGATTTGGAATAATGCGCAAGACGTCTACAGCATTAGCTCGACCGGCCAGCTCATTCCCTTCATTGTGGGATTCGCGGGAATACTTAAAACTTTGTTTTCTCTATTTTTAATCGTCTGGTATAAGGGAGGTCTGCTTAGTCCGCGTCTTTATGTCTTAGTACTAACGTCTGGGTAGACAGCTAGAAAGCCACCAAAACCTGAGCAAGTGCTTCAGAAGGATTCGGCTGTCTGGAAATACCGATTAAACAATGCCGAATACGCAGTCTTTCATGCCGGATTCCCTCAAAGGAGGCGGAGCTTTGACGATAGAAACACACGGCCCTCCCTACACGGCTTGGACAAGCGTAGAAACGCTAAAACAGATCGCCTTGCACCTGTATATCCCATTCCGAAAGACGACGAAAATTATCGCCCTGGTAATCTTCCAGGGAAATCCAATATCTGGATTGTTCCGCAGTCCGGCCGCTTCCTCTATTGGACCAAGGAAAAGAAAAGCCTACACATCTTTCATAGTTATACACTCACACGTCGAATCAGTCTGGACGACGTCGGCGCCTTTCAGCAGAGCGCATTACCCACACCACACCCTGCGCGACTAGGGACCTGGTTACCGTTATCTCTGTACAAAGACCATCAAGAGAATGAATCCAATCGACCTCGCTGGCTCCGACATCAGCAAGCTGAATTTCACAAGGCCGTAAGTAAAGATAAAGGAAGAGATAAACTGACCGGTGCCGATTCGAATCATGAACGACACTTCTGGCTTCCGGGTGACGTCGATTCCCGGTCATTTTGCACACTATCTTCTATGGATTTAGAACCAGACACGGTCGCTCCAAAGCCGCGAAGATGGAGCTTCGACGAAAAGGATATTGCATATCCAGGGTACGAAGACCCTAATGATCGCTACCCTTTCGAGACCGAATCGGCCGGCGCCTTCGAGCTTGATATACTGCACTCTCAACGCCCCGTCCTCCCGCCTGGAGCATATTTTCCGACGAAAGCTTCACGCTTATCCAGCAGCACAAGAAGCTTCTACGATATTGGTTTATATCCAGAGTACGAAGACCCTGATGATCGCTACTATTTCGAGTCCCGGTTGGCCGGCGCCGTCGCGCTTGATATACTGCACTCTCAACGCCCCGTACTCCCGCCTGGAGCATATTTTCCGACGACAGCTTCACGCTCATCCAGCAGCACTAGAAGCTTCTACAATATTGGTTCCCACACAACATCTTCAAGCAGGGGCAGGAATTGGACTCGAAGATCTGGCAGCCCGACATCAGGTGCGCCTCGCACAGACTCCGGATCCAGACGCCGTGGTCATGGAGTTGTACGATCTCCATCCATTGTGGGTTCCACAAGCCCGGCGAGGACGACTCACGGTAATCGGCGCGGGCTGCTAGCGCCCGTGTTCACCGTCTTTAGGGCGATCTTCAAGGTGGTCATCAAGCTAGCTTATCGCTTGCTCCAAACTGTGGCCGTTATCTTCAATATCGTTTTCTTATGCGCCCCTTTCCGCGCAGCCGGACGCTGCTTTCGCCGAAGACAGACAGTTCGCTCGTGGTCACGACGATTTCCCCGCAAGCCCTCCCACCTCCGCGCTCACGCCGGGCCGGAGAGCGTAGGGTTCAAATATGCATCCCAATCCACCCGTCGCCGCTGCATGTGTCCCTACTGTGATGCAGATTTCAGGCTCGACGATCGTCGACGTAGATGGCTTCATCTACCGCCGCCAAATCCGCCGCCTCGGTGGGCACGACACTGGCCGCTGTCGCTGTTGGAGGGCACAAAGCCGACTTCGAGCCTATCAGAGGACGACTCGAGACCGAGTTATGTATTCAGACCCTCGTACACCAAAGACTTTGTGAACCGACTGTTACAGAGGAGGGAAAGCAGATGGCTGGAAGCTTTGGCTAGCTGGGAGAGAGAGATAGAGATGTTGCGGTATGCGCAAAATGCCGCTCGGGAAGCTGAGACGGAAGGGGACGACAAGGAAAACCGAGAGGCTTATGAGCCGATTGAACAGACAAGAAACCTGTCTCCATAGTCATATACCTTGCAAGGTGTGAATCCCGCCTTATGCCTCAATGGTTCCGCACTCTTTCCGTAAGCACTCAGAGGAATCCTTGGCTGGCTCGAGTTGGGACATCACCGTCCTCGCAACTGGTGTGGACGCGTCCAGGGGCCGTCCCGACCCTGTCCTCGGACTGCGGCTCAAGATCGTCGTCACGGACACGGTGCAATATGGCGACGAGATCGCCCGCAGGGGGGCGCCGGGGTTTGGACTGGTAGGACGTGGTTTCGCTGTATCTGGCGGGTGGTTGACCGACCTCTGCAAGCCCAGCATATTCTGGGAGAGACGGCTTTTCGGAGCTTCTTGATCATCCCGTGTCTGTGTTTCGAGCGAATCACAGATTTAAGGTCCTCAGTTGCCTAGACACATCAGCGTGCCAAAACGTGCTCAGATTGGTCCCACCAGCAGGTTGAGCAGATTTGTACCAGCTGGATTGGGATATAGATCCTGGCCCCCCTCCCAATGATGCCATTGACAACAACGGTGTTACCTGCGGCTTATAAGGATGTAAGTACTTGACCATCCATTTTGACCTTCCTCCCGCTTTTGGGCCATCTCGTTTGCTAGAACAGAAAAGCTCCCAACAGTATCCCTGCCCGACGCCGTCCAGCAGACCCCAGCTATTACAAGATGCCTGTGGCCTATGAGTTACCTCAACTTCAGTACAGCCTCGATGTACGTGCTCTGATAGGTTTTAGCTTGCCTTGCACCCGGCCACCCCACCTCGCTCAAGACCATTTTCATGACCGGGACGGTGGACTGACCGAACTCCTTCTCCACAGGCGCTGGAGCCCTCCATATCGGGGCAGATAATGGATCTTCACTACAACAAGCATCACCGAACGTACATCACCAACTTGAATGCCGCGCTCGGGGCCCAAGCGGAAGCCGCCTCTGCCAACAACCTGGTCAAGCAACTCGAGCTCCAAGCCGCCATCAACTTCAACGCCGGCGGACACATCAACCACACGCTCTTCTGGGAATCACTCGCCCCCGCTTCAAGCGGGCTCAACGTCCTCTCCGGCGTCGCTCCCACCCTCAACGAGGCCATCACGAAACGATGGGCCAGCTTCGAGTCCTTCAAGGCGGCTTTCGAGTCCTCTGCTTTGGCGATACAAGGGTCTGGCTGGCAATGGCTGGTCCAGGATCCGCAGACGAAGGCCCTGGAGCTGACCACGAGCAAGGATCAAGATCTGCCCAAGGGCGGGAAGGGGATCGTGCTGGGCGTCGACATGTGGGAGCATGCGTACTATCTCCAATACTTCAACAACAAGAAGGAATATCTCGGCAAGATCTGGGACGTGATAAACTGGCAGGTCGCCGAGAAGAGGTACAAGGGCGATCCAAGAGCTGCCTTTGGATCGTTGGCTGGGTTGGCTGGACATCTGTAGCGCTATTAGTAGTAGCAGATGCGGGAAGATGCTCCATCTCCCTTTGCTTGGTGACTACTACTCACAAGCACCTGCCGCCTAAGACGATGATGAACTCGACCCCTTTTTCCTCTCCGCAACATCTTGCACAAGTTTCTCCTCCATGGCTTCCCACTCCTCCTCGGTTTCAGGCGGATTCTTCAGTAGCGCGGCAAGCATGACTCGATGTGCGGGAATCGGCTTCATCGCCGCGGGCCATGTTCTTCCCTCTGGAAACAGCAACGACTCGGCATCCACGCCCTGTTCTTCTTCGCCCTCTCCCTGTCGAAGCCGTGCCTCTTTCTGCATCTTCCCGTGCTCAGACATATATTTCGGATTCCCCTGGTGTCGTTTCGAATTTCCATGGCCCAATAAGAGTGACATCCGGAGCGCGTTTCTCATGGCCTCGTTGGCGGGGGAGGGCGACTTGGAAGATCCGGGATACTGGACTAAGGTAATGTCCGTGAATTGGTCGGGGCCGGGACAAGCCTCGCCGTCCATGATTCCGTGCACATAGGCAGTGCCAACGAACGCATACTGTCGGTGGGCGCCGTGGGACGGTGTCGTGGCGCCACTTGTATTCTGAGTGTTTGCTGGGGGCATCGGGCGAAGAACAACGGGCAGCTTGGACCCTTGCAGCAGCCAGACTTGATCCCCAGCCATGACCTCCTTCTCTTGCCCAAAGACCGTGGAAATACCCAGGCCCAGCCTCTTGTCCTTTGTGGCGAAGAGTTTTTTGGACTGCGTCCTGCCCAGCACGGTGGAAGCAATCTCGGTGAACTTGGCAGGCGGCTCCCGGGAAGCCCAATCTCGCGTCGTGGGCGGGATGTTCTTGCCAATCCAGTTAATCCAACCGTACAACAGTTTAATGTCGTCCGAGGTCGCTCGGCGGTTGTAGCCATCACTTTGCGTGAACGTGTCTCCGATGAGCGTCCGGCCATAAACCTCCACAAGGGGGTCTTGCGGGTCTATCGTCGTCTGCTCGACCGCTCCGGCGCCACACTGCCTCTGGGCGAGATCGAAACCCTCGTTGACCCAGCTGAGGAACAATGCCCGCGAGAGACTCTCCGGGATACGAGGCCCGGTCACATGCGTCACCGCGTCCAGATGATGTCCGCGCACCTCGAGACCCAATTCTGCATTCAGATTGACCTTGAAGTCGGTGGCGGTGCATGCGTTAAACAGCTTCCAGGCGTAGGGCTGTGGGTTGAAAGGAGCCTTTTCGGCAAAATCATGGCACCAGGAAGGGAGGTCCTCGGCACGACATTGCCTATCTGCGAGGGATAGGAGTTGGAGGTTCTCCGAATCTCGCATGATCTTGAAGGCTGCACGCGTGTAGACTTGAGCAACCGATAATTGGTAGTCTGGGCGAAGCAAGTCATCATCTCGCTGGTCCGGTGCGAGACCAAGGAGTCCATATATCTGGTCTCGTGGATCGGTGGCCTCCCTGAAGTCGATACCGGCCAGAAGCGTCTTGGACAACTGGGTGACATCACGTGTTCCACATGTCGTTCTCATCTTCTCAAAATCGGCAATGTGGTTCAGGCTGCCCAAGATGCTGAAGATGTTTGACCACCTGTTGTTGGCATTGGCCGCGCAGTGTTGGTAACAGCAGCCGTAGTAGTGCTTGGCCATGAATCTTGCCGCGCTGACGACGGTCTCGAAGGCAATGATATGCCGTCCGTAGTGGATTCGCACCCGCTTGCCCAAAACAATCTCCTGGACAATCCAGACGCGGCTCCAGTACGGACTCGTCAGCAGGTCGATGAGAGCGCCGCTGCTTTGTTGCCATAGCTCTGAGGGATAAACGCCTATGTTGAACTCTGGATATCGAGGGTCCTGGAAGAACGGCAGTGAATTGAGGTGGCTGTCCTTTGCAAGTAGAGTCAAGACAGAAAAAGCCCCAACCACCGGCCAGTCTTTGAACGTCTTCTCGTCGGTGAAGAACTTTCTCATGACGGCTAGGTCGCTGTCTTCATGACCCCATTCGATGACGGGCAGGTCGTATTCTGGCCGAGGAGAACTGGATGCGCCTCCTGTGCCTGATGCTTGGTCCCTAGACTTGGACTTGGGTTCTCCCAGCCACGTCAAGACTTGGGACGCTCGTCCATAGATTTCTGCCATCATGCCCACCTGACGGGACTTTTCTTGATAGTCCTGTTGGTTGATACAAATTGCGTCAACCCACAGGACACGCGAAGTGTCCCTGTGGCGCAACCTGCGGAGTGCCAATGCAAGATTGACCGTTACCTTGCAGCGGTGATTTTCTATGTCGATCTCAGACACCTTTTCAGGGTCGCTCCACGCATATGACAGTGCCTGGAGATCGTCAGCCGCCTCGAATTTCCTGTCGTCCCTTATATCAGACACATTACCTCGTACTGAATGTCCTCGGCCAACGCGACTTTGCGGATCCTGCACACGATGCCTTCGTCAGGCTCGCCCGGCATCACTTCAATGATGCGAATCTCGGCCGATCCGATGGTGAAGCTGTCATACAATGCCTTCGGAATATATGTCTTCCCGATCGGCTTAGGGCCGTCCTTGTCATCCAGCTTCACGCCTGCCTCCTTGAAAATCTTTTCCAGCATCGGCCCCTGTTCAAGCAACTCCCGTGAGGTCTCTGCCCTCGACAGAGTGCCCTGTATACGCTCCCTAGTTTCCGATGGCGGAAGTTCAGCCACGGCGAATTTCGCATTGGATATCAAACGGTTGAGACCAGCCCTCGCGTCGCTACCACGCAGCGCCTCTGCAGAATATTGAACCAATTTCTGGAGCATGACGTGTCTGACGAGCTCTCCGGCGTCTGGGGCCTTGAGGGCTTTCTCAAACAGGCCAACCGCTTTCTCGATGTCGTCGGTGGCTTTGGTCCGTGAGAACCGGCTGTGAAACGCCTCGCCCAACACTATTTCTGTCTGCGGTAGAAGATCGTGATGGGCGTCGATAAGTCCGTTGATGTAGTGAATGACGTGGTCCAAGTCTTCGTTGCTCTTGCTCAATTCGAACCGGGCCCAATACGCCCAGCTGAGACGTTGCACGAAGTAATTATGTGCTGGTCCTCCCTTGGGGGCAGCATCTGCGGCTGCCTGTATGGCCGCGATGTATTCCTCTGTCGACTCGGGACCCTGTACTGTGATGGCTTTTGTCTGAGCATAGAAGACCAGGGTGTCCGCATACTGCGTGATAGCTTCATGGCCGGCGGGAAGTTCATTCAGAGCTTCTCGAGCATATCGGATCGCGTCCTCTAAAATGCCGAGGGCCTTATTGCAGCGCCAATCGACAAAGAATTGCTGTGCCAAGCTGTGCAACGACTGTGCTTTTTCCACCGGGTCTTGATGAGGAGAGTCCGGATGCGGCTTGGATCTAGCCTCGTCTTGGATAGCTTGGCCTTCTGGGCCGATGGCAGGATCAACCGACACTGAACTCATGCTCAAGCCGGGGGATGAGAGTCGTGGTCAACTCGAGGCCGCCGTGCTAGAGAGGAGATGGAAACGGTCAACGGAAAAAATGAAGGTGGACGATAGGAGCAGTCCTGGGAGGCAATGCGGCTGAGGAAGCCCAGGCGCCAATCTTGGAGGCTGAAACATGCCGACGCCTTCTGTGCGCGCACACGTCGAACTTGGATGGTCGGACAACATACAGTTCCACCGCAAAGGTTCGCGACCCGGCATGTGCTTTTTCTCATTTTACACGTCCTGTCCTGTGTCAACGAGCCAGAACTTCTCGCCCACGATTTGATATCTCACATGGCAAGGCTGAAGTGCAAGGCTAGAGTGACAAGGCTGCCGTAGGCACATGGCATTAAGACCTCGGCCAAAATCTTGGCATCAAGCGAGGATATCTTCCTTGTTTCCTCTCTTCAGCTTACAATCCTCGTTCACAGGCAATGCATACATCTAAGTCATACCCTTTCACTGGGCGTCTAGGCTTTACCGTGTGCCATGCCATCACTTGAAAGGTATTTCCATCGCGTACGCATGCCACGACTCTTTCTTTCTCCTCTCGTTAGCTTATTTCGAATGTCTCCGCCTCGAAAAGTCTCCGTTACTAGTTCGAACGTCCAACGTCGGTAGAAAGAAAACATGCTGGATACCCTCTAGTATCCCCGCGCTTGTCTGGGCGGCCATTCGCATTAGAATCCGAGTCATGTGTGCGCGATCCTCGGGGACTTTTATGGCTTGCGAGATACTACACGGCGCGGGGGTTTCTTGACTTTGAGATACTCCATTGGCGGGGATGAAGGTCCTCACTTTTGCCTCCATGGCAAGACTCTCAGACAGTCTCGAGTCCGATCTGGCTGGGCAAGAGGTTACCTGTCATATATCTGTGAGCCTCCGTCTTTGCTTGAGTCAATTTCGTTCTGGAATCAACTGGAATCAACTGAGGCAGAAAATACTTTTCTACTAGTCCAATCCAAGCGCAGTTGACCTATACACAGAAACAGAATGGGCGATATCACAGCTCGCAACCGTGAGCATTTCAAGTATGATGATCCTTTGCGGAACCCGTCTGACAATGGGATGTTGGACTAAGATTCGGGTGTTTTTAGTCAGGTTGCTTCGAGCCACCTGAACGACTGGGCACCTCTCATACAGACAGTCATTGAGGAGTTGAGGGAGAGGAGATCATGGATCAGTGGCAAGTTGGGCGACAACAACACGTCCGAGAAGGATACGGGGCCAGTCAAGCTGCTGGACTACGCCTGTGGCTCTGGGACAGTCTCCAAGGCACGTATTCCATCTCGCGTCAGGAGGAATGGAACAGACATCGCTGACGGCACCCGGCTTGTGCCAACAGGCCCTAGCTCCCTATGTCGACGAAACAGTAGGCCTCGATCTGTCTGACAATATGGTCGCTGAGTACAACAAATGGGCGCAAGGACAAGGTTTCTCTCATGCCAAAGCCCACGCACTCCAGTTCGATCTCCTCGCCGAGCCGCAGTCCACCGACCCGGCGCTCTCTGACTTCGACGTGGCGGTCGTGTGCATGGCGCTCCACCACGTCGCTGACCCGGAAGCACTTCTGTGTAGACTATCCAAGACGTTGCGGCCAGGAGGCGTGTGCGTGGTCTTTGATAGGGTTCATTCCGAAGAGAGGCCTGAATTGCGCGCGGACCTGCCTGAGGAAGCGACCAAAGTCCTGCAAACCATCCACAAGCACGGGTTCACGGAAGAGGATATGCGCAAGTACTTCGAAGCCGCCGGGATGAGCAAGAACTTTGAGCATGTGGTCATCGCGCGGCCGTTCAAGGTGAAGATGTTCGGCCAGGAGATGGAGCTGAAGGGCTTCATAGCACGAGGCGAGGCTGCTTGAACCTATGGGGTGACGTCTTGATTTAGCTAGAGCTTGCTACCGATAGGTACCTTTGCAGGGGCTCTTGACTAGATTAGGGGGAGCGCTTAGGGGTACCTTTAACTAGCCTTAACTAGGCATCTAGGTATGCTGGGGGCGGTTCTACTTTTGGTAAGTTAAATTAGGGATGCCCAACCATGCCAATTAGGGCGCTCCCATCTCGAAGGGAATATAAAAGCGGCATGGCGTGGCTGAGTCGCACGTGATCTCAATTCTGCCTGCCACATGCCAAGAAGTGAAGTCTTGGACTTGTCCCTCCTGTCCCTCCAGCCCTCGTGGGACTCACCGAGTCACCGACGAGCCAAACCCATTGATTGACTTGGCTGGCGGCTGGCGAAACACCATCACCACGAGCAAGTCCTTTCTGCCTTGCCTCTTCACCCGTTGGTTCCTTTAGCGAGGCAGCCCCAACTCAAACCAAGCGAATGTTAGACGAACACGAGGTCCTTGCTGTCTTGACCGGAAACCCCTCCACATTCGTTGCACGGGCTTCATCGACTTCACCCTTCATTGTGCTCTCTTACTGTCGTTTGTTTCCGGCACTTTCTGCCCAGTCGAGGCGTTGCTCAGTGGATTGACCAAGGAAGAAGAGACAAACAAATATCAGATCGGACGACTGGTGAGTTGATGATAAGCGAAGGACTATCCTTGGTGATGGATTGAAGCCTGATGCTGTTCCACCCCGTCTGATCACTCTGCTTGGGAGATTATCTGGTGCCTAGGGGCTACCTGGAGTCCATGCACGCGAAGCTTGCCATCCTCCTCACCTCCCTGCTTGTTTGCTTTCTGGCGACGCTGTTTTCGAGCACGCTCGACCACGTCTTCTCGCAGCTGATCAACGGCAAAGACCAACCTGCTAATTTGAAGTGGGGAGTTCAGCAGCAGATCTCACAGCTTTTGGATCAGGCGCTTACCAAGATCCCCTCTTTCGCTAGCATGGTCTCCATCCGGGCAAAGCCCCGCTTCCGACAACGCCAAAGAATCGATCCAGATTACTGCCCCTGCACCATCACCCAGTATGAGTCTGAGCGCACTGGCATGCGAGTCGTCGTCGTGGACCAGGAAGGCCCCAAGTTGCATGGCTTCTTCGTTCTCGCCACCGAGATTCATGATGACTCGGGGGCACCGCATACGTTAGAGCATTTGTGCTTTATGGGCTCCAAGAGCTACAAGTACAAAGGCTTCTTGGATAAACTCGCCACACGTGCCTATGCTGGCACCAATGCGTGGACAGCTACTGACCACACAGCATACACTCTAGAAACCGCCGGCTGGGCAGGCTTCGCTCAGATTCTACCCGTCTACCTGGAACACGTAATCTTGCCAACATTGACAGACGCCGGCTGCACGACAGAAGTGCATCATGTTGATGGAAGTGGCAATGATGCCGGCGTCGTGTACTCGGAGATGCAGGGCGTCCAAAACATGGCGTCGGAACTGATCGAGCTGCAATCCAAAAAGATTCTTTATCCTGAGGGGGTAGGCTATCGCTACGAGACAGGCGGGATGCTGGAGCAACTCCGTGTCCTGACGGCTGACCGTATTCGAGAATTCCACCGGGAGATGTATCAACCCAAAAATCTCTGTGTTGCTATCTTCGGGGAAGCAAATCATGACGAGTTGCTGGCCATTCTGGACGAATTCGAAACATCAATCTTACCCGACATTCCGAGTCCAGATGCTCCCTTCAAACGACCCTGGATCGAGTCTAAACTTGCGCCCGCATTGAATCAAACGACTCTGTTGAGAGTCGAGTTTCCCGAGGAGGACGAATCTTTCGGTGAGGTCGACATCCGATTCTTGGGTCCCAATTGCGCCGATGCTCTGGAACTAGGGGCCCTCAACGTTGCCCTCAACTATCTTGCCGGCTCTTCGGCCGCAGTGCTTGACCATGTCCTTGTGGAAAAGGAGCAGTTGGCAAGCAGCGTCTACTATCAGCTCGACAGCCGCCCGCGAACCGAAATCCAGTTTTCCTTGTCCAGCGTCGAGACCAAGCGGTTGGAAGAGGTTGAGAAACGCTTCTTTGAGGTGTTGAAGGAAGCCATGGAACAGCCACTGAATATGGATTTCATGAAAGATTGCATCGACCGTGTGGTGAGAACCACTAAATACAATGCCGAGGGCTCCGCCACCGCGTTTGCCGATTTCATCATCTCCGACTATCTTTACGGCAAGAGAGATGGGTCGACCTTGGAAATTGTAAAGTCATTGAAACATTATACCCAAGCCCTGGCAAGCTGGACGGAAGACCAGTGGAAAGCCTACATCAAGAAGTACATTTCAGATGCACCTCATGTGTCGATCCTGGGAGTTCCTTCCGCACGGTTATCAGAGAAGCTAAAGACGGATGAGGCCAATCGAATTGAAGAGCAGAAAGCAAGGTTAGGGCCGGAGGGACTGAAGAGAATGCAAGAAAAACTTGATGCGGCAAAGGCTGAGAACGACCGCGAAATCCCAAGGGACTTGCTAGGGAAGTTCAAAGTGCCCTTGACGGATTCAATCCATTTTGTGACAATCCCTGGCGCTCGAGCAGGCCGGGCGTTGGACCTAGGACGACGGGATAACAGGTTCCAGAAAATCATTGATGAGGATGCAAAAGATGTCCCACTCTTCATCAATTTCGAGCACATTCCAACCAACTTCACCCGCGTCCACTTGATCATCTCTACCGAGACTCTCCCCGACGACCTTCGACCCCTTCTGGCTATCTATATGGAAGCCTTCTGGAGCTTGCCGATCAAACGAGGCGACGAGATTATCGACTTCCGTCAAGTGGTAACCGAGCTCGAGCGGGACACCGTAGGCTATTCAATTGATGCGGCAAACAATCTAGGCAACGTCGAAGGTATCCGGATAAGTTTCCAGGTGGAGAGGGAACGGTACGGAGTGGCCGTCAAGTGGTTGACTGAATTGCTCTACAACTCCATCTTCGACGTGGAGCGGCTCAGGGCTGTCAATACTCGTCTTCTTGCGGACGTGCCCGACGCGAAGCGCAGCGGGGATGACATGATGATGACAGTTCACTTCATGACACACCTGGCCCCCAAATCGATAACCCGCGCAAGGACTATACTGGTCAAGGCGCTCTACCTGAAGCGTATCAGGCACTTGCTCAAGGTTGACCCGGAGCGAGTGGTGAGCCAGCTGGAAAGACTACGCAATTTACTGTGCCGCTTTGAAAATTATCGGATCCTGGTCATTACTGACCTCGAAAAGACTCAAAAGCCCGTGAGCACTTGGCAGCCCTTCCTGGAGAAGTTGGAACCGACAAAAGAGTTGAATCCTATTGGCCGCCGCATCGATAGGCTCAGCGACGCTGGCAAGAACCCCGGGAAACTGGCGTACGTCGTGCCCATGCCCACAATCGACTCGTCCTTTGCATTCGCCGTGGCGCGTGGACCGACTTCCTACGACGACCCGCAGCTGCCGGCCATAATGGTCGCATTGGCATATATGAATGCCGTCGAGGGACCACTCTGGGTGGCTGTGCGGGGCACTGGCCTAGCTTATGGAACTAACATGGGTTTCGACATCGAATCTGGGTTTATCCACATAGACGTCTACCGGTCGCCCGATGCATACAAGGCATTCGAGGCATCCCGGAAGATCATTTCTGATTACATGACCGGAGCTGTTGATTTTGACCCGCTCATGTTGGAAGGAGCAATCAGTTCTATCGTGGTGATGTTTGCCAATGAGCAGGCAACGCTGGCAGGTGCCGCCGCGATGAGTTTCATTCGCAGCATAATGCAACGTCTGCCCGACGATCATATGCAAAGAATGTTGAAGCGGGTGAGGGAAGTGAGCGTGCAAGACATCAAGGATGCGCTTGAGAAAGTGGTATTCAATGTTTTCGTACCTGAGAAGGCGGATATCGTGGTGACTTGTGCGCCGGGACTGAAGGAGGTGAGTTTTCGTAATCCTTTGTTGAACATGTTCTTGGGTCGAATTCGTCCGCGGCCTCACTATGCGCGAAAAGATGTGGACCCTCTACAATTTCCCAGGCCAGATGAGCTGACCATATATGTGACAACAGGGCATTGCGGGTGGCTTAAAAGACGCGGGATTTTCTCCCGAAATCCGCGATCTCAATTACTTCCAGGATGATTATGGATTGAAGCCCATTGATGGCGAGGATGAGGAAGACGATGACGATGACGATGACGAAGAAGAGGACGGGGATGAGGATGAGGATGGCAGAGAAGACACCGAAGGTTCGGATGACATTGGAGGGAGCGAGGGTTACGAAATTATAGAAGGAAATGAAGACTGACTTGGGAGGATGGTCGATCAGGAGTTCAGCTGTTGCTACTATGCTGGCTCGATACGAGTTCGTCGGCTTTGAAACGAGACATGATACGCAAAGAGAGACGAAACATCCGGATATGCCATGTGCCGCGGCCTGATTTCGATAGAATAAAAGGGAGGAAGCATCGCCGCCTGGCCAAAGGCAGAAACGGGTATGAAATTGCAAGTTTGTTGGATATGAACGGGCTTCTGTCTAGTCTAGTCAGTCAAACAAGTATTCACTGCCCTACGCTATAGAAGAGACTCCCAAGGCCGTTGATCAGGCTGATTGAACCCTTGTCGAGAATGAGTCGTCGCCACTCACATCCCGTCCTTGGATGCAGCCTTGTCTGATCATCACGTGGGGATATTGGTTCAGCCTTGCAGCCTCGGCTACTGTGCATCACACCTACAGGGGTGGTCGAGAGTTGAGAGGACAGTTGATGGACATGCTGTCTTGCGAGGGTAACTACACTGGAGTTCAATTGCCTCAAATTCTCCGCGTGCGCATGAGCCGAGATACAAAGATGGTGTACCGAGATAGGCTATACGTCGACGTCGCGGAGTCCCCAGAACATGACTCGGTACTCCAACACTCATTCAATGCCTTGGAGAGATTTGGAGATCGCGGCATCAGTATGTTTGCCGGACAACGAGCCACTCAGAAGGCCACAACACAAGTCATTCTTCCCGAATCGGCTCCCCTCCTTCCCCTCAGGACCGTGGGCTCCAAGTTCATTCCAAAATGAAGAACGAGGTACAGTCTCCCCTGGGCAGCCTCACCGCAAAAACCTACGGGACACAGTATGGCGTCGACTCACAGGCCCCCGTTCCAGGATGAGCCTATACCCAGCTACCCTGACCTTCCAGGTAAAGTCGCCATTGTGACGGGGATCGGGCAATATGGGGATCCCTCCGTCGAGGACAACTGGGGCAACGGCGCCGCGGCCGCCTTTGGGCTCGCGCGGTCCGGCGTCAAGATCTTCGGGTGCGACTTGGACCTCGAAGCCGCGGAGCGCACCAAGCGGCGGATCCAGAAATACGTGCCGGACGCGGTGGTGGACGTGACGGTGGCCGACGCGACGAAGGCGGCCTCGGTGGAGGCCTTTGTGGGCGCCGTGATGAAGCGACACGGCCGGATCGACATCCTGGTCAACAACGTCGGGGGCGCGCACCGCGGCGGGCCCGTCGAGATGCCCGAGGAGGTGTGGGACCAGGAGTTCAACGTCAACATGAAGTCGGTCTACATGATGTGCCACTTCGTGCTGCCCGTCATGGAGGCCCAGCGGTCCGGCGCCGTCATCAACATCGGCAGCATCGCGGGGCTGCGGTACATCGGGAAACCCCAGGCGGCGTACGCGGCGGCCAAGGCGGGCGTGCACATGTTCACGAAGCACACGGCCGTCTACTACGCCGACAAGGGCGTGCGCATGAACGTCGTGGTGCCGGGCCTGATCTTCACGCCCCTGGTGGCCCGCATCGCCGACTACTACGGCGGCAACTACGACGAGTTCGTCCGCACCCGCCACGCCCAGGTCCCGACCGGCGAGATGGGCACCAGCACCGACGTCGCCAACGCCATCCTCTTCCTCGCCAGCGACGTCGCCTCGCGCCACATGACCGGCCAGGAGCTGATCATTGACGGCGGCATGACTTCCAGCACCGGCAGTGTCAAGAGCGGCATGGCGGAGAAATAGATGGTCAAGTCAGGTAGCTAGAGCCGCCTCTTTTGGGGGGCGTCGTGTAGGTATCTATCACCAGTACTTCGAATCCATGACCGGGAAGGAGATCTCCTCTCGACACCTATCTCGTCTTTCGCGGCCAAGACATCTTGTAGAAGCTTTGTTCGCGGCGGAGGTGGTCCTAGATCTAGAGATTCTGCATGTCGACAGGATTTCTTGAGCGGGACAAGAGCCAAATAAGAAATCAGCGTGTTGTGGCTCCCTCGTCTCGAGGACCTATCGTGTATTCTGTCTGCTCTTGACTTCCTGCGTTGCCAGACTATTCCCATTACATACACCACCATCAAGCATATCCAAGACCACGGCACAAGGATAGATCGGGACCGTCGCTGACAGAGTGTCGGTAGACTACAACTTTGCACCGCTCGTTCCCAAAAACGCATCGTGGAGGCTCGGGATGCCCAGTCCCACAGCCGCCGTGGCGCCTGCGTCGACAGGGAGCATTACACCTGGTAGGGAGCCGTCAGTGTCGCTGTCACGAACTATGCCAGCATGGACTTGTTTCTTTCGCCCAGCGAGGGATGGAACCTGCCTGTGATCCAGCGAGAGCAATCCGAAGCCAGGAAACGCACCGCGGAGCCGACGTCCCAGCCGCTGCCCTCGGTGCGGAGGATGCTGCGAGATGCGCGGGCCTTTCGCTCTGCGTCGGACATGCCACCCTCGACGCCGCTGTGTGTGTTTCCACATGTTAGAATTTCGGGCTAGAGAGTCCTCGTCGTAGAGGGTGGGTTTGACTTACTACATCATGGGAGTGTAGACCATCCCTAGAGTTGCCATACGCGTCAATCGGACTGGAATCGATTTGGTATAGTCTCGATGAGATCAACTCACCTGGACAGACACAGTTCACTCTGACGCGATCTTTTCCATGGTGTGTTGCCTAAGGGATCGTCAATCAGCCCTTCTCACCAGGTGTGGATGCTGCAGCGGTAGGATTTCAACCTACCATGGCACGGGTCATGTTGACGACGGATCCCTTGGACGTGGGATAGAATATGGCTGGATGGCCGCCGCGCAGACCGGCCACGCTGGCGAGGTTGACAATCGCCCCCGCGCACTGGCCCTCGTTCTTCTTCATCTCGGGAATGGCGTATTTGGCCATCATGATCATGCTCCCGACGTTGACCTCCATGGCCTTGTAGAAGGCTGGCAAGTCGACTTCGGTCGCGGTGCCCTTGGGCCCGGTGATGCCTGCAAAAAGAGTGCTTAACACAGAGAAATGGACCGGAATGTTGTGACCCCTCGAAGACACCACCCGTGACTTACCGACGTTGTTCACCAGGATGTCCAGACGCCCATACTTCTCCACAGCCAGGGCCACGACCCTCCGGCACTCCTCCTCCTTGGTCACGTCCGCCGACACGGCCACGCCGGCGCCAGCGCCCGCTGCTTCAATCATCTCGACGGTCCTCTGCGCCAGGCCGTGCTTCAAGTCCACGCACACCACTGAGCAGCCATCTTGGGCCAGCAGAAGCGCCGCGGCGCGTCCGTTGCCGATCCCGTCCCTAAGAGATCCAGCGCCGGTGACGATGGCGACCTTGCGCTGCAGGAATCGCTCGGGCCGTTGGTGAGACATGTTGGTAGGGTATCAGGATTTCCCCTTCTTCGATTGAATGCCGACGGAGAGTTATGCGAAGCCGCGGGTTTGTATTTATTACGTTGATGTCGACCTGGATATCATTGGCGAAAGGGTTGCTAGAACCTGAAGTATACTAAGAGGCAGCGATCCCAAAGCAACCAACCTCTTCTATGACTTGGCGTAGAACTTTCGTCTCTTACGGGAATCAACAACTCCTTGTATGGAAGGCAGCAATCTGTCTCATGGAGCAATTGATTGACCTGAACTCGACACAAGGTCTATAGCCGGACTTCGGTAATGCTGTTGGAGATGGCGGACAAATCCCTGCGGGGTCGGTGCGGCTCTTGACCAAGCGAGCAAGGTATACTACACCGAGCCAAATGTCGACAATGAGTGGCACCGTCTGGCGAGAAGTGGTACCGAGAAGTGATTCACCATTGAGCCAGAGGTAGCCATCATCGAGAAGGGCATTTACAATAACAAAAAATCAAACCCTGTCTCAGCCCACGGATTGTCTTCAAAGGTCTGCACAGCTTCAACCTCGATTGCCCACACTTGAGCTTGAACACTTCCTGATACAAGCTCACGCTGCAACATAACGTGAAGATACCCTTTCTCCTTACGGGCGATATACGCCGGGAAATAAGCATCTAGGCCATCAAATCTGTCAACTTCTGGACGCATAAAGTCACCGTAGGTATGCAGAGTTCGCCCACCGGCAAGATCAAGAGGCTCTCGCGCCGAACTGAAGGCTTTACTTTGGACCTTCTTTTTCTTGTAGGCGTCAAAGTACGTTAGAGTTTCTGTGTTGAGATCACAGATCAGATTGTAACTCTCATCGAAGTAGACCATGATCCGGCGGGGATAACGAGCAAATCCATGCTTTAAAATCGAAACTTTGAGGGTTGCTTCTAGACTCGGCAGATGTCTCGGCGCGAACGATAGGATCTGCGTGGTAGCGTCCCACTGGGAATCAGGGACTGATTTCCACGGGCGATCTTGACAACCTTTCCATAGGTTTGGGCCAATCTTGAAGCCGTTGATCAAGACGGCTCCTGGTGAAGCAACATTGGGTTGGTTGGGGATCCGTTGGACATGTAAGGAAACCGCTCCTCGACTGTCCACTGACGTATCTGCATTGTAAAAGCCGATTCCTCCATAGAGTCGCCTTGGCCGTAAGCTCTCGCCTGGCGGAAATTCGTAAAAGTCATTCCCGTCGACAGCAACTCTGATATACTTGTCATCTTCCACGTCCCTTTTCAGAAACAGCCCCAGTTGAAGCGGTTTTGACCGCTGTCCGCCCGATGGCGGTTGCTTGGGTTGCCGTATGCAATTGATGGGAGCTATGAAGACGTCTGGGATGAAGGGAGCCAAACTCAGCTGCATCGAGATACCTCTGTTGGTCACCGAGTATGGATAATTGCCCGTGTGAAGTAGTTGGCGTGTGATGTTTGTGCAGCCTTCAAACGGGTCTGGAGAGCGAGCCAACAGCGCAGAGTTATTTGGGTCTCCCGACATCGACCACGCAAAGAGTGAGTGGTCATCCGAGACCTTGATGATCTCTTCTTGCAAGCGAATGAAAGCACGGTCTCCTTCTCCATATATCATTGGCATATTCACGCCAAATATGCCCATTAACGAGTACGCTTTATCCTCCGGTCTCCTCGTCTTCCGTCCAGCTGCCCAAGACATGCGCTGAGCAATGCTACAATCCCACATCAGTTGAGCATCTTGCAGTACTCTCAACTCGATGCGAGTTATGCCGGCGATAGTATTGCATAGGCTACTTCGAGATCCCAAGAGTTTCCAGTTCTTGTCGTAGAAGAAGAGCTGAGGTGGTGCGAGCAATTCTTGGAGTGTCCAGCCTCTCTTGAACCATCTCGCTTCGCTGAATTCTTTTCGCACAGCCTTCATGTCATCCGTATCAGGCTTTCTGGGATCGGGATCGGTCAGTGCCATGCCGCGGCCGTCTACGTCAAAAAGGTGCGTGAAGCACATCTTTGCGTCCTGATAGTAGCGGTACATAGCGTTAATGGCCTCACTTTTGTCGGAACTGCTGTTCTGATCGATGCAGATGGTGTCTATCCATACGTGCGAAAGCACCGGTGTCTGCGCTTGCGCGAGTTTGCACGTCTCGCGGGTTTTGGGATGCCCCTTAACCAGACTGGCTTTGGCAGCATCAGTTGGGGCGCTGCGTATTTCATCGAGCTCAAGTTCCTTATCTGGTTTGAGAATCCACGTATGGGATAATATGGCGTAGCCTGAGCGTGGAGCATCGCTGGGGTCGTCGAACTTCTCGATGAGGTGCGTCTTCGTGTTAAGCAATCGCATGTTTCTCGACAGAGATGGCGTATTTCGAATTGCTTAGGTATGATGATGCAGATTTTCATTCAGCGCAAGATCTGGGCTGTGACGGGTTCGAGGCAAAACTGGGCGAAGGGGGCTGAGGCTGAGGCTGAGGTCGCTGGAACCTGGTTGTTGCACAGCGCACTCGACACATCGGGTTTGGCGTGGCTCTCGCATCCACGCATCTTATCGGAAGTAAGGAATTTTCAATGTAATGGTTTTCAGCTGTCAGTTCCTTGCAGAAACCTCAGAAACAGGACAAAGGCTCTAGACAGATAGACCGGGATTCAGCCATAGAAAACCCGCGGTCGGCATACATTCGCCTCAGATAGCCGTTGACCACCCTTCACTGTCGTCTCAGGTAGTGTCAGAGACTGCCGTCGAAGTGACAACGACGTGGCAGCATGACTCCAATTATCGGTGACGATATCGTCGTTTGCCTAGTCTTAGCATTGACATGTGAAGCGTCGACGAGGCCGAGAAGGCATAAATATGTCTGACCCCATACTGTCAGCCACAGACTGGGCAGGCAAATTCACGTGATATCACGTGAACCTATATGTGGACTTATCGCAACGCCTAACCAGACATCAGGACAAGTTCATTCCTCGTCCAAAACCCTACAATGTTGGCCTCGAATCAGATAATTTGAAACTTCGCCGCCTAGATTATACCACATACCTCGTCGCTGCTAGAGCTCATGGTAGGCAAGGTCCCACGACTTGAGGAATATTGGACACCCTCAAAGGCCAAGAGCCTCAGAGCCTCACCGCCTCACAGCCTGAGGCGGGGAGAGTGCCGTTGCTGTTGGAACGTTAGGCGTCGCCGTTAACACGGGTCCATCTCTTCTCAAGCTCAATCAACACCGAAGGAACCATGGAGACGACTAGATTAATCTGTCCGGCTCTTTCTGAGAATGATGGTGTCGCTGCTCGATCTAGCCGCGAAGATACATGGTCCACCCTTTTGGATATCCTTCTAGGCGTTTGCGCTGCTATGGAACTGTCTCAGCAGGCTGTGGAGAGATTCCGACACAGCTTGTCACCTCCGTCGTCTCAGACTGCCTCCAGCTGCAGCTCTTCGAAATCAGCGGTAGAAGAAGATTTCCAGATCCAGAACGGTGCGAAATGTTGGTTCTCTGGTTGGCACGATATGTTGGCTCCATTCATCTCGGAGAACAATGCAGACTTGCCACACCTTCTCAATCTTGGGCTGGTTGTTTATTTTCTACGAGAAAGCCTCCGACAATCGAGGACGATCAACAGAGACGACCTGACAATCCTCTGGGGTTTTGTACATGATGCTCTGGTCAGTCCCCAACTCACCAGTTCTCTTTCGACTCTTTCTTATAGCGCACAAGGATTCTTCATAGTTCCCATCTGCAACATGACCGGACAAGAGGGCGAGGACGACGAGTTATTCAGACTCCATATCTGGCTGCCTGACAGCCAACGAGACCCAGATTTCTGCATCTATTCTTGCCAAGCTCTAGTCCAGAGTTGGATACTCGCCGGCGACGGACAGTGTAGCTTTTTCGAGGTCGAGAATGTCACAGACCTCGCGCACGCCACTCACGCCGAATTCCAGCTTGTGGACGACCTCTGTCAGCAAGACAAGGACAATCATGACGGTCCAATTCTTCGCAATACAGGGCGACTGGTACATGCGATCAGGACAGACTCATCAGTCCACACACTCGATACGAGTCACAGCATCGAACCAGGAACATGGCATGCCCTGGAAGTGGCATCAGACTCATTGCACGCCGGTATCTTTTTACTGAAACCCCACTCGGCATGTGGGATCGACGCACGTATCCTTGGTCCCAAGGACGTCGACAATCGAGCTCGAACTTCTGGCCAAACAGACATCACTCCGGTATTGCTTGCTTCCAGCATAAATTCTATCCGCTTGTGGCACATATTGTTCGATGACGGCAAGTGGCACGCCCGACGGTCGGAAATGGAAGATGCCATGCGTGTTTTCAATACCGCCCTCTCTCTTTGCGACACCATTGCCGGCTTTCCAAATGCATCTCACTACGCCCGCCTAGTCCATGGAGAGCTAGGATTCACGAACAGGTGCCTCGGAAGATATGACCTGGCCAAAGAACATTTGAAGGAAGCTCTCAAGGAGATGAGCCTCACGCACCATCGAGTCAAGGCGAGTGGTGAGTTAGGCACCGTATTTCGTCTCCAGGGTCAACTGCTGGAAGCGAGAGCTGCATTTCAGACCCAGTACGAGATTGCGAAGACTATTGGAGATCTTCGCGCCGCGTGTCGCGCTATTGGAAATGTTGGTATGACGAACTATCAACTTTTCGAGCAGCGTCATGACGACGCACTCCTCGAGCTTGCCATCGAACAGCTCAAAGAACGAGTCGACCGCGCAAGACAAATTAAGAAGGCTCTGAGTGCTGAGAAAATGGACCCCAGAAAGAAATTTGGCAGGCTCAAACATGCTTCAGTATGGGAATCGGTTGGCTTAAACCGGCTATCGCTCTGCTACACCGCCAAGGGCAATACGAAAGAAGCTTTAACCGTGGCGGAAGAATCGCAAATCATCAAAATCGAACCGAAAGATCCTACTGTGATTGCCATGTCGCACTTCTTCTATGGACGCGCGCTGCTCCGAGGCGGACAGCCAAAAGCAGCGATGGAGCACTTCAATGCATCGGATGCGTGCACGCCCGCTATTGCGCTGTGCAAAGAACCTTCTGAAGAAAATCGCAAGTACTTGCAAGAGTTGGTCAATGCTGGAGTAGACATGGACCAAGTCGACGAGTACGGTTATACCGCATTGGATTATGCCGTATTCGGTATGGACGTTGTTATGGAAGGGATCATCCTCGAAGGCCTCCGTCTCACTCTGAAAGGAGACATTGAAGGGGAAATCCTCAAGCGCCAATATGAGTCCAGGCTTCGAAAAACCTATCGAGAACTTTTCCACGACAAAATGCGTCCAGTTCTCTTAAAGGGGGGTGCTGACACCTTGCAAAATCTTCGCACCGTGTACGCTGCTGCACTCGCAGCGAGAGATCAAGAAGCCATGAAACAAAGATTTGGCACACTGAAGTGTGTGCGTTATTCCGACTTCCTTCGCTGCGGTGGACTCCCAAGGTATTGTGATGGTGTCGCAATCGACTTGTCGTCAGAGCTTCATCCACCTCAAAGAGTTGCGAGCGAGTTCATTATATTTTTCTCGTACAGATGGATCAATAATGAAGGAGATATTTCCCTTCCGGATGACGCAGAGAATACGCAATACCATCGTATGGTCCATGCCACGCAAGATTTTCTGAAAATCCATTCAGAAGTGAATCCCGACAGGCTGTGTATTTGGCTGGTACGTAGGCAGCATTGACAGATGATCCACCCTCACCGTGAGCTAGACTTACACTTTCACAGGACTATGCTTGCATCGACCAAGACGACCCAACGCCTGGTGTGACAGCTCTCCCGCTATTACTCGCACAATGCAATGCTGTCATCAGCCTCGTCGACGACGACTATTATAGACGTGCATGGTGTGTGTTGGAAACAGTGATGATACGGACTCTGGAGAAGTCATACCAAAAGCACAAGTGGTACGAGTATGCTCCAAAGAGCGCGTGCTCGGACAGGAAAGAGTGGACGCTTCGGGCGGGACCATTGAACTTGGACATTACTGCTGCAGACAAAAGGTTGACGGTCGAGGGAGATCGTCCCAAGATCTTATTCTTGGAGCGGCAGACTCAGCTCTTGAAATGAGGAAGTTCTCTACCAGTTTCAGCTTCACATTGTGGAAAGTGTTGCGCAAGATGTGATCTGGTTGCCAGCCTCTCGCTGACAAAGTGACCACGCCTTGGTTCAAATGAAGACACCTCTACGTATGGCCGATGACGGGCATGTTCTTAACAAGGCTCTTGCTGATTTGAGCACAGTCACAGTTCCTGATGCGGACCACCCTGGCATTGAAGTGTCTCAACTTCAACCCTCGATTACCGAAGTCCTTAGACAGTATCAAGATGTCCCCCGGAACATGGAGCACAAGTGCCACCAACGCGTGGTCAAAGCTTAATACCCACGAGGACCTTGGAAGAGACCGCTATTGCACCATCTGATGAGCTTCATCTGGACCATTTTGGCGCATCTGGAACCCAATTTGACGAGGACCAAGACCCAAGCAATCTAAAGCCTCCTATAGGATATATTTCACCACGGGTTTCCACCCGACAACAAGTACTTCCTCTCCAATTCCCTCATAGATGCATCCCCCTGCAAGGCGAAGACGTCTGCTACAGGCGCAATGTCCCTCTCTACACTAGCAATCCCGCCGTCTTGCAAAATCTGCCCATATGTGCGCTTCAGGGACGCCACTGTGGCCCGGATGCTGTGATTCCCACATATGACAAGGCCTACCTTACCATTGGTGAGCCTATATATCTCTTCGAAAGACAGCTGCGGATAACTGGTCGGCACGATGACCAAAGGCACTTGGTACGGCCAGGCACGACAAAAGTCCAGGATCTCGTCGGGCGTTTTCTGCTTGCTGTGGATCAGGATGGCATCCGCCCCGGCTTCGGCATAAGCCTGAGCACGTTTTAGGGCTTCTTCTTGTCCCAGTCCGGCGATGAGAGCCTCCGTCCGAGCAATGACTAGCATGGAACCCAAGTCTTTGGCTGCAGCGATCTTTCCTTGAAACTCCGCGACGGTCACAAGAGATTGTCGGCCGTCAATTCGAAGGCTGCTGTCTTTGGGAAATGTCTTGTCTTCAATCACGATGCCGGCCACCCCGGCCGCCTCGTACCTCGGGACGGCGTACGCGAGATTGATGGCGTTGCCGAATCCAGTGTCCAGGTCGGCGATGACAGGGAGGTCTTGGACTTCGCACATCGCCCTGGTCATTTCGAGATGGACGCTTGGTGACACGATGCTTGCGTCGGGTACTGCATAGGACGCCGAGAGCTCAAACCCACTGGCCCAGATGGCGTCGAACCCGGCGGCATCTGCGACCAGTTTGGCGGACAAAGGATTGTGTGCCGCCATGGCGATTGCTGGTCGGCCACCCGTTGCATTCAATTTTGCCCGTAAAGCTTCAATCCTAACCCTCCCAGCCATTTCTGTAGAATCTTCCCAAAGATTGAATGTGCTGGAAGACCCAAGCCGGTGATATCCCGCCCGCAAACACGACACAGAAGGCGCTACGTGTGTGAGATCTCAGATATCTCTCGACTTATCCTTGGCTTAAAGAAGTAGGCGAGCACGCCACAGGAGTGCAAAAGAGCAACCTTTCCGAGAGGGAACAGTTCCCCCCACCTTTGGTCTGGGTCCCCGAAACTGTATCCTTAATCCTTGTTAGTAATAGTATTTATGTCTGATCTGGTGGTCACCTCGTCGCTATTGAATGACTAGCTTGATTTCGAGAAGGCGTCTATTCTATGTCACAGCGTGCCACTTATTTCTGACGAAGACTTATCCCGTCTGAACTCACATGCATGCCACTAAAGGCCTACTTCTTCAGGGAAATTATGGAGTTTCATTTCCAAATATTATCATTCACGGCCGAGCTAAGTTGTTGCCGATGTAGATGGGTCTATCCAGTCTTTGACCGTCTCGTACCTTGCAAAGACGGCTTTATGATACAATGTCAGACGAGGCCGTTTCAATCTTGCAGACCAAAGGCACAACAACCTGGGACGTTGAGAAGGGAGGACTACGAGATCCGGGGCATCATAGGAAGACATAATGACAGCTCCAGTCCAGGGAGAAGAAGCGGTACTCAAGTGGAAAGTATGGAATCGCCGAGCAGCCTTGCCCTCGTGGGCTGTGCTTCAAAGTGCGGATGCGGACACTCTCGGCGTGCAGACATAGGAAGCCTGTGCCTATCATATGAATACCGAGGCTAGGATTCAACGGTTCAGGGACAGAGACAGAGACATCTTCATTTGCGTGCCGAGCTATACCAGTATCTTGAAGACAAATTAGCTAGGTACATAAACGACTTTTACCTGAGCATCCTCCGCAATACGGCACGCTAGATCCCCCTCGTTCCTAGACAACCCAGCGATCACGATCTTCCATTCCTGGATCACTCTCGCTGCTCAACCAAACTCGGGCGCCCCCAGACACCGGACGACTGCATTGGTGATTGCATATTCATCCCCAACCCTACCGTGCTTGTGCTTTGTCGTCGACCAATACCATTCCTCGCCCGAGCCATATCGCTCGACGCATTGCGGATCTTCTGCCATCGTAAAGCCCCCTCCCGGAAAATGCCTCGCTCGGGAAATATCGCTTGCCCTGGAATGATCAACTCGGGCTTTCCGTCAGCTGGCCCTTGACGCGAAATCTTGGGCCTTGTCAACAACGGCTCTGTGCGGACCGACAAACTAGCCGTGGTGATGGTGCTAGTTGGCGAGGACGGAGATTCATCGGACCCGTAGTCAGGCTCGTAACTCTCGTCCAACCACTCGATCCACTCCCCCGAATTTTGTTCACCCAGGTACGGAATCTTCCCAATGGCGATGTTCGTCTGATCGCGCTGTGCAGCTTTTCCCAGTTCTATAGCCTGGACGAGGATTTGGCTCAAGTCGGAGAGGAACGCCTGGGGGTCGTTCAGAAGATGGCGCAGAGACCCCATGATTTGTTTGTCAACTAGCCTCCAAATCTCGTGCTGTCCGTTCACCTTATGCGCCTCGTCGAGATTGTCCAACGTCCTCAATGTGGCCACTTTCCACCGATGTTGAAATTCGCTTCCAGCTTCGGTCATGTCTGAATACATCGTCGGAAGCACTGAGTTGCTGACGTGGCTCGACACGAGATACTCGGAGAAAAATGGGTGCCATAGTTCATCACATATGAACTGAATGATGATGTGCTCGGCAGCAGCTCGTCGCAGCATCGCCGAACACTCGGAATCGGCGATGGGGATTTGATCAAAGATTTGGTTGCTTTGGGACACTTTCTCAGATGTGTCCACGGGTTTCTGCACAGCGGAGAATGGCCGTCAACACAAAGGCTCTCTCAATACCCCCAACGGCTGCTTCACGTACCAGTAAGGCTTTCTCTGGGAGATCTGTCAGGTGTTCAAAGGCAACTTCGTGCACGCGTTCAAATAGCGTTCTGTACTCCTCCGTGCTGCCGCAACAAGTCAGCATATCTCTTACCATCTGTCATTTCGGTCTTGGGGGATGGGGGGGGGGGGGGGGCGGGGAGTTTACTAGAATTCCAAGGGACGCTGCTCCAGTTGATATTGTTTCTTTATGGTAGCAAGCTCTCCTTCCACCTCTTTCATGTCCTTTTGCATCTTTTCTTGTAACATGATCCGTAGATCCTTCTCTTGATCTCGTTCGGAAGTCCGGTCATGCAAGTCCTTGGTGAGTTTCGCCTTCGCCTCTTCCAAGTCCTTCCGCTCATTCTCCAGGTCCGCAATCTTCTTCGCGTTTTCCTTTTCCACTTGCTCCTTCTTCTGTTGATATTCTTTCTCAAATTCCAGTATTCTCTGCTCCAGCTCCTGGCCTCGTTTCTTTTCGGCACGGGCATGCTCCTGGGCTAGGTCTTGAATTTTCTGCTTGTATTCTGATTCCTTCAGGTCACCGGCCTTCGCCCTCTCTACAAGGTCATAAATTTCTTTGCCATGCTGCTCCTTCAACTTAGTTATTTGCTTGAAGTATGAGTCCCGATCATCCTGAGCTTCCTTCCAAATTGACTTTTTCCCAATCTCGAGCTCATCAATCTGTCTCATCAAGGCCTCTTCTTGCCCATAATGATCGCCAACGGTGCTAACTATCTTTCTATATTTTCTGAATTGCCTGGTCAACTCACTAATTGCTCCATCAAGGGTCGACAGTCCAGTCTGAAGATTTTGAACTTCTGCCTGGATACGGTCGTTGAAACGACCGAAATGCACGGATTTGACCTGGGAAATCTCAGTATCAGCGCCTTCCATGCCTGGAGAGGCAGTATTTTGGTTCGCGCTTGGGTTATTCAGATACACTGAACCACCCTCTGTTGCCTGCGCCATCGTGGCAGAGCGAACCTGATCAAAACAATACTGGGTTCAGTAATAACCTAGAGCACTAGGAGAGAGGCCCAGAACATACAGAACGAGTGCTTCTCGCGGGTTTCTTTGGGGATCCGGGGTGCAACAATTTCAGTATTCGTGCCTCAGTACTGGCAATCTCACGGCCTTCTTGGAGAGAGAAGATGCAATCGCGGGTCTGGGCCGACATGTGGTTAGGTGGTGAGGGAAAAGGGTCTGTTAGGCGGAAAAGTGGCGTTGGAGGGGACGCGGACCAGTTTTAGGTCGGTCCAATCTGATCATATCACGACTTCCTTTGAGCCTTTGAGGAGCTTGGACAGGGATAACATCGCCTTGACGCGCGCACCCTGCATGTACAGTTGCAACGTGTAAAGGTCTGAATCGAGGAAGGATGAATGATCACCACGGGCTTCTGAAGCCAAGGGATGCATGTAAGTTGCTGTGAGGTCACAGCGGTGCCATGGATTGAACGGCCAGCTCACTCGGCCAGACTTGTTGACGAACGCATGGCCCGTGCAAAGTTAATGCAGACGCAGAGTTTGTAGGAGATGAGGCAACGAGTATCAGTGCGAGCTCACGGCCGGCATGCATGGAGTAGCATCGACAAATTTCCTCGGGTCGTGAGTGGTGTGCTCTTCTGATGGAGGGTAGGGATCAAGCGAGTTAATGTTGGTCGTTGTTCTTTCTCTGATAATGAGGGGCCACACGAGTTCGTCGGCTGATGCGGGATATGGTCGCGCGGTGGCTTGCATATTCTCTACAGTTGCGCCCACGAATGAGACAGGTCCACGTTCATATCTTAGGCATCGAGAGCCGTGTGGACCTGGAAGAATCATGTCGTGCCAGGACATAGCGAGAGTCTTGATGATGTTAATTGCTGGGGGACATGGAGCTGTCTTTTCGCGGGACAACATTTCCGTTGTTGAGGCTCAACGAACAATGCGAGCAGCTCTAGTTAGTTCATTTATCGCATCACGTGTGCGGTGAGCGTGCATTCTCTCCATCTTCGATTCCAACCATTGCGCCATTCTAAAGAAAGCGTCGGGAGGATGGCACCACACGATCGTTTAGAAAGGCAATTCCCGTTTGGCGACCAAGGTTTGTGTTCACGGCCTCAGAGGGTAGCGCTTTCGCATGCCCTCAACCGCTCACTGTGCTGTTTTAGGAGTTGTACAAACTCCTTTTTACTTTGTGCCGACTCTTTTCCCTTTATTGGTCCACTAAGTTTGACGTTTCTGGTCTGTGCCACGAAACAATCAGGCTCGAAGACGCAGATAATATCAAGAACTTTTGCCCAGGTTTTCTGCGAGCTTTGACGAGCTCAAAGAAGCCACGCAATGAAAGTGATACTCCCGTGATGTGTATGCAATGATGCATCTTGGTATCTGTCCTTTTTCGAGTTCCGAGAAATAGTCGCAGATACCAAAGCCGAATGTCCTGAATCCGCTTCCAGCTCTGGGCTTTCGGATACCAACTTTATCGTCTCAACTTAGAGTTGCGCAACCAACCATACTTTGTCCTTCTCAAAATATATGATCAGAGATACCAAGTCCAGAGGGAAATGTCGTTGGAAATATAGTTGGTGGGAAAGGGCTAGGCTTCGGGTGTATTTACTTGGGGGGGCCTGAGGAACGCTTAATAATAGTAGGCTAAAGCCTTAGTTAAGGCTCCGGTTAAAGCGGCCTTTGCTTAACCTCTACAGTCAAACCCGTATACGACAAGGAAGGTTTTCGTTCTCGACTAGTTAATCTAGGTGTATACCTATATCGATACGGCACAAACTCCAAATATCGCCCTGTGATATAGCCTTGCTGGAATTAAGAGATCAGGACTCGAGAATTCGGCTTCATAGCTGATTACCTTTTCTTTTCAGCTCTGAGCCCAAAACTTAAGAACGCAGCAAAGCGTAGCGTGGGGCGCACAAAGCGTGCTCGGAGGAGTCCGCTCGTTGTATCGGTATAGTCAGCCCTTCGACAACTACATAGTCAACGTCCTTCCACCGCATTCCTCCAACAACTTATACCGCCGTGCCCCCGAAAGGTCTTCTGTGGGCCTCCAAAACTCGTCATGCCGTTCGCCGACAGGAGACGCCTTATCGGGATAACCGATGGTGACATCGTGCAACCCTTGATGTTGTCAACCAGGTTGCATATTTCACCATTCTCGAACCGTCCCGCTTCTCTCTCTCATTCCATCTCCTCAATATATCGTACGTCCCCAATGTCTGACCGCACAACGCACGGTCGCTTTTTAGTCGTGGCTCGTTGTTCGGACAAGCTGTAATTCCGCTGAAGATGGTGCTATCAAAAGTGAAAACCGCCATCTGGGGCCCTCCAGGAGTCGAGAGGAGTCTCCTGATCAAGCTGGATTTCACGTTGCTGATTTACTTCTCTCTTGTTTGGTTTCTTTTCGGCATCAATCGAGCAAGTTACAGCACAGCTTATATCAGTGGCATGGGCGAGGCCCTACATTTTCATGGGAAGGATTACAACTACATGAACACCATCTTTATCGTGACCTATGCCGTCTTCCAGATGCCCTCGACGTCGCTCTTGACGATTCTGCGGCCCCGATATATCTTCGTTGCTGCAAACACGCTGTGGTCCATCCTCACGCTCGTGACCTTCCGCGTCGATCGCGTCTGGCAGGTCTTTGTGCTCAACGGGTTTGAAGGCGCTCTCTCCGCGATCTGCTAGTAAGTGGCGCCCCCGGGTTAGCCAACATCGTCCGCTGAACGGTAACTAGTGTTGGGGCACACTTTATCTATGCTTCGTGGTACAGACAATCGGAACTGGGTAAGAGGGCCGCGGTCTTTTGCGGATTCGGTAACATTGGGAATATGGCGGGAGGCTGGATTCAAGCTGGTCTCCTGGGCTCGTTGTCGGGAAAGGGAGGGTTGCCTGCCTGGAGATTGATCTTTATAGTGGTCGCTGTTACGACAATCCCGATCGCAATTTTCGGTAAGAGAGAATGAATGCCCCTCAACCGAGGAAACAAATCCTCAACAACAACAGCTGATAACTATCGACGCAACAGGCTGGTTCTTCATCCCCGATATGCCCTCCCATCGAGCAGCGTGGTTTTTGACCAAGGAAGAGAAAGAGCATGCGGCGACCCGGCTCGGAGTCTCAAGAAAGCATACCTGGGATCTGAGCGTGTTTAAACGCGTTCTTCTCAGCTGGCAGTTCTATTTGCTCCCCACCATATTCATGTGTACGAACGCCCCTCCCCCCTTCCGGTAGCTGAAACTGACCTTGAGAGTCCAGTATACTCCTTGTGCGTGCAAATGCTTTTGAACAACGTGATGCAACTGTGGATGAAGTCGCGAGGGTACACTGTCATCCAGCAAAACAACTATCCGACCGGGGTATATGCCACGGGCATCGTCGCCACTTTCGTCTACGCCGCCATCTCCGACCGGCTGCGTTCACGCTGGCAAGCTTCATTGTGCATCGGCTTTACTTTCGTCATCGGCAGTGCGATTCTGGTCTCCAGGCCATCCACGGCCGGGTACTTCTTCGCCTTCTACCTGTTGGGGACTGGATACGCGCCGCAGGCGCTGTGGTACTCGTGGATGGCCGACCTCACGGCCCACGACGTTCAACTGCGAGCCATCACCACGGGCTTCATGAATTCCTTCGACTTTGCCTTTGTCAGCTGGTGGCCGCTCATCTTCTATCCCGTCACCGATGCTCCGGACTATCACAAGGGCTACGTGGCCAGTCTGGTCACGGGCGCCTGCACCATCCCTTTGGTTGTGCTGATTGCTTGGCTGGAGAAGAGAGGTCGAGCCAGAGGGGTGATAGGCAGAATTCAAGATGCGGGACAGGATGATGATGATGGCAGTGTCGCTTCAACCACCCCAGAGCAGGTCGATACCTTGACCAAGAGTATCGCGCCGATAGGGCCGGCAGCAAACGTCCCAGTATAGTCGCGTGAGGAGACTGGGTAAACATCGACGGACCCAATTTGGTGGGTCACAAGGCTCTACCATCCGTCGGCGAACGATCAAAGGTTGCCAACGACAGTATCACTGGGACCATGGGGATCTGCCTTCGAGGCGGCTGGTTCGGTAGTTTTACCCATTTTCAGGGTTGGCAGCTGCTCTCTTGCTCTCTCCCGATACCCATCTAAGTACGAATCCCACGAAACCGAGAAACTGTTCTTTGTTTTCACCTTCGACACTTCCTGATTGCTCAAGCGAGAGTAGTGCCACATTTACCCTTCGGGCTCCCTTCGGACGACCTGGAACATGCCAGGCCTTATGTCTTGGCCAGTTGACAGTCTCCATATACCAGCATTGCCTACCGAAGACATTCTTTGTGACTTCGTTTCGCTTTAGATCCTTAAGAGGGGAATCCAATATATCCAACCGTTTCGGCGACGTGGCGGGCTGCTGATGGATCTCCATTTTCGGCCAGAGCATAGAGCAAGTGTCGATTCTCGAGCAGATACCATATCTATAGGATTGAGTATTGGGCAGTAGGTAGCGAATGCGGAAGACATTGTCTGGGGCCAGAGCGACCTACTTGGTATCGAGGCTAGTGAGTCTAAGGGAGAAATGCCAAGGCGCTAACGACTCAGCAACATTAGACGAATTCCAAACAGTCTTGGCATTTTTGCAGTGATGTCAACCTTGTCAACCTCCAAGTCGAAGCCTTTTGTGCAGCCTCATGTGCCCTTTTCTTTCAATTCCACCCTCTCCTCCTCCTTCTCAACCAACTCCACGAGGGCTGGATCGGACTGCGCTGTTGTGGACGAGCTGCCGATGTTGGAATTCAAAGACCTGACTCTCCGGACTCCGAGCGTCAGGAGCAGTCCCAAGGCACGTTGATCGCAAACGCGATGCCATTCCTTCTTCTGAAGTCCCTGTCATACGATTCCGTCCACACGACGGATCGACAACTCACTTCTTTCGGCCCATTTTGAAGGAAGGCAACAGATCCAGTGCAAATGGCTCCTCCACAAGGTCAAGCCTCATATAAGAAACAGCCGGGGATCCTATCAATATCAAAAGATAGGAAGTCCGTATCATGGACTCCGGCCCAACCGCCAGATGCGGCGCCAACCCTGGTGCTATCCGCAGCAAATATCACAAACCTCCAACAGACCCCTGAGACGAATCCTAAGGTGATGCTAAAGATCTTTGCGCAGGACCCTGGACAGTCTGAACCAGTCGCCCATGTCTTCACTTTTACGTCGACGAAAGATCCCCGGGGAGAGGCTAACGGCATCAAGGAGGCTCTGGCAAATGTTATCCAGGCGCAAAAAGCGGCTCAAACCGCTGCAGCAACTTCCTCGGCAGCAGGCCAGTCAGCCGCCATGACAATGGCGAACGCTATTTCCGGCGCCGGTCGAGCAATCAATATCTGGGAAGACGATGAGCGGCTCAAATCCGACGTCAAGCTTCAGCAGTCCTTGATGCAAGAAGACCCATTGCTGCAGAAGACGTTCAAGGAAGCGCTCAGTCTCAAGCCTGAGTCAATATCTGACGCACAGTTTAGAGCTCAATTCTGGTCCTCTCGAGTGCATCTCCTTCGAGCCCACGCGCTGTCCAAGAGTCAAGGGAAAGGCAGCTTCAACGTCTTGGCCGGTATCAAAAAGGATGATGGCGGTCGAATGAGTCTTAGGCAAGACCAGATTCGTGCCATATTCGAACAATACCCCGTCATGCGAATTGTCTACGACGAACTTGTGCCACGCAAGATCCCTGATGACAAAGATTTCTGGTCAAGGTTCTTCCAGAGCCAGCTACTCATGAAACTTCGCGGGCTCAAATTTGATCCAATGAGAGAATCCAGAGATCAATATATCGATGTCGACCACTACCTGAACCACCCCTTAGTTACTGGTCTCCGACCTACCGCGACCGAAATGCACATTCCCAAGTTTATCGATCTGGAGGGAAACGAGGAGAATTACTTTGGCTACGGTAATCGGCCTGACAGTGAGCTGCGACCTACAACTCTAGACAAGGCGCCCATCATTCGCAAACTCAACGCGATAAGCGAGAAGCTTATGGCGGCTGTCAAGCCCTCGGACGTTGATGCATCTGCTCCCATTGGAATGACCGAGGCCACCTACGAGCAGCTTAAGCTGCGGGACCTTGAAGGTACTCCGGCACAGCAAAATATCATTCTCAACATCCGCGATCAAAGTCGGTTCTTCTCTGACAGCCAGTCCGCTCAAGCCGGCGGAAATGCCGTCGCTGACAGCAACCCTTTCCGAAACCTCGATCCCGCCAAAGCAATCAAAGACGTGCACGCCGATATTTCCGCACATTTCGCTCAGCCCGGCGTTGGCGTCATTCCTATTGGTGAATTCGAGGAGGACGAAGATGAAGACATGGACGACGAAGCTTCTCCAAAAGTGGAAAGCGGATCCTCGATTGCATTGAAACATGTCCTCTCCCTCATCCGAGCCCACCGAGACCAGACCTCCCCGATACCAGAAGCTTCTGGGCTCAGCACGGCGATCTACGACCGACTCAGCCTCACCCATGCCACCACAGTGGAGTTCCTACGCCAGTTTTGGGACGCGTTCTTGTCCGGAGATCCATCTCGCGCGAACGAAGTGGCTAGCCTCGTCGAAAGCCTCAACCGGGCACATGAGCGTATTAACGCTATCGCCGAGGACGCGGAGAAGGAGAGACAGGAAATCATCCGAGCAAAGGAGAGAGAGCTGAACGAACGACATGACAGGGCAGGCAAGAGACACAAGTTTCACCACAATTCCATCAAGGGCGGACGGCACGTGGTCCGCCAGTTGCTCGGACCTATCATAAAGAGTTTGGATGTTGCTATGAGGATGTACAAGCAGGCCTTGGAGGAGCAGGTCAAGAATTCAGGTGAGGGATGAACAGTCCATCGCACTATTTTCGCATCCGCCTTCATATCCAAAAGACGGATCGCACCTCCAACGAAGAGTGTCGGTCTCAGCCTCGAAAAGTCTCCCCAGGAAGTACACAACAAGCCACGTCCCAGGAACCGAACAAACGAGACGCAAATGCTCAATCACGAGATATCAGTCATCGGTCGTGGCCGGTGCGTCCGGCGGACTGTACAACAAGCTCAACCAGGTCGTCGTGATCGGCGGATATGCAGCTGCACCGGACCCCCCGTCAACGGGCGACTGGGCCATCTATCCAAGATCGATCGACCAGAAATCCCTCTTTCACCTTTCTCAATCAAGGCTCAAACAACTCTCAGCAGCAGCAATGAATTTGACATTCAAGGCCGTATTTAGACGACTCTATATGGAACCGGCCCAAGAACTTGGAGGGGTCATTGGAATTTAGATGGAGAGATGTATTTCTTCTGGTTGATTGCCAATGGTGATATAGATTTGGAAAAAGATCTCGCGACGGAGGAGCCTCTTTTCTCTCTCTCCTTCTCCGTCCCTTCCCTTCTAAGTCAACCCCTCGTATCCCTCTCGGCACATTAACTAAGTAAGGCATACAATCTCCATGCTCGCATGCCTATGCACGTGCACTCGTCCACGAACCGCGGCTTTCATTCCCATAGTCACGGTTCATTGCTGGGATCCCCACTGTACAGCGGCCAACCGTGTATATAGATGGATAGGGAGAAGGTGTAGCACAGCCTTTTTTTTATGAGCATTCTTCGTTTTCTGCAGGACCTGTTTAGGCGGCGGGGCCGGGCCAGGCTAGAAATAATAGGTAGGTGTGTATGTATGTACAAGGAGAGACAGCGGTAGTCAAGAAGATCCCGTGAAATATCCCAATATCTGTCTCCCAAACCCGCCTCGCCTCCGACTCTCTTGTTCCGCTCCCGCAGCGCCAACGCGATCGCTCACGGTCCTCATCCCGTCCGCCGAACCGCCTTCTTCCTCCAATCTGCGCCGCAGGCCTTCGTACCGGTCCCGTTCTTTCCTCCTGCTCGACTCGCCGACCATCCACGCAGGGATCCTCCATCTTCCCAGTCCGCCGGGCAACAACTCGCCCATCCACGCCGTGCCCACCGTCCAGCCCACGGCCGCGGGGAGGATGGAGTAAGGGAACTGGCTGAGTGCCAACTGCGCCGCCAGCAGGTACGTGGTCGATTTGTCACTCAGGACCACACCGGGGACTTGTTGTCGCCCGCCCGCCGTCGGGGCCGGGGAACCCGTGGCGATCTTGTACCTGTAGATGCGCGGCACCTCCTCCGCCCAGGCGCTCAGCAGCGCAAACACGAGCCCGGTCGACCCGCTCGGCAGGTAATTGTACCAGCCCAGGGTCACGAGCTTCAGCAGCACCACCAGCCAGGGCACGACCAGGACATTGCACCAAAACACCACGGCGACGAAACTCGCAAACTTGCGGCTGCCCCACAGCCTCTCGAGCACCCGGAACTGGTACAGCAGGACGGCGGAGAACAGCAGCTCGGTCGAGGTGGTGTGGGCGGTCTGGTAGGTCAGGAGGCGGGAGAACTGCAGGTAGGGCCAGAGATGCGGGTGCGGTCGTATCGGCAGGAGGTACTGGACGGAGAGCGTCGACACGAGGATGGACAGGCCAACGGAGGCCAGGATCAGGAGGCGCGCCACGGGAGTGTGGCTGAAACCTGAGGTCGTGACCATGGTGGTGACAGCGGAGAAGGGTGCGTGGTCATGGGAGTCTGGCGGAGGGAGGGGTGGGAAGAGGATTTGACCCGAGGGGTGTGTGACGCAGGAGTATCCGGGTTGCGTGCTTGTTTTCGAGGGAGAAGCGAGGATGCCATGTCCTGCGTCATAAGCACATTGTTGACAACAACCTGGCAGATCTTTCCGACATTGGCAAAAGCCGGGTGGGATATTGTTGAGTGGTGATGAAGACTGGCACGTAGGCACGCAGGCACGGCAGGCTAGGTCAAGAGGAGGACAATGTGGTCGGAGCTCACGTGGGATTCTTCCCCGAGCGTTGCCGCTTTTATAGTACGGTGTATTCCGTGCCGAGCGAGCAACGACTCGATAGTTAGAAGCAACTCGACTCCCCCTTTCTATGGCCAAGGCTGGGCACGTACACAGCTAAAATGCACATGCCCGGTATAGAGACTCAACTAACCTCCCTCAAGCGTCGAGTCTATACAGAACCCACTTGGGTATCTATAGTCGACAAGGTTATCACTGCTGTTGTACTTCTATCGACCGATCTATCCTCTGAGCCCCGATTACAGTAGCCGGGATAATCGAAACACTTCCTATCGATGGTCACTCTTCTTCGGGAATAGTATCAAGGGTAGGAGTATCTACTTGAAGGCATGGAAACCTACAAGCGAGGCAAAAGAAATGAGCGCACGCTTCGAAGGGGGTTGGCTTGAGAGTATCCGCCGGCGGTTATCCCGCCCAGCTGTTGTCTAATCTTCGTCTCTAGACTCTTGACTTGGCCGATCTTCGAAAGGCCTCGCAATAGGGCTTGCACTCGGTCTCCAGAGGCCCAGATCCGGGTTGTGAGCAACGGCCTGACATACCACGGCATTGACCCCGACTCTTCTCAGTATCTCGCACACATCGTCACCACCCATGTACAACGCCACAACGGCGGTAAGGAAGAGCAGACCGCCCACGAGAGCCAGAGCTATATTAGCTCCCACGAGAGCCCACACGGCGCCCTTTTGGACCTTTGTCACGATGTACGAAAATCTCAATTGCACTGTCACAGGGTCAGCCTTGTTCATTCCGGAAGCTGCTATGCCCAGCACCAACGAACTGATGCCAGTTGCAAAGGATGTTACTGGCCCATCGACCCCATACAAGCTGCTATCGGTGAAGGAAGCGCCGATCAGCTCCTCCACCTTGCTGTAGCCAACATCCAGGAACGCTAGCGTGGACTGCATCAAATTGCTGACGCTGGCGTTGGAGGGTTTCACGGACCACGAGCCGGGAACGACGCTGCCATTGAAAAAGGTGTACCGGGCAGTCCACGCCGACGTGTCGCACATGACGAAGAACAGGTAGTAGTCCCAGAAATAGTGGAAGTTATCGACGCTGTCACCCCAGTAGAAGTACTGACTGGTATCGACGGTGGCACTGGCGACGCCGAATGTGAAGGCATTCTGATGGACACGGCTCGGATCTGACCCATTCAGGATCTGCGCGGACGCAGCATCGGGGCCTGAGAAGAAAAAGAGCCGATCGGTCCCAGCGGTCATGTTCGGCAGCGTGAACGCTGGATATTTCGGCCCGCAGTCAAAGTTTGCAGCCGACAAATACTCGCTCGCATTCGTGAGACAGCTGCGAGTCACGAACCTGCACTGGGTTGAGACGGGAAAGGTTTCCGCCACGAAGTCGGCGTTTGATGCAAAAGAGCCAGATCCTGCATAAGCGTACGACGTTGACATTCTGTTCGTCCCGTTCTCGCTCGGAGGAGTGTATGTATATATCGCGGTAGCGAAGGAATCGTTGCTGAGAATGCTCATTCCATCCGCGCTTGGCAAGAAGACGGTACTGCCGTAAAGAGGTTCATATTGGAAAATGCATGGGGACTCCGATTGTGCGTAGAAAGTGTTGTTACCCAGGCACACATACTCGAGCACATAGCTTGAGCCGAAGGTCATATCAGGGTCGACGGGTGTGGCATCGTTGAGCAAGATGCTTTTCGTCGACAAGTGGAGATAGGTGTCTGCGGCAATGATAAACCACCTGGGCGCAGTCAGAGCCAGATACATCATTCGGCGTTGGGGCACCTACGACAAAACAATTGCAACGACGAGGCCAGCAACGCCCAGATTGACGCTCCAGCCTTGGTCATGCCTCTTGACTGCCAACTGTAAATATTCTCTCAGAACTTTCAGCTTCTGCCCCGCGAGAAGGCTCACGAGAAGGCTCACGAGAAGGCAGAACTGCGGCGCTTGGGCTAGGCTGAGCTGAGCACCCCCTAGTTGGCCGCTCTGATACTGTCGTCGCAGCAGAGCTGCAAGGGGAAATCCTAGCAGGGCCACGACGCAAGCAGTCAATGTGTTGGCAATGGTGCTCGACCACGACGCGATAAACACAAAGGTTGCAGCACTTATGTCGACATAGTAGACCCCAGGTTCATCCTTTTCCCCAAGGACAGCAAAGGTAGGATTGGGGTTTGGTGTATGTGACGTGCGCTTGTGGTATAAGAGCTATAAGAATGCTGCAGAGAAGGCGGTCATTGGCAAGCATATGAGCAGGAAGTTGAGGACGATCCAGCCTAGCGCCTTTCCTTGAGACACGGGTTTCCGGAAGGGGTCCAGTGTTTGAGATGTCTGTTGCGCTTCCCTTTCAATTGCGGTAATGGAGGCGTATTTCGCAGAGGAATACTGCGAATTAGCCATGTTGGGAAACCCTCGGATAGGCGAGCCAGAGGGAATTCGTGAAATATCGACATCATTAGTCGTTTTGAATGGGAGAAGAACTTGTCTTATAGCTTGTATTTAGTGGCGGGCAACGGTAAAGACTTGCTAGAGTCTGCGCGAGGAAGACTGCTGTCAAAAGCCTCACCAACAACGCCAGTAGACAGAATTCCACGTAAGGGCGCCATGGTACAAAATCCCCACGCCGTGATTGGGTTCTGAGCACGCTTGGATTGAAGATTGTCGAACTTGGGCAGCTAGCCCCGAGACATGCCGTGTTGAATACGAGGTGTTGATAGTTGCGAGTCGAGGCCTGGGCCGAGAGCTGAAGCAAGGATGCTAGTGTCCCATCCGCATGCAGCGAGTCTAGACCTCTCTCAGACAGCTGGGCGCAGTCGTCGACCGCAAACCAGAGCTACTGCTGTCACTGCTGGCCGCAGACAAAAGCTTGTTAGACGTCAATGGATCTTTGGGAGCCCTTTTCCAAAATTGGCCCTTCCACGGATTGGATGAGGAGGCAAACAGGGCGGTGCTTGGTAAAGCTTGGAGGAAGCTTGTACCGCAAGTGGCTCATTGAACCGGGAGCCCGAGTGCAGAGCCTCGCTTGATGCCATCTCGACTTAGGCGCAGACAAGAGGCAAGCGCCAGGCGGCAAGTGTGGCCGACACCAAGCTGTGCCTCGACTGGACGTTGTTTCTTGCAAGTTGGGGTGCGTAGATCGCCAACTCCTCCGCAAAGAGGGGCCCCTTTGCATCCCATACACCCCCGCAATGCGTGGGGACGAATTCGAGAACCACTGATTGGCATCAAGCACGTGGTAGAGTAATCTACGACGAACTGGTCTCGTCACTCGTCTTGGACAGGAATACCCAGAAGTATAGGATAGTTATTGATTCATCTTTGCTACAGAATTCTGCACCCACCCATGGGACAGACCTCCTGTTGAATCTTTAGAGTTGATTGTCCTCTGTATAGGGGGGGATAGGACATCGCAAGGTACAATCCTAGCAGCGATGTGGTTTTCTCTTCAATAGATCCATATTACGTCTGTGAGAAGTGGGCCTTGATCAATGATGCTACCCGAGATCACTACGGCGTACTTAGTTCGGTACTATCCTGCCAAGGCGCTAGAGCCTTCAACCTTGGCAATAGGCGACCCAATTCACGTTAGCCCGAAAGGAGCACAGGGCGGCACCACTCCCGTCCCGATCCAGGATGAGACACGGCACTGCGGTGGCAGATCATACTGGTTTCCCCGCATCCGATTTCAAGGCGGCGGTTTTGGAGATGGTGAATATGTTCGTTCAAATTTCAAATTCTTGCCGTTAGAGCCTCCGGGAACAGAAATCCTACAATAGCGCACGCAGCAGGACATGGACGAAGTATCCATACCTGGCGCTTTTCCCTCCGCTGCAGACGAGAACGTTCCCAGCAACAGGACACCAAAGAGACGGTTCGTGGGTAGACGGACTGCCGAAGCGCAGGCAAGACAGAGACGAGATGAGACTGACAATTCCGCTCTGGAAGAAACCACCGCGGTGGTCCACAATGGTAACGCATGTCTTGCGGTCGTTGCTGCGGCCCGTGCATCCTAACAGCGAGACAGGTCAACGGAAGACCCCGAGAGCCTTGAACCAGGTACCTCCCGAAATCCTCGATGACCCCGATATCCGAGCGGCGATTGCCCTGCTCCCTCACAATTACAGCTTTGAGATCCCCAAGACCATCCACCGGATAAGGACGCTCGAGGCCAAAAGAGTGGCTCTACAATTCCCAGAGGGGTTGCTGATGTTTGCCACGACCATATCAGACATCCTGACGCAATTCTGCCCGGGCACAGAGACTCTGATCATGGGAGACGTCACGTACGGCGCATGCTGTATCGACGACTACACTGCAAGAGCCCTGGGCTGCGACCTACTTGTCCACTACGCTCATAGCTGTTTGATCCCCATCTCGGCGACCAAGATTCCCACCCTCTATATCTTCGTCGACATCTCCATCGACACGAAACACCTGGTGAGCACCCTGTCTCGAAACATTCCGCCGGGAAAGACGATCGCCATGGTGGGTACCATCCAGTTCAATGCCACACTCCACACAATCAGGCCTGCCCTGGAGGCCGAGGGTCTGAAGTTGGTGGTCCCGCAGATCATGCCGTTGAGCAAGGGCGAGGTGCTGGGTTGCACTGCGCCCAAGATCAGCCCGGACACCACTGTTGATCTGATCCTATACCTGGGCGATGGCCGCTTTCACCTGGAAGCAGCCATGATCGCAAATCCACATATCCCAGCCTATCGATACGATCCCTATTCTCGAAAATTGACCAGAGAAACGTATTCGCACGATGAGATGCTGGACATGCGCGCCGCTGCCATCAGCACCGCGAGAAAAGCCAAGAGATGGGGTCTTATACTGGGAGCTTTGGGGAGACAGGGCAACCCTCACATCCTGACCATGATCGAGAAATACCTTGACAGAGAGGGGATACCGCACGTCAACCTTCTGCTCAGCGAAATTTTCCCTGGAAAGCTCGCACTGTTTGAAGATGTGGATTGCTGGGTGCAGATAGCTTGTCCCAGGCTCAGCATCGACTGGGGGTATGCGTTCCCACGTCCGTTATTGACACCCTACGAGGCTCTTGTGGTGCTGGGGGCGAAGCAAGGCTGGGAACAGGGGGATGGGACTTATCCCATGGACTTCTATGCCAACAATGGTCTGGCGCGGACGACTGAGAAGCTTGCAGCGCAAGTTGGAGTGACGGCGTGAAGCCACTTCGCAGGCAGGTCGACAAGGAGGGAAACGTTAGACGCAAAGTCATGAGCAGTCCTGTATAAACAATGTACAAACCCTATTAATGGCACTTCTCCATACTCCTGCATAGACTCTGCAACGTCCACCGTGAGGCTCGAGTTGCCGAAGTTCTCCCGCCAACCCGCGACCTCGAACTTTGGCTCTTTGTTCATCCGCCTTTTGTGCAACTCTGGCTTCCCCTCCCAAGGGCGACCGACTTTCCTTGTCAACACTCAGCCTCGCCGGCGTGGAATGCATTCGGACATCCATGTAGCCGTCCGCTTCCATGATCAATCCGTGTTTGCGGGCGAGCAGCTCCGGTGCACCATCACCTTCAGAAATGTCGCAACCACGTCCGAGCCGCCCACGCCTTCGTTCCAGAGCCTGCGGAGGCAGAGGCGCGAGAGCATCAGTCAGCTTGCCGCCGCGCAGTCGACCAAGCCCAGCACTGTGCTGAGGCTGAGCCAGAATGGCCAGAATGGCCGGTCGACCGGCCACGAGCAGGCTGCTGACCAGGCTGGCCGGCAGGTGCCATTGGGGTCATCGTACACAGACAATCCGGCCCACGTTCAAAGGCCAGCTCACAAGCAACAGAGATCCGTGTCGATAATCTCGCTGACTTCTCCGACCATTGCGGGCGATCTCGAACACGGCGCGCCTGGGGGCTGGACCAAGCCAAAAAAGCCGAGTCACTCACGCTCCTCCACCGTCCAGATTCATCATGGTTAGTTCTCCTATATAGTCTAATGGCAACCACAGCTCATCGAGATATAGCTCCGCAAAGAAGAACCAGTCAGCAGTATCACCGGGACTCTCAGACGAGTCTTCAACTGCCACCCAGAGGCGGTCGTCGAAGTCCCTTGTCGGCAGCGGCTGGTGGGAGTCGGGATTCCTCCTCCGACTTTAGACATACTGCGGCCATAGACAACACTAGAAGCCAGCACTCAGACAACGAGCCCAACGACCTGCAAATCCCCAGCCCTGTCGATTCGGGCGAGGCTGCTAAATCTTCGAGGACTGGCCCCGACCTTTCTAGCGAAAGGAGCAGTGGCGATTTCTACTCCCTCAGCAACCACTCGCAAGAGACACTCATGTCGGAGCAACCTTCAATCATGTCAGACCATCGGCCTGCTTGGATCAACTCTACGGTCATGCCCCGGCGACCGCCGTTGAGGCCGGCGCACCGGCCGCAAGCCGTTAACCTTCTGATGGGCTACGCGCAGTTGAGCGCCACGTTCACGCTGGACGCCTCGCTGATCGACCAGTCGCACTTTGAGGAAGTAAAAAGCAAAGGGTTCCTCGGCGGCCAGGCGGGCGGCGGCGTGGTCGGGGTCAAGAAGCCGCGGCCGAACAGTGGCTTCCTGGGACATTTCAACCTCAACGCCCTGGGCGGCTCCTTGAACAGCCTTATGGGGGGGGAAGATATGAGCAGCGTCAAGGAGATGCACGCCGTGAGCAACTCTCGCGCCATCCCCATTCTCTCCACGCCGCAGTCGCTGTTGTTCGTCGATATGCACCTCGAGCCCGGCGAGGAGCGGACCTATTCTTACAGCTACCCGTTACCTCGAGGCTTACCGTCCAGTCACCGGGGCAAGGCCATAAAGATTGCATACAACCTCACGGTCGGCGTCCAGGGCGTGCCTGGGAGTCGGGACGTGCACACGGTTCGGCAAGTCAGCATCCCAATCCGCGTCTTCCCAGGAGTCAGTCACGACGGCGAGATCTACGGCCATGATCTGATGCAACCCCATGTTATTCTGCGCGATCTCGCTCGTACAAAGTCTATCTCTGCCCCGCAGGACCAGGAGGAAGGAGGCACCCCGACGACTCAGTCGGCTGAGAAGTCCAGCGTGGAGTTTTTGCAGTTCGTGGACACGCTCCTCGACCACAATCGCCGCCGGCAGTCGAGCTCGGGGACGATGGAGGCATTTCTGAACACCCAAGACGCGGGGGGCCGCGGAAAGGCGCTTCATGCCATCGACCGAGCAATCCTCTACAGCAACTCCCTGTCGGATAGCGAGTCGAGCCCCAACCGCTTCGAGATTGCACGGAACGGATCGCGCGTCGCGGTCATTGTTATTGACCGGCCCCTCCATCGATTGGGCGAGACAGTCACGGCCGTCATCGACTTCTCTGAAGGCCAAGTCCCCTGTGCTTCGCTGAAAGCGACCCTCGAGACGTCGGAGAAAGTCGCGCCCTCCCTCGCAGTCAGGTCCGTCCACACGATCAACCGCATCACACGGAAAGTCTACGCCGCCCGCTCCGAGAACATCCTCTTCGCCCAACGAGCCACGTTCGCACCTAGTATCCCGGCCTCCGCAACACCCACGTTTGTCACCTCGGGGGTCAATCTCGACTGGAGTCTTCGTTTCGAGTTTGGAACCATCAAGCCAGTTGAGAATGACCAGGGCGAGTTTAAACTCGTGACGCATTTGCTCGAGGAAGTGGTCAACGATGAGCGAGGCACGGTGAATGTTGCCGCGGAAAATCTCGAATGCGACACTTTTGAGGTGGTGATCCCCATCACCGTGTATGGCGATCTGGTCCCTGATGGCAAGGAAGGCGAGGAGATTGTCGGTATCCCGGTTTGAAAGCCTTTCACGGCTTGTACAATGTAAATTCAAGAACTATAAACCCAACATACGCGAGCAGCATGGCCAGGCCAACCAAGCGATGCGTGCCGAGCAGAATCATGACGGTCAAAAAGGCCGAGGACGTCCAGGTCCACACGATCTCGTTGGTGTAACTCGAGCCTTGGGCAAGGCTCTTTGAGCTCAAGATGGTCACGCCGAGGCATAGGGTCAACAAGAATATGTTGCTTCCTACAGTATTCGCCACCATGCTGACCTCGCGTTAGTGTCGGAGATTTGTATGCGAGACGATGTAATCAATCTTTTGTGGGGACTGTGTTGGCAAACACAAATTGCCAGATTTGGGGGGTTTGGAACTTACATTCCTGGGTGGCCTCGGTACCCGCTGATGACAGCGACAAACTTCTCTGGTAGAGTTGTTGCCAGGGACAAGAGGGTCGCTCCAAATACGGTTTCGGAGACGTTGAATCTCGCGGCTAGTGACTGGGAGGAGTGTGAGAGGACATAGCCGCTGATGGAGAGCGCGACGAAAGCCAGGATCAGCTTGACCAGATAAAACAGAGTGGAGGGCCGCGTTCTCCTGCGACCTATCAAGGCACTTGACTCGTCAACGCCCTCCGGCCCTGGGTTTCCCTCACGAGGAATCCCCCCCCCGGGAGCAGATCGCACCTCCGGATCTCCCTCAGACTCCGAGTCCGAATCATCATCGTCATCCGACTCTGCATCCGACTCCTCAGGTGCGTCCAGGACGCCCCGATAGATGGACCAACCGATCCCCGCCAGATACAGCCCGAAGACGACCACCAAGACCGCTCCGTAGACATGACCCTCGAGCTGGCCGAATCCCCAAAGCACCGCCACGCCCGTGGTGACGCCGAACAGGACGACGGCGTAGATCTTCGCGCTGACGTCGTACCGGACGATGGCCTCTCCCTGCGCCAAGACGCCCAGTGAAAACGCGCCGAGGATGTTCGCGACACAGCTTCCCAGCACGTTCCCCAGGGCGAGTTTGGGTCGTCGCTGGGCGACGGCGGCGACCACGACGGCGAGTTCTTCCCACTCGGCGCCGGCCGTGAGGAGCGAGATGAGCGTCTCCGAGACGTGCAGGCGGTGGGCGAAGTGGGCGGTGGAGGAGATGAAGACATCGGCCGAGATGCCCAGCGTGTAGATGCTGAGGAGGAAAGTGCACAGAGGGAAGAGGGTCGAGTCGATGGAAGAGGCATCAGTGGCCATGGCCATGGCCATCTTCGTGGAGCTGGATCTCTCGCACCTAGATCATAAAGTTCAAGACGAGATAGGTAGTCCAACTTTGGCCCAAGTCTTTAGGAATGTCGCTAGTTACTATGTCGTTGTCGATACTGTCATTGATGACGGTGAAGTCACCAGAAGCGGAGGAGCAGAAGCAATGATGAATGCTAGTCATAACAGCCCTCTGCGGATTTCGACTTCAGAAAAGCCTAGCGGTGGATAGGTGAAGAGAGCATCTGTCTTTCTCCTCCAAAGGGGGATGCTGTAGCACCGTACATGTCTTCCTCCTCTCTTGGACGTCCTGCGCATCATAAGAGGGGTTCGAGGGAAGAGGCTGTGAAAGGTAGAAAGAGACTTTGCTGTTTGCTGAGTTTGTTCTGTTTGCGTTGTTTGCTTGAGCTAGAGTATTTGGCAACTAGCCCGATTCTAGCGAGTGTTTCTCGAGGTTCATCACTACCTGCTACTCAGTACTCATCTTCACTTCTGAACCCTCCCGTGCATCATCAGGAGCTCATGGAGTAGTGATGGGTCTGGGCTATCAAGATGTCTCTTCATGAGCGATGTTTTTTGTCAAGTGAGAGAGAGAAAATAGCACTGTTCCCAACCAGCCTTTTTTATGCAATCTCCCCCCAGATCTCGCCAAACCAACTGTGGGATCTACCTTTCTCCTGTGGCCATCGTCTCATGCTGCGGATCCTCGAGGTTTCTGTGTCCCCTCTTTCCAGGTTGCTGGATCCATGCGGCAACAGGATGCGGCATACTGCTATTTGTTCTTGTTCTGGGATCTGGGGCCTTGACCAAGACTCGTGGAAACTATGGTCCGAACATCGCTGTTTGATGCACCCGAATAACAAGCTGGGGCATTGGGAAGGGAGGATCTCGACCTAGACTACCTCACATCTCGGCGGTCATGTCTGATAGGTTCTTGTGGGAGTGTCCACGGGGAGCGTTTCATGGTTAGCGAAGGCATTTTTGGGCTGTGGCACACCAAAGTATGTATTCTACCAGTCTTGCCTGCAAGAACAGCCTTGGAGGATGAACTTCAGTCGGTCGAAAACTGTTGTTTCATTCAATTCTCAATACTGGTGTAAATACGCGTAGAGGTCCAACTTTCTCCAGACACCCGCCCACGCACCACCAGTGCTACAATTACCGCCGCTCCACCCCTTCATCCCGTCCTGCTTCCGTTTCGCTACAGAATCACAGTCCTGTTTTCTTCTTTGGGGATTCTTGAAGTTTCCGCTTACAACTTGGCACCCTGCGCCTCCTTATACCTCCTCCTCTCCAGCGCCTTCAGCTCGGCGCGCTTGATCTTGCCGGAGATGGTCTTGGGCAGGAAGGCGGCGTCGACGAACTCGATGCGCCGGGGATATTTGTACGGCGCCGCGTTCTGCTTGCAAAAGTCCTGCAGTTCTTTGACCAGCGCGTCGCTGGCCGCGCGGGACGCTTTGATCTTGGAGGCGGCCGACTCGGTGAGCACGACGAAGGCCTTGACGACTTCGTCGCGTTGCGGGTCCGGCGAGGAGACCACCGCGGATTCGACCACGGCGGGGTGGATTTTGAGGGTCGATTCGACTTCGAATGGGCCTGCGTATTTGTCCGTCATTGGTTAGCGAAATCTTCACTGCAGGAGCTAAACGCGTCCTTGGTAATGTTGTTCATTGGAGCAAGGATGATAAGCCAGCTGGTAAGGCTGTTGCGAATCGGCAAGGATGGGCATTTCCACTCATGACTATGCAGTCACATATATCATGAGGAATGCCACTCATCAGATCTGGTAGGCACCTTTGTGCCCAAACAACATCCCCCAAGCGGCACACGTTTCAAACAGAGATGTTAGCAGAGCCAACTCACCTATCCGGTATCCACTCGAGTTAATCACATCATCAGCTCGGCCCACGAACCAGAAATATCCATCTTCGTCTCTCGTCGCGCGGTCGCCCGTGACGAAAAACATCTTGCCGTTTGAGTAGGTCTTGATTTTCGTGTCGAGAACCCCGGTGGACTTGTCAATGTATCCCTCGAAAAATCCAAAGAAATCGGTGTCAGCCCTCGTCTTGGACACCGAGATGGCGATATCTCCCTCAGCTCCGGCGGGTACAGCAGCTCCTTCGGAGTCGATGATGGTCAGGGGTACGCCGGGGAGCGGCTTGCCCATACTGCCGGGCTTGACCTTGTTGACTCTCTGATTCGCGCACACGACTATCGTCTCGGTCTGTCCGTAACCGTCGAAGATCTCGATCCCGCCCGTCATCTCCTTCCAGATGCGGACCACACTCTCATTCAGAGGCTCTCCCGCACCACAACAGTGGAGCAACGCTTTTGGCGTGCCTTGTTCCGTCGCGAAAAAGCGCCGGCTCTCATCAAGGACAAGTTGGCGGTACACCGTCGGTGGAGCGCAGAGAGTCGTGATGGGGAACTTGTTGAGTACCTCGAGGGTTCGGCGCGGGTGGAACGCCAGCCTGTCGTCGTGGATGAAGATGGTAGCGCCGCAGTTCCACGTCGACAGCCACGACCACGCAGCTTTCGCCCAGCCTTGTTCCGAGAGGTTCCAGTATATCTTGCCGGGTGACAGGTCCAACCAGTGCATCCCCGTGAGGGCGTGCGCCAAGGGATATGATGTCTGCGTGTGCAGAACCATCTTTGGTGGGCCTGTCGTGCCGGAGGTGAAGAATATCATGCCCGGAGACTTTGAGCTCAACGAGCTCGGGACGGGAAATTTTGCGTCGGCGGGGATCTTGCCCAGTGCCGAATGAAAGTCAATGACGCCCGAGGGCGCCGTTCCATCGATCTGGATGATGGTGCGCAAATTGGGACAGGTTTTCCGGACCTTGAGGCATTTGGCAACCGATGTGGCGTCCCCGATGAACGCGGTGGCATGAGAGACCTGAAGTCGGTACTCGATGTCCTTGTCCACCAACAGCGTCGTACACGGGCACAAGATGACCCCCGACCGGAGGCAGGCCGTCGCGGTCTCCCACCATTCTGGGACTCGGGGTGCGATTATGATGGCTGTTTCGCCCTGCTTGATGCCGAGTGATGCAAAAAGAGATGCTATGCGTTGCGACTGGCGCGAGAAATGGCTGTATGTCAATTGTTTTGTCGTGCTGAGAGATTGGTCGGTCCAGTAGAGCGCTACGTGGGAGGGATCCCTCCAGGCCCAGTGGTCGACGACATCACTGGCGAAATTGAAAGATGGGGGAAGGCGTAAAGGGGAGACCGGGACAACGGAGGTCATGTCAGGCGTTTTGCAGCAAGTGAATTTTCCCGTGGGGGCATCTACTGCGATATAGCAATATCTCGTCTACCGTGTCCCAGGCCTCTTGTGTATAGGTTAGTCGAAGCTCGAATGCAGAAGGGAGGAGAACCTCAATATATATATTTTGTCTTCGGGGATCGATCAGGACTTCATTCCGGGGAGATGGATCGACCTTGCGGGCACGGACCGGGGGGAGAAGGGGATTGGACCTCGGCGAGGCTGGGGGGACAGTGGGGACGGCATGGGCCACAAACAGCACAAAGTTGCCAAGGCTCTGCGGAGGACGCGGAGCATAATATGCGGGGTTCGGAATTTCGGAACTTTTCTCCGATGTACACAGACGTCCTAGGAGTGTGCTCCGACATCATCACGCATGACGCCGTACCGAGAATCTCGTAGTCCTCGACAACCAAGGCTGGACTTGGAAACGCCTTGATGCCTCAGTGCTACGGACTATTTGTCTGAGACAATGCCCTCTCTCATGGCGCCTCTACGCTCTGGGACCCCCTTGTGGATGGGCTGGGATGGGCCAGCAAAGACCTTCAGGACCTTGAGGACCTGTATGGCAGCCCACTCCTTTCTCAAGAGGTAAAGATATGATCGTATATTAAAACCAGGTAGGCCCCTAGACCGCACCCCAGATATTGACACATTCGGCACCACGACCTAGAATGACTGAGTCGCAACCCCAAACCCGACTTTCATCACCTCCTGGGCCCTCCATGGGTATCCTTACCCTTCCTCCCGAGATCCGGTCGCAGGTGTATGTCGAGTGTGTTAAGATCTCCGCGCTGGGGCTTTTGTACGCCAACAAGCAATTCCACAACGAATTTATCCCTTTCCTCCGAGAAAAGTTTGTTCTTGGTTTCCACATCGACCCTGCAGCGTCGTCTACGGTGGTCACACTCATCAACTCGGACGACTCCCCATGGGGCATCAACGCGTGCACCATCGATGCCACCTCGGCGCACCCGAACTACGACATACTTGACAGGATGCCGGTGGACCGCTTTCGAGGCATCCGGATCCTAGTCGATGCACCAAATCCCAAAGACCCTGGGCAACTGGTGCGAGGCTGGCTCCAGGCCAACCGACTCATGACGGTGTTGCTGCCGCGATCGTTCGACCCGGGCTGGCTGCCCAGAGACGAAACCGAATACTACGTCCCAGCAGCAAGGTCAACAAGGAGCCTCCCACCAGTTACAATCCACGTCCGGGAGAGGGGCTCTCGGAGATGGCATGACGGGAAGGGTTGGCACGTCAGTGTCCCCGACTTTAGCGAGTGGGATCCCGCCACGAACACCGCGGCCATCAGGCGCCAGAGAGCCAACTCTGACCTGCTCGTCCTCTTGACGCCGTTCGCCCGTATCAGGCACGCCGACGCCGTGACCGTCAACCTACCCCGCAACGCGCCGTCGCATCGAGCGGTGGATGTCTTCACAGCATTCCTCGCCTTCCATGGCGCGCAGCCCCGCTCCTTCGGGCTGGACATACGCCACGGGGCGATCTGGGACGACGACGACACCCTCGCCCTCGAAGACGCCCTGCACGTGTGGCTCGACTACCTCCTGGACGACATGGAGGGCCCCACGGCCGCGCTGCTGCGGCGCGACCGGTTCAAGTTCTGGTGCTCCGAGTACGAGTACCAGATGGGCCACCGCTTCTACGGCTCCATCCGCGACGGCCGCTACGCCGGCGACGCCCGGACGTTTCTGGAGGACGACCTGTTCAACCAGATCGCCCGGACCTGGCACGACCGGTTCATGAGCGCGCGGGAGCACGTCGTCGCCGGGTACCGGGACGCGCTGAGGCGGCAGGGGCGGTCGGTGTATCTGAGCACGCATAAGGAAGAGGCCGTGTGGCGGTACGCGCGGGAGCTGCAACAGCTCGGCCTCGTGGGAGGCGGCAAGAACCGCCACCTCGACGACGACGACAACGCCGACGACACGTTCTGGGAGACCTGCTACCCGCACGGCATCGCGCGCAAGTCGCGCAACGAGTCCTGGGACGACACCGTGCACCTCGTCCCGCCGCTGCTCTACCGGCTCGAACCCCCCGAGCGCAGCGACGTGCCGGCCTGCAAAACGTTCCCGTCCTTCGTGGGCGCCTGGTGCGCCTGCGAGAGCGACTGGTTCTACACGCTCTTCATCATGCATCTACAGCAGCCCCTGCGGGATTATCTGTTCACGTTCAATCCCAGACCTGGCGCGCCGCGCTTGCTGGGTCCGATTGAGTGAGACCGATCCTCTTCACGGGAGCTCAGGCGAATGTAATACACCGGTGTGGAGGCATATGGTTGCGGATAATGTGGGCTGGCAGCCAGGACGCAGAGGGACTCATCCATGGTATTTTCAGCGTCTACGATAGTTTATTGTACGAACAGATAGTATATGAAGCGCGCAGTGAGAATTGGATTTCTGGATTCAGATTCGATGATTAGGCGAGGCATCCATCTATTCAAGAAGCTCCTCGTGCTGTGAATTAGGTTATCGACAGAATGGGCCCTCCAAGCAAGTAGGAGTAGTCAGTCATCCCAGGAATTCCAAAACTTTTGTGACAAGCCCTTCCGCATGCCCCTGTGTCGTCCATCATGCCTGTGGCCATGATTCCCCTGTCCTGGCAGCGAGAATCTGAATCGAGCTTCGATTCTCGCGCCGCAGTGCCAACTATCGGCGTGATTGTTAATCTTTCCGGGAGTGACAAAGCGCCCTCCTTTGGTGTTCCTACTTCTCCAAGACGCCGTCGCCTTCATGGCCAACCCCGACAAAGCTCAGCCCAATATGCGCCCTATCCAACCATTAAAGCCCATCTCCCACCCGCCAACATTTCACCGTATTATGCACGGCCCACCCTCGCGGGTCGGGTCGACAGAGAGAAGAAAATTCGTGCATCTGGGTATCACTGACAGAACACAAACCATGAAGGTGGAAAGGGGGAGCACTGCTCTACCTATCATGCCCGAGAACAAAACACTTTTTCGTTTTCTTTTCCAGAAAAAGTGTTTCGGAGCGCAACAGGGGATTCATTCTTGGGGTTCTTGTGAGAGTCGTGGCTTCTTAGCAATGTGTCCTTGGTCATTAATTTCTTGGAGTCGTCGCTGCAGCTCTTCGGCCTTGTGCCTCCATTCTTCGCGTTCTTGGATGGCTCGGTCTCGTTCCCGGCACAGATTCTGTTCGTTATCGTGGTACACCATGTTGATGACTTCCAGCTCGGAAACTCGGGTGCGGAGGCGCGTGTTGAGGGCAGCTAGTTGATCATAACTCATGGGGGGTTCGACGTGTTGGCTGTTGTGCATGGAGACCGTGCTTGGGGAGGGTTGCGTGGGGTTGAGATGGAGAGACGGATCCGTGGGAGAGCCGTTGTTGTGATTGTTGCCGTTGTAGTGAGAGTCCACCGTGGCAGACACGCCGTCGAAGACATGTTGAGGAGCGATGTTAGGGTCGTGGTGAGCCCCAGGGGTCCCTGTGCGCGAAACGGGCGAGTGTGATCTATCAGAGGTGACAGATGCTGCCATCTGTGAAACCCGCCGGTGAGGATTGATGCCATTGGAACTGTCGGTCTGAGGAGGCTGGCCCCCATTCTGCTCAAACTGCGCTCTGATGTCAGAAGCATGCGCGGCACCGGGGAAACCATAGAGGGTGACTGACCTTCTTCTTTGGACCTTGACTCGAGGTTTTGACTCGATTGCGACTCTTGATTACGTCTGTCTTGAGGCTAATCGGTCTCGGGCGGCCATGCAGCTTGAGAAACAGGCCGCAGGCATTGCAGAGAACGGAGCCGGCTTCGTCGCGGCGCCATAGCGGAGTAGTCGACGTCTGGCAGTTTTGACAGACGGGCTGTACGAAAGGGGCATTCTGGTCAGCGCCTGAGGATATTGAAGCAGCCATGGTATTTTCCGTGGTGATCGAATCCAAGGAATCGCAGGTTTCGATAACGATAAGAAACCGAAGTTTAACCCCGTGACCGACCAACTGAAAACTGCCTGCCACCAGTGCAGCCTTGGCATCAATCCATGCTACCAGGCTGAGGCCCAGACACAACGCAGAGAGACACGAGCATTTGGGCGAGGCAACACGGCAACACAGCAACACAAGGAAGAATCACACTCACCGGAGCATTGCCTGCAATTCCAGGTGTTGGTGCAGGGCCCATACTGCCCGACATGCTGCCCGAGTAACTCATCTGCGAACCATAGCTGCTGCTAGAGAAGGATCTGCCGCCGTGTGTCAGTTTTTATTTCCATCTATTTTGCTTCCTCGCCAAATTCCATCTTCGGCGTACCTGACTGTTGGAGGAGGTGCAGCAGCCGCCAAGGAGGTCAAAGCCGACAGCCCAGGCAGTGCTGGTCGTGGTTCGGAGTGATAGTCACGCCCGAGATTGAAGCTTGCACTTCTCGCATGGAATTGTGGTTGGTTGAAGAAGTGACTGCCCGTGTACGGAAGATTGGTTGACGACGGACGCGAGATGTCCTTTCCATGTACTGCCGGAGGCGGCAAAGGCGAGCTACTCCTTTGTTGATCCCGTCTCAGTGTGCCATATTCCTCCAACCTGGGGTCACTCAACGGCGTCGATGGTTGGCGATAGGTAGGGTCAAGGAGTGAGGCCCGGAAGAGCGGGGGAGCAACTGCGGACGCCGTGTTCAGTGGTGTTTGAGACCAAACCGTGGTCTCGACGGATCTGGTTCGGTGTGAAAGGGACGCCTGTGTGAGGCCACTGTGAAGGATATGATGCCCTGTTGTCAGCAAAAGAATGCCACATGCACCTCGTTGCAATGCGGCCAGCAACAACCATATAATCAAAAAAGAGAGGGTATGTTATCGCAGAACTGGAAGCACGTCTATCGATAGACGGGAATCTTGGAGTATTTTGCTTCACCCAATACAATCTCAGAGTCAGGGGGGGGTCCCATATCGAGGGGATCCTGGTTGGCGAGCACAATATTGGTCCCGCCGAGAAGCCTAACAGCATGTCTAATTGCGCCTTGTCTTGACCGTAAACGCTTTTGTTGAGATGAGCTTCCTACCAGGTACAGAGGTCAACCAGACCAGGGTCAGCAGAGACCGGGCTTGGACATATAGTTACTCGGCCTCGGTGTGCATTACACGAAAGTCGACGGCCTATTGTGAACTGCGCAGTCTGGAGGAGTCCTTTCGAATCGAACTGCATTCAGTCTCTGTGCGACATCCTCGCAGCAGGGCAGCGTGGCGTTGATTCGGCGCTTTAGCAAATCTGGGGAAAGATGAAAGAGATTGTCCAATCTCACGGTGGAGGCACCGGCTTCCGAAGTGCCCCTTTTTCCTATCGCGCCTCCCACACCGTCCCAATAACCTGTGCGCAAATTTGGACGAGGGCCAAATAGCCGCTCGGTGCTCGTTTCTGACTGACTGACGTGCAGATGGGGATCAATAGCTCATCCAAACTGCCTGGGAGGGCGATCTTGGAAAAGCTACGCTCCAGGCCCAAGCTGCGCGGCTCGCCGGCCAGGGCGCCATGGTCGACTACGAAGGTGAAACTCGATCCACTCTACAACTGCCATGCGCGTGGTACAGAAGGATCCAACCGTCTCCTATTGTGGTTCCCGGTCTCTTCTAGCAATGTCACGCGTCAAAAGAAAAAAGCATCTGTCGATCAAGGCCCGCTGTCTGAGATTAACGGCAACCCCTCGCGTAAGGTTCGATGCGCGATCCAACTGCTTGGACTGATGAGGAATAGTTGTGGCTGGTGAGGCGTGCAAAGCTATCTTCAGGGCTTGTGGCTGATAAAGGGAGGGATGGGGAAGCTCGAAGAGAATCGATATTCGGAGATCTATCTGATTTATCTGTGACGATCTCACGGGTATTAGTAGTCTGCATTGCATGAAGAGTGGCCTACAGGTCTGCCGACAAGGCTCAGTACTGTATCCCGTCGCCGTTGATCAAGCCATCAAAAGCTGCGCCTTACGGATCGGGTGTCCAAGCGTGGCATAGATGAGTTCTCGATTCCGTAGGTCGTGGAATAAATGTCCAGAAGGGGGATGAGTGGCTGTCACAGCTGGCGATCTGGATAATGAGTTGCCTCTTTCTCACCTGAAGGATACTCGCTAGACGAACAGGTAGAAGATTGAACACCTTACAAGGCGACTGACTGGTCGGCGAGGGCAGTGCTCTCCAGTCCCTGAGGATGAGGACCTAATAATTCCGTGTGGTGCAGGCATGTGGTGCTGATGTCCTCCGTAATAATGCAAAGACGCACAAAATGATTGGCGCAGTCGCAGCACCTAGCCAACCACTTTGTTCATCGAACAATTCCGGCTCACTTCCTCCGCGTTTCTGGCCCTTCCAGACCAAGTTTCGAGGAACGTGGCTTCAAAGTCACTCCATGCCGACTTCTCGAGTGATTGTGGTCCCGATATTTTCTGGTTCCTAGAGTCGCAGCCGTCAGCATGTGAGAGCCATCATTATACCTTTTAAACCTTGCCCTCCTCTTCTTCCTCCTCCCTACTGGGTGGTGACATCAAGCAATGCCTCGACAGCGACCAACCTCCGGTTACGCTCGCCTGGCGCAGGCGGACGAGGACGACGGCCCGCTGGGGGACGAAGATTCAGGAGATGAGACGTACGCATCCTCGCCCCTAACAACCCGATATGCCTCGATACAGCCGGCTCCGAGGGAGTCGATGCGCTCCGGCGCACACCATGATCCACGACGACGGTCCATGCGACGAGCACGAAGTAATTCCTCGGGTGTGGACATCAAAGCGATCAACGCCCGGCTGGAGAGATGGGCAGAAGAGATCGCTTCCAAGTTCAAAATCAGCTCTGTCAAGGGCAAGACTCAAGAGGAGGAACAACTGGAGATACACCATTCCGTCTTCCAAGCTCCTCCTGGCGTACACCCCTACACTGCCTCCGATCTGGCTGCCTACACTGCTGCCGAAACGCAAAGAATGACCAAACAACAATTTGATGATATCGTGGAAAGCGTCAGAGTCGCCATCGAACTGGGGACACACCCCAAAATGATTTCGCAAGGTAGCTCAGGCAGCTACTTCGCACGCAATAGTGAAGGCAAAGTTGTTGGCGTGTTCAAGCCGAAAGATGAAGAACCCTATGCATCGAGGAATCCCAAATGGACGAAGTGGCTGCACAGGAATCTACTTCCTTTCGCCTTTGGCCGGGCGTGCTTGATCCCCAATTTATCCTACGTGTCGGAAGCTGCCGCATATGTTTTGGATTCCCAGTTGAGGACATACATTGTTCCGTACACGGACGTTGTCTGGCTATCCTCCAAGGTCTTCTACTACGATTTCTGGGAAAGGAGAAGCACCTGGAGTGGGAAAAGAGGCCTGCCCGCGAAACCCGGCAGCTTTCAGGTCTTCTTGAAAGGATATAGAGATGCAAATCTTTTCCTGCGCGAGAACCCCTGGCCGGATCAAGCAACCGAGTTTCGTGCAGATATGGAGCATACACGAAAGAGAAGACCCCTGAGCCATTGCCTTCCTGGTGGACGGGGATCAGATGAGGAAGACGACGAAGAGGCCCCTCGAGTCGTGTCGCCCCCGCCGTCAGAAGAGGCACCAAAGTTTCATTGGACGCCTGCCATACGGCAGGCTTTTCGGGAAGAACTGGAGAAATTGGTGATCCTTGATTACATCATGCGAAACACTGATAGGGGCCTCGACAACTGGATGATCAAAATTGACTGGAAGACGGAGGAGGTTTCGATCGTGGCAGAGCCGCCAAAACCGAACGGCTCCACGGAGAACGGAGATGCACACCTGCAACCGGCATCAGTAAGCCCCAATATCAATCCTCAACGGCCAGAGTCAAATACCTCCAGACCATATAAGCGGTATGAGGCGATGGAGAGTCGATCAGGGACGCCGTCAAACAACCAGGAACTCCAGTGTTCCATCACCATCGGGGCCATTGACAATAGTCTGTCATGGCCCTGGAAACACCCAGATGCCGTATGTATACATATTATCACCCGCAGTTGATGTATGCTAACTTATCTTCCAGTGGCGAAGTTTCCCATTTGGCTGGTTGTTCTTGCCCGTCTCCTTGATCGGGCAGCCATTTTCAAAGAAGACCCGGGATCATTTCCTCCCTCTACTGACTTCAACCGCGTGGTGGAGCGAAACCCAAATGGCTCTACGGAGAGTCTTTGCGTTGGACGCAGATTTCAAAGAAAGCATGTTTGCGCGGCAAATTGCGGTGATGAAGGGGCAAGCCTGGAATGTCGTGGAGACACTGAAACAAGAAGACCACGGGCCTTTGGAACTGACAAGGCGCACCAGAGTATGCGTCTGGGACGATCTGGTGGATGTCCCTGTGGCGATCCCCATGCGCGTCCCTTCCACCGAGATGAATCGCCGCGCAGCACGTAATTATCAACAACAAGAAGAGATGGACATAGGGGCATCCTACGCTTCTGCGCCGCCTGGCAGACACCAAGCACCACAATACGACCTTCTTGGCTCTCCAACGAATGAACTACCCAATCCAAACCGCTTCGACCTCACTCGTGAAGACAGCGCGGCTGATCTGGGCTATCTGCCCGGCCCTGGCGAAGATGGTGGCTTTGACTCTATGGACTTTGCTCGAGAGGCTCGCAGTAGTCTCGGCCACCATCCAAACGCTCATACACTCCCCGCTCGTCCCTCCGCGAAGGGCAAGACACGCTTCAGCTTCGAATTTCCTCGTCGTGTCGGCGACAGTTCTACCCACAGCAACAACGCGACCTCGAAGGAACGCGCCACGCGGAGACAACGGTCCATGTCAACAAGAAGTGGCTATGGCGGCCACAAACCGAGATCTGTGCCGAGCATCGTGTACGAGGGAGATGATGTCGATGAGGGGGATTTGGGGTACGCCGCCGCAAGTGACATGGACTCGACGCACAGGAGGAAGGTAATCGTGGAGAGGCTAGAAACGGTAAAGAGCAAGAAACCCTTTTTCACTTGGTGTTAAGAAAGGAAGACATGTGGGAGCCACCCATGGTAAAGGAGGTACAGTGTATATGGCGGGACTATATGTGCATCTAAAGACCAGTGTTTGTGTTTTGTCCGCCTGTCTACGAAGCGGGATACCATCAACTGTTCGGCATTGTTTGGGGGGGTTTGGCATATCTCTGTATAAGAGACAAGATTAAAAAGACGTGTCTCACGATGCATGATGCACGCTTGCATGGCAACTGGTGTCTCGATATACTTACTATGTGAACAAGTGGAAACTGGAATTGGGAAGTAAAAATGGAAAAAAAATAAATGAAGTGCATATTCCGCCAGAATATGGCCATTAGTCAATTGCCGTTTGCACTGCACTTAGTCAATCAATCAATCCATTCGGGTGTGCATGCAGTACGCGCCGTTCTAACGTTCGTCGTGAGGAAGATCCCGATCCGATCCCTAGGACGACCAAACCACCTGTCTGTGTCGATGGGGGTAGGAGTGGTGCTACTGCTGGTTTGATACGGGCTCAAGCTGGTCTTTTGATAGCATAACGTGGCATGGCATGGCATATCCCGAGACCGCATCGTCTGGAAGAAGGACGAACGGATTCGATTATAGGTATTCTTCTGCGAGAAACGCCTTTGACGCCGGTTCCCGAAAGCCCCCATCGCTTATCCCTCCCTGTCCACACCTATTCAATCATCCTTGTTCTGTCAAGTCGGTGTGACTCGGACGGCAGGGTCATAGGGCGCTGGTGGCGTGCGGTGGATTTGTCCGGAAGGGGAGAGAGATTGTCTGATTGGTTCCATGCAGAAAGACTCTCCCCGTCCTAGCGATCCTTGCATCTCCCTCTCGTGCCCACGCTCTACGAGAAATCTTCCTCCTCCTTCTCGATCGCATTCTTCACCCTCAGAAGCAGTGTCGTCTTCCACTTGTCCAGCTTGCTCAACGAATCGAACTGGAATAGCTTGTCCGAAAAGGCCTCTTGGTCTCCTTCCTCCACACACCCCACCAGGTCCGTTAGCAGCATATTCTCCCTGGTGCTTGCAAAGCTGCCGTCCAGCTCGCGATACTGCTCCAGTGCTCTCTTGGTCGCCACTTGATCGCCTGCAGCGAGATAGCATATGCCGGCTTTGAGAAAGTAGTCCTTGACGCTCCAGCGCATCAGATTGTTGTTTAAGCTCGACTTGGCCACGGCTTCGAGTTTGCCGATCGCGTTCTGGTAGTCGCCTTCGAGTGCCGCCAGGTCAGCAACTTTCAAGTACAGTTTGTTTGCCAGTGCTTCGGCGTTGTCGCTCTCGTACCACTGTGCGGCGGTGTCATACGCCTCCAGGGCCTTTTTCTGATCGCCAAGCTCCATCTCATACACTTCGGCGAGGTTCTGCTGATGTGTAGCCGCGCGGCGGAAGTTGCCCTTCGTGGTGTAGTGTTGTATGGCGGTGCTGAGCACGCGGGCAGCGTCTTGGGGGGACTCTTTACGGTAGACTTTGAAGGCTTCGGTTAGGGTATTGGCCATGTCATCGGGTTCATTGAGCTTGGACTGTTGGATTGAGGCGGCCTTTTCAAAGGCTTTCCCAGCCTCCAGATCTGTTTCAAATGATATTAGCATCATTCTCCGCCATCTTCTCGGAGCAATGCCTGGTGCTTACTCTGCTTCTGTACTCGGAACGCATTTGCGGCCTGCGTGTAGAGATCCGCAGCGTTCTCCCATTTTTCTCCTCGTCCGCCAAATAAACTGAACCCCCCGGTGGCACCCTGGGCGGCTTTTTCGGCCTTCTGTAGTAATACTCGCGGATCTTGAGCCATGGGTGAAGTCAAGGTGAAGGAGGGTGATAAAGCAGAGAATGTGATGTGCGAGATGCAGGGCCTATTATGGTCTTGCAGTTATCTTGGACGATATATGGATGAGAGGAGGTTACAGACTCTGAGATCAATCAGTGACCGGTGGTATAGGTGGCTCCTGGAACAACACCTGTTTGATAAATGGACTTGCGTACCACTGTCCAAGCGCAGCGCAGCCCCGCCAAAGCGGTCGAGAAATGGTCCCCCGTACAAGACGTCACCATGCTGCTTTAAGCATTTCTTGGACCTGCACGGCTGCGCCGATAATGTTTACTCTCGTCAACCAGCTAGGAACCAATGTGACCCGCGAGCGTACCTAGGGTTGGGGACGGTCTTCCTCTGCATTCCGAAATGCCTCGGATTCCGCGACAAACATTCAACATCCGCACCGCCCTCTCTGGACCTGTCACCAGCCCTGCTCGCGAAAAGGAACTGAGGCTCGTCAAGAAAATTGATATTTCCCCAGAAATCCAATCCCTCCTAGAGACACCCACATGGTCCGTGTCTCAGCTTCTGCCTACGCCATCACGGCGATCTAAAACGAGAGACTCGACGACAAGCACAGACAAGACTTCATCCGAAGCACCGGCACAGTTGAGAGACGAAGCTACACCGAGCTCGAAAGAAATAACGCGTGAGAAACTACATCACCTCCTCCGCCTCTCCGCACTCCCTCTCCCTAAAAACCAAGCCGAAGAAGCCCAAATGCTCCGAGACCTGCGCGATCAAGTACACTTTGTCAAGGAAATCCAGAAAGTCGACACAACCGGTGTCGAACCTCTTGTGGCCATCCGCGACGAAACCTCGGAACATAGACAAGAACGCACCATTACCCGATCGACCTTGGCCGAGTTCATCGCACTCGAGGAGAAGAAGGGTAGGAATGGAACGATAAGGAGAAGAAGAGATACCTATCAGGTCACAAGTTTCACCCCGGATAGTCAGCCGTGGGAGGAGGACCCATTAGCTTGGAGTAAGGTTGAGGATCCCTGGGCACTCGGAGAAGACGGGGAGAGTCGCAAGATGGGAAGGTTCTTCTTCGTCAAGAGGCAGGTGCCCGAGCCAAAGCCCGAGGGGGCGGATAAAGAGGCGGGAGGGAAGAATACGAAGGAAAAGGACGTGGATTGACCAGGAGAATAGCCGGCTACGACTTCTCATCAAAGCTCGAGTAATCTTCCGGGAAACCAGCATGCTGAAGTAGGAGCCGGAGCAGATGCAAAGGGAAGCAAACACCGAACACGGGACGCCTTTGCTCAGGCCAAACACCAGCGTTGTGGAGTTATGGGTATTATCACATGAAGGTGACTTCTGCGGGCAATGAGGATGGATTCGTGCAGAGATGCAAGGGACTTACTAGGGACTTACAGTCTCCATGCATCTAGGGCCAGCTGCCGAGCCCGAACTGCAGAACAACAGAAGAGCAGGCGGAAGATTCGTCCCAGTGGACAATATTCCCTCAATCCTCATCCGTCGCGCTCCCTGCATTCGCATATATTTACGGCTTTTCCGACGACAGTCATCAGACCCAGATTGCTTGATGCACGGACGGAATCAGCGAAGCATTGCAGCTTCGAGTACGGAAGCTGGACGGGAGGTTGGTTTCCAGAGTTCGGACTTCCAACAGCCGTTCACCGCCGGTAGTCGGGTACCAGGCTGAAATGCCTAGCGAGCAGTGGAGGAGCAGAGAGCACGGTAAGGAATGGCAGAAAGAGTTTCAGTGTGGTGGCACACTGAAGATGGAAAAGTGTCATATGTCTAGACCGGGAAGCGGAGTCGCTGGGAGGCTCTGTTATAGAATCGGACGGCCAATCCGGAATATCAATCCCAAGCATACGGATCCCACTCTCCCAAATTTGCCTTCTGTCCCTCGTCGAGGCCGTCAATGACTTCGACATCTTCTTTGGAAATCTCCCAGCCGAAAATTCCCTTGTTCTCGATGATCCGCTGTTCTCGATCGCTCTTGGGAATCACTACCAGGCCTTTCTGCAGCCCCCACCGCAAGACGATCTGAGCTGGGGTCCGGCCGTACTTCTGAGCAAGGGAGACAATGGTCGGGTCGTTCAGTCGCCGGCCCTGGGTGAGGGGCGAGTACGCCACCACGACGATGCCCTTGGCCTTGCAGTACGACACGAGCTGCCTCTGCTGGTTCCACGGGTGGAGTTCGATCTGGTTGCAGACGGGCTCGATGTAGACGCCCTGCTCGGTCATGAGCTGCTCGATGTGCTTGGGCGCCCAGTTGGACACGCCGATGCTCTTGACCAGGCCCCTCTCGACCGCGTCCTGGAGCCCCAGCCACGCCTCCTTGCGCGCCAGCGGGCCCGGCCGCGGCGTGTGCAGCAGGTAGAGGTCGATGGATGGCAGGCCGAGTTTCTGCAGCGAGGCCTCGACGCCCGCGAGCGCCCCGTCGCGCGAGTACATGTCCTCCCACAGCTTCGAGCACACGAACAGCGTGGAAGGGTCGATCTGGCTCTGCGCGATGGCCGCGCCCGTCTCCGCCTCGTTCTTGTAGATCTGCGCCGTGTCGAGATGCGTGTACGAGTTCCGCAGCGCCGCCAGGGCCGACTGCGTGCACGTCGCGCTCTGGCAGGTGCCGAAGCCCAGCACGGGGATCTCGTGCCCAGACTTTAGCGGCAGCGTCGATGAGATCTGTAGTTCAGGCATTTTTTATTATTGAGAAACTCGAGGGGCAGGTGGTTGTTTGTTATGTGCAACACCCCCGACAAGAGAGAATAGCTGAGAGACAGAACTCCCAGATAAATGACATCGAGATGACGCTTTAGACTTTTTCTCCCCTGATGCAACGTTTCGTGTTCGTGTGTGCGGGGATACGACCTTCGAATAATACTAAGTATATCGTCTTTGCGGAGTATTTGCTTTGCTTACGAAATCCAGGGCTTGAAGACAGAGGCGTGGGATTGGATGTGTAGCAGGAGAAGTATATGTATGGAATACTCATGGGAAGCGAACATGACTCGCCCATGATATATATATATATGTGGTTCATAACAAGTCGCCTCCGGTCTAGGGTTACATGATTTATACCCCCCGTGCCAGGGGTTCAGTTCTTTACGCACGATTGCTTATATGAAGGGATACAGAAGGGATTGAGCGAAAAGCCCATGGTCCTCTTTGCCTACCGGCGACGTCCAGGGCGACGAGGGATCGCTAGACCAGCCACAAATCCCACCAGGATCAACAAGGCGCTGAAGGGCAGGCTGGTCGAGCCTTGCGTCGTCGTCTGCGGAGGCGACATCAGCGAGACTCGAGAGGCCGCGCGACCCGGCGGTGCGCCGAGCCCCTTTCGATTCTTGGGGAACGGAAACCGTATCGCAGTCGTCTCGACCTTCAACTGCAAGCTCTCCCATCGCGGTATGCGCCTGTCGATCTGACCGAGCAGGTCCCATTTGGCTTGGAAGGTGACGCGCTCTGATGATGGGCGTTTGCCGTCGATCGCGAGGATCCAGAAGTCCAGGATGAAGAGGTCCGCGCCGTTGATGGACCCGAGCTCGCTATAGTCTTCCGCGACCACAAAGCGCTCGTAGCTCAGCGAGAGGTCGAGGGTATGGACCACGCCCAAAGCATCGGGTGCGTAGGCGCGATGGTTGCTACCTTGGACTTTGATCGTCTCCGACACGTTATTGAGTAGAAAGCTGAACGCGCCGACCTTGGGTTGAGGCTGTGGTTGCACTGAGAAGATCTGCGGCGACGGTCAGTGCCAGTACTGCCTTGGGAGAGCTTGGGGCGGCTACCCACCCCCCCTCCCCCCTTCTCTTTCTGGCCGGAGAGTGGACCTACGAGTGAGTCTGGAGCATTGAACGCGGAGCGGAAGCAGTCTTCGCAGATGAGGGTGAAAACGGCCTTCTGGGTCTTCTCTTCTGTCCATCGGTTAGCCAGTGTTGCTCTTCTGGTGCCCGTGGATCAACCTAGCGATTTTGCGTACCGTACTCGAGCAGCTTCATTTCTCTGAGTGGCGGACAAGTTCGATTCGGCTCGAGCGGCGGCGGTGGCAGATAGTCCAAAACGTTGTCAAACTCGGCGAACTCGATGACTTGAGGTTCTGGCTGGTACACCAGTCGTCCCAGTCTCTGCTTCGGCTTCTGGAAGTTCCAGGTGACGCTGAATGCCAGCGGCTTATCCAACGGCTGGTGGTCCACGGAAGTGATGGCGAAGGGGAGGTCACCTGTCTCGTCATCCGCCGTGGTTCCTCTGGGGAAGTCGCCGATGGAGATCCCGGCAACGTGCATGGCCCCCGAGGAGTCCAGTGTGTAGGGATGGTAGAAGTGCTTGGGGTAAGGCACCGGCGTTGTTCCCACCCAGGCTACGTCGAAGCATCTTGGACAGTTCCCGACTTTGAGATCGAGTTGCTAGGAAGACGGTCAATGTCCGGGATGAAAACGGACATAATCCATATTCCATTCCGCCGTCGCTTACCAGGATCTCCGTTCCGTTCGCACCCCACGGGTTATTCGGGAACGGGAGGCCGAATCTCATTTTCTGCGAATGGATATCTGGGTAGAGTCAGGCTTTTTTTGGTTCGAAGCAATGCAGCCCAGACATACCGTAGTAATAGAAGGGCAATTTGATCGCCTCAAGATTGTCTACGGGGAGGACAAAGTTGCCCGTAGCAGGCAATGCCAGCAACGTCGCCGTCATGGCCGCGAGGAGCAGCAGGTTCAACATGTTGGAATGGCCTCCGTCGTGCTTCACCGGTCTAGAGCGTTGTAGGAACCACCATATGGATCAGGTGTATACCAAAAGTTAAATGCCAGAGAATATGATGCACTCGCTGCATTGATAACAGACGATAGTGAGTGCAGGCTAGCTGTGCCTTTGGACCCAAATGGCCAATCGATAGCATTGCTATCCACACGTGATAGACACGACCAGGGCAGGGAGCCCGTTCGCGTGCTTGAGGACGCCACCGGCCTCTTAGCTCTCGGTGTTGGAGTGTTTCCAAGAGAGGAGAGGAGGTATACGGAGTGTATATAAGAGGGTCGAGGGGAGATTTCGCTGCCCCGATAAATGCGGATCCCGTCCACCTCATCTGTGGGTCTCCAAAAGTCAATCCGTGCGATATAGAAGCATTGTATGCAGCCTAACCCGCGGATTCGAACGATAGCCTTTTGTCTAATTTGTAGAGACAAACCCAAATGCGACCGACGATCGGCCATTTTTCCAAGTCAAGTGGTGTGATTGCGATATGTCATTACGTACGAGGTATATACCCCCCCAATGCAACATAATGAGCCTAGTCCTGCTCTTCTACAGCTCCTGTACGGAGTACGGTTCCTCGACCTAGTGTATAGTCTGGCAATCTCTCAGAACTTGGACAGCCGACAACCCCCTGTCAAGCCACAGGGACAACCCCGAAGCACACTCCCCTAACCTGCCAACGAGGACAATCCATGCTACCAAGCAGGCATCATGATCCAGCTGAGCAGTGACCCAACGTTTCACTACCAGATCCTCCGCGCGCTGGGCCTGGCCAGCTATGGCGGTGCTGACATAGGCGAAGTCCTCGCCACGGCCGACCAAATCAAAGCAGGAGACTTTGAATCGTTCTACACGGCGTTTCACAACCGTGCCGAACGGGTCGTCGCGCAGGTGCAGCAGATGAGCAATGCGGTTTCGATCCGCGACGCCCTCTTCCGCGCGTCGACGTACTTCCGCCTGGCCGATCTCTACATCCACGGCAACTGGGACGACCCTCGAATTCTCCAGGTCTGGGAGAAGCAGACGGAATGCTTTGACCGGGCCATGTCGCTTCTACCGACTCCCGGCGAGCGGAAAACGTTGACGTCTCCGGCGGGCTTCCAGATTCCCATCATCGTTTTCCCAGCCGGTCCAGAACCCGGGGAGAAGCGGCCGACGATAATCATGTGCAGCGGCCTGGACGGATCCATGGAGGAAATGTACCACGTCCACGGCATTGCCGCGCTGCAGAGAGGGTATAATGTAGTCTGCTTCGAAGGGCCCGGGCAGGTGTTCACGCGCCGATCGCAGGGCCTCGGATTCATCCTGGAGTGGGAGCAGGTTGTCAGTCCCGTGCTGGACCACCTCGAAACCCTGTCGTGGGCCGACACGGCCAAGGTGGCCTTGCTCGGATATTCCCTGTGTGGCCTCCTCGGCGCCCGCGCCGCTGCTTTCGAGCCCCGGCTGGCCGCCCTGTTCTGTGTCGACGGAATGTATGATCTGGCGCAGACCCCGATCTTCCCCGTTGCCGCCGCCGTCGTGCAGCAGAGACTTGCTGCCGCGGACGGCGCGGGTGCCGCGTCGATTCAGGCTCTGATGCAGGACCCGCATGTGCCGACCACCCTGCGCTGGGCGCTTTCGCACTGCCGGTGGGCTTTCAACGTCAGGTCGCCCGTCGAGCTCCTCGAGAAGCTCAGACGCTTTACCATCGCCGATGTGGTGGGCCAGATCCGGTGTCCCGTCCTGGTGTGCGATGCCGTCGAGGATCACTTTGCCAAAGGCCAGGCCAAAATGGTCGCGGACGCGCTGGGGGAGAAAGCCACGCACATGGTCTTCACGACAGACGATGCTGCAGAACAGCACTGTCATCTGGGCGCGGCTAGGTTTTGCAACCAAGTCATTTATGATTGGTTCGAGAAGACCATCCTGAAGAAGTGAAGAGGTTTTACATATTGCCACACTGGTTGGTTTAGACAAGAGCTGCCCCATAGATCTCCCTACGGTGAATGACGGCTTCTGATTTTTCTTCCAATCGCCCATATATTGTCGGCGTCCACCGTATGCCACTCGGTGTCAGTCTTTTTTGCGGCACTAACTTATAGCAATACTTCTGGCACCAGTGATGATAGGACTATAGTCCCAGTAGGCCCAGTCCCAGTCCCAGTCCCAGTCCCTGGTTCTAACTAATCCTACACCCTACCTATAGTCCTCAGAGACCAGCGCTATAAGGCTATAGCCCAGGCAACACTGTCTGCCACCAATGAAATCCCAAATCCTGCACGCCATGTGCTGGACAGGCATCAGGAACCCCCCCCCCCCCCCGGACAGGTATATCCGTACACTGAGCATCCGAGTGTAGAAGAGACATATCTCAGAATCTAACATAGGGTACAATCCATCTAACCCGCCATGGAGGGCGTAGGAACGATGGAGCGGCCGGCCTGCCAAACTGTAGGTGATGGTATAGAAATAGGATAGGCAATACTATTTCTTGCGCCATGCGTGATACCTAACCTATTGTCGATGACAGGTGCCATGATCCTAGTAACAAATATGCTTTGTGTTGTGACCAGAGACCCCTAGTAGGACGTCGCGCCACCTCCTCTTTGCCAAAATACTTCGTACTTCAGAGCATTGGGTGTCACGGCAGAAGGTGGCAAGTCTCCCTCCACATGAACCAGTGTTTGTGGACATGAGGCTGTGGTTCTTCGTCGAGCAGCATCGCATGCATGTCGCGGCATCTGGACATCTCAATTTCTGCCCACTTGGCGCCGGACGAGTCCTCGACGATGTCGACCAGAGAATGCCCTGCCACGCGTGCCTCCTCGGGGATATCCTGCGGGAGGAACACGGTTCTCCGGGCCGTCGGCGACGTCCCACACGAAGTTGCGTTTGCTGCTTGAGTTGCGGCCGTCTCTTCCGCCCGAACCACGACCTCGGCGGCTGCAGATTCGACATACCCACACCATCTGTACGACACGGTCAGCTTGTCTAGACGTTGGGGCAGATTTCGGCATAACAACTGGGGTCGAATACGACAAGCGTCTCTCGCAAAAGCAAGGTGGACTTACGGCCCTTCTCTCCCGCATTTCCGGATCAGCGATATGGCCTTCGACCGCCAAGCAGAGTCCCGGTACTTGACAGCCGTGAAGAAGAGAGGCTGAATGACTCCCATTTCGGCATTGAAGGTGGGCATTTCGCTCTCAGCGGGTTTGGCGCTCATGGCTTGTTCGACACACTCGACGAGTTGCTGAAACTGTGACGCATACTTGTCGTATCCGGTTTCAAATGGCTCGAGGATATTCGCCACATAGATGTGCGCACTTAAACAATGTGCCTGAAGCACTAGCCCATGTAGATCGTTGCCTGCCGAGATGTCATGTCTCGTCTTCGAGTATTGCCGATAACATGAGAGCCATCTGGTTAGTTCGGCAATATGACGGCTCTGCTCCAGCACCAGCAACTCCCGGGAGGCTGCACGGGGAAGGTATTTGTATTGGGCAGCCCTTGTGGCGAAACTGTAGCAGGAGTGCAACGTCCGGAAGAGCTCACGGTCTGCCTTTTGTGGTGTGAATACAGCAACATCTGCATCCATTCCGGGTGTAGCCATGGAGAATTGGAGTTCCGGCGCGTTCCCCAGTGCGTAGGTAATGACTTGCAGGTCTAACTTGCTAAATAGATATGAGAGATCATCCTCGAGCAGTGCTTTGCCGGTAGAAGATCTTGCGTCAAGCCATTCGCGGGAGTTCATGACTGAGAATGCGCCCCGTAGGTGAAGCAGAGCGTCAGTGTGTCGGTACTGGATTGTTTCAGCGCAGGCCAACATGATGCACGCCACAAGGACCGGCAGAGGGCCGTGCGGGAGCCGAAAGACATCTTCTCGAATTTTGGCCATCGCGGTCGTGATTTGTTTCAATGCCTTGAATTTGGCAGCGCCGCAGTTTCTTCGCAGCATCTGTTGCTCATAAGATGCTCCAAATGCGGCCGCCGCCTCTCTGACACTTGGAATAGACAGGGCGAGCTGGGGCACCAGATGAGACCAAAACGCAGTCTCGGCATCGGTCCTCGCCCCAGGCAGTCCTTGTGACAATACGGCACATGCCAGAAGACGGAGACGACCCAGCTCTGGGTTCGATCCTAGAAGTGTAGGCTTGCTGAAGTTAACGTAGTCGACACTTCTAGATCTGGTAGAAAGCGCAACGTTCGTCCGGGTCTGTTCATGGCTCCGAGGCGCACCGTCCGGGTATCCTTCGCAGGCACGTTTGCCTCGCTGGCAGCGCAAGCAATGTGGCTTGGATTCGTCGCACTTTAATTTGCGTCGCCTGTCAGGATCATAAGAGGAAGCCCTAGAGCCCAATTGACAGATGGGAAGTTCTCACCGGCACGTAAAGCAACCGTACTTGGATTGCCGAACATTGGTGCGCGTCCTCTGCTTTTGGGTCGCTGGGGCTGGTGAATCGAGCGGCATCTGCTGGAGTCAAAGACCGAGAGTGAGTAGCGCTGGAGGGGAGAATCCATGCTGTGCGTAGGCAGTGGTAGGGATGCAGTCACATTAAGAAGAGACGCCCAAGTCGATGCCAGTGGAGAGTGGATCTGCAGTACATGCCTGAGAGGGAATGGTCCAAACTCAAAGACCGAGCCTTGCCAGGCACCACCATTTTTTTTTTAACTGTCTACAGTACCACCATTTCTCTCGCTGTGATAAGATACCAGCGCAGAGCTCGCATACAGGCCTTGGACAAAGCCAGGTGGAGCAATCGACATGGCGGAGTCGTTCTCAGACATGACCACATACACGCCTGGAGGGACAAGGAGCTCCAATCTCCCTCCTCGGACGATTCCCGCTGAAAATACATATATACTGCTCTCAACAAAGGTAGGGTACTTCAGAAGGTCCAATCTCTACTGTCTCTACCGCGTCCGCCTCCTTTTTTGTTCTGTGATTACATTCTATCAGCAGCTTACCAACCATGAACTCGACATTCGACCCTGCCAACTGCACGGATGCTACCTGCTCGGTCGAGGACTATGGCCAGTTGAGATACATTCCCTCGCTTGCGGGGAATGCATTCTATCTCGCGGTTTTCTGCCTTGCATGCCTCGCCCAGATCTTCCTGGGTGTTCGATATCGCACCTGGGGCTTCATGTTTGGCATGCTGGGCGGAATCGGCCTCGAGATCATGGGGTACGTGGCCCGGATCCAACTGCACTACGACGACTTTGACAACAACGACTTCATCATCTACCTGGTCGGACTCACCATCGGCCCGGCCTTCTTCTCCGGCGCCATCTACATCTGCCTTGCCAGGATAATCGCCGTCTACGGTCCGAAACTGAGCGTCCTCAGCCCCCGCGCCATTACTGTGATCTTTGTCGGGTGCGACTTCTTCTCCCTCGTCCTCCAGGCGGCTGGAGGCGCGTTGGCTTCGTTGGACATCACACCCGGCCTTGCACAGACCGGGGTCAACCTGATGATTGCCGGCCTTGCCAGCCAGGTGGCCTCTACCACTGTCTTCTGCGGGCTCTGCCTCCAGATCGTGTTCTTCGTTCACATGCGACCCGGCCTGATCAACCGCAACAGTTCGGCGCTCCGAAGGACACTCGCATTCAAGCTCTTCCTACTTGGTAAGTTCCTGCCGAATGCCCTCCCCTCTCTCACAGAAAGGAACAGATCCCCCCCCACCCAAATCAAGACCGTGTTCCGTCGCTCACATCTGCCTTTTGTCTCCACTAGCAATCGTGATCGCGACGGTGGCGATCCTCATCCGGTGTTCCTTCCGCGTCGCCGAGCTGAGCAAGGGCTTCGGGAGCGACCTCGCCAACGACCAAGCCATGTTCATGGTCCTCGACGGCATGATGATGGCGCTGGCCGTCCTGGCGCTCTCGATCGGCCACCCAGGCCCGGCGCTGGGAGTCATGTGGGCGCAAGGCGGATTCAAACTGCGGGGCTCCAGGAGATCCAAAAAGACACAGCCAGGCGCGTATGACCTGTTACAGACGTCGCAGCTCGCGCTTTCGAGGAGGCAGGTGGCCAAGTGAGGTGGTGCTAGGCGATACGACGAATGGCCGGACGATGGGAGACCCGCACTCCAGGTCTTAGCAATCTGTCACCATCCATCATTCTTTCTTTGACAGGTCCGACGGAGAGTGCAAGGATCTACAGACGGATAGACAAACCGTACTCTGAGGACCGGTATAGAACAGAATCTTCAGGAATATCGAAGTGGCCGCTATATTAAATAGCTAATGATCTCAACAATGAGATACCGCTGCATTGTCTAGGGATAGGACGAAATACCCTTTACAAGAAAATGCTTATCTTTCAGCTAGGAGCGAGCTGCGAGTAAGTGTTTACTTATCAATGCCTCAGATAAAATCTGGTGCACAGAATTCGGCTGCCATAACCCCTTGACAAGAACCGTGCCCTCCCAGTGTACATGCAGACTTGTGCTGGGGTTGTGTACGAGGCTGGCCGCTCCTGTATGCATGGATCCATCTATACTCTTGTGATAGAGGCCCTCCGTGCCCAACCAGACTCGAGAAGTAGACTTGTAACAGAAGCATGCTCGCGTGCACGCCGCCATACGGAGTACAATTCAATGAGGCCGCAACCGAAAATGTGTCCAAAGTTGTTTATTGAGTCGATTATGAGTATCTCCTTCCCATTGTGAAGACAACTCTGTTGACCTATTGCTTTTCAACACCGCCAAATTGGGGATGTTCCAGCCGGCTCGGATGGATACCGGTCGTATCGAGAAAGGTCTTATATTTAGTGATTTCCCAGTCATGTCTGTGGTCGGCGAGACCGATTCCTTTCTCCTCCTACCCAGGCTCCACGAAATATAGGGTATAACCAATGAACACTTGAAAGGAATGACAAACAACATCAAGAAGGGGCCGGCATCCACGCTGAGAGCAACAAATCAAAGACCAGCAGCCATCATCAACCCATATCCGATAGTAATCACAATGGCAAAGGTAATCACAGATGCCGGGACGCCACGGGTCAAGAAGTGTTTGACTCGCAGATACCGCACGCCTGTTTCGGGCACTTCCATCATGATTGCAGCTACAGAATCCGTTAGCGACCAGGCTCCAAGACTCGGAAGCACGCGTGAAAGGAAGCTATTGAAGGCGAACGGAAAGGAGAGGACTTACTCATATTCGGAAAACCGGAAGTGGGCAACCCCATTGCCGCTGAGCACATCAACGCTGCACCCATGACCAACAGATTCGGGTGCGGCTCCTTCATGCTCTCGCCCACCTGTGCCACAAGTGGTAGAATAATCAGTGCTGCCACCGTATGGCTGATAAAAGTAGCGACTACAAGCACCAGCGACGCAAAGACCACAAGGACACCATATATGGAGAGGTTGTCCACTCGTTCTGTGATGGCCCTCGCAATTGAGTGGAGCAGGCCCGAAGAGGATACTGCGCGCCCCAGAGAAAGACCTCCTGCGGCAAGGATGATGATCGTCCAGAGAAAATTGTTGAAGTCTTCCTTGGTCAAGATGCCGGTACCAAAGAACAACACGAGAGGAATAATGGCAATGACACCCATATCCCCAAACACACTTTCCAGTTGATGAGAAGCACACCACAGAACAATGGTGATCAGCGTGACCAGGATGATGAAGTACTGCACTCCGTTGAGTTTATCCTTCATCGGTCGGATAGGCACGATGGTGGTCCCTTTGCCAGGTTTGAAGCTGACAACCAGCAAAAGCCAGATCATGATGATGCTGAGAATGCACACTGGCAAAGCGATGAAGAACCAGATCCCCCAGCTTGGCGCAGGTTTCATGTTCTGCAGCGCGATGATGTTTTGCGGAGAGGCGATGGGGGAGGCTGCGCCGCCGATGTTCGACGCTAAAGCGATGCCCAAAATCAATGCTTTGGACATATTACTATCCGCCGGTAGATTGCGAAGTATCGGTTGAATGATGCTGAAGCACAGCACAGGCGCAGCGACATTGGAGATCCACATGCTCAAGAACATGCCGACGAACATGTTAGTGATGAGCACGTTGCGGGCCTTCGTGCCGGCTTTGCTGAGCACAAATGTTGCCATCATCTTTGCGATATGGTATTTCGATAACGCTGCCGCAATGGTGAAGCCGCCGAGCAACAACATAATGACCGGTGTCCACATGGCCGCAAAGACGGCCTTGGTCGCATCCTTCGAATTCAGTCGATGATGAGGTTTATCGTCTGATCGCATGATTCGAAGGACGACCACCAGAAAAGGGATCAACAGAGAGGTCACAAAGAGGGGAATCACCTCGGTGGCCCAGAGCAACGACACAAAGACCAACATGGCTAAGCAATTTTGCTGCTCGGGACTCTTCATGATCGGGACATAAAGCAAGGCCAGGAAAACCGCCAGAATGCCGAGAAGGGCGAACAAGGTGCCACTGAACAGCCACTTTGGGCACCTGTATCGACCCACGGGAGTGACGATTTCCTTGGTGTCGATAGCTTCTCGGTCACCCTGCAGTCGCGCCTTTGACGGATCTTGGACTCCTCCCAGCAAGGTCTGCCTGATCCCGAAATTGGCCGCTTGGGCTTTCCGCTCAATGCCAATCATCTCTCTCCACACCGTGTTTCTCTCCCACACGACATGCTCGCGGAGATGGAGTCGAAGCTCTCTCCGAGCCATGCTCTGGTCGCCCTTGGTGACGACCTCGGCATAGGCCTTTTCCACCTTTGCGATATTCTCATCGAGATGAACCATTGTCTTTTCCTGGAAGGGATAAGACGGGTTGACCGACTTTTCCATGTAGTCTTTTCGAATATCTCGATTGCACACCTTGTCGTACTTCTTGGCCGCCTTCTTAAAACCGGTGTGATTGAGTTGGATGAAGGACTTCAACTCGCACAAGGACACATAGATGCTGATGATGCGCTTTTTCAAATTAATACCTGAATCGTACAATGAGGATAGGTGACCCGGGTCGGACGCCTCGAGTTCCATGGCCAAGCTGGGTCTCCTCCTAAGAAACACCGGCGAGTCTGGCGCCCGCAGGTCTTCGCGGGATTCGGCTAGAGCAGAATGGTCCGATCCATCTGTGTTCCAGGTACTTTTACTCCTTGGGCGGTTCGCCGGTGTCTTTTTCCTGATCATGGCTGCATGGTCTTCGGCGTCGCTATCGCTGTCATCCTCGCCTTCGGGTTCTTCGAGACTGACACTCATAGTCGAAGTCCTCCTCCGCCGACGGAAGGGGACGTTGAATATGCTCGACGATCGCACAGCCTTCCGACGATTCTCGGCTTCGACGACTTCATCCATGTCCAAATCATGCGTCTCCACCTTGTAGCTCTCCACATCTTTCAAAAGCTGGTCCAGTTCGCCAAAGATCTCCAGCTCTTTCAACCTATAAAAGGAGCAGACCTTGTCCAACTCCGAGTCCAGCATGCGCTTGAAGGTAGTGTCCGGGTCGAGCGAGCCGCCCAGCAGAGCCGTGTTTTCTTCATCTTGAAGTTGCGCCTCGCCCGCGGGCCTGTTAATCTGCTTCTCGAGGGTATAGATGAGTTTCTTGAGGTTGCTGTAGGAGATGTAGTTGCTGCTCCAGTCCGGAACTGCGTTGAACTGAATGCTGTGGGAGAACTTCATCTCGTCGTCTCTCTCGGCGAGCTCTTCAAGTTTGAGAAGCCTTTTCCGTGACCGTCTTGCCTCTGTGCTTCCTTCTCTTTCGTTTTCTCTCCTCGAGGATTCGGCGCCGGTAAAGGTCGCGAGTTCGATGGGGGGGCCGCCAGCTGAGGTAGGATCGAGTGATTCTGACTGAAAGGGTCGGATGTCAGGATTACGGGACTGGGAATGACCGGCAGAGGAGCGAGGCTGCGACCCGCGCATTCGACATGGATGGAGGGCGTAATTGCTTTTTTAGAAGAGCTGGGTTGGTGGCACTTTGTAAGGGCCCCAGAAATTCAAGACAAAGGCAAAAGTTGGGCAGCGAATGATGCAACTTTTTGACAGCTCGTTCTCACGGGAAAGGGATGGTTCGTGGTGGGATCTGAGTAGGGCATAGTGAGCCGAGAGAAAGTTGGCAAGGAACGGCCGCCATCAGCCCATTGGAGAGCACGGGGAAGGAGGCTCACTAGACGGTCGAATTGGTGGATACAGGCGGGCCAGGTTCTTTTTTCCTTTTGGCTTTTGGGGTGGCGTTGGCGTTGAGTGGAGGGAGGATAGTAGGGATCAAGGATATTGAATGGGAAGACGACGAGTGGCTGCGGTTGCGCCCAATACAAGTGACTTGCGTGGTCAAGTCGCCCCTCCACCGGATTTTGCTTCTGCGCCCGCAACGGAAGATATCAGAAGACAAACTCCACGACAGGTTGCGTGATAGATGAAATTATGCCTCTTCGCCTGTCCTAGACTGATCTGCCCGTTTCTGCCCTACTTCAACCTGCCCAGAATCCATTTGTTAATAAACTGCTCCGATGCTAACTCGTCCTTGATCCCAAACGTCCTATCCAGTACGATCGCGTCATGCGCTTCGCCGGGCGCTTCCAGATAGTCAAGTGTAGGATTGTGTACCTAGCCCTCAGTGTCAGCCACAGCCCTGGGGACCTGGAGATTAGTCGCAACGTACCTTCATCTTCTCAGCGAGCTCCCGGATGTCGCCCATCAGGACCTCATTCTGTCCGCCGACGATAGCCACACTGTCCACCTTGATATCTTTCCACCAGTCGGCCGGCGCTTCGGCAGGCTGGTTCCAGTTGTCCTCGGGCGATTTGGCCATGAAAGTGTCGGACCAGATCCTCACTACTCTCGGGACCAGAGCATCCCTTTTGTAGTTCTCCTTCCATGACTCCCTTTCCTGTGTGAATGAGGCCCAAGGAGACACCAGATGGGCGCCTCCCAAGTTACTGGAGAGCGGGATGGGGGACACGTTGGGGTGAGGATGTGAGAGATGGCCGATGAGTGCTGCGGCAAGGTTGCCGCCAGCTGAATCGCCGCCGAAGAGGATCTGAATGTAGCCACCGCAGGTCAGGTCTGATCGAGGCTGGTCCAAGCTCAAGGAGACTGCTCACTCACCTGTGAGGGCTTCAACCCCGAGTTCAACAGGTACTTGATCCCTGCGACCGCCTGCTTGAGTTGCAGCGGGTAGTAACCCTTGGGAGCGAGCTCGTACTCCAAAACCATGACTCGAAGATCGTCGCCATTCTTCTTGGCCAGCTCGATGAGATCCCAGAGCATGACCCAGTGCTGATCGGATGCTGCGAACGAGTATCCTCCGCCGTGGAACCACACCAGCGTCTTCTTCGCCGTCTTCGGTCCCATGAAGCACCCCGACGCACCATCATCCAGCTCTACAATCTCTGGGTCGAATTTCCGCTTCTTCGCAAACGCAGTGTAACCCCCGACCGTAGTTGGCTGTATAGCCTGCATCTGCTTGACCGACAAGTGCGGAAACGTCGCCCGACAAGTGCTGTAGATGACATGGCGCTTGTAGTCCTTTGGACAGTCCTCTCCTCTCGACCAGCCAGTAAGGGTGGTGAAGGTCAACGTGCCCACTGTTCCCAAACCGCCTCATCAGTCCTCTTTGACCATCTCATGGGCTGCAAGGGCGGAGGACTCACCTGCGCGGGTCATGGCGTAGAGCAAGGAGAAGTAATCTCCCGCCGAGAGCTGAGGCTTCTCCCTCATCTTGTTGCCGTCTTGTGAATGCTCTTGCGGTCACAGGGAGACAAGCAAAAGCAAACCACCAAAGGGCAGATGTGTGTGCGTGTGAGTGAGTGTCTGTTTCGCTTCCCCGCTCCCAAGTTCTGCACTCTCGAGCAAATCCAGCGCACTTCTCACAAGTGTACGAAGCTGACGAAGGAGCGGACGATGGGGAATTTATGGCGCGGCACTCCAATGCATGGGATTTTGTTCACGGCCCCCTTCCCTTCTGCCCACGTCTCCCCAGCTTACCTGATACACACAAGTATTATGCTCTGGCCAGAGGTCTGACCAAGCACATCTCATTGGCTTTTGGCGGCGTGCGCAAGCGATCCAATTCCCCCCAATCCTTCTTCCCAAAGGCCAAGACGGACCGCGGAAACATCCCAAAGCGACGGGAGGCCGACCGTCAGCAGCTGATTCCGGTAAAGGGGCGGGGCGCTGATCCGAGTACAAACGGGGGATAGGGAAGGACAATGGCCTGTTGCAGTAGAAATCGCTTTTGCCGAGGAGGGCAATTGGCGCGCTGCCGATGCAGAAATGGCATGGCTTGTACTCCCTATATCCTGCAACATGGTCAAAGCGAGGCACTGTTACTATACCATTAACCACTCTCCAAAGGATAGAAGAATGGGGCGGAGAACATCCGTGTCAGTTACGGTATCGTGGCTGCTGACGACGACGAGCAACGCGGCTTTAGGTGGGTGGCGGATAGTCCTCTGTGAAGTAGATGGCAATGACCAATACAAGACCAAGATTCTGGGGAGGAAACAGCAGTGTAACTGATCGTGATCGAAGTGTATCTTCAGAAGTGCCGGGTAAGGTGCTTTCTGATCGCCCACCGCCTAGCCCTTTATCTATGAATTTATCTTGAGGAGAATAGTACCAATTGATCCAACTTCTCTCCCTTCTCGAGCCCCGACGCAGAGATCCAAGTACTGTCAATTCCTCCCTCCTAGCCTCTCACGACAGGTCAAAGCCAGCCCCTGAGTTGACTGCATACAGAAGCTTTTCTTTCATGGTCTTGAGGTCCTCGTATCGCGGCAACTTGAGCAGATTCACACAGGTCGAGGTGCTCGGTAGCCGGTCCTGGTCCCCACTGGAATCACGAATGCTGAATTTCGGATTCAAATGACTGAATCCTAGCAGCGGTGCGCGTGGGGTGCTGGTGACAAACTTGAGCACTTTCCGCCGGTCTTCATCCGACATGTCTTGCAGGACTTTCCAGAATAGTTGTATCGTGGGATGCTCGCGGCCATCGTCGCCGATGCTGTAGACCCCCCCGTACTGGGTGTTGCGGCGGAGATCAGCAATGTCGAGTTCGGTATTGTCTCCGCCCACGAGTTTCTGCAATTCCTTTTGGTTGAACATGGCGAGCCACATGGGCTGGATGATCTGACCGAGACCTCGGAGAAACGCGTCTGTCACTGCCTTGGGCTGCTGCTGCAGTCGATATCTCACTATTCGGTCAATATACAGCAATCGGTTGGTGTTGGTGACGGGAATGTTGGCGCCGTTCGGACGCAGTTCGGTGGTGACAGTTTTGTGCACCTCTGTGCCATCGTCGGCTTCGATCGTAATCGTGTCGGCGACCGTGAAGTCAAGCGAAAAGTCGGTCTCTACATCGCCCACATAGTTCTTCAGCTTCAGGAGTCCCTGATATAGTTCCTCATCGTATTCTCGGAGGTCATTGATCGTTGCTCGATAGGCAGATTCGTTCGATCCAACCGTAGTTCCACCAGTCAGTGCCCACTTCAGCAGGAAAAACCCAGCAAAGTTGACGTCAATCAGGATACCCTCGTATAGGCACTTCCCAACGACTCGGCCCAAGAACTGGTATCGACGAATCAAGTCGGCCATCGAGATTGCCATCCCCTCGGTATCCCCTCGACTCGCAGCCACTTTGAGATACTCGGCAGTTTCCTGGTAGATCATAGGATTCGGGTATAGGTATCTTTGGGCGTTCTCCTTGAACATCGGCAGATTGGCATCGGGATCAAATGCTTCGTTCGTCACGCTAATGAGAAACTCTTTGGTGACGCCACCTCCGTCAATGCCCGCTTCCGGAGCACCAAATTGGTCGATAAAAGTGATCTGGATAGGTTCCTTGAGCCCTTCGCCAAGTCCATAGAAAGCCTCGAAGGCATCCGCAAAGACACTGCTCCGACGAATTTGAGCGTGATGTCGAGAGAGGATGTCAATACCAAGCGGCCGGCCGTCAACGGTTCGACCTTGGGTTGCAGCCACGCCCATGCGCCATGTGTCGGGGTCGGTGGCCCCATTCCGTCTGCGGACCTGATCTCGATGGACAAACTCCCGGAAGATCTGGACTCTTGTTTCAAATGGGATGAAAAAGGGGAGATTGCGGAGGATCTCAAGACGGGGTGCCAATGCCTCGAGCTGTCGCTTCTTCCTGGCTTGTAGTCGCTGCTTTTCCGCCCAGTCCGCCACTCTCGACGCTCTGCTTCTTGGGATGTGTGACGGCCGTATGCCAAACATGGAGCTCAGTAGCGCCTCGCCGGCTGATGAGCCCACAGACCTGTCTATCTCGGCCTCCCTGTCAAGCTCTTCTTGCTCTTCGTCTGTGTCGTCGTCGCCACCCAGTTCATGCCTTTTCTCCTCCTCTGCAACGACAGCGGGAATGAACCCAGCCATGCTGACCTGATTGGTCATCAGCCAGTGTTCAGGAGGAACAAATGACCTTCTGGAGTCTCTTTCGTGCAGCATTCGCAGGAGGCCTGTAACTAAGCCCTTGAGGTAGCCTTGCGATACACCATTGCCAGCCAAGGTCTGTGGCTTCTTTTCGCTGTTCTTGGCAGTCGAACGCCCGGGACTGCCAAAGAGCGCCGAGATGGCCAGGTCCTCGTCTTGATCATTGCTCTCCACCAAGTCGGCTGCGTTCCAGTACAGGGTAAAGGCTAGATTCTTCAAGAATATAGTCATCAGCGCCAGTTGATCCAAAGGCAGCGATCCCTTTCTTGACAACAAGCTTGTTGCAGAGCTTGTCGCCGCCCCGAAAGCGTGCAGCTTTTCGTAGGAGAAGAAATCGTCGTCATCCATGAATTTCAGCACAAACGTATACAACTCGAGGAAGAGCAAGACTATCCGCCACTCGTCTCGCCATAGGGCGACTTCTTGCCTCGACAACGGTGCTTGACCTATTTGATTGGACTTTGGAGCCGCCTCTGTCAATACCGATAGCACGACGCGGTAGTCTTGAGAAATCTTCTCGAAGACACTGGTTGTCTGTGCTGCGTTCCAGAAGTACTGAATGGTGGACATGTCTGCGTTCTCAACAGATCTTACAGAGCTCTGATACAAAGACATCCGAATATCTGGTGCCCGTGTAGGAAAAGCTCTTAACACGGCAACCGCGAAATTTGCCAGACGCTTCGCAGAATCGAAGTCTGTGCCATCGGTGGGTTTTCCTGAAGCCGTTGATGACCCCATCTCTTTCAGAATGGCTCGGACATTATTCTGCCCCGGCAGTTTCGAGATCATCTCTCTCACAAACTCCGGCAAGGGCTCAGGACCATTCTTGTTAGCAGTGTTGAGCATGGGCTGGTCGGTCAGGTCTATCCTCTCGGCAACCTCATTTGCGCAATCACCCAAGAGAGCCGAGACTGCTTCGATATAGGTGCTCTGACCAGCGTAGCCTTCATGCCGAATGTCGTGAATATATATGAGGTGAGCGAGTTGCCACAATAACTGGGCAGTGGTTAATGCACGCGTGCCACTCCTGTCAGCATCGTCAACCTGCTTCACAATTGCCAGCGCCAGCTCTTGCAGGCTTAGGGAATAAGAAAGCTCTTTCAAAGTGTCTCTGCGTCCTGAAAAAGAGTCTCTGGTCAGGAATTTTGTTGCAAACGCAGCGTATGCCTGTTGCTTTTGGGTTGAAGGGCATCTCAGGAAAGCAGCTATCGCCTCAATTGAGCACCGTTGCCATCTCTCCTCCTCTTGTCTGCGTACCGCTAACTCGATCACCTCGAAGTAGATTACGGAGTCCTTGGCAATATCATCCGGTAGATACTCAACCAGCATGGTGATCATCTTTAATATTCTCGGTCCATAGGATATTCTGTCGTGGTGTTTGTGGTCGCCGATGATGCTCCTGAGGTGACGAACCTCAACCAGTCCTAGTCGAGAGAGGCTGTACCTCCAGCTGGCATCCAACTCGAACCCCAATGAGAGAAATGTGTGACGTAGGACCTCGGCGAAGTAGAGCAATCTGAGCAGATCCGTATCATCCCTTGCCCTGCCCCTTCTAAAATCTTGAAATCTAAGCAACAACCGCAATTGGAGGAGGATCTGGAGTGAGTTCTCATATGCTGGAATCGTTGCGCCTGCGTCGACAAGTCCTTGGTAATCTACTCGACTCGGCGAGCCCAGTCTCTGCTGTTCGTTCTCATCCCACATTTGTCTCCATCGCGATTTCTGTTCCCGCCGACTCGCGTGACCGCGCCATATCCTCTGAAGAGTCTTTGTGGCATTCAGTCTTTCCCTCTCTTGCTGTCTCCTCACCCGATCTGCTTGAGCCTGGGCGACAGTATTGCTGGCGGCTGCAGGAGTGGCTTGCCCTGATTTCTGGAGGGAGGCCCAGGGGTTGGTGTGAGTGCGGCCGGAGAGGTTGACCTGGCGCGGTTTGCGAGCGCTGCCCGTGAAGGACTGATGCATGGCTCAATATCGACGGCGGGGATGGACTTGGAGGGGGTTGTCGGAGGTCGACTTGGGAGTTCGTTGCGGCTGAACGAGGCCTGTGACGTAGACTCAGATGAATCTAGGTACAGCGAATGGTAGGGCCGACATGTCTCTGAGCTGGATGGAACGACAGTCCGAGGAAGCGACAGTTCAAGGGAATTCGTCGATTACTCATAGGATGGACTGAAAGCAAGGAAATCGACAGAGGCAAATGGAAGGAAATAATCTCTTGATCTTGAAGCAGGCAAGCGGGTGGCAGACAAGGCTGTTGATCTGACGGATATTGCTGGATACCTAGTGGCAACCGATGAGTGGCTCGTCAGTCAACTGCCTTGCAGGCCAGCACCAGACTTTCGCTACGGAGATGCCCAGGCGCCCCCAGGCCTGGTTCCGGGCGCCGATCTCCCGCGCAGTCAGCCTGGGACCCTGCTGGGTTCGTAATATTCCGCAGTGACTGGCGCAGCCTTGCCCAAACGCCCAACCACTCTCACATACCAAGGTACCTAGTAGTAACCAGTAAATCAATCCCGCCCTCGTTCTCCCTCCCCACAAGACCAGACACTGAGCCACACTCCTCCTGCTTTCCACGGACACAAACCTCACACACACCATGTCCAGCGACATCTTAACTCAGCTCCAAACCTGCTACGACCAACTCCTAACCCAGTTCTTCGCCACACTGAGCTACCTCTCGCAACGACACCCGCTCGTCGCACCCGATCCGGATCCCACTGATCCCTTCACAAACCCGCCCTCGGGCCTAAGCGTCGCCGCCAGAGCCGGAGAGAGAGAGGGGCAAACATCTCAAGCTGTAAGCCCGCCCGGCGACGCCGCTCGACCCCAAGCCGCGAAATCCCAAACCGCCATCGTCCACCCGGGACCAGAGGACACCGACCGTGCGCCGTTTCCCCTGCGCCCCGTGGCGCCTCGGACGTTCGCCAACGCGCAACGCGAACTGGCCGAGGACCTGGTCCTCAAGGGCCAGCAGATCGAAATGTTGATCTCGCGGTTACCGGGGATTGGGAAAGGTGCACAGCAGCAGGCAGAAGACATCAGGGTGCTGGCGGACAAGGTACAGAAGATGGAGCAGGAGAGGAAGGCAAGGAGGAGGGAGATGAAGGAATACGCAGATCGGCTGGAACGCGTGATCATGGCAATGTCAGTGAATGTCGACTACGGCGATGACGAAGGCTTGAACGGGCATGGATGAGGCTGCGACTTTCGCGGCTAGCAGGAAATGAGTTGATGTGATATGTGAATCTGAACGAGGGACATGAGTCAAAGAGGAGCAGGACGAGAACAACTCTACCCGTTTTCTAAGATGTCGTTCGGCTGAATGACAGAAAAGTTTGGAATTCGCGTTTCGAGTCATTAATGCTGTCCAAGTCCTACAGCAAAGGAAAGATCCAACAACTTGACCTCGAGGTCGCCAAAGAAACGTCTGGGTTCAGGGATAGACATCAATCACGCCGAATTGGTCACCCTCATGGTTACTATACCATCATACTTCGCCGTCGGTTCAGTGCTCTTTCGACCCTCGAAGTCGCGAGTCCTGTTTCGGCACCAGAAGTTGCCGGTTCTTTGTCTTTTAGGCTGGAACTTACGCTGTGTGAGCGCTTAAGATCCTTTACTGCCGAAGTTCTGCTCCTGGACGCACCATCCCCACGCAGACTCGCCGCAGAGCTTGGTCGTGGGAGAGGCGCTTGTGTGTCGGATTTTAATGCATCGTAAGAGAGCTGGCGAGAGGCGGAATGGAGGCCAGCGGATTCCCCTGAAGAGGCCGAAGGCTGCATAGAATGCCTCCTAGTTGTACCGGTAGAGCTTGACAAGGGTTTCCGTCTGGCTCCTGCCGAACTTTTTGACGATTTGTTCCCTTCTGTGTCGGTCTGTGTTTCTTTTGAATCGTCGGCCGGAGAGGAGAGTGGCGGATCGAAAATACTCAATCGATCCACAGCATTCCCGAGCTCTTCCTCAGTGTTGGGTTTTGGTTGCTTGCCCGCCTTCTTGGTCTCATCATGTTCTTTTTCCTTCCTCTCTTTACCCCTCAAGGGACTAAATGGCTCCTCCTTCCCGCGAGCAGTCGAGGTCTGTATTGCTAGACCCTTCCATCTTTCATCCTTGCCATTGATTTCGTCCTCTTGCTGGACTCCGGGGTCTTCAGATTTCGCCCGGTCCATACTTGTGCCTCTGTTGCCTGAAGCATTTTCTCTTTGCTTCTCAATGCCCTCCACGGCCCCAACTAGACCTTTGCCGGGCCTTCTCATCTTATCTCTCAGGTTAGGTTCGGCATAGCTGATTTGCGGTCTTGGGCGTCGAGATCCCCGCCCTATGCTCCCGTTAAGCACATCCTCCACTGAGTTCAGAACCGCCGCTTCTTTCGTCTGGTGGGATGTTCGAGTAGATGGCTCTGTGGACACGGGTGATAGAATGTCGCCGGCTTCTCCAGCTGGAGTCTTTGGCGGAATGTCCTTTTCTGCGTCATCATCATTCGGCACTCCGATAAGTCTGTCAATGACCACATGTGCTTGAGGCTCTTTCTGCCGTGTTGGTTTGATAATGGGGTGCTTTTCCTGCAGATCTCGATCGTCCTTGAGTTTTTCGGGCACTTGAACCCTTCGCTTCGCAGGTGAGTTCGTACTCTTGGGCGCGAGTATCTTCCTAGTAGCCCCAGTGGGCTTCTGAGGGCTTGGTTGCTTCACAAGTTCCGTCGCATCTCCGCTTTCTCGCCCTGGCGGCCTCGTAAATCTGGAGGCCTTTTTGCTGTTGACAGTGGCGTTGCTCCAGATCTCCTGCCGGCGCTGAAAGACAAAATCGTCATTCTCCTTAGACGGCTGCTGAAGGACAGGCTCGTCGAGGTCGGAGACGTCCAGTTTCCTCTTTGCGCCTGACTTCAGTAATTGCTCACTGGGCCTTATTGACGGTGCATCTGGTCCAGGGGTCTCTTCTGTCGGTAGGTCGTGGATGAGGGTACTCGTTCGACGTTTTCGCCTCCTTTCCAGGAGCGATGGTAACTGCATGACTTCTTCACCAACGTTCTCATCCTCAGATATCCGCGCCGAGTCAAGGCCTAGGGACTCTGACACAACGTCAAAATGCGCAACTGGGGGAGGCCCGAGTTCCGGCGATTCTGACGCTTGTTGCAGGGCAGCCTCTTCCCGCAAGGCTGACAGTTCAGCATTCTCCAGCGTCCTTCGCGGGTACAGCTTGTCTTCATGGATGGCGGGCAATCTTCCGTCATACAAATCTCCCGTCTCTTGAGCGAATGATTCTCTGGTTGACTGCCTGTTCCTCCACTCTTGCTCCGTAGCACTACTCATCGTCGTCCTGAGGAGCCTACTTTTCCGCCTCCCCTTCCTCGCCGCCTTTTCAGGTAAATTGCCCATCTCAACAAGCATCTCAGCCACCTCCTCGACTTTCCTGTTCAGTCTGTCTCTCAAATCGAGAATTTCCACGTTCACAGAACTCGTTGCGCGCCATCGTTCCGCTTCCGCCTGCGCAGATATAGCTTGTTCTCTTAAGGATATGTTCTCAGCCACCAGGCGTGAGATCTCTGTCTCGAGATTGCGGATGCGTTGCGACTGCGTCGAATTGACGCGGGCGATTTCACGGTTTTGGCGGATGAAGCGACGTTTCACTGCATGGGCTGTCAGCCTCGGCTAGCGCTGAAGATTCTGGCGGTTTGGTCTTTCGGGGACATGGACTTACGGGATTCTATACTTTCCGTAGGCGGAAGGGGAGGGTCGTTCAGTTTCGCCATGGCCAGTGTCGTTTTCTCATATCATACGTAGCGCGGTTTTCCCTGTTGTCCTTGAGACTTGACGGAGGCTTGGATGTCAACTCAGTCTATGGCTCGAAGGCAAGCATAGAAGGCACCTCTGTAGCAATGCGGTATAGGCGATAGAATAGAGTGCAGGGCTGCGTCAAGGGCGTCGGGGGTTTGTAGTCGGGATCACCCAAAGCGGCGCCGTCAACAACGTGCCTTTTTTGGTCTAGTGGCCAGCTTGGCACCACCGCGGTCCAATGAACACGCGTCTTCGCGACCCTGGGGAATTTCCGCGAAGCAGTCATTCTGCATGTGCCTCAATCCATCTTACCGCATCCAAGGCAATACGGGAACTGCATTGAACAAAGTTGTGCGGGCGAGAACCAACAATTATAGAGCCTGTCCCTTTACACACACTGCTCTCTCCCTCTCTCTGTGGACGGCAAAATACGTGCCCAACATGTCCTATCTTCCCCGTCACACGGACATCTACCCCTCCACCTCCTTCGGCATTGGCGGCGGCGGTGGCAGCACCAGCAGCACCAACACATCCTCGACGCTGCTGCGCTCCAGCTCGCAACCCGCCCAATCCCACCTACAGGCCCGGATCGCCAGCAAACGCGCGGAGCTCGAGAACCTGCGCCAACTGCGCGACCTGAGCGCGCACCTGACGGGGCAGCTGGAGCAGCTGGAGACGAAGCTGGGGAGCCTGCGAGACGGCGCGCAGGCGGTGGCGCTGGTGCTGGCGAACTGGGACAACGTGCTGCAGGTCATCGGGATGGCGGCGATGAAGGTGCCCCAACCGCCAGCGCCGCCTGCGCCTGACGTCCCGGACGGGAATGGGGATGAAGGAGAACACGGGGCGGGACATCTGAAGACAACGCGAGAACGAGAGTTGCCAGTGCCCTTGGTCAGAATACCTGTACAGCCCAAGACGGAAGATGGTGGATGAGCGTAATACAACGCTTATCTACAGCATGCTTGCTTTGAAGAAAGGGACCGGACGTGTACTTTGGTTTGGACATGTGTACAAGAGCGTGTACAAGACCACACGAACTACTTCCAAGTCCAAGGCACGGATCCCTCGACGAATACCATGAAGACGGAAGATGCACAAACAATAGAGTCTGAATTTAATGGAGGTTTCGGCTTGTACTAACGGCTCGCTCGACATTGTGCCTTCTGACAACTATCCCACCAAAATCGTTGCCTGAACGAGAGCCTTTGTTGGGTCTTCCAAGCCTAAACATAAAACTAGTTTTGTCCATACCAACACCTTCGCTGAAGAACAAGACCTTTAATGAAGCAGCCCATTCCACACCAGGAAATGTATCTCGTCCAGAAGCCGAGATGCGGGAGACCCAGGAGACCTTTACGAAGCCGACACCGCAGCTCTTGTTTGTTCTTGACCTGCACCGTTCTCTGAACCGCCGGCCTTCTCCTTCTCCTTCGCAGCCAGGATCTTGGCGGCGATCTTCTTCTTCTGCTTCTCTGCCCACTCACGGCTTGCCTGTCTTCCTCTCTCTGCCGCCTCCGCCCTGGCCTTCCGCGCTGCCTCTTCCTTTTCCCTCCTCTCCTTCTCCAGACGCTCCGTTTCGGCTTTCGACCGTTCAAAGACTTCCTTGCCTTTGGCCTTCTGTTGGACGACGTCTTCTTTCGTCACCATGGACTTCTGACCGGTAGCCAGTTGAATAATTGAGGCTCGAGGCTTGGCAGGAGTGGCAGAGGTGGTCGTCCGACGGACGCTCGCTTTCACATTTGGTGTTTCCGATGTTTTTGATTTTGGACCAAGCGATGTTGGGCGTGGTTTTGGCTGAGTGGCTGCAGCTGGTTTGGGCTCAACGTTCTCCTTGTTTCCTCCGATGGCGTAAATGCTCATCCTTGCTTGGCTGGCTCTGTTCTCTCGTGGGACAACACTGGGACGAGATATCTTGGCCGGCACCGGTCGAGCTTTGAAGGCCTTTTTCTCATTCGCTGCTTCCTCTTCACGCTTCATCCGCTCTTCTCTCTGTGCCTTGAGTTTGGCCGCAACTGCATCTCCTGGTAACGAAAACTTCGGCTTCGTGGGAGACTTGGTGGATTTGGCGGGTATGAATCCGGGTTTGCTGGTAGACAGTGCGCCATTCGGTAACTGCTTCTTGGTGGTGTTTGGAAGGTTCTTAACAGGAGAGTTGGAGAACGAAAGCGGCGGTGCTGCACCCTGACCAGAACTCTCTCTCGTCTTATGGCCGTCAACAATCGGTCGCTTAGCCGGTTTAGCGGCGGTGGTTGCTTTGGCTGTCGGGTTGGTAGACGACCCACGGGCGCCGCTCAATTTCGGGCGCTCTAGAGATCCGGAAGTTGTTCCAGGCTTCTGCACAGGGCGCCGAGATGGTTGTGCTGGTTGCCGGCCAGTGAGCTTCTTCTGAGGATCTATTGGGGCTGTGGTCGAGCGGGGGTTGAGGCGGGCTGGGGGACTCTTTCGCATTTTCACGGGGGATTCAATCTTCAGTTCGTCCAGGGCAGGCAATGTCTCGGAAATCTTCTCGATTGCATCTTCCAGAGCATCAATTGCTTCGACGGAGTCTTCAATCCGAGGTGTTCGGGACCTCATCTGTTCGGCGAAGGGATCTGGAGACTTGCTCTCATTCAAAAGTATTTGCAATCTGCCTGGGGTTCTTGATGTGATCTTCTCCACAAACGAATCCTCGACAGTATTCGAGGCAGATGGCGTGACCTCTTCCATGGCCCTGTGGACAGATGGATCGAACTTGGGTGTCTTTGGAGGGCCCGTGTGGCTTTGTTGTGGGGTAGAAGTTGATTCGGCTATCCCTTGCTCTTCCAGGGTCGCGTCCACTGCCTCTGCTGTAACTTCGTCGCGGAGAGCAAGTTTTTCGATAGTGACAGCCGAAGACGTGTCCTGTATACTGCCTCTGCCTTCAGAAGATTCAAGCTGGTGGCTGTCACTCGCGTCCTCAGGCTGCGGCTCCTGTGGCTCGTCCGACTCTCCCTTGCTGGACTCTTCCCCAACGTTGTCAAGTTTAGCCTTTCGACCCTTCCTGCTCTTAGCTTTCTGCATGGGCTCGTGCTCTTCGTCCGCGAAAGGGTCTTCAGTGGTTGAAGGGTTGATTTCGGTGGTGATGTCTTTCAATGGGGGCCGAACAAGATCCTGGTTCGCGTTGGCGTCGGCGCAATCATCCTGTAGCGAATTATTAGCATTCGCGTCCGAGTCCTCGTAAATGAGTTGCGGTTCCTCTTGAGCCTGGGCTCGCAGGGCTGCACGAGTCATGCGCATGGTTACGTGATGTCGGTCTATTTGGAACTTTCAATTGATTTGTTTGCTAAAGGATTTGGGATGTCGATAACTTGGTGGAAGTCCTGATCTGACTTTGGGGGTCAAGCCGTGACGCGCTTTGTTTGTAACGGAAGTAACCCAGCAACCAAGCTTCTAGCGCTGCTTTAAGGAAATCCGGGGCCAAGCCTCTATGCTGCGGCTCAGCCTTGCCTCGAATTCTTCCCTTGCCGAGCCTCGTCTCTTCGGCGCCCATGCAGGTACGTGGCTATGGACTGCTCGATGCGGCTAACTCCTCCCTCAACTCTCGGAAACAGTCCTCTACCTTCAAACAGTGCCAATTCATGCGGGTAGACGTTCAATGCCATACAATCGGGCCACGGTGTGCCCTGCAAAGTTTAGAGAGTTACTGTGAAGCCCTGTCGCGGCCCGGCTCAATCCATGGATCGCTCATTTGCTCGATCCATTCAGTATCGAGGCCGGCTCAGCGATGATAGGCACGTCCTCCTTTTTCGGTATTTTCCATATGTCGCGGATCTCGTCCAGCCACTGCCGGATATCCACAATCTCCCCACCCACTCGTGCACCATCCACAAGTTGGCCTCGCACCCGGACCTTTCCTGGGCCGACTTCGAGCGCGTCTTTGTCGCTCCACGCTGGCACATGCAGCCAGCTGTGGCCAGGGTGGCAGATATATGGCTCGAGCTTGTTCGCCTTCAGCTTGTCGAGGCAGTCGGGCGTAAACTGCGTGTCTGGGCAATACCGACAGGCATAGAAATCATCTGCATAATGCCCTGATTTCACGTTAGTATTTAGGGGTTGTTTCTATAGGAGGAGAGACTTCCAAACGCTGCTCCCCCAACAGACAGCGCAGGTTTGTTTCAGGACTTACATGTATGGTCACAGAGCCCATCGCAAGTGTTCCCAAGTGGACCATCACGAATCTCGGCGTCGTCTTCGTCCTCAGCCTTGTCGGTGGCCGGAGCCTCAGGGTTGTCTCCCTCTTCGGCAAATCCATTTTCTGTCGACTCGCTAGGCTTTGCCTCAGGTCCACCGTTCTCTTTCGGCATGCCATCTTGATTTTCGTCGTTCGAGTGCTGGTCCTGAGGACCGCTACTCTTGAACAGGTCGTTCGGGCCAAGTAAAGACCACGCACTGAGGGCGTTGAGGTCATCTCCGGTATGCATCAGGATGTCGGCTAGATACCTGTACCCATAGGAATCATTTTCCGGGTCGCCATCAAAAAGTATCTCCATTGCTGCCACCATGTCTTCCATGAACAGCTGCCGTGCCTCCTCCAGTTGGTTTTGACTGACGTAGTAAGAGGCAAGATAAGAGTTGGGGCGGAAGCTGTGAATCCAGCTAGTCGAAAGGCGCTTCAGCCTGAGGAGTCTACTCACATACTCCATGCGCTCTTCGGCTGCAGTGCCGGGCTTCACCGTATGATGGAAATAGTGTTGCGCCACAAGGCGAGCCGCGAGCGCCTGGGTTATGACCAAGTCGTAACGAGATGAAAGATAGAGAGATTGGCAGTCCTCCCAGCAGCGGATTGCCTGCTGAACACGAGCATCATCCGTGGCGCCGTGTGTGAGGACGATGCCTTCATACAGGAGAAGCATACCTTCATTGATTGCGAGGTTGCTCTTTCTGGCATCACGAATGGCCGTTTGCAATGCTTCCAATGTCTGGACATTGAGCCTCTCATCCGTGCGAGCCAAGGCTAGGATAATGTCGATCGGTCGCAGAGATACATAGTACTCCTCACTCTCAGTCAGGTACAAAAGCAAGTCTGAGAAAAGATCGAGCTCCGTGGGATCCCCCCGCTGGTTTATCATCCGAAGAAGCATTTCCCTTGCGTCGGCTTCTCTGTTTTGCGCATACATGGCTTTGAGCAGGTCGCAGCGGATCGCATGCTCCTTAGGATCCACCTCGAGGGCCTCTTCGTAGAGTGCAAAAGCCTTATCCATTGAGTTGAGCTCCGATTGCCACGAAGCCTGTTTCTTTAGACCTAGAATGAGGGCATCCTTGTTGTCATTCCCGAAATCAGCGGTATTCAACTTCGATCTCAGGTGGGCGAGGGCTATCTCCATTTCATTGCAGGCGGACTCTTTCAGGTCCTTCTTTTTGGCTTCGTCGTCGTCTTGACCTTGACTCAGTCTGTCCACCGCAAGAGCCCAGCCTTGATTTGCAGTCCATTGACAGTCAGGGAGTGCCTTGGCTTTTTCATAGAAATCTTTGGCGGCCTGGAACTCGTCCGATTCGTAGCAGGTTTCCCCAAGACGGTCGTACCATAATGCGTTCAGTTCTTCATCTTTGAGCGACAGCGCTTGTTGGACCCAAGTCGCAGCAGAGACAATATCTTCAACGTTGGAAGATGGTGCAGGTTCTGGCTCTGAGTTCACAAGCGCTTCGAGTCCGTCAGCGGCAGCCTCACCGTTACTTTCGTCGCGGTCTTTATCACCATCATCTTGATTCTGTTTGTCGGCGGCTTCCTCGTCCTTGGAGTTTTGCTGTCTTCGTCAGAAACACCATCCATTCAGAGGCGGGACATGTGACAAACCAAAGCAATATATTTGTGTATCCAGTTGTACGCAGGATACACGTCCCAAGAACGATCTCGCAGCCAACGCCTAGCAACCATGAGTGTTATGGGCTTATAGATGCCCGCTTTTCCTTCGGAATCTGCAGTGTGGACTCTAACCCAACGTCTCTCTTTTGGCTGGAGCACGGCTACGGTCTTTTCGTCCTTGAGCAAATCGCGGACTATTTTCACTTGATCGGGGTCGATCCAGTTTGGGGAGAGCTCATTCCTCGTAGTCCAGAACTTCTCAATTCCCTCCACGTCGCTGAGGAGATCCACGAGTCTTTTGGCGAGAATCATCCGTTCCGAGGTACCTAACCGGCCTTGTTCTAGGGATTCTTTGACCTTGCCTAGATGGTAAGTGAGATATCTCAGCGCATATGAAACAAGGCACTGGGTTTTCTCGTGAGGCTCGTCGTTCAAAAGCTTCAAAAGTTGCTCGGAGAGGTAGTAGCTTGCTCGGACTACATCGGTCTGGATGACACCCTTGCCGCCCAAGCTCGATTTGTCCGTGGAAAAGTCGAACCTCCCGCTTCTGAGTTTATCGGTGAGATCCCAGAAAAACTGCTGAACTGTCCGTAGGTCTGCTTCGTTAATTGAAATCGTCATCGATATCCGGGCAGCTTCCAAGTCCGGTACTGTCGCAGTCTCGGATACAGGACTGTCCTGGCTTCGAAATAGATTTTCAATGTCAACGTCTACCTCCACATGATCGTCAATGACATGTAAAATTCTTGCAAACTTTTCCTTCAACTTTCTCTCAAAGGGCTGCAATGAGGCCTTTCCAGAGTTCAAAAAGATAGTTGCTCTGAGGTGGTCAACCGTGAAGTACTCAAAACCGAATATCGCCCAGTGAAGAAGCTCGTTTAATTGGTCTATGTCGTGAGATTTCAGGGCCGCGTTCAAGTCGTTAATGACCTTGCGCGCAAGCTTGCCCAGATCGTCGGCTGGATTCTCGGACAAGATCGTCTGTACATCGTCCAGGTATGCGTCCGAATCCACTGCCTCTCGGATTCGTTCGAGCTTTTGTTGTACAACGGAGAAGGACCCCGAGGCTACCTCGGGAAGCGTTGTGCGAATCGCTTTCAGAAGATCTAACATCTCCACGTGCTGACCTTGAAGAATTTCATCCTTTTCAAGCAGGTCTTCGATGTACATTTTGATGTCGGATAGATTGTGGTCAGCGATTTCGATGGGTTTGATGGGGCTGTCTTCGAATATCTTCGGACTGGCGGTGGCTATGATACGAATATGCTGCCGAATGGTTGAGGAACGGCTATCATCTCGGACTGCTTTGAGGAGTTTGAGGAGTTTAGCACAATTGCTTTCAGACAAGTCTTCGAGGCCATCAAACATCAGGATGAAGTTTGCCGTCTCCTTCGTCTGGGGGTATCTCGAGAATTGCAGTTTGTCCCACCATAGCTTCTCCCAAAGCTCTTTCTCCTTGCTATCTGGTGGCCTGAAATCGTCCTTGAGGCCGGCCATCTCAGTGGCGTACTGCTTGTATTGGCTGGCCAGCTGTAGGGACATTGATTTCATGGCCGCCACCACGTCCTCCTTGTGCTTCTCTTTTGCGCTTTTCGCTTCACGCTTCGTAAATTCGTAGTAAGCGATGGAGACGTCCCGGCCAGTCTCGCGGAGGTCTTTTTCTATGGCCGCCAGCAGGAAAGACTTGCCAGTGTGCTTCTCTCCCGAAATTAGGAGCAAAGGGATCGCGTTGGCCTCTGCTGTCTTCCATTCTTTGTAGTCGTCATGTTCCAGTAACCATTGAGCACTGCCTGCAAGCAGATCGTTCCTCATGGCGAGCATTGCTTTCGTCGCTTCTTGAGCTGATGCCGTTGAGGTTGACAACATTCTGCTCATAGCGTCAAGTCTCTCGGAGAGTATCATGCGCATCTTACGATCGCTTACGTCTTCGGCCACCATGCTTATGTTCGTTTCCAGGTTCGTGAGTTTCTCTGCAGTTTCATATTGAGCGTGGAGGACCTCGAAAATCCTGTCTTCGCTGCTCAGAACATGCTGAAGGGTGATGGCGTCGGTAACCCGGCTCTGTTTTTCAATCAGAGCTTTAAATTTGGTAAGTTCGCTCTTAACACCGGAGTCGTCGTTCAGGAAAGTGATCTTTGCCCCAACTTTTACATGGTGCCAGACTCCGCCCTCAATGCTAGACAAGTGTCAGTGAAGCGTGAGAGCAGAAGAAGTGTGGAAGGAATCGAATGTCCCGACTCCCAGCTATGAGTAGATCTACCAGTGTCGGGCCAGAGTCGGGGTAGAGTCACTGGGAAGCGCTTACATTTTGATGGAAAGCCCACATATCCTCACAATGGACATCATCAGCTTGTGCGTCCCATCTCTCAAGTCCGGATCAAGCTTATTATAGTTTTCATAGATCTTGAACAGCACGAGAGAGTGCGAGATCTCCTCAAACAGATTTCCCACTCCTTCGTAAACTGCGGCGACCTTGCCGGGTACATCGATTAGAAACGAGATGGCGTTGAAGCATAGGGTGGCAGGTCCAAACACAATCGATGCACCTTGTGCAGCCAAGCCACCGAGCAATTGGATACAGCTGAGGACCTTTTCGATAGTGGCACGAATCTTTGCTTTGGTTTTGGCTGAGTCCTTGCCAGCCTCAGACTCGGGGGGCCGATACTTCCTATCGAGATCGGCTAGGACATCTTCCAGTCGCTTCTCTTGGTCTGTCGTCAAACTCCTTCTTGTCATCTGCCTGAATTCAACTTCTGCGTCCTGCCACAGCAGTCTGAGCTCCATCTCCGCAGGGGAGAGAGCAGCTGCCGTCTGGGGTTGCCGAAAAGCCGCCATCTTGTGCCCTCCGCAAAGTCCTTGCAGTTAACAGTGGGAGGGAGCGAACAACGTGGCGTGAGAGGCAGAAGAAATCGGCAGAGAGCGGTGTTTTCCCTTCGATCGGGCTGATGGCAACTGCTTTTATAGGAGTTGCGGCTGAAATGAGTGTGGTATCAAAAACTCCATACCGAGTGCCTGTAGGTCGCTAGTCTGGTAGTTGGTGTTGTTTCAACCGCCTCGTGACTCTGGGGCAGCCAGTAAGCTCATTGTAAACGCGTCGCGACACTGTAGCTAGCTGACGTGTCTCAAGCCGAACCAGGGGCCAGAGAAGGGCCTTACCAGCCTTATCTTGCGGTCGCCATGAACGTGATGGGGGCCAAAATGAGCCTCCCAGTGGCGTAATAATATGTGATGGTCGACCTATCTCTACCTTGACCCTATCATTCGATTCAACGGCGTCGACAACCAGCACTGAAGTGCCTAGGCTCTCCATGCTAGCGTATCGGTGGTCGTTGGCTAACGAATGACTCTACGAAGTCTCGTTAGGAGGAAAACCGTAACGCATCGTGCGCTCAGCCCTTTAGATTGCAGATGTTCGGGAGGAGGAGATGGCCGGACGATCCCCGCGGGCCCTAGCCAAACCGAAACGGAACCATTGGTTGTTTCTGGTCGCACCGAGTATACAGAGCAGAGGAGGTAGGCGTAGACGCAGCTTGAAAGCAACAGAACAATAGATGCAGACTCATCTTTCGTCTCTCACAGACTCCGCCGTCCTTGGAAACATCGCCGCTCGGACAAAACTTTGCACACCTGAACGAGGGCCGTAAGGTGCTGCGGTCTCTAGCTTATCGAAAGCCAGCACAACCCTCGACAGACGATGCAATGCAGCAAAGTGTTGTGCCAACACAGAGTGGCTCAATAAATTTAGTTCGGTGACTGAACAATGGTGGCCTGGTTCGCTGCCACTAGATCTTGACCCTTGATCCAGCAACACGCGCAGTGGTTTGCCACCAAGTGGACATGCAACGCAAGCCGAATTAAAGGAAATACACTGACATGCCAGATCTGTCTCTCGCGAGGTGTTGATTTCGGTCTTCTGAACCAATCGATCTCGACATATGGTTGAGGCCCTGGCACCCCTGCACAGGTCTCTCGGCCAAAGCTTCCCTGAGGCCGAGAGCAGAACGTACATATGCATAAGGGGACGGACATGATCACCATGCATCCTCTGCAATTCTCTTTGTGGAGACGTGTCGTGACTTGTTCCGCGAAGGTCAAGGTGGTTCGGAATTTCGATGCTTGGGTCGCAAGATGTTGTGAGAATCGCGTTGACCCAGCAACAGGTCTCAATAGTTATATATATCTATATTAGTTACGTGTATCCGTGTACCCCTTGAAACAGCTGCCCAGAAGGAGAATTGAGATTGCTGGGGTTGTCCTTCCCGAAACACGGAGCAACCAAAGGATCCCCAAGTCAATTCCACCCTAATCCGAAGCCTTGAGGCGTCCTCGATGCGTGGAGCAGCCCGAGTCATTTCGTCGCCGGCACAGAGGTTGTTTCCTACATGAATGGTGCACGCTCTGCTATCGCAAGCAACTGACCCGTTATTCCCGTCAAAATGTCCTCCTGACTCCAGCTCATGAACTGCTCGGCCATCGAAAGAAAGATTTCCAGGTCACCGGGCACGGATGCGTTGTACGTCTTCAAGACGCTCATTCGATAGGAGGTGATGTTCTTCTCTACTAAGGGATAATGAACCCAAAGATTGATCATCGGTCCCCATATAGCTATGGAAAAGACGACGGGGGTCTTTCTCCCGCATGGGGAGTCGGGCGCGTATCGATCGTGGACGTCATCGAGCTGTCGAAAGAGGTTGATCATGCAACTTGCGGCGACCGCGGCTTGATTCTCGGCTTCGTACATGGTCTTTCCAGTCCCATATGCCTTTCCTTCAACCACCAGGGTGGGAAATCGAACAAATGTAAAGTTTGCAGTCGGATCTGAGTAAAGGATATGTTCGCATTGCAAGGTCGTCAACAGCGTCTCCACCTGCGACGTGCATATGCCATGGTTTGACAGCACGTCAGATATCGTGGAGACTTTGAAACCAATGGTGCAGTCAGGACGAGGCGTCTTAACACCACTGTACGGTTCACTCTCGGATGTAAGGACATCAGACTGTGATGCGTCCGAAGGTTCTTTGGTGTCTGTGTTTGCCCGTTGCCGCTCTGTAGGCCTGTCGCTAATGTGATCAGCTTCGTTGTTTGATGATAATTGCGGAAGTTTGGGAATGAGGCTCGAGTTTAAATCTAGCACAAGGGTTAGCTCGCGACAACATACACTGTCAGAATGCGAAGGGAGTGCTATACCAGCCTTTCTCACAAAATCAAACACAATCTCCTCGTCCAGTGCCATTAGAGCTGAAACCACCACCTCGATATAGTCATCTTCTCGACGGTTACTTGTAGCGACAGCTTCAAAGTGCTTGGACATGCGCTTCGCTATCTTGGAGATTTCATTCCTCCTCTCTTTGGATATCCCACGATTGAAGATGGCGTCCACCTGGGATCGGATATCTTGCGGGGGTACCATATTCTTCACAAAAATCTTGACATTGGCGAGGGTTTCTTGGCGATAACGAGCAGGTGATATCGATGTGGTGGTCTCAGTCGCAGAATCTCGAGGCAGCTCTGACTGGGTCAACGTAGCTCTTGTCAACCTTGCGCCACGCTTTCCACCTCGCTTGCCACCTCTAGTTGCGGGGACTGGGCTCATCTCAGAAGACGCACTATGAAGTTGCCTTTGGAGCTTCTTCAAGTTCTCTCTGGAGAGTTTGAGTCCCGGTACGTATTGTCGAAGCTGCTTGTTGGAGTGGCCGTCTGGAGGATAGTTTGGCTCCAGGTCTTTCCGAATGTGTGAGCTGTCAATGTGCTCTCCTGAAGCTCTAGCAGGTATGGTTGGGGATGATGAATCTCGTCGTAGTGGCTCCTGCGGGCTTTTGGCTTCAGCAATGAGTTTCCTCGTCTGGGCTCTGGTCACTGGACGGGGGATCAACGCCTGTGGAGATGGTAGGGGGTCTTGGACGGTAGCTGTAATGGATGATTGTAGATGTCGTGGGTGAGAAATCAGCAAGTCTTCGTTCTTCGGAGCACTCTTTGCATGGTTGCCTTGGAACTGTCAATATGGCTTGTTTGTGTAATGGAACGGCGGAAGTAGAAGCAAACCTTTGACGGATCGTCGCCGGGCCTTATAGCTGTGTCTAGGAGCCATCTGCGCGAGGCGGATAGGAGTTCAATGAAGCTGCTCGTTGTGAGACTGGCACTGAGTCTGTCGCGGGAGGAACATGGGATTTTTGAGACGTTAGATACCTGCGACGGTTGTGTTCACAATTGAACGTAAAGTCGGCTTTGGCGGCTGTCTTGTTTACTGAAACAGATCAATACCTGGACGCTTCGAAAGGCGATCACCACACTGATTAGTGTTTCGGAGCCCCTTGTTTTGTTGTGACCGACAGCATTCTTGGTGGTGCCGCTGCCCTAACTGGTGGCATTCTTTGTCTCTCGGTCGACACAACTGCTTCGTGGAAACTAAATCGGAACGTCACTGCAAACGTCCTCCTTTGATCCATTCTAGGTCATTGTGTCGCATAATAGATATTCGCCTTGTTAATGCGGCCGTCGTAAGAATGGAAATTGACTCAGTTCCAGCAGTCGGATGGCCCAGTGTAGGCTGCCGTGACGTGCCGGACTCGGTAGCGATAGTCTGTTGTCTCTGCTCCCTTCGTGCAACTCTCCGCCTATGTACCAGTTGGAGACTTGAGAGAGTGAAGTTCTTGAGTCATTCAATCTAGTTGGCCAAGTACCCTTTGACGTGACGGTTCAGAGAGATCCTTCAGAGTTGTTGGTATATGGTCACCCCAAATTCTTTTCATGCCGATATTAGCGGTTCTTGGGAATAAAAGCGTAATACGCCTCGGCAACCAGGCATCGAAGCATTCTTGGAAATGGATTCCATGGTCGCTAACTCTGTAAGATGAACGTATGAGCTGTCCTGACAATCTTGTGTCTTGAGAACGGAACGCAGACGCCTCTCGTATTGAATTTTGCAGTAGCCTTTGGCGCTAGGAGAGCAGTGGCTCGACGGAAAGGGATCGTGGATGGCAATATCCTCAGTCCCATTGCGCTAGGAACTTGTTCCGTCAACTACAGGCAAAGATGGATCTTCCTGAGACATGGCCAGCCCGTGGAAAGAGATGGTGATCATGGATAGACACCTATTCAGCAGGGTGGATCTATTTGGGCAACTAAGCCGAAAAGCCAATGAATGCTGGCATGGGTAATTGATTCAATTTGAAAAGGTCGACAGCTATCTGAGCATTTTAGAAGGCATATACTTTTGAAATTAAAGTCGCACTTGACCCGGCCATATTGAGCGATGATCTTCTTGTCACGTCCAGTCTTCGGGAGCTCCTTCGCTCGATATCCCGATGTGCCCAGCAAATCCAGCTTTGCATTTTCATGTCCCGTATACATAAGCAGATGCCTGCGAGCCACTCGACGATGATGACGACGGTGTTCCATTGTCGCTACCCATCACGGAATTCCAGAAATTGCTATCCGAGTCGTCGGGATTGTGAAACATAGTGTTAAGTTCAGCGTCGAAGTCGGTCTGAGCAAGAAGTTCCAGGTCGAGGGGAGGGGCTCGCAATACGTTTGGCAAGCTTTGTTGCATATAATGGGTGCTGGGTATGACATTGGGCGCCGTGTCGGCAATTTGGAGATATAAGAAATTTGGTGAATTGGTTGTCGTTGTCCCCTGTGGAGTTGCCGGCTTTGAGTGATCGTTGGTATCGAATGAGACGCCCCAGCTGCTCAGAACCTGTCGTAGCCCACGTCTTGCATCGTTGGCCATTTCCCACGCGTGGGCAATCTCAGCCAGAGCAGTGTCGATCGCAGAAAGACAAGTGTCCTGGATATTTGGCTGTGGTTGGCGCACTTTGCGAGAACATGAAACCATGGCCAAGGTTGCGTCAATAGCGGTGACCGCGCCGTGTGCGAAACTAAATGGTGCATTCTTCAACGCGTGCTGTGCGCTGAAGCGGCGGAGTATTCCGACAATTGTTTCGATGGAGCCATTGCAAGCTTCAAAGGCATCAAACACCAGTTTCGAAAATTCCGATGAAGTCCCATGCACTTCAGCGGAAATGAGTGACCGATTAAGACTAATGCGCGCAGTATGGTATATCATGCTATAACCTGTCAGTCAGATGCTCAACGGAAACAACACATGAGAGACATGGTCCTACTGGAGATTTGCAACGCTCGGTTCTACCTCTTCGAAATTAGAGCTCCATCTGCTCCACCGCATGTCACCAGGCAGAGAGTCATACCAACTCCATAGTCTGGCATTCAGTTTGTTGTATAGTGCTTGAAGGTAGTACTCGGAGAGATGATGGAGTTTCCGCTTGCAGTGTACTTGCAACTGAATATCTTTGATGACGTTGCCAAGTTCTGCTTGCTTGATCAGCAACAACGTCGGCACATAAGACTGGTCTCGATCATCGAAGCTGCTTTTGCGGTGCTGATCCACCCACTGTTGCAAGGGAGGTGCCGAGAGCGCATCGGCTAGGGAGGTTGTTTGTTCCCAGCTCGAAATCGGAGTATCGAGAACTGGTAATTCCGACGCGAGAGAATGGTCTTCATTCATGGGTGGGCGTCCGAAAAAGAGACTGAATAATCTAAGGCTCGAGTCAGTGCAATCTACCTTTCGTCAACCGTGGGGTGGGAACTTATCGGAAATAGTGAAGGTTAGAGACATGCGCTGCCGCAACTCCAAGTTAACAAGCAGCGCATTCTGAGCGTGGTCCGGCAAAAGCGGTGAGTGGCTCTCGTGAACACCAAGATCTTGCGTCATTCGTAGTGCCATGCCTGCAACGATTAGTCGAACCGTTCTCGCCAGATGAAAAGAAGTGGAAGCGCACCTGAATACATCCAGGCCTTTGACACGTTTCCCTTCCCAGTTGCAAAGGCAGCACATAGCAACATGGTCTGAGACGTCGCGATATGCGGACGCCACAAGCATTTATTCTTCACAGCTTCTTCCGCTGAGGCTGCGAATTGATCGGCCAACTCCCGAATATTGTGATCGTCGGACATCAGGGCACCCAAAGCACATACTGAGTGCAGGAGAGCGGAAGGTCTGTGTTTCGAAAGCCTTGACTGATGTCTACAATCTTCTAGAAGCACATCGCGGTCGACGAGGCTGCAGAAAGGGTGCTGCCATTTGAAGAACAAAGCGATACATTCCTGCAGGACAACCTTGGGAATGCTGGTGATATTGTCTAAGGAGGGTTGTTGGGAGGGCAATACAGGCTTTGATTTGTGACACGAGAAAAGACCAGTCCCATAGGCACTCCCCGGTGCGTGGAAGACGGCAACGCCTGTTTCAGGAATCAGTCGACTTGACATGGAAGGAGGGTCGAACACTAAACCGTCTTCATCCAGCCCCCAGAATCCTTGAGGGCCATCACGCAGAGAGTTACCCGACTCCTGGTGCGGCTGAGTTTTGCTTGGAACGGGAGACAAGTGGTCAAGAAAATCAATGCCATCGATGATGGCACTTCTCTGGGGAGCGGCAGAGGTCTTGATGCTCGAAAGCAATAATTCTAGCGCCGCAACCCTACCCTCCAGAGCACCGACATACTCGTGCGATATCGGGGCTCGCTTCCAGTCATCAGCACGGAATTCGCACTGGACTCCAGCTGCCGTACAACTATTGCACGGGGTGGTCCGGGAGCATTTGATCTGTAGGCATGATCAATGGATGTCGCTTTTATGAGGATATGACAGGATGTGAGCGTACCTTCCGGGTCTGACAGCGCTTGCAGCTGTATGGCGATAGTGGTTAGCAGTCTGCTTGACCGAACGGGATTCGAGCCGGCCACTTACGAAATTCTCCTCTCGCCATGGCGGCGCATGTTGTAGAGACGCACGCAGCTAAAATATTGAGACAGATAAGTCCAGGGCCAGGAAGCGATGATGTAGACGAGCGCAGGGCGTAGTTGATTCAGCGAAGTCTGAAAGTTGAAGAGAGCAAGAAGAGCAGATTGTGGAAGGAGGGCAGACGGTGGACTGAATAGCCTCCCTCCACGTGACCAGCCCCTCGCCGATAAGGAGTGATAAGCCAGCACGCCATTTCGAGCAACGGAGTGCAACCCCGAAAGGCAGACTTTGGCTTGATCTCATTGGATGAGGAGGGACTTCAATTACCATGGCCTACGTCGTGGGAAACTCATTTGCCTGAGCACAAAAGAGCAGCTCAAGGCGGGAGGAAGTGGCGAGGAGCTGACGAGGTAATGCAAGAGGTGCTTTCTCGTTTGCTCTTACTAGACAGTCTAGACTTGTGGGCAGGGGGTTCCTAACCAGCTGGCAGTACATAGCCCCGGGGAAACCAGACGACGTGCTCTTCCCTCGGTAGAGTGGGAGATTCGCAAGGTATTCTCATGATAAGTTGTCACCTCTCCTTGTCACGGAAACTGGACGCTTTGTGGGTGGCCCGAATTCGTATTATAGCCATTGTAAACACATAACAATGGGCCAGGAAGACATTCATCTAGGAAAGGGCGGACATTTCCGGCAGACTGAGTGTTCTGGCCAAAGAGCATTGTGGGAAGATAAATCATATCAACCTTAAACACTACTACTATGAGACCCCGTACATCTCCATCGAGGCGCAGATAGAGGTAGTTGAAGTTTTCGACGTTGGAATACCTGCCCTAGTGGACGAACCGTACATCCAGTCTCCGTGACCCGGTGTCTGTAGTACTGGAAAGATATTGCTCCCGCTCCAACGGACTGAGCGCCATCCACAGCTTCTCCTTCTGCTGGTTTCGTTTTACATAGTATAGCTTTGCCAGGAAGAAAAGTGCAATACTTCCGCACGTAATGCCAATCAGGATTTTGTTGCCTCTGTAGTCTATAGTTGTTGTGTCAGTCTTCCAGATAGCCCTCTAGGGTCTCCGGGATTCAACGTACAGTATGGTTTGTCGTCGTTGCGATAGACATTCACCGCGATGATTGACCCGAACTGATAGCACATATTGTATACCGCTGCGGAAACAGCACGTGCGCCCACATCGTTGGAGTTCCGAGAAATCAAGGAGACCAGGATCGCATGTGCTGTTTTGAGACGTGTCAGCTCTGTCCCGCGCAAGCAACTGAAAGTGCTGAAAGCTTGAGGGGGCTTACTGTATGGCTCTCCATTCACACCTGTGAGCAGCGCATATCGGACCCAAGGACTTGCGCTCCGGGGAATAGCTAGCAGTCCTATGAGAAATGGGAAAACCCACCAGACGCTCAGAGACGAAAATAGAAGTCTTTCGCGATATCTCTCGCTCATCCAAGTGACGACAAGGATCTAGGCGCAATCCATTGTCAGCAAACGAACCCATCGACAGGAGCAATGAGACCCACATTGATAAAGAATAAGGCATATCCTGGGATCGCCAGCATATTCGCCTCGAAGACGCTGTAGCCCAGATTCCGCAGCGTGAGAGAGAGATAGTTGGCAGCAGGCTGAAAGGGAATGAAGGCAATCAATCCGAGCTGAAGTAAGGTCAGAAAATGCTCGTGCCACAGCCAAAGGCAACTCACAATGTAGAGCGGCCACAGATCGGTGTCAATTACCGCCCTCCAGATGCGCTTGAGACTGACGTGCTGCCGGTTATGCATGTTGCCCTTGGATGGGTCGTCACGGAGGAGTCGATTGACCAGAATTTTCTCCTCTCTTTCGGTGAACCATCCGGCTTTCCCATGAAGCCAAGTCGCCCTTCCACGCAAAATCTTGTGCGTTTCGGTGATACTGGCTGGCATGAGGAGGAATGTTAACAACCCCACGATAATGCTGAGAAGACCCTCGATGAGAAAGCTGATATCGGTCAGCGAAATCCAAATAGTACATGCAAGAGGGGCTTACAGCCACTGCCACCCGCTCCAATCGTGCAACCCACGCATCTTGAGGAGTCCTGCAGCCATAAGAGCACCAATGATTTGTGTCACGGGTATGGCGGTCCAAAATACCGAAAGTCGAATGGGCAGTTCATTGCTCTTGTAAAAATACGTGAGGTAGAGGACCATGTCAGGTATGAACCCGCCTTGGGCCATGCCCAGGAATGCCCGTGTCAGGTAGAAGCCGGTGCGATTTGTAATGAGGCTCTGACAGGAGCATATGGTTCCCCAGATGCAAATGCATATGGGAGTCAGAACGTCTGGTCCGATCTTCTTGCTCAACAGTCCACCAGGGAGCTCGGCTGCGAGGAAGGAGAATAGATAGATAGTCTGGCCATTATTGAAATCGTTTGTGTTCATGTTCAACTCGTCAAGCTGAGTCGATAAGTGTCTGAACAAGTATTGAAGGGGTGATTGGCTCTTACCATGTTGTCTGAGATGGCACGGTTGATATTTCGGCGGATAAGGTCCAGGGACGAGAACATGATCCAAACCCAGAGCATGATCCGGAAATCAATCTAAAACGAGAGGTTAGAAGAGTTTGGAGCCCCAAAGCGTTGATAACAACGAGGGAAGAAGTTACAAACCTTGCGGATGAGTCTCTTTTCCTCACTCGAACTCCATTGGACTGAAGGATCAAATCGGTGGCGACCCTCATATTGAGCTTGATCATAAACACCCTTCCAGTAGTCTGCCTCGATAGGGACACTGAAGGCATGCTGCTCAGTCGAACCGGTGAAGGAGTGTTTAACTCTGCCGCCGAGTTGGTCAAGCTCAAAGGGAGTTGAAGTGCCAGCTTCGATAGAAGCGGCATCCTTCTCCTTCGGGGTCATTGAAGCTGCGGCAGTCTTCTCTTGCAATGGAATGCCACCTTTCTCGTCCTCGGACATTGTTGCCGTCTGTACCTCAAGAATGAGGCAAGCACACTGAGATATGAAGAATTCCCAGGTTAACAGACAAATCCGTTATCGCAGATGGTTTCTCCTCGAGGTCAGACAAAACGAAGTGCCGAGTGTTTTAAATATGTTCTTCCTGCGAGACCAAAGTACGCGCAAGCCATTTCCAGGTGATATGGGGCCTAGAGAAACGATGATCATCCTCTCAGGAAGGTAGTGTGCGCCACTGTTCAAGGGTCTTGCTGCCCTGCTTCTGTCCCTCCGGATGATAAGATCATGCACTGTGATCTAACATCCGTATTGCAGCTGCTGTATTGTACGCCACACGTCCTAAACAGTCTTCGCGGCTTGATAGAGTGGGATAGAGAACGAAATCGGGTCTTGGTGCGTGGCTAAGGACGAGAGATAACGACCGCACGGGAACGGAGTCGAACTCCACCCATGAACGCGGGGATCCACACCGTGTATGCTGAACCCGTTTTGGTTTGGAGATCGGAGCCTCATACTTGAGGTGGCGACTCCGGAGTATTCAGCAGATACAGGCGTTGTGAAAACTTGCACTGAAGAAACCGAAGAGATCCTAGGCATGGAAGGGGAGGACCCGACGGACTTGCACCCCGTCGTCGTGGCACGATGGTGGCCCTAGCGGGACGGAGTCCAACTCCATGCCACCCACCTTGTGACCCAGATTTGGCGGAATCATCCAGGGACCAGGAGGTATCTAGTATCAAGTCTGGGATTATTCCTTGAAGCAGGCTTTCACTTTGAGTACCTGATATCTGAAGTCACACTTTAGCGCTGACCCTTCTTTCACGAAGCGCTAACAATCAACACTCCCGGTTACAGCGATCAACTGACAGGGATAGCGAAGGATCAGGATCAAGGCGTGTACATGCATATTGTTGCGAAGTATGAGCCAGAAGAAGACTGGGCAATTCACGTCAAACCCCACGCCGGGGGACCAGCCGGGCGCTATGTAGATATCTTCTTCTGGAGTAAGGGGCACAGCCTGATACTCAATAGATGCCAGCGGAGAATGTAACTACAGTTATTCAGGAGCGACGTTGTGGCCGTCAGGTTAGATATGCCTAACAGTGTCAATATGGATAGGGACACCACTGCGTCAAGAAGTAGGGTGAATAAAATCGGCTCGCTACATATTTGGCTATTCTATTGCACTTTGTAAACACAACTTTGGCAAGCAGATTCTTGAACTTCATTTGTGGACACTTGATGCACACTGTGCGCCCATTCTATAGCTTTCTATTTTCGATGAAGACTTTTCCCCCGAGCAAAGAATGCTGACAGTAATGCGACTGCTGCGACGGCAGTGTTGGCGATATAGGCGTACTTCAAGGCACGATAGTAAACATGTCTCGCTGCCGACTGCACATCCGGTGGCAGACGGTCCAATACCGCCACAGAATGGCGGATCTGATCAACCAGCTCGTCCTTGTTTGGGATTCCCTCTAGAGCCGAAGGAAGTTGCTGCGCCAGAATGTTCTGCAGCAAGGTCGAGGATGCAGCGACTCCCCAGACAGTTCCCATGGAGCGGAACAGATACACCGTCGAAGTGGACACCGCTTGGTCTATATGTACTGTTAGCAAACCGTAGCCTGCACTTCGTTTTTGCATAGTTTCACTTACAACTATGGTCAAAGGCAGCCAGGAAGGTGAAGAGAATCGCGGGGTAGCAGATTCCCTGTCCAAAGTTCGCTGGAAAGAGATATACCATGTATTTCCATGATGCATCGTGATACTTCAGAGAAGCCACGAGCCCATTTCCCACCATCATGATAAAGCAGCCAGCTCTCACAAGCTCACTGAGCCGGCCCCATCGGGACATGACTATCCCTGAAAGAAGACCTCCCGCAGGTGTCGCCAAAGAAGGGATAACCAGACGCATGCCAGCCTCGGAGGGGTTGTCTCGAAGGACAACTTGGAAGAACAGGGGGCTGATAAAGAGGAACCGTTCGTCTATTAATACATGCATGATGGGGCTTTGGGGTCAGACTCACTGAGTAAGCAGCCATACCAACGCAAACATTGCTGATCTGATTCGATATGGCAAGAATTCCATGCAGCATCGACATTGGCATCACAGGGACTGCCTTGGTCCTGAGCTCCACCATGACGAATATGAGAATGAGTATCACACTCAAGATCATGGCGAAAATGACACGAATGTCACTCCAAGGGTAATTGTTGCCACCCATGGTCATGGCACCCAGCTGCGCAGAAAGCCCAAGGACCAAGAGGAGAGCGCCCGAGAGATCAATCTGCTCCCATTTCGACGAGCGCTTTGCCGAGCCGGACGACTCTTCGTCCGCTGCCAGCTTTTTGGTCTCGGTTCTCTTGATCACAAGATGCCCGACCACGAAGGCAAATGTCGATACGGGCACCTGGAGGAGGAAACACCACCGCCAACCAATATGATCTGCGATCAATCCACCCAGGGACGCTCCACAGATGGAGCCGAATCCGTGCAAGACATTCTGGCATGCCTGGTACATGCCTCGTTCCTGGAATGGAATCATATCCGAGTTGATAATTGTGGCCATGGTCATCAGCCCGCCCCCTCCGAGCCCAGTCAGGGCTCTCATCAGATTCAACGAGATGATATCAGGGGCAAAACCACACCCTAGGCATCCAAGCAGAAATGTGACCGTGGCTGTGAAGAAGCACGTTCGCCGTCCCAAGATGTCAGAAAATCGCCCGTACAGCGGCTGGAAAGCGGTGCTGGTGATCAAATACGACGTCGTTAGCCAGGATATGGTATTTGCCGCATTGAACTCGGAACCGATGACTGCGTATGTCGATGCCGTGATCGTCCCGTCGAAGCCAGAGAGAAACACGTTCGAGAAGATGGCTGTACAAATATCAGCTCGGTGAATGGACAGCAAGCCTTCTTTTCTCCTTACCGATTTCTATCCAAATAAAGCCCGGGCCAGGCGTCCATTTCTCCTCGCGCCCTTTGGCACCTGCAGAATCGGCAAGGAGCGGTGTCGTTACGTCCGACTCTGTTAGGATCTCACTGACTGTATAATGATCGTCTCCCATGTCTGCAGTCGCCAGATCGCTCTCTCTTTGCTTCAACATAGAGTTTTTCTTCCGCAGAAAGCCATGAGAAAGCATTTATTATATCAATAACATATGTAAGTTTTCAGCCAAATAGGGGATGTCGGTCCGAATGCCAGTGGCCTGGGTAGATTCGATTGGACGCTGGATGGATAAACAATGGTAGCTTAAAGCCCGAAGACAAAATTTCACCTGCACGAAGCATGGGTGTTTTCTTCGCCACCATGGATCATAAAGATCCATTTGTCATATCGATTGCGTATTGCGTGATCGTGAGGTGGCCATTGACAGCTATTCGAAACATACGATTCATCTCATAGCTCGAAAGTCTGTGTGTACATGCCATATGGGTCCCCTGAAGGAAGCGGAGTCCAAGTCCGTCTTTCCTTTTGGATCAATGGGGTCGTCGACTGAGAAGCTGTGTTGTCAGAACGGACATGGACTCCGTCAGGGATCGACAGCGCATCGACATCTCCACATTCGGGGCTCCTCTCCATTGTCTACAGCGATCCTCTGCGGGTTTTTGCTTCATGACAACACTTTTCTCGTTAGTGGAATGTCTGTAAGCTACGAAGAAAATAGTCGTGCCTGGTTGGTGGGCAGGATGTCTGCTGGCATTGGAGCTGGCGTTGGGCGTTTCGATATATGATTTACACTTCTCTCTTTGAGGACGCCTCGTTGAGAAATCGCGCTCTTTTGCTTCCCCTGATTATCGCAATTTTGCTCGGCTATACACATTTGTCGTCTGGTCTCCCATGGTCCAAGAATGAGCCCGAATCTCGGCTTTCCAGGCGTTCGAGCCACACTGGTGGCTCTGACAACATGTCTTTCCCTCCTTCCAGCGGCCAGCGCAAACTGGCGCTACAAATCGAGGCCAGATTTGGCACCACCGACCTTGAACATCACCATTCCAGCAACCAAGGAGGTCGAGACGGGATACCTCTTCATGGCACCCTTTGCGGGCTATCCTGAGGGAACTCACCACGGACCGGCGCAGGCGGCGCCCTACATATTCACCGATACCGGTGACCTTGTCTGGTCCGGGTTCACCTACTTCTCGATCTGGGCAACAAACTTCCAAGCCGGGCGCTGGAAGGGGAAGGACATCCTCTTCTGCTTTGAAGGCAGCCACAATGGAGCGTACGGTCATGGACACGGGCACACCACATTCCTCGATCAGAATTACGAGACCATCCGAGAGCTCCGGGCGGGTAACCACCGCCTCACGGACAAGCACGAGTTTCACATCATCAACGAGGAAACTGCTTTGATTCAGATCTACCATCCGGTTCCGTACAACCTCACGGCTTATGGAGGAAGTGAGGAGCAACAGTGGATTGTCGATGCCAGATTTCAAGGTTCGTGGCTATGGATCCCGTGCCCGTTTCCATATGCTGACTCTTTATAGAACTCGATATTGAGACCGGAGAAGTTCTGTTCGAGTGGAGCAGTCTGGAACATGTTGACCCCTCAGGTATTGATGACCCTCTGAACTGCTGCATTGCACGTTTCTAACGAAAAATAGAGGCCTACCTACCACTTAATCCCGGCCAAGCAGGTGCTGGGTATAACAGTTCCGACGCGTGGGATTATTTCCACATCAATTCGGTCGACAAGGATGACCAGGGCAACTATTTGATCTCGGCGCGCGACGCCAACGCCGTCTACAAGATCAACGGCACCACCGGAGAAATCCTCTGGCAGCTGTCCGGCAAGTCATCCAGCTTCAAGATGGGGCCCGAGGTCGAGTTTGCGTTCCAGCATCACGCGCGGTTTCAGGGAAGAAACGAGAACGGCACCAAGGAAATCATCAGCTTGTACGACAATTCAGCCCACGGGACAGAGAATGACCACGGGCACGAGGTGCACTTCTACAAGATCTCGCGGGGCAAGATCATCGAGGTGGACACCGAGACCTGGGAAGCCAAGATCGTGCAGGCCTTTCACCCTCCCGACGACCTGTTGTCCAAGTCCCAAGGATCCACTCAACTGTTGCCGAACGGGAATGTCCTGGTCAATTGGGGCTCGGAGGGTGCCATGACCGAGTTCAAGTCGGACGGCACCCCGATCTTTCACACGTACATGGACTCCGGGTACCTAGGGCTCGGTGTCGAGAACTACCGTGGTTTCCGCTACAACTGGACGGGAATTCCCAACGAGGCCCCTGCCATTGTCGCCCTGGAGGACGGAGGTTCCACGGAAATCTATGTCTCGTGGAATGGGGACACACGGACCAAGGTCTGGCGCTTCTATGAAGTCTTCAGAGGTCGCCGAGCTTATATCGGGGAAGCCAAGCGAGAGAGCTTCGAGACCGTCTTGAAGGTTGACCGTGTCGGTGTCAAGACGGTGCAGGCGGAGGCTGTCGACGCAGAAGGGGAGGTTCTTGTGGACACCTCGGCGGTCAAGCCGGGCGCCATGATCCACCAGTTCCACGGCGAGGGCAGAAAGAATGTCCAGGGTGGCGGTCTTGTTCCTTGGTTGACCTTGCAGGGAGAAAAGTTTTTCAGGGGCAAGGATATGTGAGCTGTCATTTTTCTCCCCGTGGCTGAAAAGAGACAGGGAGCGGTTGGGGCAAGGGAATCCCGTTAGCCTCGCTGATATATATGTGATCACGTTCAGCACACAGGCTGTCGTGGAGACATTGGCGGGAGGAATCCTGAAAAATGTATTTTCTGAGTGACTCTGTTCCCGCTTTCCTCCAAATTCATCACGAGCTGCTCGTCCCGGTGATTTTGCTGATCCAGATCTCGGGATAGACGTCGGTGTAGTTTGCGACATCCTTTCCCGAGACCTCGCTCCCTTTGGCGAGCGCCTCCTTCAGGTCCTCGATCTTGTCCCACTCGATCGTCGCCGTGACCATGTACGGGGGCCTCTTGCCGTCGAGAGAATCCTCAGGCCCGTAAGACGCGACGGTCCACTTCCCCATGCCAAATGGTTTCCAGTCTCGGTTGATAATCTCCCCCATGTGTGTCTTGAGATAGCTATTGCCACAATAATTTCAGTTCCTGAGAAAGAAGCCCTACTCATTTCTTTGTTGGTCGAGGTCTTGGAACTTACTAGTCCATGTCAAAGCGTGCAGGCTTTCCATCCTTTGTTGTCGACGGGTAAGCGACCACGCATGCAATTTTGTCGGTCATTTTCACTCATTCGCGTCTCTGGCTGTTGTGGCATATTCCTTCACAGCGGACTCAAGCCAGAGAGATATCTTAGCAACCGTCCCTGCTTTTTAGACTTTACCCTCGGCTTGCTTACATGTGCCTCGGACAATCCAACATCAGTCTCCCCGCTGGGGCCGGCCAAAAAAAAAGGGGGGGGGGAAGGATCGCTGATCTGCGATGTATCATTCGATGCCCATCGATCGCCATACGCCTCGTGCATTTCTTGGTTGTCGGTGACATTGGGTATTTCATGTGGTTCTTGGCGAGATAAGTGGCACAGTCAGACAAAGAATACATAATGTAGCTAGAGCACTCAACGACAACAGGGTGGTCGCCATACCAGAAGACAGCTATTATCATCGACAACACCAGGAATGCCGCTCTATCTTGGAGCAGATAGAATGATATCGTAGGCGCAGATATCCTTATAGCCATTGGTTAATCGCTTTCTCCCTGCCAGACAGTAGTACACTTTGACTCCAGACCTCGTGCTCGTTGCTCGTGTTTAGAATTACACTAAGGCGTTCACCTTTCCATGTTAGGCAACGGGCTCGGCCAACATGCCTTCTCTGGCGGACACTGAGGGGTCTGAGGGGCATGCCGAAGTATAGCCGGGGTTCTCCCGTCTGCCGTGTCCATGGTGTTGACGATTGTTGTCGTTATTGTAGAATTCATCTCTTCGTCAGTTTCCGTGAGCATGCTCTTTGTTATTGTGAGACTACGGCATCATGGAGGAGGACACGTTGGACTCTCTGTCGCCGGACGCCGGTTTAGTTCAAGCCCCGCTTGGTGCGACCGTGTTGGGGTGTGATCAACGGCGCACTCGCGACGCATCCCACCACGCTCGTCAAACATCTGAGGACAAGTCGCCTGCAGAAATCTCCGAATTGCAAACAATCGTGCGGGATGTTCGGAGCCACCTTGCAGGTCGTCCAGGCCTACGGTCGCGATATCGTCTTAACGCACAGGACTTCGGCCGACTCCGTAAGTATCTAGAAAAAGTGTGGGAAAATCTACGGTACGGGTTTCGAGAGAGCTTGGATGTTGATTGACAGCTGACAGGACCCTATAGATACGACTACTTTGTCGACACTCGAGAATTCATCCTCCGAATGATTTCCTACAGGCATGAGTTTGTCCAACAACAGTTGATGGGACTCCTTCACAGTAGACTCATGCAGCTATGTTCTCGACATCAAGTTCAATGTCCATTCTCAATACTTGGAGCCGCGGTCGTCGAAGACGGACAGGGCAGCACGCTCGCGCCTGATAATCAGATGAGATGCACCTCCAAGAAACACCCGCCCCTCGTTTTGGAGGTCGGCTACTCACAGTCGATGGACAGCTTGGACAACAAGGCCTGGCGGTATATTCGGGCTGGAAGGGGGCGAATTCGCTGCGTTGTTTCTTTGAAGCTTCATAGGAATTCGCAGGCGGTTGACCTCACGCTTGCGACCCCCAAATTCACCACCAGCGCCCAATCAACACTTTTGGAAACTGAAATAACTTCGCAAGTACGTTACGGGCCTACAGGGACACAGGCCCACAAATGACCATGTGCTGACTTCTGAGCGCAGGAGATTCGAAATGCAAAGGGACAGGCTGGTAGTGGTGCTGGCTTATCAATTCCAGTGGCCCAGATCACACCGATCGGATTGTTGCCCAGCTCTGTTCGTCGCGAGACCATCGTGATCTCGGTTGAAGAGATTTGCGAAATCATCCAATGTGCTGAGAATTCTGAGAGTGGCGAGGAAGAGCGTGGCGGAGAAATAGACGACTATGAAGGCATTCCTACACATTTTGACCTCGGACCTTCGCTACCTTGTCTGGCATCATTGATCGAGTTGGATCAGGGTGACGAGGATACCATCTCAAGCGATGAAGATGAGCAAGGCAAGGGAACAACAGCTGATATTGGCGAGTTCAAGTCGGATCGAAGACGTTGCTCCAGCATGCCTTATCGATCGCCTATCAAGCTGCGAGCGCGAGGGGACGGCAAGCTTGTCTGATCGACAAGGTCTACGGTAGAAACGCACAAATTGGACCCTATCGCAGGCCTTGAGCTCTCCAAGAAGAGGCGCACAGAGTTGATGCTATGAGCTATGAGCCGGCAAAGATGAAACAAACCTTCGCCGCATACTTTTGCAGACATTTTCCAGTCTGCTGCGAAGGGAGGGACAAAAAAGCACATGGCAGGCTATCGACGTTCAAGATCGGCCTGCGCTGTCTGTAAACTTATCTTCTTCCCAACCTTCTTCCACTTCGCCCTTTTCCTTTTTGAGCATGAAGGGTTCGGCCCTCTTCCTGACAAGCAGCTTCCCTCGCAGACTTCGACAGCTCGCAATAGACTCTCAATGCACGACCGCCACGGTTCGGACGACCAGACCTCCCGGCTGAGGTGGAGCACCACCCGCAACGTTCCCAGCAGGTGCACATAATCCACCCAAGACGTCTGCAGGATGGGATTGAAACAGCATTCCACCGTGGTCAGCACGCGTTCCGCACTGTCAGCGTCCAGCCGCCCAATGTTGGCCACGACATCGTGCGGCAGCAATGTAACCATCAGATCATTCAAGAGATGGAGACTATCTTCAGGTTTTCCTTGCGTTGAGCCTCTTTGCCGCGAGGAGGAGGAGGAGGAGGAGGAAGAAGAAGAAGAAGAAAAGGGAGGAGAAGAAGAGCGCCGCTCGATGTAGCTTTGAAGCCACTCGCCGATGCCGTCGTGGATTCTGGCTTCAGGCTGGGTCGCCGAAACCGAGTGTCTCGACCGTGACGCCAAGATATGGGAAACGATCCACGTGTAACTTCGCTCGGTACGGCGAGACCTTTCGACATCGAATGTCCGGCTGTCCATGCCAAATTCGCCTTGTGCATCCCCGTCCAAAGCAAACCGAAGGCGTTCCCGCACGATGCCGTGTACGGCCTTTGCGTGCGCGAGGAACGGTTTGAACTGTTGTCTGGCCTCGTCGTCCTGTTCTCCACAGTCGATCAGCGCTTGTAGGCCGTCCAGGTGCATCTGGCTCCTGTCCAGATTCCCCTGAAGCCCTTCGATTGTCCACCCCAGGCAAGACGTCAACAGTTTCTCCACCGTGGTGGCTTCCGAGGTTCTTATCGCCGAGAGGGCCGCGGTGTAGTGCGCCAGCGCCTTTCGATCGTGGTGGTCAGCTTGCTGCTGCGCCGAGGGGGCTTGGATCCGTGCCCAGTGCGTCAACGCGTGGGCCATCATGATGTGATTGACGATGCCGGACGAGAGGGAGGTCGAGGGCACCAGCACGGAGAGAACGCCACGGTGGCTGGGTTGCCCGCGGACCAGGAATGGTGCGGCCTTGACCAGCCAGAATTGCAACAACTCGGCACTCTCCGTGTTGTCGAACAATGGCGGAGCACGCCAAAGGATCGCCGGGCTCGCCTGCTGGCCATGCCGCCAAGATTGCCGAACTTGGAGTTCTGAGACGCTGCTTGGCCTTTCCGACACGGTATCTTCGAGAATAGGATCATGACATGGTTGCGACGAGCCTAAGTTTGTCCAAGCCGAATGATGCTCTCGGGCGTGCGCCCGCCGACACCTGTCTGCCGCGCTGCTGCCGACGATCGACACGTCCGAGACGGGTTTCCGGGCCCGTTTGCGGTGTCCAACTCGGGCAGCGTGGGATCGCCAGCTCACCGGCACTCGCGGTCCAGTTTGCGGATCGTGAGCTTCGACACCTACAATGAAGCTGATGTAGCCATGCTGATCATGTGGCCCAGCCATCTTGAGATCTTTGTTGTAGGGCGCATTCCGGCGGGCAAGAAGTGTGGCAGGGACTGGGGGGGTTTCAGACGTGAGGTCCCTCTAGACGGGTCGCATGCTCAACGATAAGGGCGGGCGGGCATGATGTTACATGTAAAACGACCTTGGCCATCCATGATGGAGCAACCAGCCTCGGTGGCTTTAACTGGATTATTGGTCGATTACTAAGGTCCAAGCGAGTCCTGTCGTAACATAGATGGCGATGTCCCTTTCGAGACCAAGCCTTGAAGAAGTATTCGACTCGCATCTTGCCTAGAGCGAGATGCGTCCTTGGCCTTTTAGTTAGCGAGTGAACCGCAGAGGTAAGGTACCGAGTTTAATATCAGGGAACATGAGTTGTTGTCCGTGGAGCGACAGGTCCTCCCCTCCCGCGCTCCGTGGGTCAAATTAAGAAGTCGACGTTCGAATAAGAATCATCCCCGTCTGACGATAAGTGACATCACCTTTTCGCATGGTTGAGCGTGTCATTTGAATCGATTTCCTTTTTCTCTCTCCTTCTCCACCACCTCCTGATATTTGTTCTCCCTCTTCTCTGCATCTCTCGAGGTCGGCCCGATTTCGCATTCCTATCTTGTTGCCATTCTTCGCATCAACTTGTCGCATATATCAGCAGGCGGATGGTAAATCTCATCACACCGTCAGAAACCACTGTTGATGCCATCTCGCGCAGCGTCGAATCGAGCTTATGGCTCGCCCACGCGCTGACACGGGGAACTTCCCCAAAGAGCCTCATTCAATATCGTTGAAAGGTATGCCTATGCCCCGGTCAAATCCTTCATCTGTTATTACACAGCCGCTATTTTATCTGCTCTCTGCTAATACACTGGCTCAATTTTCTAGTGCTGAGGTGAGTTCCGTGTGTCTGTGGCTGGCTACACGCTTTCTAGGAATTAGGCAATTAGGTCAATTAGTTAACGCCCGTGTCCCATAGACTCTCCCGACCTTCACTGGCCCAACAACATCCTCTCCCCCGTGGAAATGACACAAAGATACCTCATACAGCCTCATTAGCATATCCATCCCAAGCCTCTGACCAGAACTTCATTTTGTCCACCAGCTTGGGTTTGCCACCATCGTTCGGTTCCGCCCATGTCGGCGAGACCTTCTCTTGTGCTCTCTGCGCCAACAATGAGCTCCCCCCAGGACAGATAACCAAAGCCGTTTCTGGAACGAGGATCTTGGCCGAGATGCAAACGCCGTCTCAAGCGGTACCCCTGGAACTCTATGCCGCTGATGATGCAACGGAAGCTAGCCAGAGTCACACCGGCCCTGGGAGCGCCTTGCAAAGAATCATTCGATTTGACCTCAAGGAGGAGGGCAACCACGTGCTCGCCGTCAACGTCACCTACACCGAGACCATTTCCGGTGATGGCCAAGCCACTGGCGGCAGGGTTCGATCATTTCGAAAATTGTATCAATTCCTTGCTCAGCCCTGCATGAGCGTGCGGACCAAAACCACGGAACTGAAAGCTGTCGAAGTTTCTGACAAGACACATGGCCCATATGGCAGGGCGACGCTTCTCCGCTATGTTCTGGAGGCACAACTGGAAAACGTCTCCGATGCGCCTATTTTGTTGCAAGAGACAAAACTCCAGCCAAAGCTGCCATTCAAGTCGACTTCATTGAATTGGGATGCTGAACAGGATAACGATGTTGCTATGGAATACCCGTCGCTAAAACCCCGAGATATTATACAAGTAGCCTTTCTGGTCGAGCAGGAACAAGGTGTCGCAGAAGGGTTGGAGGAACTGAAGAACAGTATCAAACGTGATGGCAGGGCCGTGCTGGGCCAACTCGCTATTCAATGGCGGACTGCAATGGGAGAGCGGGGCTCGCTGAGCACCGGCAACCTCTTAAGTCGACGGAAAGCAGTATGAGAGCTTCCTTTTTGGCGACTCTTGGATCTGGTAACCATATTTGTCTTGGACAAGGTGCCGGTGTCAAAAGATCTTGGGTCGAGCTTTCACGGGGCGTGCATGCCGAGCCCGTTCATTTTACCGGTCAGTATGCTGATCCTCGATCTCTTAGGAATTGTAGGCAAATTCGGAACCTTTTCATCTTGCTTGAACAAACCATCCTCCAGCTTCGCTGGGGTTCGTGTGACAATGGTATGATAGTCACGTCCCTTTGCCGCAGCGCCCAGCTCCGGACGATCGGTACTAGACGGTACTGCGACTATCCTCCATTGATGTTGAGACGCATCCGAGAGTATGTCGGTGTGCATGCCTCCAGAGGGTGCCCATGCCATAAAGCTTTTCCTATTGAGACTGAGACTAGGAAGACTCGACCGCAATCCAGCTCGCCGACGTTTTGCCATGATAATAGCATCGAACAGAGCTATCGAGGGTGTCGATGTTTTCTCTTCACGGTCCATGATGAATTCGTTCCAAGCTTGGGTTTGTTGCAGCATTCCCATGTATGCAGCATGGTCGGGGGGTAGATTCCGTAGGAAGGCGTCATTGTCAAAGGAGTACACAGCCCCCAGCTTCTTCTTCTGTGGAGGTGCAGGCTGCATGCATTTTCGGTAGGTATACAACAAGCTGGCCATGCACCGCACAAAGGCGGCGCGGATCTGATCGGGGTAGAAGGCCGCAGAGCAGACAACGGAGAGGTTCTGAATACAGCGATCGTGAACGACGAAACCACAGCCGGAACATCGATAGTATCCATCTGGTGCCTTTTCATCGCAAAGGAGACAAGTAGATGGACCATCCGATGCCCTCCATTGTAGACAATGACCCTCAGACCAATATGTACCTTCGCCATTCCGCACGGGCTGTGTGCTCATTCCAGGCATAATTGTTGAGGCTGCTAGGGTCGACTGTGCGTAGGTAGAAGGTGCATACATTGACCCATTTCGATTTTCTGAAAGCGTAGTGCTCGAAGAGGGGCTTGCATTGTGTTTCACAAACGGAATGCTAGCCTTCCGAATCATGTGAGTAGACCCGGAGAAGCTTCTTTTTGACAGTGAGTCGAAGTGACCGGATCTCTTCTCCTTGAGAGAAGTCTGAAGAGCATACCCGGAGTCGGTTCGTGATGGACCAGAACCAGGCGTCAGAGGGAAGTTGGGAGCGATGGGAGACTGATTGTCGGAATCTGTGAATGTAGAGTGTCTGGCTGTTGACGATGTTCTGGGACGATCAGTGCTCTTTCCCCTGGTTGGTGTAGAAGCAAGAAAAACGTTCAACAGTGGTGAACGTCGAATGGTGTCAATAGCGGCTTGCGGACCGAATGTAGTGGAGCTGAGACTCGCGAGTTTATCTAGATTCGTGGATTTGGCGACGGCAGTGAACGTAGACTCGAGTTCCGCAGAAAAGGCGTCATACGGGTATGTCTCCATAGCATATGAAGGGGGTCCCGGAGCCACTCCAAAATTTTGGTGCAGCGGCGCAGCTTGGTAAAGCAGAGACATCAATTTTCTGCGTTGCTGCTTCGGTAGGAACGGCGGGGGTGCCGTACTGTGCAACTCATTCTTATCCAAATCGACCAAAACATAATCGTCATCAGGAAGGTCGTACTTTTCGTATTTGCGATCGATGCCGCAGATGTAAGGGCAAGGCGCATCCAAAGCTTGTACTAAACGTGATGGCAGCACCGGGATGTAGATTCCCGTCCATTCAAAGGGCCAAACAAGTTCCAGGATAGCTTTGCTGACCAATTGAAGCATCGCGACGTGGGCAGAAAGGAGAATGATCCTGGATTCGGATAAGACGTATTCGATAAGAAGGATAATGTTGGGAATCGTGAGAGCCCGAAATAGAGGATACAGATCGGTCGTTCTGCTTCCGGGGAGTTCATTTGCCGCCTCCTTTTTTGCATATAGTTGGAGCTCTCGTATCGGGATTTGGACTTGAGTCTTGGACGATACTGGACAGGGTGCTTCGAGGCACAGCGCTGCAACATATCTCTCCAACGGCTGCCACATGCCGACTTTAGGGGAGCTTGCTGGCACTCGCAAAACTCCACCATCGGTCATGGGGACAACAATCGCGCGAAGCCACTGCCGCCAGAAATTTGCCATAGACTTGTCCTTTCCCAAGATACCGTAAGCTCTTGGGATCCAGAAACGAATTTCGCCACCAGCAAGCCCTTGAATATCCGACTCCGAACTGTGCCGCAATGGCCTGAGCATGTCAGACATGACAGCGATTTTTTCTTCGACTGTACCTATTTCATCCTCCAAAGCCTCTCTTTCCGCTGAATCTGGTGAGAGTTGGGGCAGTTGTGTTAGTAGCCTAGACAATTTTGCACTTTCTGCCGCCAATCTCTCTGCAAGCGAAGTCGCCATTTCTCGCTCAGCCTCCGACATATGAGCTTTCCTCCATTGCTCACACCTCTTTTCCAAATCCGCGGCAAGATCGCGGTTCACTGGAATCCATATTATGACCGTCACCGCCGTCAGTCTCGAATTGTCCGCTGCGGTCATGGAGAATTCATGCCAAATTGACCTCGGTCTGGTGTCCGCCGCCACAATCTTGATATCATTGGGAAAAGCAAACATAGGCACGTAATCTGGGAATGGTGCTCTGCTCTGATGTTTGTCGAAAGTGCTAGGCCGAGGATATCTCTCCAGCAACACGGGTTCGAATTTTCGCATTAGTGGATGCTGGTCCGGAGAACTGTGGAAGGTCTCTGGGCTGGGTATGACGGAGTTGTAACTGCTCATCCTACGAGAAGTACGTGTTGACGTCCGTCGAGCCATAGATGGCTGGCGTTTCGTACTGGACATGTCTTTGAAGGAAAGGTGTCTTCGGATGCTTCCAAAATTGCGGTTGGGAACCGGGGTAGACTCATCTTGAGCAATGATCTTCTGAGTCTTGGGGCGCGACTTGGATCGAGCCGGCTTGGTGCTTTCATTTGGATGAAACGTTAGGTCCAGATAGAAGGCGTCTCGGTCAGTGGCGAACTTGGTCATGGCTTTCTCGAAATCCGCTTCTGATATCAATGAGGACATTCGGGCATCGGAGGCAGGGCCAGCAGCCGCTCGAATGGTGAGACTACTCCGATTGCTGCGGGACTTCGTTGCCTCGTGGAGGCTCTGAATGGTCTCCCTGGCCTCATCGGAGAGCTGCGAGAGTCTCTGGTACGAGTCATGTCTGGAATGGCCAATCGAGGCTCGGGGAGACTGGAGGATGGACGACTGCTCATTGTCGGCAGAGGCCTCTTCTTTGATGGAGAAGTCGACGCCATTAGTGTCGAAGTGATCGTGAGACCATCGCGGTTGGGAGAAGGCATCTACCAGTTGTTGGCTGTCGAGACCGGCAATCCAGAAGTGATCTGCAAGTGGTCGAGCCGACTCGGGGGTTTCTGGCGTTGACGGCATTTTCTTAACTCGAGCTTGCCATCAGCTCACCCAGGACGAGCCTTGATACCGGCATCAAAGCCTTGCTAGTCTGAGGAGGATTTGGCTCTTGGGAATTTTCGGTAGAGTTTGCTGTTCCCCGGGACTTGTTTTCTTGGGGTGTCAAACCCGCTCGGGCATTCTTCACCCTCGCCCGGTGCCCGTGCCCTCGGATTCACTGGAGGCGGTACGTGAAGCTTATGATGCGGCCTTCCTTGGACCTCGACGCAGATGTGAAAAGCCCCAAATTTGGCGGCCAGCCGACCACGAGCTGTGGGAGAGGAGAGGAGATACGAGGGACTGGTTGAGAGATGCCGGATGGAGGTGAATTATTTTTGACTCTGGAGAACCAAGGATGCGTTAAAACCTGGAGATAACGAGGTTTGCAGGGATCGTCTTGCTATGGGGCAAGCGCCTCCCTGCGCCTAGGCTGAGTTGAGGGTGTGGAAAGGACAATGGCCGCCACACAAATCGACGATCCGATCGGTTGTTTGACTGCGGCCGCTACTGAGACCAGCTGGGTTTCTGCCAGGAAGCGGCGATGGCGTTGGTTGGTTGGCGTTGGCGTTGGTGTTGATGGTGATGGTGTTCGTCGCTCGTCGTGGTGGTGATGGTGGTGGGAAGCGGTGACGGAGATGATTGTGATCTGCAGCTTTCACTTTCTGTCTCTCTCATTCGAGGGCTGTGGGAAAGGGGAAGCGCCGACGGCATGCAACAGGGCACGCTTTGGTCAAGCAACAGAAAAAACTTTTGGAGATATCTGCACGAGAGATGCGCTTCTCGTTGTCGTCGCATCTGTATCTGGATTAGGCGTGTGGCACTGGTGGCACCTGTCAAGCTGGGGTGGTGCAGAGCGGTGGGTCTTGGCCTACTAGGCCCATCGGCTTGGGCTAGTCTTAACTAAATTCTCCCTCCTTGTCCAGTTAAAGGAAGGCGCTGGACTAAGCCTACGGTGCCTATCAGTTTAGCTGGTTTCATCTCTTGTTAGGCCTTGCCGGCCCCTGGAGCTTACGCCGAACAAGCGAGTTCTGGTGGCGTGTTGGGGTCCTCCTCCGTCCTCCTATATTGCCATTCGGTCGGATGGTTTTCCTGCAGGGGCTTTGCATTCAGTTCCAGACTTCATCTCTGCATTCCATGCAGTCACTGCCCGTGTCACCGCAACGGCTCGACGTGATGCGGGCTGCATGCGGCGTAGAACTTTGTGCATCCACCGCCGTAAAAAAGTGTCATTCATATCTACTTGGCAGTTCATCTTCCTTCCCCAAAAAACCGATGCGCCTGGTATCAGAAGCCAACGGCGTTGCAGCCGATTGACTTGTCGCTGTAAGAGGTGGAATCGTGGAATCTCTCTCCGGCGAGGACATCAACCGCATCCACTCTGCGCCCCCCGCCTCCTTCTCTCCCACGCTCCCGAGCACAGTCCCACTGACCTCTTCCTTGACGTCCATGCACGCAATCTCTGACAGCACGGTATCCTCCTCTGGCTGCTATTGCCCAGGCGATCAAGAACGTCTCAGTCGAAGAGGTGGAGAAGCACGGGACTATGATGGCCGATGTCCTGAAGTTGTTCTGTCGAACGGATATGCCAGCTCTCGTCCACTTTTCACCTTTTACCATTGGGCCACAGCACTGTGCAGAAAACCTGTTGTATACGCCGCCCACCGGGAGCTTTGGTCTAATATCTCGGACCACAGAATTGCTCTTTCGTGACGCCGATGGAAGCAAGATCCAACTTCGCATAAGCAGGGCTTTTTTTGGTGGCCTTCCTCACGACTTCCATCTTCAAGGTAATCGTCTGAGCCTCGTCGCCGTCTTCTTGCTGTCCCTTCTGGGCCTTCGCTCGGGCCTTTGCAGCGCCGTCCTTCTTTGCCGTGTCGTTACCGCCTTGCTTTCCAGGCCTCTCCCGTTTGTCCCCTCGAAGATCACCGGGAGTGTCATGCTTCATCTGAGCAAGGAAAACGTCGATCCGTTCATTCAGGTCAGGAAATTCCTCTCGCAGTGTCCAATATGCGCTTTTTGCCTTGAGTCGCTTCTCCCACAGCCGAACAGCAATATGCTCAACAAGAAAAGTTCTCATCTCCTCATTTGGCGGATCGACGAGCCAAAGGGTACGAACGTCCTCTGAATGCACTTGCTCCACACAAATGCGCTCCATCCTCTTACTCGCTCGTTCCTGGAGAGTATCACATCCGATGGACGCAGCGCATTCGCGGACGAAGAATTGGAATGAATATGGCTTGAATCTTTGACTTGGAGTTTGAGCAAACCCAAATCCCTGGCAACTTCCAAGCATCCAGTTGATGATTTCACGCCACAGGCCATAGTTCCCACCAGTGACAACAACTGAATCGACAGGGACGCTTTGGATGTCGCCAACTCTCTTCTTACTCACAGCAGGAAGTTCAGCATTCCATTTAGTTGAGAAGGCTGTTGCGATGCTCTTCGGGAACTTTTCGTTCACGATAAGAAGATTATCATCATCGGCCTCATCTTTGTCTTTGTAGAGAACGGTGATGGTTTCCCCCCGCGGGAGGCTACATTCAATCTCATTGTCAACTTGCTGTGACGGATCTGGACATCGCTGGCCAGGCAGGTGGTAACCAGATTGGATCTTTTATGAGAACTTACTTTTTGAGCTCCACCGCCGTCAATGAAGCTGCTTGCGAAGACATCGGTATCGTAGGGTTGATAGGGAGATGCTCCGGAGGCTTTCTGTGGCGTTCGAACGGGGCCCACACTGTAAGTCGATGTCTGTGCCGTTGAGATTGTCTTGACGAGGTAATTGGCCGTCCACACAATCAAGCTGGATATATCGAAGAACAGCCTAAGGAGACCACCGAAGGGCAGAGAGATGAAGAGCTGAATGAGCAAAGTCTAGATAAGTGAAAAATGCGTAACGGATAGAATGCTAGAATCTCAGATCTGTGAGTTGATCAAGGATATCCAAGGAACAAGTGACGGATTCTGTCCATTCACCACCGCGTCAACGCGCTTTCGCGTCTTCACGAGGCTATTGAGGCACGTGCCCACCACTCCCCCGGCCTTGCGTGACAGGTTCGATCCAGAAGCTGCAGCGAGGCGATCAAAACAATGAGAATGAACAAAGAATGTGGAAGACAAGCCTTTCGATACAGCCTTGGTGGGGTCCCGGCCGACTAGACACTCGGGTGGAATACGACTATACCGGTAGTAGACGGGCTTGACGAAGTTATATATGTGTATACAGGGGGGTTTTAAGACGTGGAGAAACAGCTGGTTTAAGAAGGCCTTCTGCTGTTGGCGCGACCAGGACACCCCTGGCGTTGGTGATATTTGTGAACGTTCTGTGAAACATTGGGTATCATACTACAGTGTACAATCACAATATCGCATGCCGCAATGTATCACGACATGACATGGCATGGCAGAAAAGAGGCGCAGGGTATACAGCAGCAGCAGCAAACGCATGCATAGCCACCTCGACAAACACAAAGTGTAGCAAACCCAAGTGATGCTTGTGCGTGACCTGCTTCCATCCTCCTTTCAGGGCAAATATGTCCCCTTTCTCCATGTCCTTTTTTCAACTCTTCAGCTTCGACGGCCCAGGACCATTGTTCTTCGTCTGGGTCTTTATGCCCACCGCAGGATTACTGACGCTGCCGGTCTTTGGACTTGCATTTGTCTTCGCCCCCGCCGTCCCCGCAGGTTTCTTCGTGGCTGGTGAGGGTCTTGTAGGATTTGCCCCTGCTTTGCTCCGCTCGACGGGTGTTTTCGGGGCTGGTGCAGTTGTTCCTGGTACAGAGGTATTGGTTTTGTTCTTCAAAGGGGGGGCATTGGCTTTAGTGTTGATCTTGGGCTTTTGCGCAGGAGTGGAGTTCGTGGAAGCCGTCGCCGTTGGTGCTGCTGCTGTCTGTTTCGAAGGCTTGGAGACAGATGGCGACGGTTTGAGAGGGGTCGTTTTCGATGGGGTGTTTGTAATTATGCCTGGTTTGTTTCTCGCAGCTGCTGGAGCTGGTTTTGAACGGCCCGAGGCTGAGGCTCCAGGTTTCTTGCTCAGATTTGTCGTCGTCGTGGTCAATGTCCCTGTTTTTTTCGGCACTGCGGGAGAAGTTACGATAGTACTCGCTTTCCTAGCGGGAAGTGCGGCCGCCGTTGTCTTCTGCCCATTTGTTGTCTTTGACGCATTTTGTATGGGGGGCAGTTTTTTCGCTGGACTCGGGTTGAGCTTCGCGGGAGCTTTTGCCAACCCGGCCTTCGAGTACGAGTCTTGTACTGACTTTCCTGACGTCGAGTTTGTGGATGCAACAGCCGTGGATGCATTGCTCGACAAGGTCCTCACCGTCCCATACCGACTGTTCTCCTCGGCCTTCACTGCATCCCAGAAAGTTCCCTTTGGAAGAGCAAGATTCCTGGTTCCACTCTTCATCAAAGGTGGCTTCGTCGTTGCTGATGTGGTATTCTTTGCCTTCTTTTCCTCTGCGGCCTTGAGATCCTGCCAGAATGTGCCCTTTGATTGTTTGGAGCTCGTTGATATCGGGACGGATATGACAGAGCCTCGTCTGCTCTGCTCTTCGGCATCCATATCATTCCAAAATGTACCCTTTTTCGGGGCCGCGGAGGTGACGGAGCCATGCCTGCTCTTCTCTTCCGCTTCGACTTGGTTCCAAAAATCGCCTTTGGCCGTCGTGTTGGTGACAGATTTCAGTGGAGCCGTGCGACCAGCAGAAGCTACACTCCCTTGTTGTCTCTTGGCTTCTTCTTGAGCCAGTTGTTGCATAAAATTCTGCTGCCTATCCGTAATGCTGTCCTGCACCATCTTTTGGGGATCTGATAAGAACGCCTGGATGAAGTCGGCTCGGTTGAGGACAGTTTGTGCCTGGGGCGAGGTGAGCAGCTTCTGCACCGCCACTGCACCGGCTGCGAATGTTTCCTCCTGCTTCCCGGGTTCGAATAATGAGTCCAACGTCAAGCCACCTAAAGCGGAAGAAGCAGACTGAACCCCCTTCCCGGCCTGTACGCCGGCTTTCTTGATATCTTCTGTCCCTGTTTGAAGGGCTTGCTTGTTAATGCTCTTCCAGAATCGCTTCGGCAGATCTCCGTAGAAGATGTACAGAATCATTGCCAGGATCCCCATCGGCGCAAAGATCTGGAGAAATTCGTACCAATGACTTGCGCGGATGGGGACTTCCATGTGTCCACATCCCCGAATGACCTTGCCAGATTTATATTTCGTGGCGCCATAATCGGCTGGGAGTTTGCCAGTCTGGTAGTACTCTTCAATCATGACATCCTTTTCGCGCCAGCGGGCTCTGAGCCAGAGTTCGAATGCTCTGTCACTGTGAAGTGGGATCTCCTTGACCGCAAATCGGCGCCAATGCATGCTGACCGATTTTGGAGGCCGGCCTTCCAAATAGCCTGCTTTCAGCGTGAAGATGTCTTGTGCGTACTGCCCACGTGGAACACCTTCATAAACTATAGTACAGTCGTAGAGGTAGTCCACAGTGTCCTTGAGCTCCTCGAGACAAAATTGCAGGCCCGTGCTTCGAGGTAAAAGGACGTGCCTCGTGTCCGGAATATTGTTCTTCTTTGCCCATTCAGCGCTTCGTTTGCGAGTGCTGGGAGCAAGGTTAGTCCCTTCTGGAAAGAGTAGAAGCCACATTGGATCTGTAGGCTTATTGAGTTTTTGCAGTGCGCTGGCCATATTAGGCTTGTCCTGTTCCCAATTGCGCTTCAAGAAGATGAATTGGTACAACTGCATGCCCCATCCTATAACGGGAATCTTACGCAGCGATTCCTTTAGGATAATGTAAAGGCGACCATGCATACCATTACAATAGGCTATCCACCACAGGTAAAGCCAATCGGTGTAGATTTGATGATTTGCAATGAGAACAAGCCGTTCTGGAAAATCCAAAATCAGATCTCCCTCGGTCGACTTCAAGAGTTGTCCTCGCACCGATTTGTCTCCAGAGACGATAACCTTTGTCGGCGCAAATGTTTGGGTGAGGGTCATTGTGAGCAGTCCGAAGGATTGCTTGGTGAAAGCAATCCATGCATTGTACCAGTCCTCGTTGATTGCTCGCAATGGAGCTCCCAGGAACTGAGAGACATTGATAGCCAAAGCGCCCGACAAGAAATAGCTCGATAGAGCCAAAGCTCTGGACGCAACGGAGAATTCTCCTTTTGCAAGAGGCACTCGATCAGGCCGCTCGGGTCTTGAATCGAGCGAAAAGCCCGCAGCAGGCTCAAGGGCTGGTGCTCTGGATAGAGCCATTGTTGTCGGTCAACGATCGCTATGACAAGAGTTTTGTGCGTCCCTTCTCTTCCTCCTCCCGCCCATTGTTATCGATACGTGAACAGCCACAGCTGTGGACTAGCACACGTATTATTGTACGGGAAATAATCTCGGAGAAGGCTGGGATTACTGGATGAGCGCCACCCTGACGTACAGAGGGTCCATTGTTGTCTTTCAGACCGGGGGGATCGCCATTTGGGAGCTGTCACCCAGCCGTGTTCTCAAACTGCCGTTGGTCAGCTCAGGATGCGATTGTGGCGTCCTTCTACATTCTCGATCTCTAGCCGTAAGCATTGGGGTGAAGTGGACGACTGGTCTGAGGATGCGAACAAATGGCAGGACTGCCCGCTTCTGTGGCTTCTGGGCTCATCGTGCTTTTGGGGCGGCATCAACGATCGAAGGGGATTTCTGCGAGAGCACATCCTGGTCGCCGCGGTCCAGATTCGTATCTCCTGACCAGGATTAAGTGCCGCCAGTGGTGGTGGTAGGTGTCAAAAGCAAGGAAAAACAGGAAAAGGACCCTTGTGCCACTGGTGGCGGTGCTGCGACTCTCCAATCAAGCCGCCTGCGAGCAGCCCAAGATGACGTTCGTGTGGGAGCACCAACGAGGGTCCCTTGGTGGACTTGTCCATATCATTCCTCGCATGTCCCTGGCGTCGATCATAGGGAGAAGCTCTGGGAGGAATATACTGAAGGGATAAAATCTAGCCCTTTTTTCTTGACATCACGATTCATCCACCCTCGTCTCTAGCAATCCCTACTATATGGTCTTGTCTGTACCCTGATTCAGGTGCAGACGCAAGTTCCAGCAGGTCCAAATGCCTAACGTATCCTTTGATATCTTCTTTGACAAGGACTTTATCAACATCACAGCCACCCGAGGACAGACTGCCCCCAAGGCCAAACCCGAGTGGAAGGTCCGCACCGCTCCCAAACTACCACCGAAGCCTGTGGTCGAGGATCCTACCGGGACTCCCAGACCGCCACCGAGACAGAAGTTGACCACCCTTCGTCAGCCGGTGCATCACCACAAGCAAGAAGCACCTCCCAGCGCCCAGAAGCCTGAGCCCGCCGAAAGCGTGAACGGTGCCAGTTCTGCCGGCGAAGAGAAACCCAAGCGAAAGCCTCCGAAGCTCGGTCCCAGAAAGTCGGCCACTGCTGCAACCCCTTCAGCCACCCCGGCGGCGTAAACTATGGCAACCCAGTGGGTATTGGGGAAGGTCAGTGAGGCACTTGCTCCCACTGTTTCCAGCACAGTGGCAAGTGCCGGAGCGTTTGCAGGTGGAGCAGTCAATGCAGTAGGCAATAGCATCAATGGAGTGGGAGAGTCGATCAATGGCACAATTCGAAGATACGGAGATGGAGTCAAGGACTATGGTAATGGCATCATGGATTGGACGCAGGCGGGAGGAGTCCGGGCAGCAACAGCAAGCAATCCTCTAGGGTTAAGTGCAGGCAAGACGGGAGGCAGGCGCCAGGTCACCAGTCCTCAGATCTACCGGCCGCCAGCGACGACACCAAAGACAGCTCCCTCGAAGAGGTTGATGACAACGGCCAAGTCGGCACCTCAGAAGCAGATCGAGGGAGGTACACCAAAGAAAGCTTTGCCGGCTCCTGGTCCGAAGCCGTCTGATGCAGCACACAAAACCACATCTGCTGTTGGCGCCCCTGCTAAGAAGATCGGTTCTGCTCCTCTCAAGCCTGTGCAATCAGCGGTCAAAACCACCACCGTGCCCAATCCTGGAGCAATGAGGCAGCACAAACCGAGCAATGGCGCCAGCAAAGCCGCGGGCCCCAATAAACATCCCACAACACCGAACCCAGGCGCGATGAGGCGTAAGCCAGCAGATGATGGCAACTCCAAGCAGCAACCCTCAGGGAAGAAGGCTCCCAGCAAGCCCAACACGTCGACTGCGCCAAAGCTGCAAAGCACGGCGACAAATCGACCAAAGGTCCAGGGCAACCCTACAGCTGCCGCCAACCCTCTCGGGCTCACCTTCTAATAGTCTCTGTTTGTCCTGGTAGCTTGTTGAGATGAGGCGGATAAGAGCTTTTCCACATGGCCTTGAGTGACGCCATGGCTTTGTAAGGAGGATTTGGCAGCATGGTCTCATTTTGGATCTCAATAGCATCAAAACTTGGGCTCCCCGAGCCACATCGTCTGGGGTGCAGTTTGGAAATGGAACATGATTGATTGCAGCGTATATCGCGGGGTTTAAATGGCCTCCGGGCTTCAACGATCGGTTCCGTTGGTATCGTTGCGGGGCCCGGAAGGCGTACTTTGCATCCTTTCTCGTCTACCGGTTGACGTCTCGATCTGACTTCCATCCAACCGACCATCATTGCCGGGGGTTGGTCGTCATTCGCGCCCTTTCCCTACGCCTCATGGTTGTCAATTCTTTAGCCCTCCCTTCGTCTGGGCATTGATGATGTTGTTGTTAGCTCTGCAGGCGTCAAGTAGGTGGAAAAGCTCATTGCTGAAGCTGACAAAACAGACGACACTTCAACCGTGTATTTAATCATGCAATCAATCTAGGACACCTCTTCGGACAACGCTGCTCAAAATCCCCACTAGATCCTACTCGAGAATCTCTCAAGCACACTCACCATAATGGCGGACATTGAGCCATTCACCATCACCGTCCCCGACTCCGACCTTTCGGACCTCAACACTCGCCTTTCGCTTGCCCGCTTCCCGGACGAACTTGAGGGTGCGGCGTGGGACTATGGCGCTCCGCTAGCGGACGTCCAACGCCTGACAAGATATTGGAAAGACACATACAATTGGCGGGAGGCGGAGAAAAAGCTGAACGAGCTGCCAAACTACCGAACCACGATCCAGGTGGAGGGCGGCTTCGAGCCATTGAAAGTCCACTTCCTTCACCAAAAGTCCAGCGTGGAAAATGCCATTCCTTTGCTCTTCGTGCACGGCTGGCCTGGCAGTTTCCTCGAGGCGGTCAAGATCTGGGACAAGTTGCCGTCCCCAGACCCAGGCTCGGACGATCCAGCGTTCCACTTTGTGGCCATCAGCTTGCCCAACTACGGCTTCTCCGAGGCGCCCAAGAAGAAAGGCTTCGCCATCGCACAGTACGCCGAGACGTGCCACAAGTTGATGTTGAAACTCGGGTACAACGAGTACGTGACCCAAGGGGGCGATTGGGGATACTACATCACGCGAGCAATCTCGCTCCTGTACCCGCAGCACTGCAAGGCGACGCACCTCAACTTCGACCAGGGCGAGGCGCCTTCGTTCCTGACCCATCCCACCCTGGCCGTCCAGCATGCAATCACGCCGTACACGGACGCGGAGAAGGAGGGGCTGAAGCGCACAAGCTGGTTCCTGAAAGAATCCTCGGGCTACCGCGCCCAGCAAGCCACGCGGCCGCAGACGCTGGGCTACGCGCTGGCCGATTCACCCGTGGCGCTCCTAGCGTGGATCTATGAGAAGCTGCATGACTGGAGCGACTCGTACCCCTGGACGGACGACGAGGTCTGCACCTGGATGAGCGTCTACTGGTTCTCGACCGCCGGCCCCGCCGCCACCTTGCGCATCTACTACGAGTCGACGCACGAGTGGGACAACCCGGCCACGCGCATCTCGCGCGACAGGACGCGCGAGTACATCGGAGGCGGCGTAAAACTGGGCCTGAGCCACCAGCCCAAGGAGCTGAGGGTGTTGCCGAGCACATGGACGCGGACGCAGGGTGATGTTGTCTTCGAGCGGAGCAACCCGAGTGGTGGCCACTTCTATGCCTACGAGCGACCCGAGCACCTGTTGAGGGATGTCCGGGATATGTTTGGCAAGAAAGGAGGCGCGCGGAATGTGGTCAAGGGGAAGAGCGGGTATTGATTTGGATCAAGGAAGGATAAGAGAGGGGAAAATGGTTTAATATCCCCATTATCAGGACAGGTATGTCTTGAAGGATTTATGGCCTGAATAATTCGGGTCAACTTGGGCTTGAGCTTGAGCTTGCGCTTGCATGAGAAGCTTTGTATTGGATGAATGAAACGAATCCAACTCCACAGGACGTGCCGGGGCTGAAATCAGGAAGATTCATTACAGGAATGAATCGATGTTATTAGATTGCGAATTCCCGTATCTGCCCACCGCAACTGTTGAACTTTCATACGGGGTGGAGGTTGTCACTTCCTACGAGACTCTCGCTATGGTGCAATTCGATCTACTCTATCGATTTCCAATGTGATCTAATGTAACCTAGTTAATGTGCACTGCCGAATATCATGGCGTGCAGTGTATGTATGTTTTGCCTCTACACTAGGAGGAGAGTCAATGCCTGACCTCTCGCGGCCGCTCGGCATTCTAGGCAAGTTCGTCTATGATATCCCTCTGCGTCTTGGTGCTTTCATTGCTCGATCAAGCTCCCGTGCCCGCCCAACTTTTGATCATAGTCGTTGTCATCATCATTACTGCCATCATAACCTGCCGACTCCCCTCCTCCTCTCCACGGCCTCCCTCAGCACCTGTATAACGTGGCCTGGGTCTTTGGCTCCAAACACTGCGGAGCCCGCTACGATGACATTGGCGCCAGCCTCGGCGGCCTGGTCGATCGTCGACTCGGACAGGCCGCCGTCGACTTCGACGTTGAGATCCGGGTATCGTTGCCGCACGGCCGTCACTTTGGGGAGTTCCGAGGCCATGAATTTTTGGCCGCCGAAGCCGGGGTGCACGGTCATAATGAGAACCATCTGTATCGGATTAACGGAGAGGAGTGGGTCAGCTCAGCTGGTCTTGTTGGGAAAGAGGTCATAGTCTTGGGGTTCGTACATCCGGCCTTTCCTCTTTATCCTCAGCCTCCAATATCTCCCAGAGCACGTCAACGCTTGTTTCGGGTTTTATCGCGATGCCGGCCTGCATGCCTAGTTCGTGGATGTACCGTATCAGTTCCTTCGGCGATGTGGGCCGGGTCGTGGTCTTGTCTTCAGGTTTCGTGGCTGCCACGGAGGTGATGGCCGCTTCGTAGTGGAAGCAGTAGAGGTCGCAGCCGGCGTCGCGGAATGTGGAGACCCAGCGGTGAGGCTGTTGAATATCGTCAGAACTGGCAGTTCGTAGTCAGGGGAGTGTGGTAGCAGGGAAGGGTGTCGCGGCCTTGAAGAAGATCTAGCCTAGTCTCATGCACTCCCATATCCTTCGACTTGTTGTCCAATTCTGTCCATTCCGCATTCCACCCTTCCAGTGCGCAGTCCTTCTCTTTCACCTCTCTCAATATCTTCCAGCTGTGGAGGATGTTACTCACCTCTGCAATCATCATGTGGCAATCAAATGTGCCTCGTCCGCCTGGTTTCTGTGGTCTTTCCACATGGGGTCTGATCTTGGAGACAACCGGCGCACCAAATGTGATGTTGGGGACAAAATGGCCGTCCATCTACAAGTGCGCATTAACACACAAGGTGTTAGCTGTATTTCTAGAGTCTTTTTTTTCTGTAGGAAGTGCCCGGCTAAATCCTAATCCTGATATAACTCCTCTCTTTTTCTCCGACGTTTTCTTCTGTCGCTGAATATTGGACGAAGGTATGTTGGGACGCAGACGTACAATGTCGACATGGAGCCAGTCACAGCCCTGACCCATTGTTTTGGAGCACTCACTGCCCAGTACGGCAAAGTCTGCACTCAGTATCGAGGGCGCTATTATGGCTGGCGGAGTCATGCTTGACATTCTGTACTCGGGGGACGAGGAAGGATCTGGGAAAGGGTTGGGGATGTTTGTCGGTGAGAGTCCGAGAGAGCGCAGGGGAGAATCGTTGGAGATGGTCGTGGAGCAAAAGCAAAGAAGAGAGAGAAAGTCTTCCCTCTATTTCATGAGGTTAACGGCGCTCCAATATTTCGAACAGTGAGTGAATTGTGTTGTCGGAGCAATTGAGATCGACAACTTGGACCGGATCAAAAAGGCCCGTTCATTAATTACGTAGTAGGGACGTACCCCGCGCTAGGGGGTTAGCACACAGCTTACGCGAACGGGAAAACCTATTTCCCAACGAGGTTAGATTAAATATCTGGGCGAGGGTGGCTTTAACCTTGGGTTTAGCTGAGCCTCGCAGCGGCAGGGGCAGCAAGGATTGAAAGCCTTGCGGGCGTCCTGGATCATATGCAAAAGATTTCATGATTTCGTTGTTGCTTTTTTTACAGCTTGTCTGGTAACATGACCCTCGTCGCAGAATGTAGAGGGAGAGTCTTAGCAGATGCTTCAGTATACAGACATCATATGACTCCAGGTCCCAACCAAAAATCCAATTCTTGACGGCCAACCTTGATAACCAAAGTGGCTCCCAGAGGCTCTTTTGGGACCTCAACATCCTTGTTTGTATCACTCATAGGGAACCATACAAATCGCTTGCTGAGTGGGCTTGTCAATGATCGGAGGTCCATATGGATGGAGGATGTTCCAGTCTGCCATTTGCTCCTCCTTCAACACGAAGTCGGTCGGGTCGTGCGACTTCATATACATCAGTAGGGTCCAAGACGGATTCGGTTCTAACAGGAAACTCACTGTCATATAACCTCGTTTGAAAGCCTCTACTTTGCGCTCTTTTTGCTCTTCGCTCAAAAACTCGATCGGCTTGTAGCAAGTGTCTGTTTCGTATTAGATGTTGTCATACATCAACGAGAGAGAGTATCCTCACAGATGGCCATTCGTTTGTTTTTCCCAAGAGGTGCTGCGCCGTAATGCACGCAACGCGAATCCCAAAGGATGAAGTCACCAGGATCCATGCAAGGCTTCGCCCACTCGCAGCCATGGTCCTTGAACCATTGGAGCGTCTCGTCTGTCCAGTTGAAGAGGTCTCGCTTAATCCAGCCGCCCTCCGGCTGTACGTTTTGTTATCATCTGTGCGGGGATCGATAAGCAATCCCAGACTTACAGCTTGATGCTCCTTAAAATACTGTTCAAAGAGAGGAGCGGTGCCAGTCATGACCGCGAGACCACCATCGTTGGAACCGTTGGGCAGCTAACACAGTGGGTTAGTAGGACTTCAGAAAGGTATAAGGTTCATTTGACAGAGCATACGAGGTTAAGCAACCCCTGGATGCAGTGAGGCCAGTACCGGTAGGCGCTTTGATCAGACTAAATCGCTTAGTATAGACAAAATGCAGGATTCTTTGCTCAAAACTCACATGCGGCCATGGTGCTTTTCCGTGATCGGCCTCTTCAGGTGTAGGGAAAGCGAGGGTGCCACCATCTGCCAGTATCAGCAACAACGACCAGTGGACGAATGCAACACTTCTTACCGAACGAAACTGTGAGCTTGTCGGTGCCCCAAACCTGTGCAAAGATCTCCCGGACCTTAGGCTCCGATTTGCAGTCCCAGACAAACTGTGCATGGGCGAACGAGAAGCTAGACACAATTAGCTTTGCATTCTAGGATTTGATGTCGGGGAGAATACTGGTCAAAGAGCCCCCCGTATCGATGACGGGGTATGTTCGTGGATTTCCATGTTGAAGTATCGTCACGCTGATATCCCAATTTAAACCCTTCTAACCAGTCCTCAGCCTTTTCGGCGTATTTGAGAGCCTTCTCTGTAGGGACCGCTCCTTTTACTATTGCCCACTGATGGACCGGTTAGCACATCAGAATTGGAATTAATATTCAGGGAAGTACGTACGCCATTTTTGTGCAGGTCATGAAGCCACTGCGGACTTTCAGAAGTCAGAGGTGCGAGTTTGGGACTGGGTCTGTCGATACCCAAAGGACCCCGCGGATCCTCCCAGTTGTCCTGTTCCATCCAGGTCACCATTTTGCGTTTGTTCGATATCACTGCTGGGAAGAGTCTTGTCTTGTGAAATACAGGTGTTGCGGTACGAGCAAGCTTGATGAGAGTCATTGCATGTACAAGGAGGAAAAACGAAAGTCCAACGACACGGTGCATTTGTATGGGCAAGATGACATGGCTCGTGCCTTAGTTATTGAAACTCTGGCGGAGGTTCTTACCATTTACGAACAATTTCCGCATTGTTCAAGGGAGTCCGCACACACTGCCGAGGTCAGCAAAACTCTTGCCACTTGGAATTCGAACAGTGTTGATCGCAACAGAGGAAAAACAGAATGAGACAATTTAATGTGTAAAATCAAACGCTACAGTAACACAATTATGCGATAGCGTGGCTCTGACAGGTTGGGGGTTAGGCGTCAGCTTGTGGTGTAGCCTGTTACCAGCAGAACTTTCCCTATCTCAAGAGAGACCATCATCAGTCCTATATCCGCCTTGGGGCCACAGTCTACCTATTGGACCGATTCCGGGTGTTCTGCGGAGAGCTAGCGCCTGCGGTCGATGAATTTAATCCTTACGGAATCACGATTCGAAAGGCGGAAAACCCTTTGCCTAAATTCAATTACAACAACACGCGTTTGAACTCTCATTCCCTCCGAGATTTCTTGTTGCAGGAAGATACATAAAGAGACTTTTGACAAGCAGACCTCTGAGCTTCACTCTGCCCGACTGTTAGTCTCGATGGAAAATGTATATGCTATCCTGACGGATCGAGCTCGCACTCTATATCGGACCAGGATCAATCAAGCTGTCGACCGGCCAAGCCGCATCCTAATCGCCCTAGCAGGCCCTCCAGGCTCTGGCAAGTCCACCGTGGCAACGTCAGTGGTGAAGCGCTTGAATGCAGACTCACTAGACAGACCGTACGCAGCTGTCCTGCCCATGGATGGATTCCACTATACCCGTGCGACGTTGGACATGATGGAGAACAGCGCAGAAGCGCATGCGCGGAGGGGTGTTGTCTGGACGTTCCATGCGGAAGGTGTGTTGGATTTGGTCAAAGCTCTTAACGAGACTCGAAGTGAACTCGATCAGGTTCATTGGGCTCCGTCATTTGACCACGCTCTTAAGGATCCCGTGCCGAATACCATCAAGATCGACTCTAACATTCGCCTTCTCGTTCTGGAGGGAAACTGGCTGCTCTACAACGAGCAACCATGGGCAACGATCAGTGAGCTGGTGGATGATACGTGGTTTATTGACGTTGACGATGATCTGGCACTGCAGCGCGTGGCAATGCGACATCTTCAGTGTGGAATAGAGTCGACTTGGGTTGACGCGGTACATCGGGCAACCACAAACGATCTCGTCAATGGACAACTAGTGCGGAACAAGTTGGTAGCTCCTGCTGTTCGGGTGATGAGTGTGGACGAAGCAGTTGGTGAAAGGGCTATCGACGAAATCCAACCCGACAAGCTCCCAGGCCTGTGATATGAGATCTCACATCCCTCATTCACCTGTAAACCAGTGTCACTGGGAGGTGCCAACGAGCAGGGCCACGGGTAATCCATACGAGCATACGATTTTCGGAGGATTTATTGACCTTAGCCTGCTCTCGTCATTCGATTTGCTGGGGCTGGGTTGTTGAGACGCCTTTGGTGGATAGCTGTCAATACACATGTGGGATCTGGTATGTTTGCATCGAAAGATGAGCCGAAAGATATTCTCGGGACTTCTGTGTCACGTTTTGCTCCATGTCCTCAAACGGATTGTGGCGCTGTGCGTACATCATTTGAGGTACGACACGCGACCTGTTGCACCGGTGGCTGCCGTGAGCCACATCAACCTCAAGTCTGCGGCATAAGATGCGCTACAGAACTATCCCACATCTCAAGGTACGACAGGTTGTCGAAGTTCATGGGGGTTTCTGCAGCCAGAAACATCCATGACATGTCGTCCATGCCTCCGAAGACATCGCTGACCCTTGGATCCCAGGTGAACGCAGGTGCCTCGGTTCCGGGCAAATCGGCCATCTGGTTTAGTTCGTGGCCTTCTTGTTCGGAATCTTGTGGTTCATATTGAGCTGCGTTGTGAGGTGTACTCTCAATTTGGTCGATTTCGGGCCTCTTCAAATAAGACCTGTCGACTTGAACCAGAGAGAGACTCGGAATCCTCCCGAGCTCAATGGAAACCTTCCGCGCCAATGAAGCCATTGCATCAGCCGAGCCCCATTTCTGCTGGAGAATTTGAAGAATACTGCATGAAGTCTTGAAATCCTGTAAAGCTTCCTCTTGGTCCATGACTAGCCTGCTGTACCTCAGCTGCTGATATGATACTGACAAAGCAAGCGATGCTCCATATACCACGACAGGTAACGGATGTAGTGACTCCAGACGTTCGTGGTCTTGCATTTGTCGAATGATCTGCATGGCTGAGAGCTGCTGTCGTAATCTTGCAGCTGTCGCGATAGGTAGTACCTTGATTGTCTTGAGCCGGTAGGCGAGTATGGCAGTAGCCAAAAAGAAGACACGTAAGGTGGAAAGGGTCGGTGTGGGCAAATGCCACCCTTGCATCTGCTCGACCAGCTGCTCGAAAGTCGCATATTCAAGATTAATGCCAGTCACCGTGTCTGGATTCGACGGGCGATACAGTGCAATCACGCGACTGAGTGACTTCGCAGTATGAAACCAGATGTCAAACGCTGCCGAGGCCATTTCACCTGGCTTTGGTTGATCTATTCCAATGTCTGTATCGTGGATAATGCATGGCCGTGATTTAGTGGCCGCATTGAGTACATCCAGCGTCCACAGACACCAAAACGTTCTTTTCATTTCAAGATTATCAGTGTCGCTCGGTCTGCTCAAGTGAATGGCCAAGGTTTGCGCGTGATGACATGCTTGTGCGACTTGGGCAGACGCTTGTTCTGCGCCATCGTGCCCCTCCTCGTGCAGAGAGAGGAGACCTAGAATGCGGAGAAGGGTAATCCTCCTCAACCCAGCCGGACGAGTTATGGCTGCCATTATGGAGCTGTGAAGTTTGGTGCAGAATGCTCTAACTGGCACCGGGGATTCATTCGAATGGTAAAACCGCAAATGTGGACCCGCTGCACTATCCTTGGCCGCAATGAGGCATACTGTGTGTACAAGTGCCATTGGGGCTTTGTTTTGTGCTAATGAATTGCGAAATTCCTCTTCATTCAATAGCGGAAGGATCGGATGAATATTGGCGAAATACAGATCTGACAATGCTGCGATGTGCTCCATCGTGATCAAATTCGATACCGTTGGATGTTGCTGCCGCGTCCGTGCGGTTTGGGTCGACACTGGGCTGGCTATCGAGTTGGAAGCGCTGTGAGAGTGCGGTTGGAACCAGACACCAAGTCGATCCGGCGACGTGGCTTGCTGTTCCGCGCTTGATTCCGTTTCGTGGAGGAGCCTGGCCTCGGGATTGAGGTCTCCAACGAAACGTGGGACCGACTCACTCTCTGCCTCTTGCGTCTCATATTGTTGCGGGAGTTGCGAAGGCAATGGCTCTTCCATCTGGCTTAAATCCCCCGGCCTTTGGAAAGAGTCAGAGTGACTGTCGTCGTACTCTGGCAGTTTATCGGGCGAAAGATCACTCCGCGAACCAACGCCATGACGTCTCATATCATCGGTGCGTGCATCTAAGACCTCCGATAGTCCTCCTTTGTGTGGTGACGATGTGAAGGTACGGCCATCGCGTTGATGGTGACATCGCCGCTGCAGAAACTGTCAGTCCACGGAACGGGCAAAAGGCAATGGCCGGGGAACAGGCACCCCCACCTTTTTGACACGACAAGCTTCACAGGCTTTTCTATTCGCCTTTCGGTGCGAGCGTCCATCAGAGCTTTGTTGAGATATGAATGTGAAATTGACCATCGCGCACTGCTTCTTTTGGTGACAAATGTATATAAGGCAAAGTCCGAGGGAGGTTTGGGCAGTCGGATATGCCGAAAAGTCTTGGCTTGTCGGTGGGGAGAAGGGGAGGAAACGAGGGGAGGGAAGCAAGCGAGGTGGCAACGAAATCCTCAACGCCATTAGGAGAGCACCTCAAGTCAGGGCAGCGTGGCAAAGAGCAAGCACTAGTATTTCTCAAACGCTTCAGCTTAGGAATATACGCCAAGTCTGTCTCCCAAATGCATCGAGATGTCATGAGAAAAAGTATAGGCCCAAGGTACATGAGCCAAGGCACATTTTCTCAGCCTCAATGGTGAACTCTTTCTTTTATGATCTCTCGCCAATGCAACACGGGCATGTAGTGGAGGACTGACTACGTGCATAAAGTGGCCATCGACGGAATTATAGCAAAGTGAAACACGAAAAGCACTGGATTAGATAGAAACGACTTCAGGGGCGCCGTTCGCCCACCTAGAACGGGCAGCCGATCGCTCAATGAGGCGGTCTGGACGTTGCCGTGGTATATGCTCGTGTATTGTGTTATTGAGAACTACAGAAACCTTTACAACTCCGTCGCCACTGTGCTCTCGATGTTCTCCGGATAAACCAATCCACACTGCTTGCGGACCTCGTCCATAACCTCCATAATTACGACAGACTCGTCTAAGCTTTCGTATATTCCTTCTTTCCTGCCTTCTAGAAGTGCCATCCCTGCTTCGTCTGCTTCCCAGAACATACCATATCCCTCACCCTCAGAATTCATGCCAACCAGAGGATAGCCGTTATACCAGCCACTCCCCTTACCGGGGCCAGGTATTGGGAATGTCTTATCTTCAACAGTTCCATCGGCAAGGATAAGTCTTGTTCGATTAGGTCGCCAGAGTGGTGGCCACACTTGTAATTCACCATTCTGGCCCTGTATGCGAACAGCAGGCCCGCTCGTTCCTTTGCCGTCAATATTGTTTGACACAAGGAAGCTGGTGGTTGCAATAGCATGTATATCCCCACCCAACTGGGCGTCGCGTGGGAAGCTAAGCAGAATAGTGGCTGCTTCATCGACACCTGTAGCTCCATATTTCCGTACACTGGACAACACTCGAGGTGGCTTACAAGTGTCCCCGGGCTGTGTCGTGTATACAGATTGGAATATCCAGGTTAATGCATAGATCCCTGAGTCGAGAAGGGCGCCACCTGCCAAGTCGGGGCTAACCATACGGTGCTCCTTGTGGAAGTTCTTTTCTAGCTCGAAATTCAAAGAGTTGTCAGCAAAGGCCCTGATGATGGTGCCCAGCTTTCCAGAAGTGATGGTATCACGGACATAGATCGACAAGGGAAAGTAGCGAGTCCAGAGGGCTTCCATGAGGAAGAGGTCCTTCTGCCGAGCTAGACGAACGAGTTCCTTCGCCTGCACCGCATTGACTGTGAAAGCCTTCTCGCATAGAACATTCTTTCCAGCTTCGAGACAGAGTCTGACATTCTGGTAATGATGGGAGTGGGGTGTGGAGATGTAGATTATGTCGACGTCCGGATCTTGAGCGAGATCGATATAAGAACCGTACGGCCTTGCTGTTGGGGGAGCCTTGACTTGCTCAAGGAATTCTCGAGCACGCTGAACGCCTGAAGAGCTAGCTGCAGCCACGACAGTATGCTTCACTGTGTATACATCGCGAGTCGCAGGGTCAACCAAGAGATCTTTCGTGAATGTTTGCGCGATATTTCCCGTAGCTGACGGGTATCAGTGAGAGAAGATCAAATGTAGCGGGAATTGAGCCATACCTAGGATTCCCCACCGAATCACTTTTACAGTCATGTTGTCTTGTTGCGTGGCTCTTTCCCGACGCCTCTCGGTCCGTCCTGGGAGATATACTGATACTAGGCTGCGTCGATAGTATTTTTTTTACAATCTATATGTCCCATGTAGCATTAATGTTAAAGAACTGACCATGCCATACCCTCACATTTGGTTGACACTTAGCCTAAAAACGGTAATACTTCTAATACGGCTTTACTCCGCTCTGAAAACCCAGACATCACAAAATCCGACTACAAGGGGAGAGGTTTGTCTTGGTCCATGAGGCTCCGTATTTGGGGACTCGGGGCGCCTTCACACACTACTTGGAAAGCTTGAGCATTGTGCCATCCCAACTGAAGTGGCGTTCCATGTGGCGCACAATATGATCCAATAGGAATTGCGGGATGCGTGCCCCAACTGGAAATCCCGGCGGAGGAAATTTCCCAGAGTGGGTTTCCGCCTCTAAAGATGAACATACGAACGAGGAAGGACATGGTCATCGCGGAGGAGATCTAAATGTGACAACTCCGCAGTGAAACGACCCGGATAGTGAGATTATAGCATTCAGCCTCAAACAAAAACTATCCACAATCGAAGCCCCAGCAAGACGCCAGTCGAACCTTGTGCTGAAAAAGAGATCTAGACGCCCCGTCTATTACAGCGGGATTACTCGAGGGAGTAATTTCACAAATGGTAAGTAATCCCACTCTGGGGTTAAGCGGAGTGGTTTTGTGGGAAAGGCGGAGTACATGGCCTGGGGGCAATGGCAAGAGCAATTCTGCTTTGGTCGAAAGCTCTAAATATGACCCATTGTATCGCGGTGGGAGCTATATCCTCCACAAATTAATGCATTTCGATTCAACATAGCCAGTGAATCAAGAATCTATAGAACATTCATCTACACTTGTTATATCCACTGATCTTGTCACACTGCACGACACTCTGCTGAACATCATGAAAGAATCCCGAGACTCAGGTGAAGGCGGTACCATCATGGTTGAGCACGTTCAAAACATGGTCAAGAATGACAACGTTTCACACGTCGACGACAATAACAATGACCTGTTCAACGCTGCCAAGTTGGCTACAGAGGCCGAGCATAATCTCACCCTTATGCAGGCCCTGAAGCTCTACCCCCAGGCTGTCGGATGGTCCGTCCTCGTCTCGGCTGCCTGTGTCATGGAGGGCTATGACATGGCAGTCATCGGTCAATTGTTCGCACAAAAATCATTCCAGCAGCATTTTGGAGTTCCCGTCGCAGGGGGCTGGCAAATCACCGCACTGTGGCAGATTCTCCTGGGGAACAGCGCGTACATTGGCGTCATCATCGGAATCCTCATGAACGGCATCGTCTCGGAAAAGATTGGGATGAAGAAAACAATGATTGGCGCGTATGTCGCCATAACCGCCTTCACCTTCATTCTCGTCTTTGGTCAGAGCAAGGCCCTGTTGCTTGTTGGCCAGTTTCTTTGCGGTATCCCATGGGGCATCTTCAACACAACAGCGCCGACATATGCCTCGGAGGTCTGCCCAGTGGTCCTTCGTGGGTACCTTACGACCTTTATCAATCTGACATGGGTCATTGGACAATTGATCTCTGCAGGAATCTTCCGCAGCGTTCAGGGCATGGAAGGCAAATGGGCCTATGGCATTCCCTTCGCGATTCAGTGGGTCTGGCCAGTACCTCTACTTATCGGTATGCTCTTCTGTCCGGAATCGCCATGGTGGCTTCTCCGCAAAGGGCGTATCGATGATGCAGAGCGCTCTTTAGAACGGCTGTCTGCCGGGAGCGACACCAAGAAGACCATGGCAATGATGATCAGAACAGACCAAGAAGAAAGCGCGGTGGAGCATGGCTCATACCTGGACTGCTTCAAGGGTACAGACAGACGCAGGACCGAGATTGCTTTCTGGTCATGGGCGATTCAAGTTTTCTCGGGTATTTCCATGAATCAGTACAACACCTACTTCTTCGAGCAAGCCGGCGTGGACAGCGAGACAGCATTCGACATCAGCCTGGGCTACTATGCGATCGGCTTCACTGGCACAGTTCTGTCATGGTTTCTCATTACCAAGTTCGGTCGCCGCAGCATCTTCATTGTTGGGTTGTCTATCATGGCCCTTCTCATGTTCGCCATCGCCTTTGCGGCCCTCGCGCCCGCCTCCAACAAGCCGTCGATGTGGGCGCAGTCAATCATGCTGGTCATCTGGGTCTTCATGTACGACGTCTCCGTCGGTCCACTGGCTTTTTGCATCGTTAGCGAGGTCGGCTCAACACGGCTCCGCGCAAAGACTATCGCTATTGGGCGTTGCTCCTTCTACTTTTGGTTCATTATCTTCGGTATTGCAACACCTTACATGTTGAACCCCGACGAAGGCAACCTGAAAGGCAAGACGTTCTTTGTCTATGGTGCCACCTGCGTCCTCTCGGCCACATGGGCATATTTCAGACTTCCCGAGATGAAGGGCCGCACCTACGAAGAACTGGACATCCTCTTCCAGAAACAGATCTCGGCTAGGAAATTCAAGAGCACACATGTCGATGCCTACGCCGACGTCACCATCGAGCCCTCCAAGACAGGAGCCGTGTGATATTCCGAACCCGAAAGCCGGAAGCGTAACAATGATTATTATCTGACGACCAGTGACCTATAATGCTTCTTACATATACGGTCGGTGTCTCCTGCGGATATGTGAAAAGCGTACCAAACGTCGAGGAGGAGCCTGGTGGTTGCGAACTCCAACAAGCCAATGAGTTCGACGGGTCAGTGGGGGGCTTGGTCATTCAGACTGTCAACGCTTGAGTTTTTGGTACATAGGTAAATACCAGGATGTCAAGTACAGTGGATACATATCAAAAGGCTCGTTCATATCTCCCTTTATCCTCTCCTCTGTCTTCCAGCTCATTCGGTACATAACTTTTGTTACTGTGTGCCCCAGTCATTCTTTGACCACAATATATTTGCCTATACCGAAAAATTGAGCTCGGCTACTCTCCCCTGGGCCACCTTGATCCCAGAATCTTCAATGCGAAGTCGATATTGCGGGCTGATCGTGGAGCAAAGAGTCCTGTTAAATGCCTCTGCAATAGATATCTACGCGAGTAGATCCTCTGGTGAATTATTATAGCTTCGTATGATTCACTTTGACTGATATGGTACCCCTGAGTTAAAAAGACATTATCATGATCGTAGTTTTGTATTCTATATTAGGCCTTCTTCGCACAGCCGGGCATGAGGAAATGAACGACCTACGTGATAGAAGTTAAGAATAAGCTCTGGGATCTATTAAAAACAGGAAGGTATTTGTGATCATGGTCGATCTCGCTCTCGAAGTGTCTTGCTGTGCCATGGGCAAATTTGGTGGCAAGTGGATGTATCCATAGAATTTGAATTATATCAGGAAACCAGAACTCATGGATCACGCTCTACCATAAAGTACAAACGACATCGGGTTATTGTCTCAACGGCTCTAATTAGTATTTACGACGCTGCAATCCAACAACGAGGTTGCCCGCGTTCGAGTTGAACCGCTCTTGCGTTTCCAGCTGGAAGCCTTCAGGCACCACACAGTCGTAGAACTTGGCAATGGTAGCAATGAGCACGGTCTGCTCAAAGTATGCAATGTTCCTTCCGATACACGCTCTGGGTCCCGTGCTGAATGGTAGATGGTTGTTCATCATGCGGCGCCTCTTCTCCTGATCGTCGGTCATCCAGCGATCAGGGATGTACTGGTCGGCGTTCTCAAATACGTCCTCGTCTCTCAGTAGGGAATACGTGGGCACGGATACCGTAACACCGCCAGGAATGAACTTTCCGGCGATGTGTCTCCCACCTTCGGGCACCACGCGGGGAAGACCAAAGGAGCTCGCCGGACGAACCCTAAGTGACTCTTCAATACACGCTCGTAGGTATGGTAGCTTCGAGCAGTCTGCGTATGTGGGTATTCCATAACTAGGCAAGGAGGCATCGAGTTCTTCTCGCAGCTTCTTGAGTACGTGGGGGTGGGTGTATAAGAGAAAGATTGTGTTTGTCAGGGCAGCAGTTGTAGTTTCCGTTCCTGCGTTCATCATGGCAGAGCACTCGGCGATAATCTCGCCGAATGGGAGGTTCAAATTTTCGCCCTTGCTATTCTGCAGGAGTCGTGTGAACAAATCATCTCTGTCCGGATCCTTGAGGCGTAATTTGGTATTGTGATAGACAATGTTCTCCCAGTCCGTTCCGGCCTTTTTGTAAGGATGGCTTTTGGCAAGAGGTCGTGTAATTGGTAAAAGTGAAGGGTTCATGGCCAGGAGAGTATTGATGATTGTTACATCAAGGAGAGATTTGATGAAGGGTACTTTATAGATAACCCCGTCAGGGGTTTCGGCATCCAGCAGGTCATCACCGCGGCTGAGACAGTTCAGCTTCGCTCCGTACAACAGCTTGCCGAAGAAATCGATCGTAAAGTAATTGAGATATAGTCTCATGTCGAGTTTAGTGTTCGTGTCCGCCGCTCTGTCAAGCTGTTCCCGCAAGGTTTGTAACGTTTCTACCAGGAGGGGCTCAAATGCCACCACCGTCTTCGCCGCAAATACGTGCGCGAGCATCTTGCGTTTTGCCTGGTGCTCAGACTTATCTCGAGCATCGGCGAGGTTTCGGTGTGCACCGGCTCCTGCATCGTACCACGCTTCCTTCATCATGTTGGCTCCGTGACCGTAGATTTGGTTCGGCGCCTCCGGGTGGAGAATCGATATGTGATTTGGTGCAATGCGGACATGAGTCCCAAGCCGGGAGTGCGCTTCGTGCACCGCTGCATAGTGTTTCTGCTGTATATTGTTCCAAATGCGCCAAAGAGTGCTGTACGCGGCAAGGGAAGGGGCAGGGAAGTCTCGTAGCTTGTTCGGGTCAAGTATATAGTAGAAGAATGGATAGAAGACAAGCCCAACGAGTCCCAGACCAAGGACAAATGGTAGCGCAACGAGTATCATTGTGAGAACTCGAATGTCAACAGGCAATCATTTAGACTGGACTATCTCA